AATAAAACCAAAATATTTATTTAATATTAAATTAACATCTTATTAAAACATAAACCATAATTATATTATAATCTTAAAAAGATTATTTAATACTTAATAAAAATAAAACTTAATTAACAACCTTTAAAAACTAAATTATATATTAATATCCGTATAACATTATAAACTATTAAGAATTATCGAGAAAAAAATAATTATAAATTTAATAAAATAATAAGTTTTAAATTTTTAAAAAAGAAAATATTAAAAATTTTAAAAATTTACAGTATTAATAAATGGAGTTTTAACATATTACCAACTTAAATTAAATATTTATTTAAAATCACTACACTTATTTAATTAAGAAAGACTAAATTTAAAAATCTATTAAAATTTTAAATAACTTATTATAAAGTTATAATTTACATATAATTTTTATTAAAAAAAACGAAATAATAAAACGTTTAAAAAATAAGGGAAATAAAAATAAAAAAAATAGTAATAATATTGTAAAAAACTATAACTATTAAAATCTTTTCATTTAAAGATAAAAACCTTATTTAAAATCCTTTTTTTAAATAACTAACATCCATTAAACCATTAAAATTTACCAAATTATTAATATCCGCATTATTTAAAAAATAAATTCTTAAATAACCAATTTTTAATAATAATAAAATTTACCAAAATTTATAAACACAACTTAAAATATTAAAAAACTTTAAAAAGAATTATAAGAATAAAATTAACAACTTAAAAAAAAAATTATACAATTTAAAAAAGTTTTAAAAGAAAAGATAATTAACTTAAAAAAACTTAATTAATTTTATAAATAATTTAATAAAATTAACTAAAACGTTAATAACTTTATATTAAACATAAAAAAATAATATACCAATCAAATAAAAAACCACAACCTTAAAAACACTTATAAAACCTTCCCTAAAATAAACTAAACCTTTTCTTAAAATATATATACTTAAAAATATAATAAAAACCATCGAAAAAAATAATAAAAAAAAAGATAAAAATAAATAACCTATTAAACATTAACATATTAAATAAATAATAAAAAAAAACAAAAACGTTTTTATTTTTTAAATAATAAAGTTATATTAAATATTTACGTATTAATATATATGTAATTAATAATCAACCATCTTAACTTACACAAATCTCTTTAATAAATTACGTTTATTAAAAGATCTTTTTTAATATATTAAGTTTATAATTTAATCTCATGAAAAACCCATTAATATATCTTTAAAGTATTAAAAAAAAAAAATATTATTATTACTTAAAATTTTATATAAATTATAAAAATCTTTTTTTTTATAATAAAAAAAGTTAATTTAAAATTTTAATAAATTAAGGTTTATTTTAATATTGTATAAACCGTATATATTTATACGAAAAAACGTATTATTTTTTATTTATATAAATAATATTATAATTTATTTCCTTACTTTTAAACGTTAATAAATTAAAAAAATAATTAATAATTTTAAATAAAATTATAAATTAATAAAAAAAAATAACCTTTAATAATTTTTTAATATTAAAATAATTTAAAAGTAAAAAAAACGGTTAATATAATTAAATTAATTCTTATATTTTAATAAAATAATTAATTTTATAAAAGATTTAATTAAAAAACTTATTATTTTTATAATAAAAAACAAACTATTATCGTATAATAAAAAAGCTTTAAAAAAATTTATTTACCATTATTAACGTAAAATAAACTTTATTTTATATGTTATAATAATTATTTAACCCGATATAACTTTCGCATATTTAAAGTTATTAAAATTTAATTATAACTTTAAATTAATACATTACGTAATAATTAACCGAATAATATAATACCTCATTAAAATAAAATCTTTTACGTTATAATTAAAAAATAATAATATTTTCGAAATAATTAATAACGTTTTATTCGTTAATAATATCATCGATTAAAAAAACTTTTAAACTTACGTAATAAAATTATTTAAAAAAATAATAAATTAAAAAATTAATAAATAAAATATAATAATTACGTTTATAATTAAGATTAAATTGTTAATTTTAATTAATGTAATAAAAAAAATTATATTTATTATTAAATTTATATAAAAATTAAAAATTAAATTAAATAATTTTACCATTTTTATTAATTACGATAATAAATAAACTATTAAACTAATAAATAAAGATATTAAAACCTTTAAAATTAAATTAAAACATATAAATATATATAATTATTAACTATAATAAAAAATTAAAAAAAAATATATTAACGTTAATTACGTTAAATTTAAAAATATAATAATTAATAACTTAATTAAAATATTAAATAAAAATAAATTTAAAAAATTTCGAAATTAAATTAACTTAATAAATATTAAAAAACTATTAAATAAAAAAATAATTAAAATTTTAAATAAAAAAATTTAAAAAAAACGGAATATTTTAAACGGACGAAAAAACTTAATTAAAAAAAAATTACTTCGAAATATTAAACTTATAAAATTAAATTAAAAAGGTTATTTAAAGTTATTTTAATTAAATTTACTTAACAGCTTCGTTTAAAAAAGTATATTAAATTAATTAACCCCACGTAACTTAAAAATAATTTAACCACTTATAATTTCTCGTATTTCCATTTATACATTAAAATTTTACACTTTAAATATATATGTAACTTTAAGTTTTATTTAAATTATTTAAACAATTAAAAGCGCTTACTTACTTTATGACACCATTGTTACCCGTGCAGTAAAATAAGGTACGTACCGGGTAATTTAAAACCGTTTTTTATAATCAACCTTTAATAATTTTACTAATTTTAATCCGATTTATATATAATTTATATTATAATTTAAGTAAGAAAATAACAAAAATTACAATTTAGGTTACACGTGATTTAAACTAATATTGAGCCGGATGCGGTTAAAAGTATGAATTTTAACTATAATAACTATTATAAAGCCTTTTTTAATGGCTTTTATCCCTTATAATATTAATACCTTTTATTTTTAATAATTTTATTAATATAACTTTAATAAATTTTAAAAAAGTTTTAAAATTTAAATAATTAAATACTTTAAATTATAAAATAAACCTTTGATTTTTATTAATTTATTTTAAAAAAATACGGCTATTTTTATATAATAAATTAAAATAAATTAATAAATACTAGTAAAAAAGTTACTTTATATATATAAATACTTATTTTTTTAATACCTCAACCAATTCGGGGCCGAATCACGTGCACCTTAAATTATAATTTTTATTATTTTTTTATTTAAATTATAATATAATTTATTAAGGATTTAAATAAAGACTTATAAAGTTATTAAAGTAAACGTTAAAAAAAAAAAAAGAAAAAACCGGGTATATACCGTAAATATTATATAAGTAGTAATAAGTATATTATACAACTAATATTACTTTTTTTTTAATGGTTTTTATCTTTTATAATTTTAATATCTTTTAACTTTAATAATTTTATTAATATAATTTAAAAAAATTTAAAAAAAGTTTTAATATTTAAATAATTAAATAGTTAATATTATAAAGTAAATCCGGGATTTTTAATTATTTATTTTATAAATATATAATTATTTTTATATAATAAGTTAAAATAAATTAATAAATATTAATAAAAAAGTTATTTTATATATATAAATATTTACTTCTTTAATATCTCGGCTAATTTTGGGCTAAATCACGTGCACCTTAAATTGTAATTTTGCTGATTTTCGTATATAATTAAATATACTTTTTTAAGAAAAATCGGACCGGTATTCGTAAAGTTATTAAAGTAATTGTAAAAAAGGTAAAAAAAAAACTAGGTACGTACCTCGTTTTATTACACGGGTAATAATAAACATATTACACGATTAATGTTACTTTTAAATAAATATATATAAAAATTAAAATATTATTTAAAAATTTATTTAATTTAATATAATTTATAATTATAAAAAAACCTTTTATAAAACTTTATTTAATTATATATATTTATATTATTAATTAAAATATATTAAAAATTTTATTTTAATTAAAATTATTAAATAATATATAAAATTTAAAAAAACGCATGCATTCGTAAGCTCGCGCAAGCGTTTTCACGTGCTCGTAAGCTCGCACGTGAAAATCCGTCGGAAATATTAAATCTTTTATTAATTTTTTTATTATTTATTAATGAATTATTTATTAATTATTTATCATTTCCTTATTATTTTTTTATTATTTCTTTATTAATTTCGCATAATAATTTTTAAAAGTTTTAACGTAAAAAATGTTTTTAATAGATAATAATTTAATATAAATTTTAAATATAAAATTTTTTATATAAATAATTATTATTATAATAATTATTTTAAAAAAACCATTTAATATTTCTTTATAATTATATAATTATATATTAAATTAATTATATTTTTAAATAATATTTTAAATATTTTATTTATTAAAAATATTTTTTACATTTAAATTTATAAAAATTATAATATTATATAATATTAATAAAAAATTAATAAATAATTAATAAATAATTTATTAATAAATAATAAAAAATTAATAAAAAATTAAATGTTTTCGACGGATTTTACCGTATAAGTTTATAAATACGTAAAAACATTTACGCGAATTTATAAATATATACGTTTTTTTAAATTTTATATTTATTTAAAATTTATATTATTTATAAATTTTAATTAAAACGATTTTAATAATATATATTTTAAATATTATATTATTAAATTAATTAAATTATAATAATTAAAATATTAATATTAAATTAAAAATAAATAAAATAATACGTAAATATATATATATTTTTTATATTAATAATATATATAAAACTTTAATAAAATTTTTTTATAATATAAATAAAAAAACTTTTATATAAATACGTAACATTTATTATTTTATTTATTATTTTATTTTATAAATATAAATATTATTTTATATATATAATAAAAACGTAATATAATAACTTTTCGTAAACTTAAAGCAAAATACGGTCTCGGCCGCCGAGCACCGCGTTTTTTTTCTTTTCCTCATTTTTGTCTTTTCCTTTCGGCGTAACAATCCGCCCGTGTTCGCGGTGAATATGGACTTAAAGCATTCACATTTCATCATTTAATCCCCGAATAGATCGCTATGTTAGGTGAAGTATTAAGCCTTATAATTTCTACAAATTGTCAACTCTAGTATTTATTTTCGATATCGTTCCTCTTTCTCAGTTGATATGTCCTTCAATTGTTATATATAAAGTCCTCGCCGAATCATATGTTCCATTTAAACCATACTATCCTCTATATAGCGACATTTTATATGATGGATGTTCACCTCTCAATGTAAAGAAGCTTGAGCCCATCCCCTTCTCTCTATAACACTCTTTCTGACCTATCGATTTTGCATTTCAAGTACCTTTCCGCACGTATATATTCTAGTTGCAACCACGAGCAGTTGTAATATATGATGAAGGCTTGGACATGGACTCACGGAGGCTACCCTCAGGCATTACAACAGTCCACGCTTCCGTCCGACACAGGGCCACTCAGGTCATCTGAGATTCGTGTGCGAATAAAGGCTGCATCGATCAACCCCGTCGATGTTCAGTTGATGTCGTACCCCTTAATATCACATCTTCCCGCTTTTCTTGTTCCGCCACAGAAGGGCGTAGGTGAGGATTTCTCAGGCGTCGTTGAAGAAGCCGGACCAAACTCTGGCTTCAAGATAGGTGATGAAGTCCTCGGCATCGCCCAATTCCTTCCCGGGGGTACTCTTCAGGAAACAACCAAAATTGACACCAGAGTATCTGCAGTAGTGAGGAAGCCGGCTGATTGGACCTGGGAGCAGGCCGCTGCTCTCCCGCTGGTCTGGCTTACGGCTCGAACGACCATTTCCCGAGCAGAGTCACACGTGAAAAGCGGGAAGATAGTTATTCTGGGTGGTAGTTCCAGCTGCGGTATGTACGCTGTCTATCTTGCGAAGCAGCGTGGTTGGACAGTGAAAGCGTCGTGCTCTGGCCGCAATGCCGATTTCGTTCGCAGCATGGGGGCAGACGACGTCATCGACTACACAACTTCTAACGTCCGTGAACAAGTCAAGGCCTTCGCTCCCGATGCTATCATCGATTTTGTTGGAGGTACGGAATGTCTATGGATCTCAAAGGCATACGTTACTGTCGTTGGCGACAAAACTGACCGGCTATCCCCGGGTGGCCGGTATATTTACTTCTGGAATCCTCGGATGCTCCTTCGTGCCATTGCTGGGAGGATAGGGTTTGGCCAATCTTATACCTGTATCAATCTAGAGTTTAGTACTTCCTTTTTAAAGGAATTGCTGGATCTACCGAAGGATAAGATTGTTATTGACTCTGTATTTGGGTTTGACCAAGTCAAAGAGGCATTCGATAAGCTTAATACTGGGCGTGTAAGGGGGAAGTTAGTCATCAATGTCGCTACGTGAGGGGTTGAGGTAGTTTACTACTAGGAACTTTAGTATAGGGGTAATTTTGGTTGTCTATGTGTGTAATAGCAAGGGATATAGACGCCTATTCATAGAACGAAAATTAACCCTTAATCACTTCAGAATGGCATTACCCTGGCAGTTATTCTTCATTCTTATGATGTGCCCTCGAGTAGTATACAAGTAATAGTTTTAGGCAGATATTAGGTCTAGGCTCTCACAAGCTTTCGGTATTCTCGGTGGGATACTATTTGCGCCTTGAACAATACTCGCGTTTACAATAATATGCATTCTGCATCCTAGTAAACTAATAAAGTATATCGAGGTTCACTTTTAGATGATACAAGGAAATCAATGCGTTAGCCAAGGTCAAGTATTTGTTCACAACAGTTAAGACTGGTTTAAAATATTGCCGGGACAGTAGAGAGCGTCTCGTAATGATTCTTCTTTTGTATAGACCTTCTTTATCTCGGCTTGATATCTTCAATATGTTTCTTAAATATCTGCTACTCGAAAGTTATATATATAACTACTTAAAACTCAGGTGATCTTAAATATTCGTATAACATAGCGTATCCTGCCCAACTTTCATTTATATACTCTATATTCGAAAGGTGATATGTAGCCACGTAAATAAACCATGCCGGATCATAGACAGTCGAGGCCTCTCGGGCAGAATTCTTGAGCCACCGAGGATCGAAAAGCATACTCGCCGTATAGGTAATGAGCTGTAATCAGGTGAGTTAAACGTAGCTGAAATCGCTCGTCCGATGAGACAATTCAATAACTAGACGACGGCATTTGGCCTCACCACAGTGAATAACTACGTGGGTATTTGGCAAACTCATAACCCAATAGTTTGAACTACATAGGGTCTCGGCATGGCTCCGAGGACGATGATCGGATTCGCTTGATTGCTACGTATGCATGATAGGTAGATGACCGCTCATCGGAGCAAATAAGTTCGGCGGGAGAGGGATACGAGAGATCCTAATCTCCAAATTTTGCATCATCGTAGGTATCTATAACTCCGCATGTGTAGCACTTGACGGCCACTTCCCATTCTAGGTATAACTGACCGAAACTTCAACGCATACACGGTATTTCCTCAAGGTGGGAGACGATATATTCGGCTCATTTAATAACCTCCTCTCATGGAAGAGGAAGGAAATACGGGTGGAGATTTCGTCATGTTGACGAGATGATAGATAATAGAGGGAGAAGAGACGTGGGTACAAACGGTGGGTTCGAGTGTGTTGAAACATGCACGGGTTTGAGATTGATAAAAATAACTACGCATTGGTTACTATGAGTCGTTTGGTAAGGGTTAGATTGATCTTCCTGGGCTTCATCTCTTTTATTGGTCATGGCGAGAAGCTATATATAGTGGTTAAGACATGAATATAGGTAATAGTATTATTGGCAAATATGATTATCATGTGGTGATGGAACTGGGCTTAGCTTTGGCCTGCGGTGCGGGATTAACAATGTGTTTACGCGTGTCAATTTCTGTTAATTGAGGCATTGAGGCATTGGCATTGGCATTGGCATTGGCATCGAAGCATTGAGACAAGTTGTTGAGAAATGGAGCGACCCAACAGAAATAAGCGTTTCACGTCTCTTCGCCTCACGGATTATTATAGGATTAATTCTATACGGTAAGGCTTATTTAAAACGACATCGTCTAGGCATTCCACAATAGGTACGTTCGTACTCCGTACCTACCTACTTATTTACATAGTAACTATATTTTATATACCTGTAAATCAGTGGCTGGCTGTTAACAGTCAGCCACCGTTCTGCCATCGAACGGTGTAGCCCGACGATGGCTTGCAGGATATCCGTGATAATCGAATGCCGAGAGTAGCACAATACACTACGCGGCGAGGCGAGCTGTAATCCACTCAGTCTCGCATGTGGTCAAGGAAGAGTCCTGGTTTGGATGAGACAGTAGATGAGACAATTATGTTGTTAAATGTCTCTTATGAAAATGTCTCTTATGAGTGCACCCTGACAAATTCGAGTTCGAAAAGGTTCAAGTTGATACGCTTCTTATGTAGGTACTTTCGGTATACCCCTTAGCTAAGCCTGCTGAAGATAAGGCAGGTCGCTAATCCTAGCCTTGTAATTGGGGATACTTCCTATATACCCTGCATAAGGACGTGCGTGCTAGGTACATTAGTTGATTAGGATCGTGCCAGGTGGGCTAGGCGATTGGTGACCATTGGAAGTAAATACCTCTTAGAGGGGGAGGGGGAGGGGGGTGATACATACCAGAACCACCAGCCCACTAGCCTACCAGCCCACCAGCCCACCAATACGTACTGTTATTATGTAGGTATCCATCTTGGTAGGCCCATCGTAGGGCGTTGCCCCTCTTTTAAAACCCCCCCGCGCAAGGGACTGGCCAATTCTTCGCCAGAGCTGGAACTTTCTCAAGCAAAAAGTCCATGACAGAGGTGGGGTTAATCCGTAAACTCGTTCTAACTTTTCTGAATTGTTTATATTTTAGAAATACCTCACATCATCATCACGTTGTTTCGTGAACCCCTTTTTAATCCTGATCTTCCCTCCTTGTTCCAGTTCCTACCGTCTTTCTCCCATTTTCTGGTTCAACGCATTATCATCTTCTTCGGGCCTGACTGTACGGCCGTCTAAGAAGACCCTTTTTCTACCTTGATATCCCTGTCTTGACACTGCTCCGAGTAGCTTCTAAGCATGTCTGCCTCGTCTCTTGATCACCTTGCCCTAGGTGGCCGTGTTGAATGGCTCGCGAGCCTCAACACAGCTGATGTTCCCGACAAGAATGCCCACCGGCGAACCTCCATCATCTGCACCATCGGACCCAAGACCAACTCGGTTGAGAAGATTAACTCTCTGTTAGTATAGAACTATCTATGTAGCTTCTGGAAACTAATCTTAGCTCAGCCGACAAGCAGGTCTTAATATCGTCCGCATGGTGAGAATCTCTTCGTAACGATGCCATTTTGTCACTTACTAATTTAGTCTATATGCAGAACTTCAGCCATGGAAGCTACGAATACCACCAATCTGTCATTGACAACACCCGTGCTGCGGAGCAGCAGCAGCCTGGTCGGCAAGTCGCCATCGCTCTCGACACAAAGGGGCCCGAGATCCGTACTGGTGATACTGAGCGCGGTGAAGATATTCCCCTCAAGGCTGGAACTGTCTTGAACATCACCACGGATGAAAAGTATAAGACGGCGTGTAGCGTAGAGAATATGTATGGTGCATCTCTACTCTAGATATAAATTCATGGTGCTGACAGACTCTGTAGGTATGTTGACTATAAGAACATCACCAAAGTGATCGAACCGGGAAAGATCATATATGTCGACGATGGTGTGCTTGCCTTCGATGTGCTCAGAATCAAGGACGACAAGACTGTCGAAGTACGCGCCCGAAACAACGGGTATATCTCCTCCCGAAAGGGTGTCAACCTCCCCGACACTGATGTCGATCTCCCTGCTTTGTCAGAGAAGGACAAGAAAGATCTCCGGTTCGGAGTCCAGAACAACGTGGACATGGTTTTCGCCAGCTTCATTCGACGAGGTGAAGACATCCGTGCGATTCGCGAAGTCTTGGGAGAAGATGGTAAACATATTCAGATTATTGCCAAGGTTAGTAATGAATTACCATGCGCTCTTTTCCCTTCTCTTCTCTATGGTAAACTTGATTGCTAATTAACGGGCCTATAGATTGAGAACCGACAAGGGTAAGTCATTGCTGTCTCGAAAACCGAATTACCCTTTGCCCTGAGCCATAGCTCCCAGCGCTGTAGAATAACTAGTTCGTAAATCTTATGGCCGGGAAACGCTAACAAATTATCTTTCCATAGACTCAACAACTTCGATCAAATTCTTGAGGAGACCGATGGTGTTATGGTAGCTCGAGGAGATCTAGGTATTGAGATCCCAGCCTACGAAGTATTCGCCGCCCAGAAGAAGTTGATTGCCAAGTGCAACATTGCTGGCAAACCCGTGATCTGCGCCACGCAAATGTTGGAAAGCATGATTACCAACCCTCGCCCCACCAGAGCAGAAATCAGCGACGTTGGTAATGCTGTTACTGACGGAGCTGACTGTGTCATGCTTAGCGGCGAGACTGCCAAAGGTGCGTATCCGGAGCTGGCTGTCCGCGAGATGAGCAACACCTGCCTTGCAGCGGAGAACTCCATCCCCTACGTCAGCCACTACGAGGAGATGGTCACGTTGGCAAAGCGTCCCACGAGCGTTGTTGAGAGTTGTGCTATGGCTGCGGTACGAGCGTCTTTGGACCTGAATGCGGGAGCCATTATCGTTCTGTCAACGTCTGGTGACTCTGCCCGTCTGCTATCGAAGTACCGACCGGTGTGTCCCATCTTCATGGTCACTCGTAACGCATCTGCGTCGCGCTATGCACACCTGTACCGTGGTGTCTATCCTTTCCTATTTGACGAAGCGAAGCCGGACTACGATAACGTTAACTGGCAAGAGGATGTAGACCGCCGCATTAAATGGGCCGTTGAGAGGGCCTTAGGATTGGGACTTTTGAACAAGACCGATACTATTGTCGTTGTCCAAGGCTGGAGAGGTGGTATGGGTAATACAAACACAACACGGATCGTCAAGGCCGACCCGGCATCCCTAGGATTAGGAATGATGCATTGATTGATAGATGCACTAATTGGAACAAGGAACTGTACGGAAGGTAGTTTACTCAGGTAATCTCTACGGCGTTATAAGTCGGAAGGCAACAGGACGATGAAATTGTTGCCGGTAAGAGAGGCAGCTTGAGATGATCAATATATTATAAATATGATTATATTTCATTTTCTGCGCATGGTTGCTTTACGTGGTAGTGTACGGATCCGTACATTTATTCTTCTTTATTGTGCAACATGTAGTAGGTACATGCATAAATGAGTATGATCAGATGATGCATGTGAGTAAGTGAATATGTAAAATTTATTCAAATTTAATTCATAGGATCCACTTATTAGAGCGGCAAGTGCCCCGCGTTTAGGTACTTAGGACCCCTCGGAGCCTTTCAACTTTGACTCACGCGAAATTTTGGCGGGGTCATTTTTGGTTTCCTACATCGTCTCGAGATTTGATTGATATTAGAAGTTATTCATACTTCCCTCAGCCCCTCAGCAGACTACAGTCCCGGAGGGCTGTCGCGCTTCGCCAAGATGAGCATTAGTTTCCCCAAGACAGAAGAAGAAACCGTGCAATTCTGGCGAGAGGTCGATGCGTTTCAAACTCAATTAAAGCTCACCGAAGGCCAGAAGCGCTTCACCTTCTACGATGGCCCGCCATTTGCAACTGGTCTTCCTCATTATGGCCACCTTCTAACCTCCACCATCAAGGATATTATTCCTCGATATTGGTCTATGAAGGGATATCATGTCGTTCGTCGTTTTGGTTGGGATACGCACGGCCTCCCTATCGAATATGAAATCGACAAGACCTTAGGTGTATCCGGCAGAGACGCCGTCTTAAAAATGGGCATAGAAAAGTATAATGCTGAATGCAGAGCTATTGTGATGAGGTATGCGGGGGAATGGAGGCAGATCATCGAGAGACTGGGTCGCTGGATAGATTTCGACAATGGTGAGTCGGGTCACTTGCGCAATATAAACTAGTAGTAATAAGGCACTGACGACAAGGGTGAAGACTACAAGTCTATGGACGTCAACTTTATGGAATCTTGCTGGTGGGTCTTTAAGCAGCTTCACGATAAGGACCAGGTCTACCGCGCATATCAGATCATGCCCTTCTCTACCGCACTCTGCACCCCGTTAAGCCATATGGAATCCAAGCAAAACGAGAAGACGACACAAGATCCGGCAGTTTTGATCGCCTTTCCCGTGAAAGGCAGGGACTCGTCTTTAGTCATCTACACCACGACGCCATGGACACTACCTTCTAACCTCCTTATTGCTGTTCATCCCGACTTCGAATACGTTGAAATTCTTGACGAGGACTCTGGCAAACAATATATCCTTCTTGAAAGCGGAATTTCTATGCTGTACAAGGAGAAGAAAAAGGCAAAATATAAGATCGTCGGCAAGCTTAAGGGCAAAGATATGATCGGTTGGAAGTACGAACCGTTATTCCGTTACTTCGCCGACCAATTCGCCGATTGTTTCCAAGTCATAGGCGCCGACTACGTCGAAGCCGACGAGGGTACCGGTCTCGTGCACCAGGCTCCCGCTTTCGGCCAAGAAGATTACGACGCTGCGGTCGCTGCCGGCTTTATCAGTCCAAAGCGCTTACCCCCGTGCCCTGTAGATGATAAGGGTCTCTTTACCGCTGAGGTAGCCGATTATGCTGGCCAGCACGTGAAAACTGCCGACAAGGCTATTGTCAAGGATCTGAAGGAGACTGGCCGACTACTGCTCGCAACTCAAGTGTCCCACGTAGACAAGTTCTGCTGGCGTTCCGACACACAGCTCATCAGGAAAGCGGTGTCTTCTTGGTTTATTCGGGTCACCAACTCTATACCTGATATGCTCAATAATCTTGAGTCGACTACCTGGGTCCCTTCCTTCGTTAAAGAAAAGCGGTTCACGAACTGGGTCGCGAACGCACATGACTGGAATATTGCCCGGAATCGGTATTGGGGTACGCCAATCCCATTATGGGTCAGCGAGGATTACGAGGAAGTTGTCTGCGTAGGAAGCATTGCCGAGCTCAAAGAGCTGAGTGGGTATACCGGCTCGCTAGATGACATCCACCGAGACAAGATTGATGGGATCACAATTCCTTCCAAGAAAGGAAAGGGACAGCTACGCCGTATTGACGAAGTTTTCGATTGCTGGTTCGAGTCAGGCAGCATGCCGTACGCCTCTAACCATTTCCCCTTTGAGAATTCCGAAGAGTTTCATAACGGAAACTTCCCAGCTGATTTCATCGCCGAGGGACTCGACCAAACCCGTAAGCATTGCATTTCCCACTGAAGTTATAGAGCATTGACTTGGATTTTGGAGGCATCTTATCGAGGTACCGTTGCAGCTAACTGTGTCTGACTCTAGGTGGCTGGTTTTACACGTTGAGCGTTCTAGGAAATAAGCTTTTTGGCGTCTCGCCATTTCGCGCAGTTATTGTAAATGGCTTGGTTTTGGCGGAAGACGGCAAGAAGATGTCCAAGAGCTTAAAGAACTACCCGGACCCCAAAACTGTTATTGATCAGTATGGCTCTGATGCCCTACGCCTCTACCTCATCAACTCTCCCGTCGTCCGCGGCGAGCCTTTGCGCTTCAAGGAATCAGGAGTTAAGGAGGTGGTGGCGAAGGTGTTACTGCCTCTCTGGAACAGCTACCGCTTCTTTTACGAACAGGCAGTCCTGTTCAAGAAGACAACCGGCAACGACTTCGTCGCTCAGTTACCAGAAACAACCAATGTTATGGACCGATGGATTCTTGCAGATTGCCAGAGCATGTTGCAGTTTATTGATCAAGAGATGGCCGGTGAGTCTATAACCTGTCCGAAACATAGTGTTCGCTAACCCTATAGGCTATCGTCTATATACCGTCGTACCGCGTCTACTTCTAGTTATTGACAACTTAACGAATTGGTACATTCGCTTCAACCGGAAGAGGCTCAAGGGCGCTGCTGGCTTGGATGTTAAGGACACCAAGGCAGCACTGGATACGCTATGCCAAGTGCTATTCACTTTGGTTCGGGCTTTGGCACCTTTCACGCCCTTCATTACTGAGCACATCTACCGCCTCCTACAGCCGTACCTTGGCAACGCTCTTGCGGATTATCCCAACTCTAAAAGTGTACATTTCCTTGCGTTCCCGACTGCGCAAGAGTCACTCTTCGACGAGGTGATCCAAAGAAAGGTCTCTGCCATGCAAAAAGTTATCCAGCTGGCAAGGACTGCGAGAGAGCGTAAAAATATCCAATTGAAGACCCCCTTGCTCACCCTCGTAGTTATTGCCGACGAACAGCAACTCAGCGACATCGAGGAGCTGCAAACTTATGTCAAGGAGGAGCTCAATATCCGAGACGTGATCCTGACAAACGACGAGGAACGATACGGTATTAATCTCGAGGCGAAGGTTGATTGGCCGACTCTGGGCAAAAAGCTGAAGCGCGACGCCCAGGTCGTCCGCAAAGCGCTGCCAGACCTAACGCAGGAGCAGCTTAGACAATATCTAAAAGAGAAGAAGATAACCATCAAGGGTATTGAGCTTGAGGGGAACGATATCAATATCGTGCGGGTCGTAGCTAAGGATAACCCTAATATCGTAAAAGATGAAGGGGTACAATACGAACCAGCCTTCTTGGAAGATATGATCATTCTCTTAGACACGGCATCGCACCCGGAGCTCATCGACGACGGAATCGCCCGAGATGTCATGACCCGTGTGCAGAAAATGCGGAAGACGGCCGGACTGGTTCCAACTGATGACGTCCGCATGCAGTATAGCGTTGTTTCGAATCCCGACGATATTCAATTCGAGACGTTGGTATCCTCCCGGCGATCTCAGTTTGAAAGTACCGTACGTGGGCCATTGGAGCCTATTGCGTCCGAAGGGGCGGCGGAAACTGTCATACTAGAGGAGGAGCACGTTATTAGCAACCTAACCCTATTGCTAAGGTTGTGTCGGCTTTAATTAGACTAGATAGTGAGACTATAGAATCAGCTGGGCTACGTGACCCCAGAAATTGATGAAATAGAACAAAACAAAAAGGTTGACCTCAAGAGCCCACGGACACATTTCCAACAGCTGAAAGTGATCACAATAGAATGCATTCTCCTTTGAAAGGATGTGTATGTATTTGTGATTATCTATATTATCTCGTAGATATGAGGCTTGTTCGTCAACCGTCAATTTTTTTTTTACAGTAATCCGAGTAATACTATACTCGGGGTTACTTATGAGGTAGATGATAAGATCTGAGGGCTTATCTCGTCGGTCTGTATAATAGTTCTGTGTACACTTAATAAAGTGAAAGACCGTGATATCCAATGCTGAAGAAGCAGCTGAAAATATAAGCTTGAGAAGATGGGGGTAATTATGGAATTTGAAACAAATTGTGTTTGAAGGTGAGCTGTACTATCGAGTTTGGCTGTGCCTTCGAGGCGTAAAACAGGAAAGCTAATATCATATATGACCTGGAAGGTTGAGAAATAATCTGACGTGTTCATAACGATGCCGATTCTTACCCTTTTTATGTTATCAAGATCGAAAAAGGAATAAAATCCTACCTCGTGAAGTGATCTGCCCGGTATGTCCGTACGTGTACGCGGATATGTAGGTAAAGGCAGGGGTGGCTTTGAAGGTCGGGGATTTGTTCTGAGACAGCAGATATTGATTGGCCGAATTCTAAGGAGTATCCGGACTACCCCTGAAGTTACCTATATATACATGTATTAATATGTACCTCCTGTCTTGGGTAATATCAATGTACCTAATTCCTCCCAGCGGTACTTGCGTACGTACGTACGGCTACGCGATCGAAATTGTTGAAGAGAACTTTATTCACCGTTAGGAGGATGCTAAAAGGGGCTGTCCTGTTTCTGAGTCTTGCACACGTCTCGCAAGAAATTCTTGAAGGATAACTGTCTCACCACTACTTACGTTTGTCTTTGCGGAGTGTAAAATACACAGATGCTTAATGTCTTCTTAGTCGATGGGAATTGATCAAAGAAAAGGTGCCTAATAAGAGAATAGTAATAATAGCAAGGTAGATCTGGGGGGTTTTAGCCTTTTGGGAATCGGTCCCCGAGACAGCGCGCTATCGCATTGGCCCTTATTCGCATTACGGTTCAGATTACACACACAGACTCATGCTACCTACTTACAAGCGACGCTGTAGGCCGGCGGGATCATCAGTTTAGTACCTCTTTTTGGTTGCAGAGTCATAGCACAAGCGTCTATTGCGCGGCTTGCGATAGGACTTGGGTATAGGACTTAGTGTTGCATCTCGAGGAAAACACATGATGCCACGATCATCACCGCCGCTATTATCATCATCATCATCAGCAACAACGGCAACACCATCCTCAGGACTACGATCCCCACCGTTACCGGCATCGACGCTGCAACCCTCTGTTTTTTCTCAACATTACCAACGACGACAACAGAGAAGTATTTCGGAGATAAGTACGGCGAAGAGTAATATAAATCAAAGTAAAATATTGGATTACAATCGCGGACTGAACGGAGTGGATGGCGACGGTGAAGGTGGAGATGGAATGATAATAAAGGGAAGAATAAACGGAAGCACTAGCGGGACTTTAAAGTCTAGCGCTATCCGAATCGCCGGACACGGGCCGAAAAGCGAAACCACCGAAGATACGGCTCAAGTAGGAGAAGCAGGAGCAGGAGCGATAAAAGCAGGTACGACTACGACCGCGACTGCTGCGTTAATTTTAAGCGCCACTAGTCAAAACCAAAGCCAATCTCGTTCTCAATCTCGTCCCCAAACTCGTCCACAATTGGACTCGAATCTCCATCATTCTGCACGAGACTCTGCACGAGAGCCTGCACGAGAGCCCCATCAAAACCCCCATCCCCTAATTCGTCCTAGTCGGCCGCCTAGAATTTCATCGCTTCTACCGCCGCCTCGTAGCGCCAACACGAGAACAATATCCCCTGCGATTCCGCCCGAGCGTTCAACTGATTCAGCTTTAAATCACTCGCGCAACCATTCGCGATCTAGTAGCACTGGCGGCGCAAGCGACGGCTTTCGAAACCTCAATCGCTGGTCCACGTCCACTACATCGAGCCTAGCTTCTAACCACGATCACGACACCCCCCAACCCCAACCCCAGTCTCAGTCTCAGTCCCAGTCCCAATTCCAATTCCAATCTCAGAAATCGCAACAACAACAACGACAACAACAACAACAACAAAAAGTAAAAGAAAAAGAAAAAGAAAAAGATCAACAACAGCAACAAAAACATCAGGCGTTACAATCTCCACCGCGGAAACTAGGCAGAAGACGACCTTCTAAAGATACGAGCGCGTCACCGAGAACCCGAAGACCATTATCGCCGCCCCCACCGCCTTCTTCTTCTTCCGCGCCACCGAATCTACCCCCTATCATCTCCCTTCCCCCTCTCGACGCGAATCCCGAATCGGTTGTCCGCACCAATTCTCCTGCGCAATCCATAATTCGCGCCAATTCGGCCGAACCGCAAGAAAACGCTTGGAATGACCCTACCCGCCCGAACATAGTCGCCAAAGGAAATTCTGCATTGCTTCCATCAGCGCCCCTTGTCCGTGATAGTATGTCGGAGAGGGAGAGGAAGAGTCATGCAAGAGGTCGCTCTTCAGCTACGAGAGGCAGCACCGACTCGACTCGGGTCAACCGTGGTAGCAAACCGTCGCAGAAAGCCATGTTGTCTAAAGCGCTAGGAAAGGCAAACGCCGCAGTCCAACTGGATAATGCTCAGAATTACGCTGCAGCCCGGGATTCCTATCTAGAAGCTTGCGATCTCTTACAACAAGTACTTGCTAGGACAAATGGCGAAGAGGATAGGAGGAAGCTGGAGGCCATTGTAAGTTCACTGTTATATTTTCGTCATCAACCATTGCTACTATTTCTGAAATTGACTCATTTTCTTGCAGCGACATACGTACACTAGCCGAATAGACGAGCTGGACGAGTTACTCCCTGCATATTTACAAAGTGACAAAGCCTTACCCGCAAGGCCGGAGAGCGTTGATGACTATCATGGGGTTCAGATCGAATTGGCCGGCTCCGAAGATTCTGCAGAAGGCTCGGGAGGTGCGAGGATAAATATGGGCGAGTCTCCCCCTCCGGACGCGTTCCGTCTTCGGTCCTCTCCAAATCCCAACCAGGGCCAGCCGCTGCTCCAATCCTCCTTCTCGGGGTCCCGGATGCGCCGAAACTTCGAAGGACCCTCTCTCAGTTTACCCCAGCAGGATGGAGGCTTTGTACCTGCCCCATTATCACCTCGAAGGCCGGTTTCGCCTGCTAAGCCTCCAACGCCGGAGCCCATTGTGCGGCAGGATTTCTCTTGGCCGGCTAACCGCCTAGCACCCGAGAACGGCGCGAGGAGCCATAAGCGCAATCTCAGTCACGAATCGGGATCGTGGCTGGATCCGATCGACGAATCAGGTGGTTCGACTTCGTCCTCGATTCACTCAAGGACCTCGTCGCTAGGGGTCAGGAGGAAACACCTCCGCCATACCAGCGGTAACACGGAGGCGGAGTTCGACGCTGCCTTAGACGCCGCAGTAGAAGCTGCTTACGACGAAGGATTTGAACCTATGGAATCGTACGACACCGTCTACGATGATAACAATGATTCCGATACCGTTGATGTATTGACCAACGCGAGGCGCAAGGTAGAAATTGCTAAGGAACGAGTCCGACAGACTGAACGTGAGGCGGCGATCGAACTAGCCCGGGAACGGGAGCGCCAAAGGCAGATGTCAATAGATCAGAAATCTCAAATCTTTAGCGGAGATTTCTTTGATGCTAACGATTCAGACGAAGAAGAACGTGTCTTGGAAGAGATGGCGAGGAGATCCGTGATGGAAGAATTCTCTCCTAAACATCGGTCCCAGCATTCACAATCTAGGATCCCTAGAGAATCTGATTCTAGCGGAACGACCTCTCGGACGTGGCATAGTTCGGTCGGCTCGAATCCTCCTACTTCCACAACTATATTATCAACAGTAACCGAGATGCCATTACCTGGAGCTTCTTCTAAAGGTTCAGCGCCGTCGTTGCCGTCCCCACCACGATCGCTTGCGCAAGGCTCCCCGTCACAGACCTCCCCAACGTCTGGTGTGCGCAACCGCCGCCTCTCTGGGCAAAACCCTAAGCAGCTCAAGATTGAAACCTCTAAGCTCAGTCAACCGCCATCTATCTCTACGTCTACGCTTCAGACAAAGACAGCCAGCAGTTTTATTGCTCAACAAAGACAGGCATTGTCGGCGACAACAACGCGACCCGGACCTTTTTCCATGCGTGCACCCTCATCACCTGTTAGAGGTACTAGCCCAGCAGGGGTCACGGCTCCTCCAAGCCCACCGGCGAACTTAGCAGGTCCCCAAGATCTTGAGGAACATCGAACCGACTCACCGTCCTCTGTGCGGCCTGGTATACACAAGAACTTCTCGTCTTCGAGTCTAAAGTCTCTGAGGACTCGCCAATTTTCCGTGTCGCATATCGACGACTCGGACCTCTCGCCCAACACGCCTCTTAGCCACCAAATTTCGAACACATCGATCTCTCGCCAGGCCATGATTCCCGCATTGCCTACACCGCTGGCAGCTGCCTTTCACGAGCGAATGGCGGGCGGCGTTGGTGGTCTACACCTCTTCGATTCCGATTTTCATTCTCCGACTTCCCATTCTCCTAACCAAGTTTACCATAGCCACCACCTTCCTCACAACCCTGACGTGCCAATACCTCTAGAACCGTGCCCGTCTGATACCATGCTCCGGCCTTTCTGGCTCATGCGGGCCCTTTACCAGACCCTTGCTCACCCTCGAGGTGGATATATCAGCACTCGGTTATTTATTCCTCGGGATGCGTGGAAAGTCAAGGGTGTTAAGCTGCGCGCTCTCGAAGATAAGATTGCGCAGTGTGACTTCCTAACCGCGGCGCTTCTCAAGCTCGCAAGGGTAGATAGTAATGACGCGGATGCGGTGCTCGAAGAGATGCAGAGTTTTGAGAATATTCTGGAGACGGTTCAGACGACACTTACACGCAAGCTCGGTAACGAGGTGGGCACACAAGGCATGACGCCTTTCCGAGAGGACAGGGAAGCCGAGGCTGCGCCGCCGGTGCCACGTAGCGCGAGCGTTAGCGGAAAAGGAGGTGCATTTAGCTGGCGAAGGCTGAGAAACAAGGGCTCGGCTGCTAACATGACCAACGCATACGGGGGGAAGACTAACAGTAGTGGAAGCGGCGGGCCTGGCGTAAGCGAGAGAGATATTCCGAGCTCGATAGGATCGGGATCTATACCAAGTTTACCCTTGACAGCCCACCCAAGCAGTCGGCCTGCGAAGAGGGATCCCGCATCGGTCAATTTTGACGGGCCGTACGGAAACTATATGGCGAGCTTAGCACGATTGTTTGACGCTGCACAGACGGTTGGTAAGTACTCCAACAGCTCTACGTTTCCCTTCATGTATACTGGATACTAACGATTTACCAGATCAAATTGCGCGTCAAGTTGAGGACCCTGGCTTACGCCATGCGGACAAAACTCAAGTCGGGCTCGAGCTTTGCACCAGACACGCGGCTGAATTTTTTGGGTTTTATATCTGCCGGTTCGTACTGGCTGACCTGGCGATGCTGCTTGATAAGTTTGTCAAGAGGGGCAGCGAATGGGTGCTTACATAGAGATGCACACGATGCGGATAGCTCCTGCTTATATCAGGAGTAGATTATGTTGGTTTCTATCGATATTCTAGGGAAAACGTGTGACGAAGGGATGACGGTGCTAGGAAGCACCCACCGGGATGGTGTCACAATGAGATTCCCCGAAATAAGTTTGGTGGTTATGATCAGCGCTTGATAGGAAGAGGAGGATTTACGGGATTGCGGCCTGGTACTGGTCGATATTCGCGAGGAGCGCAACTATAAGTTCGGACTTGCGAACTAAATGGCCGAGGAAGGGTTCATGTTGGCGACACCATATACGCGCCCAACTTTCTTTAACGTGTATTTCAAAGGCGCTGGATTATATCCCCTGGCTGGTCTTATGACTTGATGTAAGATACCATAGGTCATTTACTGTCTGATCTTTGCTTCAGTTCGCCAAGCGATGTATACATGGGCGACGGAGCACTTGTCAGGATTCTAGATCGCGTCGCGTGTGTTATATAGAGGCGCGACGACGACACTCTATAATTGAACTTTTTCATTCAGGGGGGGCGCGCTGTAAATCGCGCCTCATTCATATTAAGTCATTAGTCTCGATTGGTTTGGATTTTGTTGGAATATGTTTATAGCGTTTGACAACATATATCGACGGTATCTACGAACGCTCCAGAGATATTACCATCACCGCTTCTCTCCCCCTGTCCAGGTGGGTATACATCACGCCGTAGCCACCTCCACAATCGTCTTGTAAAATTGCGCCGGATCATGCGCAAACCGTCCCAAAAACAGCCCGTCCACCCCATCCTTCAGCCGTGCGAAAAGCCCCGGCCCAGCACTCCCCCCATACAGGATCCTCGTGCTCCCCTTCCGACTCCGCACACACTCCAGGCCCCGGATCGCCCGCGTAACAGCAACCACGTGCTCCGCGCCCGCGGGCTCCGCCGCACCGATCGCCCAGACGGGCTCGTAAGCTAATACCACCTCCGCGGTGGTAGGGAGCGCGGCGAGCACAGCTTCGACTTGCGTTCTGCATTCGTCAATGGCGACTCTAACACCTGCTTCCCCGTCTGCCTTGGAGCGCTCCCCTATGCAGATTAACGGGATTAAACCGTTCCGTGCCGCGGCCGCCGCTTTACGCGCTGTATCAGCGTCTGTTTCGCCGAAGATACGGCGGCGCTCGGCGTGGCCTAGTTCTACGATGCGGCAGCCTACTTCGGCGAGGACAGTAGGAGATACTTCACCAGTGTAGGCGCCGGTGTCTTCGTAGAAGGCATCTTGGGCACCGGGGAGGATGGGAATGGGGGAGGGGGAGTGTTGGAGTTGGGTGATGACGGAGGTGAGGGTTATGTGGTCGGGAATTATGAAGATGTCGATGTTGTTTAGGGGGGTTGAAGGGGAAGAGAGGATTTGCAGTAGCTCGTCGACGTATTGCTTTGTCCGGGTGGCAGAGAAGTACATCTTTGTGGAGACACCGACGATGCGGCGACGGGGTGTGGGTGCGGGTGCGGGTGAGGTCATGGTTGGTGTGATGTAATAATATAATGTAATGTAGTGTAACAATTATCGATTTTGGTTTGAGGCTAAATTCGAAGAGAGGCGTTAAAATAAACAGGATTACGGGTTACATGTAAAAGTTGTCGAGATTAGCGAGGCGGCTTTATAGTGTTGAATCTGGAAATCCGGTATGTGGGTTCGAGAGTTACCTCTAACCTAGAATCTTTCTTAGGTATTGTACATGTACGCAGGTACCTCTTAAGCTACAGGTTTACTTACATGTGAGTTCCTGACTTGTCTGTCTTATGAGATCATATGTTATACAGCTAATGCATTACTTAATCCCAAATTCCGAAAATAATATGTCAACAGTCACCGAAGATATGTATGGTCCCTTAACTTTGTTCGACTACCTACGTCTCGGCTCGGGTAGATGCAGTCTACCGCTAGCGTTCCGTTTATATTTATCTCTTTAAGCTTTCGGGTATCCGGACCAGTAAGTCACAGTCCCATCAGACTAGACTATCTTACATAGGTATTTACCCGAGTCTGCGTTTGATATAACCAGTGCACACTTAGTTGACTTATAAATATTAGGCTGGACTACTCTATCCCCCCTTTACAGCAAGTAGTAGATAATAGAAAATCCCGCATGACATATGTCCCCTAGATGAATAGCGCGTTCTAGTTTACAGCGATTTCTCGAGGTCGCTGATAACATCTACCTTGGCGGCGCTCGCGCTCTTCTCGTCAAATACGTAACCCAGCCACTCCTTAGCTAGTCTGCGCGCGAGCTCCAAGCCGATGACCCTCTCACCCATACAAAGGACTTGGGCATTGTTGCTTAGTACGGCTCGCTCTACAGAGAAGCTGTCGTGGGCTGTGACGGCGCGGACGCCCTTGATCTTGTTCGCCGAGATGGCAACTCCTAGGCCTGTACCGCAGATGAGCAGGGCCCTGTCAACCTTGCCATCAGCTACGAGCTGTGCTGCGGCCGCTGCTCGGTGCGGGTATGCTGTCTTGTCATCTGCTGAGAGACTGCCAACGTCTACGATAGACTCGACGCGGGGGTCCTTTTCGAAATCCTCCTTGATCTTGCTCTTGTAGCCAACACCGGCATCCTGTGTGAGTGATGCTTAGTATCGTGATGAAATGTTACATATGAGTGGGCGAGTGGGAGAGTGGATGAGTGAGTATAAGTGAAAAATATAAGTAAGAGAAATAAGAGAAATGAGAGGTATCGAAGGGAAAACAAAGAAAAGAACTCACGTCGGCTCCGATGGCTACCTTCCACCTGGGTGAGGCGGCCATTGTCGTAGTTTCCTATCGTCTAGCGGGGATGTAATGAAAGTGTATGTGATTAGGCAGTCGGGACTTGGAGACTTCCAGGAACTCAACGGGCGTTGTTCTACTCCTGCGACTTGTGATACTCGGCAGGACTTAAGAAGTAAGGAAGAGAGAGTGTGTGACTTCCTATTATTCGATACCGTTGCTTCTTATTACTCGGTACACTAGACCCCCTACTGCCTTGTTGTAAGACGTCTTAGATAGTACCTCCCCTGGAAAGCTACATAAAACAAGCACATTCTTTCTGTTTGTCCTAATCACTCCTTCCCAACCGTTGTCTCAAACAGACGTTCTTCCCCCAAACCGGTCAGAGTGACCTTCCAAGTGACCCAAGTGACCCAAGTGGGGTCGCTGGAATATGGTACAGCTGTGGTGTTAGTGGTATAAGTGTATAGGCAACTTCTCGGATTACCCAAAAGGGCAATCCGATGGCAAATATCTGAATTTACCCCTACGGTTCGCGCTTCGCATTTCTTTCTCGGCATAGTCATTCGTAATACACCCTTTCTTCACCCCTCCTTCGGTAATCATGCGGACTACGAATTTTGTCAATACCGTCGATACCTATTCCCCCTAGGTCCCCCTAAGTCCCCCTGGGTCCCTCTATGTCTCCCCTGCACTTGAGTTAGCCCCATGGGGAGAGGGCCTGGACGCCTAAATGGAACCTAGATGAACTTGGATGGAACCGTCATTTACGAAATTAGGAGCCTTGTTGCCAAGTAATTTCGGAGAAGGTCGTTCAAGCTATAGGCGATGCGGTATATCATCGTCAGCGAACACAGGAGCTAACACTATGGCTCGATGGATCGATGGGTCAAAACCTGTGGTGTTGCCTCTTACGGCAACCCTTTGCGTTCCCCATGTGTTCCCATACGTTCCTATACGTTCCCATACGTTCCATAATCCTGAATCTCCATAATCCTGATCTTTCACGTAATAGAACCAGTCTTATTCGGAAACCCCTTTTCTGAGCTCGAGCTTCTACTGCCTTTGTTCGACGTGATAGAAAGAGCCGCTCGCTCGCCGAGTTTTCACGAGTATACATTGTCCTGCAATCTCACTTCAGTCTCTGCTAACTCCCATCTCATACCCATTCATCAACACCGTGGAAATGTCAAAACGCCACTTATATCATTCCTCGGATGGACTTGTTACCAAGTCTATTAGAGGTCTCATTTCCTACAACCCGTTACTCAGCCTGGATGAACCTAACCGAGTGGTATTTGACACGGCATACAATAAGTCTAATGTCGCTATAGTCAGCGGTGGTGGTTCCGGTCATGAACCTGCCTGGTCCGGTTACGTTGGTCAAAACTTGCTCGCCGCCTCTGTGGCCGGCGACATATTTGCTTCTCCCAGTACGAAGCAGATTCTTTCCGCTATCGACAGAGTACCTTCTGAAAAAGGTACTATCTTAGTTATTACCAATTATACCGGCGACTGCCTGCACTTCGGGTTGGCAAACGAGAAAGCCATTGCCAAAGGCCACAAGTGCAGAATGATTATCTGCGGAGATGACGTGTCCGTTGGAAGGAAAGGTAGCCTGGTTGGTCGGCGAGGTCTAGCCGGACAGTTAGGCGTTCTTAAAGTACTGGGCGGTGCTGCTGGTGCCGGCGGCTCTCTCGACCAGGTGTACGATCTAGGCGTTGCGTTCTCGCAGCAGATCGTTTCCATCGCAGCCACACTCGACCACTGCCACGTTCCCGGACGAGCAGAGTTCGCGATGCTGGGAGATGACCAAGTGGAAATCGGTACTGGGCCTCACAATGAACCCGGCTATCGGAAGCTCTCACCTGCACCGTCAGCGGAGGAACTCGTTAAGGTACTATTAAAGTACTGCTTAGATGAGACAGACCCCGAGCGGGGCTACGTAAAGTTCAAGCCAGGGGACGAGGCCATTCTTCTTATTAGCAACTTCGGAGGCATGTCGTATCTCGAGATGGGAGCGCTGCTAGACGATTTGCTTGAACAGTTGGCGAACAATTGGAATATTGTGCCGGTGAGGATAAGCAATGGCTTCCTCGAGACGTCTCTGAACGCGCCGGCATTCTCGATTTCCATCGTCAACGCGACGGCCGCCGCCGAGAACTGCTCATACTCAGTCGAGGAGATCAAGTCCTTTTTCGACGCTAAGACCAACACATACTGGGAATCCATGACCGGTTCCCAAGCGATACGGCGTAGCAGAAAAGAGCAGTTCGTGCAGCCGCCTCCCGAGCCTCACAAGGTGATTGAGGAGGGAAAGGACCTGAAAATTGACCCCGCTCTGCTGGATAGGATGCTTCGTAGCGCTTGCAACGAGTTAATAGTCGCGGAGCCCGATCTGACTAAGTGGGACACGATCATGGGCGATGGCGACTGCGGTGAGACGTTAAAAACAGGCGCAAGCCATCTCATCGCCGCGCTCGACAAGAAGCTTGCAGCCGAAGGTTCCGTCATCGCTGTGCTCCAAGAACTCGAAGAGATTGTCGAGGGTAAGATGGGCGGTACTCTGGGCGGTATCCTAGGTATCTTCTTCGTCTCGTTAAGGACGGCTCTCCAAGAGAACGTTGCCATAGCTAAGACCGAAGGGCTTCCGAAGCTGTGGGCCAAAGCCGTCCAGACGGCCTTGGATAACCTGAGCCGATACACACCGGCTAAGGTCGGCGACCGGACGGTCATGGACACCCTAATTCCATTCGCGGAGGGTTTGCGCACGGGAGATCTTGCGGGTGGCGTCGAGGGTGCAATCAAGGGCGCCGAACTTACCAAGACGTTGGCGCCAAAACTCGGCAGAGCGACTTATGTCGGCGCAGATAGCAGCAAGGAGCTGCCTCCGGACCCCGGTGCTTGGGGTGCCATGGTCGCTATAAAGGGCTTACAGTCGGGTATATAAGTGTAACTATATTGGCCGTGGTATACCTATACCTGAGTATTTAAAGTGTATATGTTGTCGTCGGCATGTCATGTACCTACATAAGCTAGCGAATACCTTTTATTTTTGGGTATATTTGGGTGTATTTGGGGGATAGTAATTTTATATATTATATATTGTTAAAATATTAAAGTATGAAATGAGGTATTATGAAGTTTGGTGGTCAGATTTTTATTTTGACCTGCTTGCTTACTGCGGATAATAAGACAAGACAAGACAATTATCCATGTCTATAAAACCCCGATATAACTAATGTTTGTTTAATACTCTAAACTCTCTCCCTTACTCCTCTTCACGCCTCTTCACGCCTTACCGGCGCTACCGAGCCAATGCATATACTGTTCGATAGCAGCCTGCATCCTGTCGGTACCCGCCTCGATGACGCTGGTGAGGGGCTTCCCCTGCATCTCCTCCTGCACGGCGGCGTAGTGTTTGTTCATGCCCTTATTGATGTTGACCTTAGACACGCCCGCCTTGATACATCGCTTGAAGATGTCCTCGGTAAAGGGGTCCGCGCCGTGTAGGACTAATCGCACACGGTCGCCTACTGCCTTGTTGATCGATTCCAATCGCTCGTACTCTAGCTGAATCCCCCGTGGCCCGTATTCCCCGTGCACGTTGCCGAAGGCCGGTGCTAGCATCTCGATACCTGTGGCCACGAACTCTTCTGCCTGTTCGGGAGTCGTTAGAATTGCTTCTAAATCGGCTGTTTCCGCCACGCCGTCTTCTCCACCCTCGATCCTGCCGGGCTCGGCCTCAGTAGTAATCCCACGCTCGTGACAGTACACGGATAATTCCCGGGTCAGTGCCAGATTCTCATCTTTCTCGTAGTGGCTCATATCGCACATGATGCTATCGAAGCCATCTTCGATATCAGCCGCGCGCCGCACTAATTCCGGCGTTTGAGCGTGGTCCAAGTGTAGACTGACGGGGACCTTGGCGTTATGTGCAGCATCGGCGGCGGCGCGCACGAGAGATGCGCCGGCGTATTCGATGGCCCAGGGGAAGAGGAGGACCATGGCTGGGGATTGGGCGGCTTCGGCAGCGCGGACGGTGGCGATTATTGATTCAATGTTATAGCAGCACATGCCTGGCACAGCGTACCCGCCATCGCGGGCTTTGTTGAGGATTGCTAGGGAGCGGTTTTTGGAGAGTTCTGGGCGGACCATGTTGATTGTGGTTTTGGTTGGAGTTGATTTGCGCCGAGGGATGTGTAAGTGGGAGATGTGTAAGTGAGAGATGTGTAGGTGGGAGATGTGCAAGTAGTTTGTTTTATTTACTACTATTCAGGTAGTTAGTACCTATGTGAACCATATAACTAAGTGGTTATAGATAGTTAGTAACTATACCATAGAGCGAACAAGTAAACTAGTATATTATTATCTTATTAGTCTTAGTTTCTAGGTTACCTAGTTATGTTAGGTATGTATGTATCTATGACCACACACGGAATTATACCGTCGCGAGCCACCGCACACCGGCATCTCTCCATCTCCAAGAATGAATTAAGAGGCGTGCCGCTGTAATTAGTGGAGAAATAAACGTGGGGTCACTTACCCATTGACTCGCTCTTATTAGTGGTGATAAAAACCTGCAACTTTACAACTTTGCCATTTTACCGAGGGAGACGGCGCAGAGGGATCAAGGCTATTCGCCGGTATAGTTATCAACCGAGCCATCTCGGTGTAACCATATGGTGTGTGTAGATGAATGTATGTATACTTCGTACATGTCTACCCCGTTTCTACTAGTGGGCTAATAGACGACTGGACGACTGGACGACTGGACGACTGGACGACTGGGCGAGTAAGTGGATGAGGCAGGCGGAGAAAGGGGGCTAGGGTCAAATAATAATAGTAAAGGCTGAAGTGACGCTCCCCGCCTCCGTACCCGTCTCCATTCCCGGTAAAGATGGGGGGCAGGCACCTTATACACTTCAGCCGCTGCTAGGTCCTATATGGATTGTACTTAGTCCGAGTTGACAAGTCGTCTTCAAATTACCGGCCGTGTGGAAGACGGCAGGCTAAGCTTTGTTTTTGCTTTTTTATTTCATCTACGTGTACATTACTTGTATACTCGTTTTTATACGGAGTCTACAACAAGAGGATAGATAATATTCTAAGCAATTTTTTGTCGAGTAGTGTTTAAGTTGTAGACATGGCGAGCGCAAAACCAGAAGTCTCGTTCATCGGCCTAGGAGCCATGGGCTTCGGCATGGCGACCAACTTGGTCAAGCAGGGGTATAAGGTGACAGGGTTCGACGTCTGGCAGCCGACGCTGGATAGGTTCCAGGCTGCTGGAGGCAGTATTGCTACAACGCCGGCGGAGGCTGTTAAAGGAAAGGACTACTGCGTGTGCATGGTAGCGACGGCGCAGCAGGCTCAGGCCGTGCTCATTGAAGGTGATAATGCGGCACTCTCCTCGTTACCTGAAGGGGCCGCTCTGCTACTCTGCTCGACGGTGCCGTGCGAATATGTCCAGGCTCTAGAGAAGCAACTTACCGAGTTGGGACGGGGTGATATTCGTCTAATCGACGCTCCTGTCTCGGGAGGCGCTGCAAGGGCTGCCGATGGTACCCTGTCAATTATGGCCGGAGGCTCGGACGAGGCAATTGAGAAAGGCCGCTTTCTCTTACAGGAGATGTCCGACCCAAAGAAGCTCTACATCGTCCAGGGCGGAGTCGGCGCCGGAAGTAATATGAAGATGTGCCACCAGGTCCTTGCGGCTAACCAAATCCTCGCCGCAAGTGAAGGATTGGGGTTTGCGAGTCACCTCGGCTTGGATCTTCACTCCACAAGCCAGGAGATTATCAAGTCGGATGCCTGGGCGTGGATGTTCGAGAACAGACTGCCGAGAATGCTCGATCCCGAATTCAAGCCTGTTGCTAGTGCCCTGACCATCATCCTGAAAGACACAGGTATTATTACCTCAGAGGCAAGACGTGCCGCATTTCCCACACCCATGACAAGCATAGCAGAACAAGTATACTTCTCCGGTCTCGGTCGCGGGTACGGCCCAGACGACGACAGTAGTCTAATCAGACTATACACGGAAGGCAAAGGGAAGATAGGACCGGTAAAAGGGCTAGCTGAAAACGACGAGTCGAAGCTAGCCCTCGTTAAGGCACTATTTAGAGGAATCTACCTCTGCTCTGCCGCAGAGACTATTGCCTTCGCAAAGAGATGTAATCTAGATCTAGATCAAGTCTTCGAGCTCTGTGTAAACGCGGCCGGAGGAAGCGCGATATTGCAGACGGTTGGACCGGACATCATTAAGCTTGCTCGAGGAGGACAGCTATCGGTTGGGGATAGCCAGGGGTTAAGGGAACATGCGCAACAGCTTCAAGAGGCTGTTGAGGAGGCCCAGCGGTTAAAGGTGCCGGTGTATCTCGGTAGTCAGGCGCTTACCCTGACGCAGTTCGCGCTACACTTTTCCTCTGAAGAAGCTTCAGATGTCTCAAGAGCTACTGTTGCGAAAGCATGGGGTTTATAAGACCGATGTCTGTACTTGGTAGTATATGCTGGAAGACGCAATGTGGGCTGTAAGTAGCTAGGTATATAGTCATGTATATAGAATACACTTACTTCATAAGGAGACTGCCTGGAATAATATAATATAATATGAGAGGGTGAATATATGGGACTTACATTCAGGTAAAATTAGATGAATTTATTAAATTACTCCATGTCTGCTGACAGTGGATCGAACCCGGACGATGAAGATACCTCGGGAATCATATAATATGAATTTAACTATGGTCAAATATAGACCTGTGGTATTAGTCTCCCGTCAATCCTGAGAAGTCTGTGCTAAAAAGAACGCCATGTACCTGATTCAAATTTTTTTTTTCAGTTGCCTTTTCGTTAACCCCCCCTATTCATCCATTCCCCTTAGTAACCACTCTGCTCCTGCCTATGGTCCTCTTTCGCAGCCTCGCCCGCCTCCTTGATGGCTTGCTCGTCGCCTCTAAGCTTAGCAAAGTACTCCTTGATATCTTCGGCACCGATTGCTTTGCCACTCTCGGCGAACTGCTGAAAGAAGGGCTTGAGACGCTCCTTTAAATGGTTGTACGCCATGACGCCCTCGATCGCACGGACGCGATCCACGTTCTTGAGAGCGGACTCGCCGCGGTCGTACAGTGAGCCGCTTCCGTGAGTCGAACCTTGCTCGGATGCTCCGTCCGAAAGAGGCGGCTCGTAGGCATCTTCCTCTTCTAGAAGTTGTGGGTGAACCTTTAGATCTGGGAAGCACGAGGCGCATTTGCAAAATTGCTCGCGGAAATTCGAAGTAGTAAACAACGAGAACTGGCCACTTGGTGCAGAAGGTAGAGATGCTAACTTGCATTCTGCAGAAGATGGAACTTCGTTTTCCTTCTGATCCTCGTCTTTCTTCTCATCCTCATCCTTGACTTGTGAGGAACTCTCATCTAATTTGGTTGCAGGTGGGATATCCTGTGTCTCTTCGAACTCATTCTTAACGCGCTTGCTACGGTCGCTATCCTCTTCTGAAACATCATCATCTTCCAGCTTACGCTTCTTAGAGGATGTTTCACTGTCCTTTTGAAGAAATACTGCTGGTAAAAACCCGGGGGTTCCAGCATATCTCTTAATCCAAGGATAAGCTTCCACGCATTTATAGCATATGAAATGGTCGAACGCATCTTCGTTAGGGAATCCATCTGGTAGAGCGGGGTCTTCGTCTTCGTCTTCGTCTTCCCCTTCCTGCGCTTCCTGGTTTCCATTGGTTTGCTGTTCCGTGCCATCCTCCTGGGTCGCATCCTCGGAAATAGTGGGAAGTGTGGTATTGCCAGCACTATTGGCACCATTGGCGTTTGCTTTGGGAACGTGTGCTTTCTGCTTCTCGTACCAATTGGGTCCAAGGCCGACGAGACAGCCAGGATGATACCAATCTTCGCCGCAACCACCAGTCTCATGCGTGCCGAGACCTAGGCATTGATACATGGTGCCCACCTGTTTGTTAGGGTCGTAATCTATAGAACAGGAGCAAAAGCGATTACGGAAGTTGTGATTATATTTATTGTTGGGATCCGGCTGTTCGGAGTGAACGCCTCCTTTGGTATTGGTCTCGGAATTGATTCGAAGGGTGCACTGCTGTTCGGGAGTGAATCGCGTAGTACCGCAGTCGCAAGTGAAATTGCGCTTCTGGAAGATCTCAACTAATTCATGTTCGCCATGGCATTGGACAGAACATGAATAACACACACCGGCGGGATTATAGGGATCGGATGGATTCGCAGGAGGTGGAGTGCAAGTTAGACAAGCGAATACATTCTGTCGCAATGGTCCAAGTGGCTTGGTGCAGTTCTCGATGCTCTGTAGATAATAAACAATTAATTAATTATAATTAGTAAATTGTTGGAAACGAATACTTCGCTCAGGTAATATCACTCAGGTAATATCAAAAACTTACATAGGGAAGAGCTTCGCGAGCATCGGCTTCCAGCTGCAGCTGATCTCTAATAAAGTCGGCGGCAGTTTGAGAGTCGTCAGACTGTTGCGACATGCTCTGGGTGCGCGGGCGTGAAGAGCTGTCATTAGTTTCGGGCGCCTCCTGAGAGGTAGTCGGAGCTGATGACGGATCCATTATAATGACAAGAATGATTTGCACCAAAAAAAATAGGGAAATGAGAAGAAGAGCTTAAATATCTAACCTAAATAAAATGGTATTTGTAAACGTGTCGGCGCGCTGGAAGGGCTGTTACATAAGTAAAGGCGCCTTAGTTTATCATGAGCGCGCCGTAAATAGGTACCTAGCATATGATGTCACAGTGGGCGCTTCTCTAAAGCGATACTAATTCGCACTATACATACCTACATCAGGTTAGGTACGAGAATAAAGAACTCTTAGTCCCAAGTACCTGCTATGTATCTCGTAGTGTGTACTTAAAATCCAAGGGTGTGCATTTAGTGCCACTTTACGCGAGCTCGACGCGTAGGGACGCGACTTCCAATTTGTTTCGTCGCGCCCACCCCCACAATCCACTTTAGTCTTTAGTCCCCTTTCCCTTCATTTTCCTTCTTGGGTTCCACTCTCACTTTCACTGTCCCTCTTGTTCTCATTATCGTTTCTCTCCGCATTACCAACTATTTTCTCCAAGTGCTCTCTGATAGAGAGTAAAACAGATACATAATGAGGTGAGTTCATCCCATACCAGGACATATAACTCATATTGCATTGCATTGCATTTTCCTAACCTGCTTCCAGTTCTCCTCTACGAATGAACATGGACTCCGCAAACCGCGGTGCCGCCCCTCGTGCGAACCGCAAACGTTCCCGCACGGGCGGTGATGCTTCCTCTTCCGTTGCCGCCTCTAGTCCCATGCCCTCGTCTCCACCTGCCTTCAACATTGCTCACGGTGGTGACGATGATGACGACATTGAGGAGGAGGCTGAGGTCCAAGATGATTTAGACGACCTTGACGAGATGGCAGAAGACGATGTAGACCTGTTCCGTGAAGGTTTCGAGCGAGATTATAGAGAGAAAGACGACAACGATGCCTATGAAGGAATCGATATTGATGATGAGGGCGAATTTGATGATATCAGCCTTGGTGAGAGGAGAAGATTAGAAGCTCAGCTGAACCGCCGAGACCGAGAAGTAGCTCGTAGACGGAAAATGCCCCAGGCTTTTCTCCAGGATGAGGATGAAGATGGCGATATTGATCTAACTGCCCAACCCCGTCGCCGCCGTCATCATTACGACGAAGATCCAGACGATGAAATGGACCAGGATATTATGGACGAAGAACTTTCCCTTGAGGCCCTGCAAGATGTCAAAGCTGCCAGCTTGACCGAATGGGTGTCTCAGCCGTCAGTGCAACGCACCATCAAGCGAGAATTCAAGGCCTTCTTAACAGAATATACTGACGAGAGCGGCTCCTCGGTCTATGGTAACCGTATTCGAACCCTTGGTGAAATCAACGCCGAGTCGCTCGAGGTGTCATACGACCATCTATCCTCATCCAAGGCCATTCTCGCATACTTTCTCGCCAACGCTCCCACCGAAATGCTTAAGCTCTTCGACGACGTAGCCATGGAAGTCGTTCTACTCCATTACCCCGACTATGAGCGCATCCACTCTGATATCCACGTTCGCATCTTCGACCTACCCGTTCACTATACTCTTCGCCAGCTGAGACAGTCGCATCTCAACTGCCTCGTGAGAGTGAGCGGTGTTGTTACTCGGCGAACTGGTGTTTTCCCGCAGCTGAAATATGTCAAAGTCGACTGCACTAAATGCGGTGTGACACTGGGCCCCTTCCAGCAGGAATCTAACGTTGAAGTCAAAATTTCATTCTGTCAGAACTGCCAGTCTCGTGGCCCCTTCACCTTGAATTCGGAAAAGACTGTTTACCGTAACTACCAGAAGTTGACACTCCAGGAATCACCTGGGACTGTACCTGCTGGCCGCTTACCTAGACATAGAGAGGTTATCCTGCTCTGGGATCTGATTGACAAGGCGAAGCCTGGGGAGGAGATTGAGGTTACCGGTGTCTATAGGAACAACTATGATGCCCAGTTAAATAATCGTAATGGGTTCCCTGTTTTTGCTACGATTCTCGAGGCAAATAATGTTGTCAAAGCGCACGATCAACTTGCTGGGTTCAGGCTTACCGAAGAGGACGAGCACGAAATCCGCAAACTTTCTCGGGACCCCCAAGTCATCGATAAGATAATCAACTCCATAGCACCTAGCATCTACGGGCATACCGATATCAAGACTGCTATTGCCTTGTCTCTTTTCGGTGGCGTCGCAAAGATAGCCAGGGGTGAACATCATGTGCGAGGAGATATTAATGTTCTATTGCTTGGTGATCCGGGTACAGCCAAGTCTCAGGTCCTGAAGTACGTAGAAAAAACCGCGCACCGAGCTGTTTTCGCCACTGGTCAGGGAGCCTCTGCCGTTGGTCTTACGGCTAGTGTCCGTCGAGACCCTTTAACCAGTGAATGGACATTGGAAGGCGGTGCTCTGGTGCTCGCTGACAAGGGCACGTGTCTCATTGACGAGTTCGACAAGATGAATGATCAAGATCGAACATCTATCCACGAGGCTATGGAACAGCAAACCATCTCCATTTCGAAGGCGGGTATTGTTACCACCCTACAAGCTCGATGTGGTATAATTGCGGCAGCTAATCCGATCGGTGGCCGTTACAACTCTACGATTCCTTTCTCATCCAATGTCGAATTGACTGAGCCTATCTTGTCGCGTTTTGATATTCTTTGTGTCGTGCGAGATACTGTGGACCCTGCTGAAGACGAGCGTCTGGCTCGATTCATTGTTGGCTCCCACAGCCGGAGCCATCCGTCTACCCAAGCTGCTGATGGTTCCATGGAGGTCGAGCACGACTCCGAGGCGGCACAAGAGACCCAAGCGCAACCAAAGAAGGAAGGCGAAATCCCCCAGGAGCTACTACGAAAGTATATTTTATATGCACGAGAGCACTGCCAACCGAAGCTTCTGCATATGGATGAGGACAAGGTTGCGCGACTCTTTGCGGATATGCGACGAGAGTCGCTAGCTACCGGAGCATATCCAATCACTGTAAGTTGCTTCGCTTGATGCATTGAGATGACCGCACTAACTTAGCCTTCAGGTCCGTCACTTAGAAGCTATCATCCGAATCTCGGAGTCTTTTTGCCGAATGAGGCTGTCAGAGTACTGTTCTGCCCAGGACATTGACCGTGCCATTGCTGTCACTGTTGACAGTTTCATTGGTAGCCAGAAGGTCAGCTGCAAGAAGGCGCTCGCACGCGCTTTTGCCAAGTACACTTTAGCGAGGCCAGGTGCAAACGGCGCACGGAGAGGCGCGCAAACTCAGCGTAGGACTGCCGTAGCGGCTTAGACCAAGGGACTTTTTCTTGTACACGAGGTGGCTTAATGTTAGGATGTTATGAATTTATGTGGCGTCAAGAGGATGGCACTAAGATTAGGCGTTAAGCTTGGGTGATGATGATGTTGACACGGATGTGGTAATACGACTCGCACAGTTCAAGGTGTTGTCTTTACTCCGATACAGATTGCCAATTATGAATCTGTTAGAGTTATTGCGTGTCTCTACATAAGCCACGTTTTGGTATAGAAAGTTAGCTTGGAGTTGGAAAGCTAAAAACCATGAATCATAGTGTTTCGTTGGTATAAAACGAACTTTTGCGAAGCAGCCTTTTAGTCCGCTTCCACTTACACCGACTTAATATATCAGACCAAACATTTTACAAATCAAGTCTTATATATTCAATTACCCCATCAAAAGTTTTGTCCATACGTGCCACCTGACAGCTTTTGATGCAGCTGTCTGGAACTTGACACCATGCGGCAGCCAAGATTAGAAATGTATACAAAATTTTAGCTTTTATATGAAAACATTAAAATTGGATCTATTATAAGTACAAAAGCTTCTTTATACGCCTATATAACTTTTATCGTTTGAGGAGAAGATTTTGAGTTATTATGTATAAGCGAAAGTAGTGTAGTATGGATAGTACATGCGCTCGATGACCTATAGCTGTTGCCAAGCCCTGTCAAAGCTAGTCAAAAGCTAACAAGGGCTGGCCTATGGACAAAACTTTTGATGGGGACTTCCGTACTGCCACAATTTTTTCAACCAATTAGATATTTAGAATCGCCCCGCAGTTTGCGACTTTTTCCTTTGCCACTCTATCGCATAACGTCTGCAAAAGGTGCAAATGGTATAGAAAGGTCATGCAAAACGAGCTCTATCTAACGATACCAATTATCAAAACCTTTATATTGTATTGAAATAGATCAATTGATTTTACAAAAAATTCATCGGACGTGCGTTGGTGTGTGGCTAGCCAATTAGAGGCCAGATCTATTTGTGGCGTGAGTTTTGGGTATGATGGCCCCCCCTTTCCCCCGTCCGCGTTTGAGCGGACGGGCAACGCATCTAGTACGACTCTATCCAAGTAACCACGCAGTAACTCTCATCGTTTATAGCCATAGCTAATAGTTTCCAAGATATTAGCGTTGAAGTATTTTTCACGGCCCCCCTATTCTTATGTCTCCTTATGTGTGTGGATACCAGGGCTCGAAAGCCCTGGTGGATAGCCAAGAATAGTCTCATACGATGCAGCCGTCGGGTCAGGATATACTATCCCAACACTCACATTACTCCTTAAACATTATACCTAAACCAATCGCAGCTCAGATAGATATCAAAGCTTAAGCATTAAGCTTTCCCTTAGTTATGTAGATATTGACTAACGTTGGTAGGTATGAGCTGCCAAAATATCTGAAAGTTTTGATATAAGTTCCGTGCTTGCTTCCAAGCTTTCTATAGTACAACTTAAACAATGGGACGTTAGTGATAATAGCACGTTAAACTTGCGCTTGGCATGTTTATATTCCTGTTATCTAAAGTTTCTCTATTTTGGACTCCGTTCTCGGATATCTGTCTTTGATAACTATGATTTTGCCTTTTGAGCTCAGATACAGAGATAGGTTTTGTAAATCTATATAACCCTGTCTACCCTCTGCCCGTTTCTTCCTGGATTCTTGGAATGAGAGTAATCCTCAATTCATACGCGCACGACCATATAAGTCCTACTCTGATAGCATAGCTACCAGCATCCAGTTCGTCTTGCAGTCATCCTCTAACGAAGGCTCAGATTTGGCTATACAAAATCAGGTCCAACGATATCCCTACTAAATCATACCTTAGGTACCTATACCTATCACGATTTACTTTACTCTTTATTCTTCATCATGGATCTCACTAGCTCGGCCGACACGTCGCTCCAGAAGGTCATCACGACCCGCCAGTTCGTCTTGATGGCCCTCAGCAGCTCCATCGGTGCCGGTGTGCTCCTCGCTACCTACTCCAGTCTGGCAGTAGGAGGCTCCGGATCACTCCTCATATCTTTCACTGTAGTCGGATTTGCCGTGTGGATTACCATGTGCGCTCTCGGTGAGCTCTCGGCCGCATTCCCACTTAGTGGCTCCTTCTACGAATATTCAGTGCGCTTCATCTCGCCGGCATGGGGCTTTGCCATGGGATGGAACTACGTCATAAACTTCATCTTCATTGTCGTCTTCGAGCTGGTGGTCATGCTGCTTTGCACGCGGTATTGGGAACCGGACTTGCCAGCATACTATGTCCTTCCGGGGTTCATAATCGGGCTCGTCCTTGTGAACGCGTTTGGCGCAAAGTGGTATGCCGAAGCAGAGAACGTTTTCGCGGTCTGCAAGATGTTCGTTCTCACGGCTTTTATTATTGTCGCCGTCCTCATCGTCACCAAAAACATTCCGGCTGATACCCGACCCGCCGAGGAGCTCGGGGTTAACTTGTGGACGCAAAATGCATTCAGGCATGGCCCTATCGGATTTCTCTATGTCTTTATGACTGCCGGGATGGCATATGGAGGAACTGAGATGCTTGGTCTCACTGCCGCCGAGTGTGAAAAGCCTCAGAAAGTCATGCCTCTCGCTTGCAACATTGTACCATTCCGAATTATTTGGCTATACCTGGTTCCTATCTTGATGCTCGGCATGGTACTTAAGGTATCCCTTGACGACAAGGTTCAATCTGGTGGAATGAGTCCCTTGGTCGCTGCGATGGATCAAGCCAATATCCCAATACTAGGTAGCATCTTCAACGGCATCACCATCATCGCTATCTTTTCTATGGCGAGTGCTAGCGTTTTTGCCTCGTCGCGAGCTCTTCAAGCCATGTCGGCAAGAGGAATGGGGCCACGCCTCTTCGCAAAGATAAAACGGGGTTACCCAATCTGGGCACTGGCATTGGTATTCTCGATTTCGCTGCTATCGTTCATCACACTATCCAAAGACGGTGACATAGTGTTTAACTGGCTCTTGGCCCTGGCTTCTGGCTCAAACTACTTTACCTGGATTTCCATCTGCGTATGCCACATCCGACTCCGGCTTGCTATACGTAGAAAGGGGCTGGAGAATCGAGATGTACTGAAGTGGCAGTCCCCACCTGGAATCGGCGGAAGCATGATAGCGATTGTAATATTCGTCTTTGGTCTCGCAGCTCAGATTATCGCGGCGGCGAAGAGTCCGCTCCCGAGTCCCCCTCATGTTCTCTCGAGCTTTCTAGGAATTATTGTTGTTTTCATATTCTGGGCAGGATATATGGTACTCGGGAAAAGTGTGCTTTTGACTCCCCTCGATCAAATCGACCTTCAAGCTAAGGCGACGGAACCAGTTGAGAATGGCGAGAGAGTCTAAATCACTGGAAACGGAATGTCGCATAATTGTTAATGATATATATTAATATGAATAGAGGATGGTAGTAATTATTATTTATATATCTGTCTGTGTTTACTGTGATGCTTCGTCTCTCATTGAAAATGTAGATGGATGTTATGAGATGAGAGGTTTGTGGATATTGATTATGATGTATTAATGTAATTGAAGTACATGTGGTTACGCGTAGGTAACATGCCCAGGTACATGAGTAACGCGGCGCTAGAGCTGATAGTAACCTGGAGTACCTATGTACCTACCTAGGTAATCGATAAGCAAAATAACGCCTAACCGTATCCAGATTCATTTAGTGCGCAAACGACGACGGCGGCAGGGCGGTTACGACCTACTATGTATGTACTGCACTTGGCAGATACCTACACACCTACATACCCACACACACAACCCACAACCCACAACCCACAACCCACTATCCATTATCCACTATCCACTATCCACTAGCTTAAAGCTTTAGGTTGCGTAGGAGCTCCGCCTTTGTCCCCTTCCCTTTCCAATCATGAACTTCCCTCCTCAACCTTCACATCCTCTCGAAAACTCCCCAAACCGACAGCTACCGCAACAGCAACCTGTTTACTTAACCAACGGCCCCGGCAACATGCAAGGTAACGGCTCTGGCGCCGGTCCTAGCGTAATGTCTATTGGGCCCACGCCCGCTGGCCATCAGGCCGAGCTTAATATTATCTATGGCATGGTTGAGGAGCTGTCTCGTCAGCTGGCTGAGAACAGACGAGTGACCGAAGATATCGTATCGGGACTGGGGAGGGTACGAAATCGTGCGCGGGACCGCGGTTTAACAAACGACCAGGTGCTTGGAGAAGCAGCAGATGAAATATTTGGTACGTTCTATAATTCTATAATTCTCGGTACCCGTGTCTTTAGTTGCCCAATCGCTAACCATGCCAGTACAGCGCAAGAACCGAATTTAGAGGCTCTCGTGTCTATCTTGACAGAGTCCCTCGACCGCGCCAAGCTCTCCCGTGACGCCAATTTCTCTCTTCTTACCAGCTACGCCCGAGTTCTCGCCAATATCCTTTCCCAATTCCACGCCTACAAGCAAAAGCACGTCGCCGACGTATCTGCCTGGCACCGTTCCTATCGAGCACAGCTGGCCGAAGCCCGCGCCGAGAATTCGCGCCTGCGCGAGCAGATGTGGGAGATGCAAGAACATGCCGGCCGCGCCAACCAAATGCTGCGCGAGTTCCGCAAGAAATATGACGAGAACGAGGAGCGGTGGGAGAAGCGTGTAGACGACAAGGCTAGGAGACAGGAGATCCGCTTCTGGAAACGTATGGCCATGCCCGAGGTTGCCGAGTCCGAAGAGGGGTACTGGAGCGATGACGACGATTTGGTAGACCCCGTCGAGAAAGAAAGATTAAAGGAGGTAGAGCGCAAAGTTGCCGAACAAGCCCTTGCTGGCGTTGGTAGTACTAGCAGCCAAGGGGAGGATTCAGAAGGAGAAGGAGGCGAGCCGCGAGCCCTGTCAGCAAGCATGATTGGTGGCGTGGCCATGGATAGAGAGGGGAGTGATATTGGTAGGATCATACCGGTGCCGCCTCCGAGACCGGCTAGCACGGGGAGCACGGGGAGTATAGGGCAACCGCCCAGCTAGGAGGCTGAGCCGACTTTGCCTAACACTTAATATGCATTAATATGGCGTTGAGGCTGATTCGATTGAAGAATAATACCCCGAAGGAGGAAGGAGAACGATTCGAGCTAGCTGGATTACTTATGCTACCTATCCCGAAGAATGAAGTTAATATGAAGTCTTGCTAGTGGCTAGGCTATCTGTTCCTTTATCTCCATGTTGTGCGCTTGTATACTAGATTATATCAGGGCACGTTCATAGCATTAGCCCTCCCGAGGGAACAGACTCCTTAGTGTAAATTATCTTAGCCCTAATATGTTCTCCAGGCGATCAAATTTGAGGCACAGTAATACTTTCACGTAGTAGCTCACCGCCAATATCAATAAATGCGTACAAAGACGAGATAATAAGGGCGTGTCGAAGGTGTCCTAAAATTAAGGATAGTATGGATAATAGCTAAAGTGTGATTTCCTTGTACCCCCCTAAAGATACTTGATAGAAGACACGAGCTATGGAACGGCATTGCGGTTATCGTGAAGCAAGTCGTTGCCTGACATACAGCACCGCCAACCTGTCAGTCACCAACTGATCAATCTCTTAGGCAACGAGGTACAGCTGCCAAAGTACCTACCTACGAAATAAAGGTTATATATCCTAATTGCAGACAAACCATCAACCGACGCCCCCCGCCCGGGCGACTTGAGGTTAGAGAAAACCCCACTGTGGTGTCTTATGCTGGACCATTCTTACGAGTGTGACTTGACAGCAGATACCAAACGAAGCCGGTTTTTCGTAGGTCTTGGGTTCGAATCCCCTGCCCCTATCCGAGGGGATTCGAACCTGGGGCTGAGCTTTTTTATTTTCGCAGTTGTTTTTTACGCACACTTATGAAGCCTTTCCCCCTCCCTTTCTTTTTCTTTTTCTTTTTCTTTTTCTTTTTCTTTTTCTTTTTCTTTTTCTTTTCCTTTCTTTTCTTTTCCCCCTTCCTTTGCACCTAATCCGCCATCATATGCGACTCCTATGCATGCACGATACGGCCCATCTAACTAATATAACAATTACCTAGATGTCGAAGTCTACGATCAAACAACGAGGCAACTTTCTAAACTAAGCAATGTTCGGCTATATTATACGTAGATTAGTAGTAGAACTTCCTCGAGTCAACAATCACATAGTGCCTATTTTACTCGATGCTGTGGTGAAAAACTGAGGACCTGAAGTTTATATATAATATACAGCTACCTAGGCTATATACAGCCATAGCCCCCCCGTAATATACCCTTGCACTCGCTTCTATTAATAACCACCCCCGTAGGGCTGCATGGATATGATACCCCCATTTCAACAATGGGGAGAGCTAGTCCTAATTTGACCTTACCTTCATAAGCGAGTCTTGATAAAATGCCATCACTGCCAACAACTGATCGTCGCCAAGAACACTCCTCGAACACAGCGACCACACATTCTGCTAGAAATTAGAGAGACTGAGCAGCACAGACCTGTTGGAGGTGAGACAGCTGCGTCCGCGATGCGAGTAGCCGGTACAGGAGAAAAGGCAGCTATGAAGGGCTCGAAAGTCACGCTCCGCTTCGAGTGCAAGGTCTATTGGTGGCGGACGTGGTGCAGCGTTTAAAGCCTGTTCCAGCTTTGAGGTTCGCGTGAGGATAGCTGTGTAGAAATCGGTAATAGAGTCCGAGACAGCTTTCCCAATAAGCCCGTTAAGAGCCACCAGAGGAGCGGACCTCGGAGTTGTGTTTAACGGCTCCGAGCTAAAGGGCCCGATGTTGCTTGATGGTACAGAGGCCCAAGAATCCATCTCGTGGCTCGGAGTTCTGCCGTGATCAACCGTGGAAGTAAGCCCGTTAGGCTGGGAGTGATGAGACGTATCGATCTCGTTGTCCATCGGACTATCGCGATGGTCAATGCTTGAGTACCTGTGAGACTAAGATCCCAACTCCGGGGGTGATCTTGCGATGCGGTGGCGGCGTAGGACCTCAAGCCTCTGCCAGCGCAGTCTGTCGTTAGGGAGGATCATTCCTATCCGCACATCCCCGTTGGCGCTCATTCGCAGTACTGCTGTTCTGTGTCGGCTCCATTGTCTCGGGACTTGGCGGGCTCTCATCCATAGAACTCATCGAGGCGACAGCGTCAACTTTTTTAGATCTACGCATACGCCTTAGGGGGCTATAGACGCATCGGTTCCCCTTGCTAATGCATCGTTTACACGACGGCTTATCCTAACTACATCGTAGTTTGATGTTTTGGCAGCGATCGCATGACGTGCGGTACTTGACTGGCTTAATAGGAGCCAGAGGTGATGCTGCCATTTGTGTACGCTTTGACCTGGAAGCGACATGACCCGTTATTAATTGCCGTCCTTAGTTACTATTGGGTTCTTCTTTCCAAATTGATTTCGGACTGTTTGGAGCCGTGATGGCTTCATTTTGGTTTATAAGTCTAGTAAAAGCTGACGCTTATTATTAAATGATTATATAATTGGATTGAGGAGGCATAAAGGGGAGTCAGAGGTTATACAGAGGAGCAATTTGAAAAGAGGAAATACTGCGCCGCAGTTGTATTCTCTTACAGGTGATATTATAGAAGACATCTATGTACTGTAATATATAGTCATCTTTAACAAGGCCGAATATTAGAAGTATTAGAATTATTTAGGTACTCCGCTATAGAGACATGATTTCCTTTTATAAAATCATTATAGGCGGAGCGGAGCCTGTTACTGTGCTTTACAAGACGCAAACAAGAGTATTCAACCCCCATATAGATTCTCACTCGGTAACAAATATAGTAGTAGAGATGTCGATAGTAACGAGTTGATACAAGCTTATCTATTTTTGCTTATTGCATTCCTTATAGGTGCGGTCTTCAGTTTGATACATGGTTCCCCTTGATAGGTATACAGTTGTCATACCTATGAATTATAACTTGTATTATTGTCCTACGATGTTCAGATAAGCTATCACAAGCGACCGCTTTATAAAAAAATATAAATGACCAAGTATTTTACACTTCGAGCTTAAATCATAAGTAGACTGAAATAGTCACTTAGGCGAGTTTTAGTCTTCATATTTCTAGATTAGAAACAGTATTACCTATTGAAGGGATGAGAGAAGTTGATAAATTAGGTACCTATATTTACTCGTTCTAGTTCAGCCTCCCTTTTAAAGAATGCCGGTTATATTATATGGAGTACATGTCGATATTTACTCCGTTATGAAAGTCTCCTGCGTGGGATCTGCGGCATACCTACAACTATGTAGATATGAGCTTGGTAGGCTGCCTGATATATGGGATTCTTTTATCGTTAACTCATTATAGGGGCAGATGCAAATCGACTCCATGGGCAAGGATACAGTATCTGGAGGGAATATAATGGATTCTCTCAATATGCTTCATATAACATGCACAGGATCAAACCGTATAATACGCCATATCTTGTGTCTGAGAAGTGACTATAGTTAATGGAATATGCCGTAATATAAATTCGTTGCCTTCTAGTAAGGCGTCACCACCTACGCCGCGAAGATCGATCGGCAAGGCAAAATCTCTTGCAATGATATTCAATTCTTAACCAGCTGTGGAATCGGAAGCTAAAGGGACAACAGGCATGAGGCGCCAGCAGAAGCAAAACTAATAAAAGATAACATATATTAACTATAAATGAAGTGCAATTTACCCCACCAATTGGCGCATTAAGATTCGGCATTTGCCCATGGTTGTGATATGCGGGATATGTGGTTAACTTGCACTTGACGATATTAGAACATGTAGCTGAGTATATTAATTGAAAGCTTGTCAAACAGGATAATCTGGTAAATTGGTATATTGGCAAGTTTTAAATATATTATTTCGTGAATTCGTGCAGTTAATGACAGTGTACGATAATACCTTAGGTAGTGTATAACTAGCCCTTATATATATTCCTATTCTTATTTTATTATATTGAACCACATAGTTCTTTTTGGTTAATTACGGGGATTAGTTGAGTTGGTAAGCTCGTCCTATGCTCACATGTATGTATATAAGATTAAAAGAAAGTCTTGAGCAATAAGAGATTTGTAGATCGCGAGGTGATTCATCTATTACTTAAAAAACCGACAAAACGGGGGCTAGACCCGCGAGTTTGGCACCGACCGTTACATAGTATTTAGGGGTATTTCTCCAAGCATAATCGTGGTAAGCTATTGCTGATCACTCCGCATTTAATCTGCATTGAACTTGATTAGCAAGTTGAGACGAAAGGTAATGCAAACTGCTGAAGATCTTGTCTATGTAGATCAAATGCTTGCCAAAGCACAGTTCAACATGGAACATCCCGAGCGACCCGACAGTCCGAGTCAACTTTTCAGGGGGTGCGATCCCTCTTCCGTTCTGATCGGTTGCGGGCTGCAACCACCATAGCGATTTTCTATGTATAGCCTATATATTCTCAGAATAAGTCATGCGTATTTCATGTAGGGCGCAGCGAGTCTTTCTCATAGGCACCCTGAGAAAAGACTTCCCTATATCTGTGAAAAATAGACAGAAGCAGGAGTCCTCAAGGAGGAAGAGGGTATTGAAGGCATGGGTCGAAATATAAACCATGTTTCACAGCATGGCGGGGGATAGTATCACGACATGGGCGATTCCTACGTAGCAAGCAGGCCTCTCTCGATTGAGAATCTAAAAGATCTCTGTCGATTTGCTGGAAGGGACCATGAACTCTGACCGAGGTTCCCTCTACACTAGCTAGCGAATGCACCATTAGTCTCGAAGCGTATGCGGGTCAATGATTGTTCTATCAGTCTATGTACAATACATAGGCATCTAAGTCGAGGCCGATATAGGGAAACCGGCTCCGATCACTAAAAAGGGAGGTGAAACAACATTTCTTGGCTTCTGATAGGCTTATTTAAGAACTGTTACGGCTCTTTTTGGCAAAACCTATCGACCAGTCAGTGATTACTCACTCCTTATAAGAAGGAATGCAGAGCTGATATATATGTGAAGATTTATAATTCAAAAAAAGAAATCGGCTTTTTGTCGGTATTAGTACATAGGAGAGCAAATGCTGTAAGACAGTCTAGACTTTTTACAAGCAGACTGTCGTGTCAGGTCGGGTGGTAATGAGTTACTTCACTTGTCAGTGCCTATTGGCCAAGGCCGAAGCCAAGTGAAAAGAAAAGAAAATCACTGGACGGAGGGCTCAAGCAAAGATCCTAAGCACTTGCATACCGCCGGACCTGCGCCGTCCGGCATTTCAACTGATAAGATGGGTTTTCGATAGCAAACCTAGCCGTAACTAGGAAAAGATATGCACTTCTCTTCCGTTGGGTCGACGGGGAATTATCTCGAACTTGAAAAGATCGTCGGTTACTTCTGCGGAGTTGAATATAGCGTAAAAGCAGTCAGCCTCTAACGTATCACCATTCACAACAGGAAACAATTCAAGCTGTGCTGTTCAATACGTAGAACCTGTGATGCGGAAGACGTAAACCAGGAGAGCAATATGATCCGTCATCGTATAACCTAGCCTATTAAGCGCTTTCGTGTGCGCTTCTTGGTGATTCTAGAGGCGGCGCGGTAAGAATAGAATATATTTAACATGGTTCGTGGAAACAGGAGGTATTGCCGGGCGATATTGCTGGGCGCGCGCTTAATACGAACGGAGTTATTTTCAACCCTTTCCCCGCGGCTATCGTCAGTAAACATTTAGTATAGCAAGGGTGACTCTTGGTGTTGTAATCGGTAAATGTGAATAGTAATACTGATTGTTACTCTGATATCTTTGTTGAGTTGTTCATTCGTAGATACTACAGTAAGACGGTTGCGCTGGTTGTAATCGGCATGTAGGTATATGTACGAAGTATACCTAAAGTAAAAAAGATACGACCTGTACTACTGCACTATGTAATATGTAAGCCCGCGACTAGGTACGCACATGTATTGTACGCGAACCAAAATCAAGCCCGCATAGCTGGTAGGGGGCCCCAGTTTAACTTTCGTTGTTTCACCATAAACCCCTGCCAACCGTTGGACAAAATATCCAAATTTGTACAGTACTTATCTGATTGGTTATTATCGCACATAATAGCGTGCTGGGTGCAGGTGCCAACTCAGCGTATGCCGTACAGTACCTTGCATAACCAGGGCCCATGCTAAGCTAGCTAGCCTATTCGAGATGCACGGTGCCCCCTGTGCCCCCTTTTTTTCCTTCTCTTTCATTTTCTCCATCCTCGCCAACGATTGCATCAATCTAGGCTTGCCCCTCTCTCCCACATGCGGGAAACCTTTTTTAACGACCTGGCGATCGACTGTTGGAACCGCGTCGGCTGCCGGCCTTCGGTCTAGAGAATTTTACAGAACTTTGCAGCCGAACTTACCTAATGTACAATTGTACAATGTATCTCGCATCATACTTGCCAACTCATCGTGGTTGGTTGTACAAGCCTTAAGAAAAAGGGGTTTGCTGCTCAATGAGATGTTAAGAATATGATGGGCTACATATGTATGACAAGTTTTCTCTTGATATTATCCATCATAATATTGCCACTGTTATTGCTGACTGAGAAGACTAGACCCGTTGGGCTCCGTCTTAAAAAGTTGAAAGGTGACGGACGGGGCAAGCCCACGCCGCCCGGAGCTTTTTAGGAGCACGACAGACGACAGGACAGGCAAGGCAGAGAGCTCGGCGCGTCGCGAGTGGTCGGTGCTAGGGACAAAACCCAAGATTGGGACTGGCCAGTTCTGGCTCAGAATTCAGGAACAGCGTGCCCAATGTCACTCTGGGGTTCCTACCCACCATCTCAGGCCTATCTAGATGCTACTAGGGCATATCCAAGCCGTATTCCCAGTTAGTCCAAGCCAGTCCAGGGCCTGACAGAGAAGAGAAAAAAAAACAACAACCAAAAAACCAAAAAACCAAGCAACCCCCTACCGGTTTCACCCTAAGCTCCCATAATTAATTTCCGTGCTAGTCACGTATCATGCCTCCCGTTTCTCTGGTACCTATCACCTATCTACCTGTCTACATAGTATTCGCTTCGACTATCCGATGTCCTTGGACTATGCACCTAGAACTATGTTTTCTTCCACCCATCCACTTTTTAGGCAGTGCCACCATCTGTTTAGATCCGCGTGGATCTATCGAACCCCCATCAATGCAGTGGAGCCCATAACCCCTTGACCGAGTGGTACTGCATACAACACAACCTGGTCTCCATTATGGGCTCTTTAATATATATCTCCAAGGTGAACTACTTCCGAGCTCTTCTAGTCCTTTTCCCTCTGCGCCCAACCATTGTGCATTCACGCTCTCTTCTTCCGCCTTGCTAGCCGAGTTTATATACCACATTCTTTTTCACTTCCGTGATGATAACTAGTTAGTTATCAACTTATTTGCTTCGTCTTTCATTTTTTAACTTTATATCCGTCAAACTCTCCTGCAAGTCAGGCTTCTTTCTACTCTTGCAGCCAGGATAGCTCTCTCTTTACCATATCTTAGCCTAAGTCGACTCTCTTAGAAAGTCTAAAACCAGGGCATTTACTGTCATTATACAACTGAATCTCAAAACTCGGCACTTCCTGTCATTTCCGACTTCAGTCCTTCAAAATGCGCTTCCAGCAAAGCATTCTCGCTTCCCTCGTCCCCGGCCTTGTCACCGCTATTGCCCCGCCGAACATCCAGGGCATGGACATCGTCTTCTCCGAGTCTTTTGAGGGGGCAGCAGGCTCCTCTCCTAACGGTGACACATGGAACATCATGGATGCCATCAACACCAACAACGAAGTCCAGACGTACACCACCTCGAACCAAAACGTCCAGATCAGCGGCGGCGGTACCATTCAGTTCGTTCCCCGGAAATCGCCATCTGGCCATTGGACCTCGGGACGTATCGAGACCAAGGGATCCTGGACTCCCAAGGCCGGCAAGGTCTTCAGCATACAGTCAAGCCTTCTCTTAGGAAACAACCCTAACAAGCAAGGTATCTGGCCTGCCTTCTGGGCTCTCGGCGATGCTATGCGCCACGGTACCGAATGGCCCGCTGCTGGAGAAATAGATATCATGGAACAGGTCAACGGGCTTCTTACCGGCTATGGTACCGTCCACTGTGGGTCTGCCCTTGGCGGCCCTTGCAACGAGCCCATGGGCCGCGCCGGCACAACTCCCATGTCGCCCGACGGTTTCCACACCTGGGGCGTTACGATCGATCTCACAAACGACGACTGGCGAGCGCAGACCATTACGTGGCACCTGGACGGCAAGAACTACAATACTCTCACCGGAGCTGATATCAACGACGCTCCTGTCTGGTCTTCTCTAGCTCACAGCCCCTTGTAAGCATCCCCGTATACTAATATTTGGTGAATAGTCGCTAATTCTACGTCTTAGATACATTCTCCTTAATGTTGCTGTCGGCGGTGATTGGCCTGGTCTACCCAATTTGGCCACGCAAGATGGCTACGGCAGCATGATGGAAGTCCAATGGGTTGCCGTCTACTCGTCTTAGACAGTATTCTCCGATTGCGCGTGGCGTGATCTGGTACCTCAAAATAGAAGTGGGTGTATATACGGGAAATTGGCGTTTGTCAGATAGGTATCAGGCTGGGTATTTTTGGATGAAGCGCTCGAGATACCTCTATGTGTTACGTGATTACTTTTTTCTGCTTCTATTGTCTCAGGAGGCAAGGCCTAGCCATCTTAGTCGCCATATCTACTTTTAGAGGTATAGTAGATGATACATCTTGTTTCAATTAGACACGATGAAATGAATCTGCGAACTAGCTGCTTCACTAGCTAGACGCATTTACAATTCTGCCAACCTTTTAGTTTCCCATTAACAAACACCGACACGTGCTATTTTACGTTGGCTACCTACCTCCTAGGTTAGCCGCTCCACAACCCAAGCCGTAGCTTTACGCGTAATTTGGTGCCTGTAACTTATAATTCTTAGCGAACTTTAGGTAGTTTTACGCATCATGTTGCGCTCGAAGTCACTGGAACCCTTGCGTACATTTAAATAATTCTAGATGATGACTTCTGGGCCTATCTACTTATATGCAGCTTGAAGAAAGATGGGTATGGGCTTAGTCTTATATAGTCCGTACCTACATCTAGCTTGGGAGTTGTTTGTCGTGGCGGATTTCTTCTACATTGTGTAGCGGAACTAGATGAATTACAGGTGTTAGATGAGGTAGCCTGCAATAGGGGCAATAGGGGCAATAAGAATAGGGGTTAACTTACGTAAGGATTCTCAAAGTCCGTACAGTCTTGCTCTCCAAGCTGCTTGCCCCTTTCTACTCTCTCCTCCTCGGTGATATTTTGCTCGCCTAGCCACTTTTCCCGCCGCCGATTCCGCATGACCAACACAATCCGCCATGCTATAAGGACGATGAACTCTAGCCCAAAGCATACGGCACAGCCGGCGGTACCGGGGATATATCGTGGCTTTAGATATTCTTGTTAGTGAGAGCCTCGACGGTTTCATGTTGAAGGGAGAATACGCACAGCATCCTTTGCAAGGAAGATTTGCGATCCGACCATGTTGCCCACACAATACCCGACAAAAGTGAATGATGATGTTAACGTGCGCTTTGTGCGTCCGGCAACGTTCGAGGGAATCAGTGTCCAAGCGAGAAACAGAGCTACCACACTCGGGACAGTGATGAAGTAACTATTGTCGCGCAGCTCCCCATTAGTATCTATACCTCGGGTTTATGGTCTTATGAGCAAATACTACTCACCCTGCCCACTTCATCCACTTGTAGTGAGGTTCGTTAGGTAGCGTCGCCATCATAACGAAGCCTGCTACCGGAGGAATGACGGAGATTATCATGAAATACCTAACACTTCGAATCAGCTACCCCTTAGGAGCTCAAAAGTTGCGTACTATCTTTATGGTGCGACTCACAGGCGTAAGTTCTTTCTCCTACTCGTGACAACACCAATGAAGATAAACCATACTACGGACGTGATGTTTCGCGGTATATCGAGGAGAATCACCTGTAGGTTGGCTAATACGCTGTAAGCTTTCACGCTCCTGTAGTGGATTGTCTAGATAACTAACTGAATCCGGCGTTGGTATTGATGATGGACCCGAAGGCGGTTATTCCACCGTTAGGTACTGAACTTAAGAACGCGTTGACTCCAGCTAACCAGAACTGCAATGGATAGAGTTATCTATGTTAGTGAATGTAAATCCCCCCGGGAATTTTTCTGAGTTATGTAGGTACTTACACAGGGATCGACTAGACATTCCCGCGCTTGTTTCCACTTCCATCCCTTGATACCAGTCCGGTCGTGACCAGTGTTATTACTCATAATACGGGCATTGGCTATCTTCCTCTCTTCCGGGCTTAGCCATCTCACTTCGGACGGCGTGCCAAGCAGGAATAGGCATAGGAAGCCGGTGAGGATCGTCATGCCACCGAGGAACTACTCCGGTAGACCATCGGGTAACCGTTAGCATAATCCCGAGTAATGATAGCCTACCTCGTAGGGGCCAATATTGCCAACTCACATAAGACATATATCGCCAGGCCTGAAACTCGGGACCCAGAGAGTACTGCAGCGATCCAATCCCGTAGAGAATCAAGTTGGCAATAATTCCAAAACCAGCATTGGCACTTTGGAAGACGAGCGACCGCGATGCGTGCTCGCGTGTCGTATACCAGCTTCCAACGACGAGAATGAAGCCAGGTGAGATACAGCACTAGATGGGGACGACGCCTTATAAGCACTCTTATGTTTCCATGCCTTCAGCTCAAGGAAATAAACTTACCTCGAACATACCCTGCAACGCACGTAAGGTGACTATCTGCGTGAAGTTCTGCGTAAATCCGATACATAGAACCACGACACCCCAGCAGATCATATAGCATGATAATGTTCGGCCCATTAGATACCGCTGCAGGATGATGTTGGATGGGAACTCGAAGCACATGTATGTGATATAAAATATCGTCGTGAGCCATGAGTATTGCTGTCCAACGAGTCCGGTATCCTAAATCGGTGTTAGTAGAGGAGCTGGCCAGCTAGGCTTGCATAAAATCCCAGAAGTACCTTTGAAAGGCCAAATGTGGCCTGTGTTCCGATAGAAGTTTTATCAGTCTGCTGGATGCCATAGCAAAGCCACATTAACGGTAGAAGATATCTGTCAGCCTTCCTTTTCAGCTTTTTATACTGCTCGTCGGTATATTTTGAGGCTGCTTATTGATAAGTATCTTAATTATCGATATTATAAGACGAAGTGAAGTCAAACCTGAATCTTGAAGCTCGTCGGCCACTATACTGCTTTTCTCGCTTATCTCCACATCGTTCATCTTCTCCGGGTCTTTCTCCGAGCTGCTAGATATCTGCAGGGGATCATTCGTATCTCCTGGGAGCATTGATATCTCTACGTTTTGCGCCATTATTGACGATATATTACGCAACTCATTAGGCGTTTTTGCGAAAGCTACAAGACATTATCTACAAGATTCAAGGGCACGTTGTTGCTTATATGCGGATGTGAGCCCTAGGGTCCGTGTACACCCCGCGGTGCCACGACGACGCCATGTTTATCTCGGATGAGATAATGCAGATAAGAATAACGACATGCATGAGATTCGGGTGACGTCTACGGCTTGTTTCCCATTTGGAAGTTCGTATCTCCAAGGGTGCTGACTGGACCGGCACCATGGTTCGATAAGATCTTTTTCTAGGTATTCTTAATTTGACCGAAACAACAACTCTGAAGTTTAAATACCACTAACTAAACCAAAATAGATGAAATATACTGAGCATCACATTAACATTCCGCTTGGCAAAAGTCAACTCTTGAGAAGCGTATCTACTTCCTTATCTCCTGTCCGCTCCAAGGTGGAGTCCGGGGAAGATCGTCATGCCATGCAGCCATATGTAGGTAGAGTCACTCCAATTGCTTATCTGGCCTGGGTCTACGCCACGGCATTTACACGCGTCTTGGTATGTAGCCTCGGCTTAAATAAGTACATATTTATCTAATTTATTCGGATAGGACCGATGAATATAAAGAGCTTAGATTCGGTCTGCAGTAGGTCGCCCTAGGTAATCAAAAGGTTTGTAGCCCTCAATCTTTGATAATGTGGAAAATGATAGTTTTTAAATTTATAATGCCTCTATTGATTAATTCAGCTTGGGGGAATAGTCGGGGATAGGTATCGGGGATATAGAAAACATCGTATCGACTTGTATAGGTGGGGGCATTATGTAGAATTATGTAGATAGGAAATGACCTTCCAACTGAGCTCATCCCACTTAAAGAATAAATACTACCCTGGGCCCTGGGGATGTGGGATAAGGGTTGAACTTCTAATAAGTGAAGACATGCTGTATTTTAGAATATGCATTAGTTAGATAGATTGCGGGTCTAACTAATCGTTCCTATATGTATAACATGTATAACAAAGCACTGAGAGGAATAATGAATAATGAATAATATACACGTACTCAAATCAGAATAAATTGTAATTACCTAGACCTTCCGCTCCGTAACCTCCGTCTCTCCTAGCACCACGACCCTCACCCGCTTCCTGTCAAAGAACTTCTTCTCATCTTCGTCAATAACTTTCGCATTATCTTCCTTGGTCACAATCTCATAAAACCCTTTAAATATCTCCTCACTCTCAAACACCATCTCCGCTATTACATCGAAATCGAAATCTTCCTGTGATCCCGCGATCACTTTAGCGTTATGTCCGTCGGCGCGCTGAATGTATCGTCGCGTGTGTGATAGGGGGAAATATGCGCCTGTTATTTCTTGTATAAGGGACATATGCTCATCGTATCGTTGTTTGAATTGGGCCGGGGAGACGCCGGGGAGACGGTGGCCGAAGATGAGGACGTTGAAGGTCATTGTCGAAAGGCTCTAGATTCTACTTATTCGGATGAGATCTCCAAGAAGGGGAGATTGTCTAGACTGAAATATAAATTTGTGAGTCAATGGTATAATATAATGTTCGCCGTCAATAATACTATTGGGTATTTCAGTTCAACTAGGTTAATTAATACTAGTTAAATCTAACTATGAAGGAAACTCATGTTTCTTATATGTACAGTACGTAGCTGATAATCAATGAATATAGGACTATAATAACACATCTCCCCTAGCTAGTTCTAGTGGGTTCGAAATCCAACCAGTCTTATTAATCTGAAGTCTGACACGTAGTTCAAACTGGGATAGCGATACGTGGCCTAAGTGGAATCTTACAAGGCAAATACTTCTCATCTTGATATAAACCGCACTAGATTCCTATTCTATGCTTATAAACCCTTTGGAGCTGTGATAAATAGAGTGACCTTCTATTACAATCCCGACGACACGCTGCAGTATGTTCTCATCCTCTTACTCCCCCCCCCCTTTTACATTACGGAGCAGGTTCCCCAGTCAATTCGGCCACCGTCCTGAGACGAGGTCCATTGGGACTGGGGGAGTTTAATCGTCTTGATTATTGAATCCATCTTCTGTAAGTCGTGTTTAGTTGTGTTGTTTATTTATTTGGTAAGATTAAATTGGCTTTGCGTTAAACGTTAGCAATAAACCCTTATTTTGGGATGCCATACCGCCAGGAGCATAGGCCTTAAATAATAAATCACGGCCTTTGTAATGATGTCTATGCCACAAGGGGCGGTATGACGTTTTTGTTTGCCTCAGCGGTTTTTGTACATGGCTTGCATAGGCGAAGTAAAGAAAATTCTATGATTGGATATCGCTGGCTCCTTGGCAATAAGGCATACTGCAGTCTAGTTCTACGAAAAATAATGTGCATTTCTTCCAAAGAGACATATCACAAAGCCAAGACAGACTATGATTAGAATGGTGCCGATAATCAATATTGATAAGTTATGGTTTTCCTTTGTACCTCTCTTTGATACTGGGACACCTTCGTTTGTGTTATAACAAGTCGGTGAGTTATATGGAAATATAAGTTTGATTAGTCGGGCTATACCGTTGAAATAAATGACCCCGAGCTTGAGAATAGCCCCAAGTCTATACTATTTGACCCCGCGCTATGTCTCTGACCGAACGTAAGTCCTGCAGCTCTGTGCAATAGACGCCCATTTCGAAAGCCACATTCCCTCTGAACCCTTGAAGCTGATGGCCTCAGTTTAGCTTTCGCTTTGTATTGCCATTTCATGCAAAGGTGTGGTAGTACAATCTCATATACTAAATCCTGTGGCGGCCATGATTTTCTGCTCGTGATATGCGCATCGTAGTAGTACCACGATCTTATAACATCGAAATATCAGGTTTCACATCTATAAATACCTAGTAGAGAAGTACATTTCTCGCTACCAAAATCTTGATATATACTGTAACTAGATTTGGATTCAAGAAGTTACTGATAAAAGCACAAAAGAAGAATAAACACGGATAGAATGGAGCCTGTTGACTAGTAAGGGACGTGAAAGCTACTAGAGACATACTTTACACACCACTCCGTTATACAACGAGATCAGACGCAACTAAGAATTAGTAACTTCCAGTAGCCGGTACATCTTACGCCGTCACAAGATTTAGTAAGGATTACGATGGGTAATGAGGCTTAGAGTGACTTCAGTTAACAGCTGTGTTTAAAGTATGCTTATGCTTTGATACTAGTTTGGGATGACTGCGTATGACTTGGAGAAGTGCTTTTTCTTATCACCTGTCAATAAGCCCAAGCCTTCTGACTAGGATACCATATGTTTACTTACCAATCGGATTGCAGTGAGTTAGGTCTACATAGCTAAGTGCAAATGTGACGATTTACTCTCACTCTGCGCAGCATAGGAGGAGGGATTCCTTGCCTCCGTAGATACTAAGGCTCAGTCGTCCCCCAGCTTTAAATTTTCTGGCCTTTTTTCTTATTAATTTACACATCTCCAAGCCAATCCCTTTGCTGTCTCGTCAAGAACATCGTCGAAACCTCCAAGATGTTTTTGAAACCATTGGCATTTGCAGCCTTGCTCTTCTCTCTAGGGGCAAGCCAAAGCCACCTGGCACCGGTCATTGACCTAAGTTACGAGTTGTATCAAGGGTATTACGATGATAAATATGACATCCATGCATACAAAGGGCACGGACTGCTTCTTATGATAAACTCATATGGGGCTCTAGCTAACTATATACCAGGATACGATATGCGGCTCCTCCAGTTGGGAAGCTCAGATGGCAGCTACCACAACCCCCGAACCAAAACAGGACTCGAATAATTCCAGCGATCGGCTATGCACCGCAGTGCCCCCAAACACTAAACTCGCCAGGGTATGTATGGAAAACTCCTACGTGGAATCAAAGCTAAACTGGATACTAGTCCACATAAACCGGGCCCATCCGGCTCCGAAGACTGTCTCTTCGTGAATGTCTACACACCGGCAAACAAAACAAAGTTACCCGTAATGGTCTGGATTCGTAAGTTTGACATGTTGCCCATTGACATGCAGTTCTAATGCGAATAGATGGCGGTGGGTATGGCCAAGCAAACGGGGGATTTGACCCATCACCACAAATCCATACCAACGGCAACACTTATATCATAGTGACGATCCAGTACCGGCTGGGGGCTTTCGGGTTCCTTTCTTCCGCTGATTTGGGCAGATCTGGTGTACCCAATGTAGGAATCCATGATATGTACTTCTCCTTACAATGGGTTCAGGAGTATATTCACCTATTCGGTGGAGATCCCGAACAAGTGACTATCGCCGGGGAATCTGCTGGCGGAGGTGGCGCTATGCTGCTTGGTATGGCTTATGGAGGTTTCGACAATACCGCCTTGTTCAAAGGTATCATCGCTGCGAGTCCTTTCCTACCATCTCAATGGTAAGTTGCATCTTTCATATATTATCGACGGTCGCTTAATGAATACTAAGAACTGCCGTAGGGAATATGACAGCGCCATGCCAACTGAATACTACTATCGTTTCGCGGAGAAGGTGGGCTGTCTTACGGATGGATTGAAAGTGAACGAATCAGTCTTCGAATGTTTAGTCTCGGCGGACACAATCGATCTTCAAACTGCTAGTGACTACGTCAGTACAGGGGCACCTTACGGTCAATGGGCCTTCGTTCCGGTCACGGATGGGAAACTTATCCAAGGAAAACCCACAGACCACCTCCTGGGAGGAGGAATGCTTAATGGCATGCGTATCTTGTCAGCGAGCAACCTAAATGATGGCCCAGACTTCACTCCTCAAAATATAACGAATGAGGACGGTTTCAGGCGCTTTGTTACAACCATCTACCCACTATTAAGCGAAACGAACATAACCAATATCCTCAAACTCTATGCTATTCCCGATAACGCCTCAGATATATTAGTCAACTCCGACGGCTTGAGGTCACCATATTCGACAACGAACTCTGGATGGGCCCACGGCTGGCAGCAAGCAGCTACGAACCTATATGCAGAAACATCATTCACCTGCCCATCGTACTGGCTCTCCGACGCGTACGCAAACAAACGAGGTGGGAAGTCATGGCATTATCAATTGTCAGTTCCGCCTGGCCAGCACGGCCTCGACCTATACCCGTTACTCCAGCCGATAGATATTCCGGATACTAGTATGGACGAAGTATTTCGCGCTGCCTTCCAGAGAATTTGGGGAAATTTTGTAGTGAATGGCGACCCAACCCTCAGCGAAGAACAAATAATCGCCGCAGATAAGGGGAATATTGCTGCAGCAGGCTCTGGAGCATGGCCTCAGTGGGAGGCAGAACAGGGGTACAACTGGATGCTTAACGTGAATATGACCGGTGGCATACCAACTACAACGGAATTTATCATTGGTGGTGTCCCAATCAACGTCACTAGCTATTTGCCTAGTAGTGATGGATCAATACCGCCCTTAGTAGCAAATTTCGAGGTTGCAGAAGGAAGTTCTTGGGAGGACGGGCGAGGGAAAAGGTGCCAACTATGGGCGGACCTCGGCCCCTGGATTAATGAGTAACGAAGACTCGGACTAATAACAACGTCAAGGAATCACGATGCCGCCCGTGTAAAAGTATCACAACTAAGTTGATATCAAGTTTCTGGAACTTATCGAAATGAGTACCGAATTTACGTTCATCTCGGATTCCGCAGGACGGCTTCACCCATCGAGTTCCGCACCGGCTGTTCCGACGACCACGGAGCTTCCTCGATGTCAGTATCGGCGGAACCCGCTGCTCCTCTCTTTGGAATATCATCTCTCCTTATACCCCAACCATTAGACCATCCTACCCAACCAGTTTCCCTTGGACCACGAATTATACCGACGATAATAGCTACGCCGATGAAAGCAATGTTGGAGCCACCACTCCAAACCCACCCCCCCTGAGCGTACAGTCTATTACCGACAGCCGTACCCATAATCTGCCCACCAAAGGAAAAAACCATATACACTGTATTCACACGATTCCTTGCTTTCGGATCGAGACTATAAATATTACTGCGATTAGCAGTGTGCGTGAAGTTTGCACCCGAGTCCATCATGATAGCATGGATAATAGGCCCTGCTACCGTAAAGCTCCCGATGAAGGTCGATATTACAATACCGATAAACTCGAAACCAAGACCAAGAACGACTGAAAAGAGGAACTCGAAGCGATCTGTAATGAGACGTGACCAGACCGGAGCAAGTGTGACAACCACAATTCCAATAAAGGCAAAACATCCGATTTCGAGAGAAGAATATTCGTACGGCGGCGATGCGAGAAGGAAAGTTAGAGTTGTCCAAAAGGAGGTAAAGGCTGCACTGAGGAGAAACCCGATAATACACGCCTGGGTGAGGAGAGGCTCCGTGACGACCATGACAGCCATGCCCCACAGGACTTTAAAATAGTTAAGCCCTTTGTTTTTTGCGGGATAGTCAGGGAGGAAGAAGTAGAGCAGCACTGAAGTCAAATATTGTGCACCGAATGCTACCCAGTAGATGTTTCTCCACGACGTGAAGTTTGCCACTATACCCGACAGGACCCTCGCGATCAGTAACCCTAGTGCTAATCCCGATACTACTACTGACAGAGAACTAGCACGGCGATGAGCCGGTGCTAAGTCGCCAACAAGCGGTAGCATGAGCTGCGGCGTGACTGTTCTACCTGACTGTTAGACCTGAAGTAAGGGGTACCGAAAGAAATATTGCGTAAATAGTAATGGAGAGCCATTCATAATGAATAGGTACTTACCCAACTCCACACAGAAACGACAAGCTAATGAATACTTCGAAATTATTCGTAAGACATAACCCAATCCACTGTATAAGTTCACCAGGTAAGCATATGACATGAGCTATCATCTATAGCCGGATACTCACAATAGTTGCAGTCACCCATATAAGGAAAAGGATAAACGGTCGTCGCGGGACCATATCCGCCAAGGGGCATAGGAAAAGCAGGCCCACGGCATATCCCGCTTGCGACAACGTGGCGACGTCAGAGGCGCGCTCGTAGCTAACGTTGAAGTCTCTAGCTAGGACGTTTAAGATTGGTTGCGCGTAGTAGAGATTGGCAACGGTGAATGTTCCGCTCTGGGAGAGAGGTTAGTCTAGGGGGACGTTGGTTGGTTGGTTGGTTGGTTGGCAGTATACAATAACATACGAAAGCGAATAATATGTTTAGAGCGAGGGTGAAGTTCGGTGGGTTCTCGGGATCGTAGCGGCAGCGTTGCGGCATCCAATTTACGACCTTTATTGTCTTAGCTAGTAGGGTGTTTTGTTTTGTCTCTTCAAGAGTTCCTGGTGATGAAGTTGCACTGCCATCTTGACCTCCCGTCTGGATATTCTCTTGACTTGACGTAGAGATGCCTTTCGTATTAGATCCTAGATCAGGCTTCTCGGACTGGTCTCCGTCTTTGATATCTACTTCCATTGACTATTGTTTTATTGTTTTACTAGTGTCTCTCTAGTTCTTCAGGTCTAATACTGGTGGTGATAGTCAATATGACGGTTTCAAGGACGTGATTGGGGAAATCCGACGGGATGTGGCTTATGGCGTCTAATGTTTTAGTTTTCGTCGACGTAGGATCGAATCTTCTTATAGGTATTCAAAAACCGAGATGTCTTAGACGTCGTCTCTTTGGTTTTATTATCTCGACTAAATCCAACGTTCAACAGTTAACCGACGTCAAAAACATATAGAATGGGCAAGTTATATGATATATACCCGAGAGCCTCTTCAAGGGGTTCTATCCACGTCGTATTTTATCATATGCAGTCATATCCCCGTTAGTCCGATTATCGCTGCATCTTTCGGCACTTATGAATTATGAATCGGGTAGCTGCTAAAATGCTGCATGAGGATGCGCATCAAGTACCTACCCAAGATAGGTAAGCCTGTGTGTTATCGCGGCTTTACTGCTAAGGGAGTTCCTCTATCAATGCCCGAATTTCAGTATACCTTAGGTACGGTACCTAGGCAATTAGCGGTGAGATGTCGCCATCGCGATTCGTCGTCACATCATCTGCAAATGCATTAAAGTTGGTTTGTCGCTTTATCTTTGTTTAAAACCCCGATTCAAATCACAATGGTTTAAATTCCTTAACAAGTCTTTGTTATCTATTTCTCGAATTATTTCTACCTCGGTATAAGTCTACCAATATGTTTCGTTCTGTGTAATCCTAGTGACTTTTCCTTCGCCCTCCGCAAGTTCACCAATCCCCAGCTCGCCAGGGCTACTATCTTGAGACCGAATATTTCCATATCTAACCCTAAGGTTCTTTAAGAGCCTCGATCGTTCGCTATCGTCTAAAGTAGTACCGCCAAAAGGTACGGTAGGGCAATTCGATGTACTCCCCCTGATCATAGTCGACACGTTCATGAGCAAGTCGGGGATCCAAATTCTCAAATCTAAGGTAGCCTTGACGATGGCGCTGATAAACATGGTTATGATTGAGATCACGAGCACCGCCATCCACCCTCTGTTATAGAAGAAGTGCGTTTCGGTGTGGGTGTTTCTACCCGATGTTTCCGCAATAGGAGTCCAAATGGGATAACCGGTATAGAAGTCTGTAGAGAAGGCTAGGTTTTCCGGATGCCCCCCGTAAGTGAGGTTAAAGTTATAGAACGACGTCCAGTAGCTGTTAAGTATCTGCGAGAACCGCAACGCAAATGACTCGTTACCAATAGTCGTAATGTCAGAGTCTATATTGTAACTATGCAAGGCTGTCCGGGCAAAGGGTGTGTCTGGGCTGAGTAGATAGTTCTGGAATAAACCTGGCCCTATAGAATGCGAGACATCACTGCCAGCCGCATCGATAAGATAGTTCAGGAAATTAGGCAAATTCGTGGATGAATCCCAATCACCGCAGTGGTCGAAGATCGTATAGGCAGGCGATTGATAAATCTTGTGCTTCTGAGATCTCCGTAGTCGATCAACTTTGCAGTCCCAGCCTTTACAATTTACCGAAGCTTCAACATTCGTCGTTCCCATAGTGCAGTTTGCTGCGGTTGGCTTATGGGCACCTGTATTCCTGGATCGAAAAAAGAGCCGTCTTTCGGGAACATCGTCTGTAGGTCCTGCAGTACAACGTCTTTCCCTCTCATCATCACGAGTCAGTGACATGATCCAACCCGATGGAGTCCGAGCTCCTTCTGTGACTAGACCATCGGGGAGAGATATACTATTGTTAAATATCGTACACTGTAAATTCGAGAGCGTGCAACCTGCAGTAGCATTGTTTATCGTTTCGTACCAGTAGTCGTCGTCATAGTGATCGGGAGATCCAAAATCGGGACAACGGAAATTCCAATAAGAAGCTTCAACTGTAAACTCGGTATCGCCGACCTTTGGTATATTCGCTATTGGTATCCCAACAAGAGACGAGTACGGAGTAGCTTCCGAGTACCCTGCGAATGGAATCCATTCGCCTCGGCCTGCCGAGTCATACCCGGGCAAATTCTCGATAAATGGAATCTTTATGTTACCCCAAGGATCCATAGGAGACTGGCTAATCGACGCGGAGGAAACGAGAGACGATACGAAGGATGAGTCGATGACGTCAAGCAAATTTATAACATCTACCGAGGATACTAGAAGCAAGAGTCAATACTTGCTAGTTTTAGTAAGGAACCTAGGGTTAAGGCATGTCTCAGGTGTAGTGGCACCTTGTATAGTATCATGATAAGGGTAGGCTAGCTTCCGAGACAGGCCGAGGGGGATGGGAACTGTCAAAGTTCGGTACATACAGGAATTAGGAGAGCTGGCATTGGAAAAGTCGAGAAAACTAAGTGTGAGATTATGTGGTATTAGTATATCGCGATACGTGATGATCCTAAACGAGGCTTGGCCGCCAAGAGGGGATAGAGCCCATATAAGCAAGAGGCATAAGCTAGGGATATCGAATTGTGTAAGTCGTCGCCCAAGCTGCGTTCCAATCATGCCACCCACGGAGGTACTGCCTAGGAGGAGGTCTAGGAAGCTGACTTTCTCTCCGTCTTGTAACCTCCATAGTGCCAGGGAACGCAGAGCGCCGCCCACGACAAGAGCGTAGAGCACAGGAAATATCGTAGGACCCTGAATTGAGGATGGAAAACTCGGTCAGCGTGGTTGTGTTATAAGAACCATAGGATAACTTGTGTCTTACATAGCGGGATGCCTCTACCAACTTTTGAACAAGGTCGGCATCGCTTAGCATGCCATCGCAGCGACCGAGAAGACCCGCAAAGACAAAGGAGGCGATCGTCAAGAGTATAAGAATAAAATTATAAATTATCTGGTTTGGGCGAGACACTCCACTTCTTAGTGGAAGCGGTTGTTCAGGCCAGGCTCGGAGCCGTCTATATCGCGAGAACATGTCGAGAGTGATGATGAGCTGGATGCAAATGCAATTTTTTTTTTTAGCTTGATAGAATTTTCTACCAGGTTTGAAGATTATATAGTCTCCTATATTATATACATAATAGCCAGAGCAAGTTGCTATTGGAAGTTCTAGCCCTACATACGAAAGAGACATGGCTCCACCACATCCTGCTGCGACGAGAGCTGAACATGCTATGCTTGCCGTGTAATATTATGGGTGAAATCCCCTGTCGGACACCAGCCTGGGGTTTCTTGGCGATCATGGCTTTAAAACATGGCATCTCACTAGGACTTTCCAAATTTCTTACAACCTAGTCGTCGAGTGATATTCTTCAATGCAATAGCCACAGATGTTGCCATGGGTCGGTCTGTTGAAGGATTTAGACAAAGCGGGACCAATAGTATCGCGAGCTGCCAAGCTTCTTTCAGCCCTGGGAGACCCGCGATGGGGACAGATTTGGGGGCCAAAATAATAAAAATGGCACGGAGAAAGAATTGACATGGACTCTTTGCGCGACTCTTTAAATATGCGATATCATGCCACTAATGATATACGGTAGACTTACATGATAGTCTTAAGGGTTTGTTATGAGATAAGTTATGCTTAAGGATTTGGCACTAATTTAATAACACATTGAACGACTCAACCTTGACACGACGCGGTTAGAAGCGTGTTTCTATTTATATATACTTGCTTGAGGTATACAATACACATCTACCAAGGCACCTATGAATTATTACGAATGGACTTCTGAGCATTTTCTTGCATAAGAATCACTCCAAGTATCTTTCCACATGATAACTTTACCTGGAATGGTTTAATGGTTCAATTAAAGATTTCGCGGCATATATAAGCTATTTAAAAGATACTAGATACGACTATTTCGATATATGGTGGTGAGGGGCTTTATACTAAATCTCAATTGGAGAAATTCAATTGAAAAAATACATAATGGTTACGTTTTATACCAATAAGACTAACAGCTGACCCCTCATTGGAGACGTTGCAGTTGACTTAGTAAATAGTATAAAACGTACCATAAATCTACTGGTCCAGCACAAGTAAATCAGTTATGAATATATTAATTATTAATTATGAATCTGCTCAGACGAGTTAAGTCTCATCTTTTCCTTATCGGTTAGGACCCAGGTATGACAATGCCGATACAATTGCGCCATGCATCAGACAAGTCAGCAAGTGTCGGCGGATCATATGTACCGAACTTGCAAGGTCTTCAAGTCTTATCAGTCAGACCGCTACAAACGGCAGCGGGGACCGGACGCATTCCTCATTGGATGGTTTAATCGCTATAGGTTGGTAAACTTTTCAGGCATTGGGCTCGCTTTCTCTTTGTCCCCGAGAACATCTTAATCTTGATTAATACAAGATTTTCTTGGATCCGTCTTACAGCACGGAGGAATCGATACTCATGGCAGCAGATGAGACATCACCGTTACTCGAAAATGCGGCCCCTCCGAGGATACACAAGCCAAACAGGCCCGCCAAGCCCGTTGGTACCCTTTTCGGTCCCGCAAACCGCATTCTCCTTGCCGGCTTCATGATGGCTTTCACCCTCGGCATCACACAAGTTCCGTAAGAACAGAGAACAACTACATACTACCTACCTACCTATCCGCCTTGGCATTATATATACCAATTTCAATCTTAATCTTAATCGCGAACTAGATACTAACTATGAGGTCAGAATCAATTATGTCTTTCGTCTTATGGAATGCGATGTCTTCTACAGCCACAACCCCCCGTTTGAGGGACCCGGCGATCGATGTCATCGTCGAGAGATTAGTGCTGGCACTGCGACTCAGGTATCTATCCTAGGCATGTCAACGTCCTTTAGCGGCGTGTTCAACTTATTCATATGTGGCTACTTTATCAAACTTTGGGGTCCGCGATGGGCCTTCGTCTCCCAAACCGTACTTCTAGGTTTGAGGGTATGTACACAGATTGTCGCCGTAACGATCGGTGGCCGGGAAGGTATAATCATTTTCCAAGCTTGTCAAGCTATAGGTATCATTGGAGGACCCCGCGGCTTTCAGTGCGTATAACCATGATCCCTGATCCTGTTTCGGTGGTTCTAATCAAACCAATATAGGCTAGTTCTCAACACCGCGGTGAGTGAGCTGGTCGCGCCCAAAGACCGCACGGCCGTTTTTGGTCGGCTACAGGGGTCAATCATGTTAGGAACTGCATTTGGTTTCCTACGTAAGTCCAAGGAGACGATTGCATTATTAGCACATTGAATTGACAACTTTGATAGTGGGAGGCGTGCTCGGCGATATCTACAATATTAGGCGTCCCTTCGAGACTGCGTTTTTTCTCTATGTGGTTTCTTCGTTATACGGAGCACTTTTCTTACCGACGGGAGCAAGCGATGAGGCTGCCGGTAAGAAGCAAAATGGTCGGGGAATTAGTGCTTTCTTCGCACCTATCAAGATGATCGCACCCCATTCCTACCGTTTGGAGTCGGGCAAGGTCATCAAGAATTACAGCTTGATCTTTCTCGCCCTAGGTATTTTCCTCGGCGTCGTAAGTCACAACATCAAACCCGCACATTTCTCTTTATTAGCCCTCTAACTATCGTGCAGTTCTCTTCTGGATACGTCCCGATTCTTCTGCAGATGTACGCTACGTCCGAATTTGATTTCGGCACCAGTGAGAACGGATATCTCATGTTCGGTAACGCGGCTATCCGCGGTATATTCTTACTTTTCATGTTCCCGAAGATCATATCTTCCGGTCGGACCTGGTTCAATGGCACATCAACACCAGCGGAAACTAGAGAACACGAAGTAGAACCCCATATTCCAGTGTGCCCAGGGGATTTTGAAGCCGATGAGGTCGGAGAAGTACCACAAGAGCCAATACAGCCCCTTGAGGACGAGGAAGATTCCGGGACCGGATTTGACCTCTTCTTTGTCAGGTGGAGTCTAGTTGTCGACTCAATAGTGACAGTCATTGCTGGCTTCTCAACAGAGGGTTGGCAAGTATACCTCGGTAAGATACACACAGACCTTGTTTCAAGGTTCCCGATGAAATTGACAATTGATAGCTGGCTTTTTACTGCCGTTTGCTTCGGGATCGGCACCGGCAGCCAAGGGGGTTATGACTGAGCTATGTCCCCCGCAGCAACGACAAGACGCCATTAGTGCCATTACCCTAGTGGAGAGCACAGCTACGCTATTGACACAGGGACTTTTCGGCTTAATCCTTGCTTTTTTCTCCGAAATTGGCCAGCCGAGCTTAACATTTTTCTGCAACGCCGTATGTCTTAGACCCCTATTCTAGTTTCTAATAGTATACTTACTGACGTCTACCCAGGGGTTTGCTGTACTCGGGTTTGCCGTTTTGTTTATGGCACACCTCCCGCCACCTAACAGCAAGAGAATTGACGACGAAGATTCGGAAACAGAGACTGAGAACTAGATCCGCTAGCCACGGCATAAAATACGCTTTTTTAAAAAAAATAGGGGCGAAGACGATTACCTAGATGAACATATTAGACTGGAAGGTATATATGCATCAGTGCGAAGGGGAACAAGACTGACACGTCCTTCGCAAATCCATTTTAAACTACCTGTATAGATATTCCGTGATAGGGTATTGAATAAAGATAACGGATAAATTTGTTTGGATTGATTGCCCGTCGTAGTCAAAGTCGTTCTACGTAGTACACTCCACGCCAGACTATATCGTCAGAAATAAATAAAGTCGACCCCATATGGCCTATTAGATTAATTACGTGTCAATCTATTAGAGTTACACTTATACGCGTATTGCACTTAAATTATTTGATGAGACCGGTCAAACCTAGACAACTCATTCCGCGGCTTTCACTTGTTTGATAAAACTATGAATCATCCCCTATTATAATGAGTAAGAGACAAGTAATTGAGTCATTAGTTAGTTCTCACACATCATCATTCGATAGGGTAAGCAATATCGATGAAGAATCTACGAACTATGTTCATATCCTACCAAGTATATATATATATATGTGTCAGTTCCCTTCTAACTAGATGTTTTAATTCTCTACCCTATATATACCATTAGTCTACTATATACAAAAGATGCTATTGCCTCTACACGTACTCAAGTAACTTAATCCCATGGCAACCTACAGAATATTTAGCACAGACCTTTTTGATATTTACCTGGTAACTAAGAGGAATACATCGATCATGTAGTCTGTACGTACCTCAGGTATATTTCCAACACGCGAAGGTCGCTTGACCTTATGACGCCTGTAGAAACTCCCAGATTGCAATTATTTACAGCTGTATTTTTAAGGGTGGCATACAACAAGAGTTGCCCTAGGAGTCATGTACCTAGGTACGTAACCTTGGTCAGAGTGCTCTTGCTTATTCTTTCCAAGATGACTTCATATCATTTACCGTTGCCCCCCGACAGCTTTGCCGGCTTGCATTAGCAACTGGCAACCTACAAACTTTTGTGCCGTACCTAAGTACTACTGCCTGATTCTTTCCTTAACTGAGCCTACTTAAACATTGCTCGTCTTCTCTTCATCTACCATTTCTCCAAGTCTCTAAACAACCTTTTCCAATAATTTCCATCCAAACTACAAACCTAAACTAATCCAACATCACTACTTTCAATCAAAACCACGATTGAATTAACCTTGATTCTAACATAATGGATCGAAGACTGGAGGGATTGTTCGGGAACTTCAGTTTCCCGGTCGATTGCATTCGCGCAATCGTACCTTACGCTGAGAGTTCCGCAAACCTCCATGATCTTGGAGAAGATCTCACTACTCCTAGTCAACCTCAGCAACCTTTAATGGGTGAGTCTACTACAACCTTCGCGCTCCCCTCGAGGCTTACGGAACTAACATTGGTACAGTTAATACACCGACTTCACAACAATCCCATATATCTATTGCGGGCATGCAGCACAGCTTGGCTCAGCATAACGATGGACAAGCAAACAATGGACAAGCCAACGACGGGCAAGACGAAGCAGATAACGTCAGCCCCGCATCGGGCTTCTCAACCAACTACCACGGGACGAAGAACGAGAGAAACAAGCCTGATGATATCTCGGACGATGAGAATTGTGCTGTCTGGATCGAAGGTCTCCCCACCGATATCGATTATCCTATGCTATTGGCAGGACTTCGAGGGACTGGCAAGATATATGCCGTTTTCATCAACGATCCTGTTAAGCGACACCATACGTGCGCCGCGAAGGTTGAGTTCTGGGGACGAGACGGTGTGACGAGACTATTCCAAAAGGTCGGGAATGGCGAGCTCAGGTTCGGTGAATTGGTGCCAACGGTACGGCCAAATCGCGTGAAGAAGGGCGCGCAACCTGTTTCTCATCGCTCCAGAGTCATAGAGATCACAGGACCTACCGGAATAGTCAATATTGTGACTATTACCGCGGAACTACAACAGGCATTCTACTATGACTTAGAGCTGGTCGAGACTCTCTGGACAGAGGAAGGGCAATCAATGATGCGGTGGACCTTTGCATCCTATAGAAATCAAGCTGAAACCGCAATGCGCATCTTCGCCAGTAGGAAGAATAACGTCGAACCATCTTTATGGCAGCAGGTCCATTTCCGCTGGGGGCGGGATCCATGTGAGCCTTGAAGCTTAACCATTGAGGCGGCATCAGAGGATTGAGATTGTATTAGGGGATTGATATTGTATTAGGTGGACTTTAACAGATGTTGTGGTCGCTAGGGGCACACGGATAAGGAGGGATGAAATAAATTGCGTTGTCTTTCCTTGTTCATACATATTTCAGTCTGATTCTATGTCAGGTGGTATATCGGCTCTGCTCCGGTACTCTAATCATTCCTCATACTATTGCCGCGTTGTGTTGTTTAGGTGCTGCTTTAATTTGACAATTAATATCACAGAGAGGTATACTTGGACTGTAGGTTTGGAAGGAGAAATAGGGGTAAGGCGTCTTAATTAATTGTTAGTTAGGTACCTAGTCTTTACTCTACATCGCCCTATTCGTTTCTCTTCTATTCAACCATTTCACTAGAATGTTATTTCTAATGGAGCTCAGTCTAACATATCTCCTAACAAGATGACGATTTAATTTGTAAGGTGATAGTCAAAGCTACACCGGCCATCCGCAATCTCATGCAGCCGCCCCACGGTACCGGACTCGGAGCTGAGACGCTGACTTGGAATCAGTAGCTAACGTCGACATTTATATATTGACGTACCATTCGCGCCGACCAATTATCAAAATGTCTCCGCCTGGCCGAATCGGAAAGATATCTACTCCACCCCACGGAAACCCTTTGCCTCTTACATATGTAAGCAGGCCACCCTAGTCGATGGCGTGCTGATGGCGTGCGACAGCACATTCACCACATTGGTTCGGCTCGGGGTCGATAAGTCCCCTGGCCATGTAACAAGAGACCCGCCAGTCCCGGTAGCTGTAAATAATTAATAATGGCAAAAGGTTTAAGAACAAGTACATCATCATTCATTATCGACGTTGCAAGGTCGGGTTGCGTTTATGTCAAAATAGCTATGATACACTCGTCATGATATACTCGTTGAAATAAGTGCCTATGAGATTGATTTACCTGGGACATTTACAAGTAACACACTCGGCTCGGCATCATCGCAGCTATGGCGGAAACGCAACCTAGACGTACTCACGTCGGCAGAAACTCGTGGAAAACAGTCCGTACGCTCTTGCGGAAGATAAGAACGAAATCGAACTCGAATGAAAAAGCGCAGTCCAACTTAATAGAGGGAAAACGGAAAAATTCCACGCCGACAACAACGACAGATGAATCCGCTAACGTCTCGGTTGCCGAGTTCGCTGTGCCTGGTATGCAGAAGGCCCTCGTCGTTGCTCGTAAGGGCGAATACGAGATCCGCCATGACTTCCCGATGCCGACCGTCGGGGACGATGAGATTATGATTCGAGGACATTACGTCGGCCTGAACCCTATCGACTGGAAATCTGTTGACTATAATTTCTGCTTGCCTGAATTTCCATGGGTAGGCTTACCCCTCCTTACTCGCTGAACGATAAAGACTTACAAGAGCCTCCAGGTTACGGGCCGAGAAATGTCTGGGGTGGTAGCCCAAGTTGGTTCTGCCGTTACTCATTTTAAGCAGGGCGACTATGTCTGGACCAGTACGTACTATAAGGACGTTCGTGCTGGCTGTTTTCAGGAGTATGTGGTTGTGCCCTCGCATACTGTGCTTCCCATCCCATCAGGAGTACCCATCGAGGCCGCGGCATGCCTAGGTGTTGCGGCCTTGACTGCATCTATGACACTATGGAAGTGGTTAGGCGTACCGTTTCCGCAACAGCCCGCAGATACCGAAGAGGAGCCATGGCTTTTGATCTGGGGTGGCTCTACTGTTACAGGTCAATTCGCTACGCAGATTGCGCGGCTCAGCGGGATTAAAGTAATAACCGTCAATTCCGGGGAGACGAAGTCGTTATCCGAGCGCTTGGGTGCGAGCCATGTAGTAGTGAGAGACGGAAAGTCAGATGAACAGGTTGTGGACGAGATTCGAGCTATCACCAGCGGCAATATCACGCGAGCAATCGACTTAGTAGGACCTAAGACAGCAACACTAGCGCTTGATTCCGTATCAAAAACCAAGCCAGTCGCTTTCGCACCGCTAGCCATGATGTCAGGTTCTCAAATAGTCCCCGAGAACGTCGAAGTGCATACGGTTGAGATGAAGCAATTCGTCCTTGATAAGAGCAACGTCCGTTATACCGAAGAACTCGGAAAGCTATTAGAAGGAGGCAGGATTATTCTGCCCGAGTTACATTTAATTGATGGAGGTTTACACTCAATTCAAGGGGGGCTAGAGATGTTGAAGAAGGGGAACTTGAAAGGCAAGAAGTTGGTGGTGCGGATGTAATGAGAGGGGTATGAATTGTGCTTTTAGTAATGCATTAGAACGCCACTGGGCTTTTAACCCGTGGGTATAGTATATAGACCAGCATACGGAGGGCGTTGAGGTAGTGTGGCTATTTGGTCCTTGCAAATCAATCTATATATCCAAGGTCGAGAGCATTATATATAAGCGTCTAGATTAGAGAAAGTGTGTGTGTTGGAATATATTAATGGTCAGGCCCGGTTGACTTTCAACGCTAAGATGGATATAGTAGATATAAAGAGATGCTAATAAAGGATTGCACGAATAAGTTGAAGAATAAGGCTACCTGCAATCAGCATATAGGCCTGTTACGATGAAACCCCTATAGCTTTCCGAAAAGTCTTCATCATCTCACCCCCTTTAACACCAATCTAGTATAATTCCAATGTATTATATATCACCAAGCAAGCTTAGCCAATATTCCGTTAGGGTATCTCCGTATGAGGAACTTGCGTATTTCGTCGAATATCAGGATGAACAGACCGAAAGCGAAAGGTAGGAACCAGTGTTCTACCGGCACGGGCGAGGTTCCCAGAACTGACTGTAGTTGAGGGATGTAAAGCCATAATATAGCCATGGATAGAGCGAATATAATTGCTGGGAAAAGATATAGGTTTCTTGTGTGCTTATTGAAGGCAGGAGGGTGCTGGAAGATACTCCATCGCCGAGTGCGTACTGCGAGCAAGTTGAACCATTGCCTATGCCAAGTCAGTCTATTTGTAACCATTACAATTCTCCGATAGAATTTCTTACATAACAACAAGGTTGACGAAGTAAATGGAAGATGCCTCATTCAGTTTTTGAGCATAATAATCTTGGTCGATCCAATCCGGGAGATCTCCAAAAGAGAACCATAGCACGCGGAACGGTATTCCGTTCTTCTCTAGATACCAATAAGCCATCGCGAAGGAGGCGATAGTCTCAATCATGCCAAGAACACCATATGCGTGGATAACAAGTTTCCAATCGACCAAGCGGTCTTTCTTGACGTTGCGCGGCTTACGCAACAGGACGTCAGCCTCTGGTTTCTCGTAGGAGAGTACTGTCGCGGCAGCGCAGTCTGTGAAGCAGCTATGTAAATATTGTCAGTGTATTCGCCTATAACTATTATTCCAGCTCAAATAACGCTTACCATATGATAATCATGAGGAAAGACGAGAGAATCTGCGGGATCCCAAAGATAACGTTGGTCATAACCGGCCAGAACTCAGCGAAACTTCCAGCCGGAAGCAGGTAGCAGATCACTTTCTTGAGGTTATCAAACACCACCCGACCATATTGTACCGCCTCAACAACAGACGAGAACGAGTCAAGCAGTACCATGTCGGCTGCCTCGATGGCGATGTCGGAGCCGCTTCCAAGAGCAATACCGACGTCGGCAGCCTTTAAAGACGGAGCATCATTCACACCATCTCCAGTCATGGCCACCACGCCATTTGTCTGGAACTCTTTCACGATACGTAGTTTCTGTTCCGGGGTCGTCCGAGCAAAGACAATCTCTTCATACTCCGTTAATACTCTCCATTGGTATTCATTCAGGCCCAACAGTTCCGGTCCACTAATAAGAATCGACAAGCGGGTGTTTGGAGCCTTATTTTCATTTTCTACCTCCTCCCTAGGGAGCGAGGAGACGTTGTGGACCAAGGGCGTAGGAGTGCTTACGATGCCGGCGTCCTGAGCAATCGCAAGAGCTGTAAGAGCAAAGTCGCCAGTTACCTTCATGTTGCATATTGTTAGTAGGGATATAGTACCCGGTTACTTGGCCTCACTTACCATGAATACCCTTATACCAGCACCACGCAGCGTCGAAACGACTTCGCGAATTTCCGGGCGCAGGGGATCGACAATAGCTACAAGGCCAACTAACGTCAAGTCTGACTTAGCATGCGTGACGATCTCATCCTCAAATTGAGTTGTTCCGGATTGGCATTGTAGCTCGCCTTGTCGAATGACCTTGCGAGCAAGCAAGAGGCAACGTTTTCCCTGACTGCTGTACGCGTTTTTCATGTTTTCAAACGATGCCCGCGTATCGTCGTCGAAGGGATGCACATCGCCCGCATTATTAACGAAAGAGGAGCATCGGCTAATAAGGACGTCAGGGGCCCCCTTTATAGTCAAAAGTCTAGTATAAGTCAGTATTGAATCTTTCAGACACTTTCGAGCTTCTTACGTGTCGCCAGAATGGAAATTTTCCGCCTCGGCCTCCGATAGAGTAGCCTCTAGACAGTCCTTCTTGAACATGGAAAATGTTCTGATCATAAACTTGTTCTTGCTGTTGAAAGCCAGTTCATACGTCTTCTGCCAGGATTGGCGTAGTTGCTGCACTGAACCGAACCGTTCAGAAAATCTCAACACTGCCTGGTCGGTAGCGTCACCGAAGACACGGCGCTGTTCAATAGGCAAATCCATGGTTGCGGCGTCAAACTCAGCTGCGTTGCAGAGTCCAGCGATGGCGCGCAATTGATCTACACCTGTTGTTATCATACCAGCAATGGCCGGTGCTGCACTCGTATCCAACTCGTCCTCGGCCCCCTTAACTGTAATAGTATGAGTCCCAATAGTGCACTCAGTGACAGTCATTCGATTCTAAACGAGATCAGTTAAGAACCAATGGAAATATCGGTGCCGACGTCGACTCGTTCTTTACCTCGGTAAGGGTCCCCGTCTTGTCGGAGCAGATGACTGACACAGATCCCAGGGTCTCGACTGTCTTCAACGACTTGCATAGGACTTTATGCTTGCGCATCAGGTTCGCGGTAATCGTCAAACCGGCGGTCAATGCGATGGGCAAACCCTCGGGGATAAAAGCGATAGCTACGCTGACGCATCCCACGATGAGATTTGGGACGTTAATCCAATTTGGATGGACCTTTCTGAGCCAAGCACCCCTGAGTATTGTTAGCACTGGCCACCGATGATAGATCTATACTTCACTCACCAGACAATCAGCACTATGGTAATCATCGTGAGCATGATAGAGCAGATGATGATGACGAAGTATAAGACCTCCTTTTCCAAAGTAGTCAGTTTTACTTTGGGTTCGTTGGTTAAAGCCGCGATACGACCAAATACTGTGCGATCACCGGTGGCTACAACCAAGCCCGTACATGATCCAGATACGCAGTGAGTACCCTGTAAGCCAATGCAGCGAGTTTCTAAGTAGTTATTGTCTGTCGAATCTACCGTTGCTGAGAGAGGCAATGACTCTCCGGTTAGAATAGACCTGTCAAACTTAGCATCGCTGGAAACTTGAAGAAAGCGCATGTCAGCCGGCAATTTGTTGCCAGCCTTAATGCACACGATATCGCCGGGTACGAGCTCTTGTGCATCGAAGGAAGCCTGGACACCGTTTCGAATGACTATGGAGTCTTCGGGAAGCATGTTCTTAATGGAACTCATCACACGAGATGAGCTCCAGTCCTGGAACATATTAAATGCAGCCTGGATGAAGAATACCGCAACCAGAACTATTGCTAAGGCCTGGACATGGATATTAGAGCTAGTAACTGGAAATATTATGTCCTCTTCCTAGATTATTGCTTACCAGATTAGCCAAGGATGGAGGTTGACCGAGCGGTTTCCACGAGATGAAAACCAGAATAGCCCCAAGCAGAAGTATAGGGCCGAATCCTTTAAAGAAATAACCAAAGTATTTCTGAATGGTACGTGAATCAGGAGGAGATGGGGCATTTCGGCCGTACTCTTTCATTCTACGAGTAACTTGTTCGGTTGAAAGACCCTCGGTCATCGATGTGCTGAGACGTCGGAGGGCCTCTTCGGTCGATATAGTGTGCCATTCGAGCTCGGACAGATCTATGGGATCGATGTTAGTAAGCTCCTTGAGTGTAATCTTCAGAGTAGGTACAACCTCTTACCCTTGGTAGCTTTGTCTTTCGCCTCAGTTAGCCGTACGACATCCTTCTGTTTGGATTCTTCGATCTGGTACGAACTGGAATCTCAATATTAGAATTACCTATGGTTTACTATTGTTGAATTGGTAAATCCCGCCACTTACACGGTGCGGTACTGGATAGGGAGGATGATAGATGGGTCAACTTCACGTCGTGAGCGCACGCTACGAATAGACATTGAGCCACTGGACTGTGTACGACGGAGCCCACGAGGAGGACGGGCAGCCTCCTCGTCGTCCCATTTTACACCATGTTTGAGGTCGGGTTCGTCCATTTCGTAAATAATGGCCAAGCGTATAAGTTGACGTACATACACCACACGAGTAAGACGAGATGAATAAACAGTTCCGAGAATGTAACAGAGAGTCGGTCAATCAAGGTGGAAAGCCCAGGTGACTGACTGAGTTAACTACCAATTTATATTATGAGATATCGCTATCTACATAAGCTACAGAGGTGTCTACTAGCAGTTAATGGAACGCTGAAGTAGGATAATAAAGCTGTTGATGACATGCAAGAAAACAGGATGTCGCACTGTGAATTGTTAGACGTCTTCGCATATCCTTCACAGTATAACTCAATTATATATACTCAAAGCTCCGTTAAGCTCCAATAATCACATGTTGTTGTTGTTGTTTTTTCACCGATTTCAAGCGCCAGGAACCCTAGAGAGATGTAAAGGGGCGGTGCCAATTAACCTGCATTCTTCGAAAATTGAGCTGGACATACATAATTCGCGCACCGGATCTAGCAAAGCTCTGCTTACATAGGTAGCTACCAGCTCCGGGGGGTTCCAAGGTGGGAAAGGTTTTGGAGAAACGGGGTCCAAGTCACAACATATATAAAATCATCACCATGATACAATTAATAGTTAGGGATGTACTCGGACGTGTATTTAAACCAACTAGTAAAGAGGAGCCCGTGCTCCACGTAGGTAACACCAATACATAGAAGGGCGGCCTCCCGACTTGTGGGTCAGCCATCAAAAGGGCTCCTCAATATAATATATATCTCTCACATTAACGACTGGAAAGGGATCTGGCTTGTCTGTGGGGTATGCATTTCATTGGCAAGGATGTAACTCCTCCCCTGCGAATGATGTATTCTTACATTCAAGATATAACTATCTAATATACTATACCTCTTTTTAGACATGACCTCCATGCCATGCACATGGCAGGGTGGGAAAACTCTCTTTGTGTATCCCACGCCGCCGACATGACCTTCTGCCTTACTCCGATAGGTCAGAAGCCATGTAGCTCGGTTTATTCCCTATCCGGTTGTAAGCGTACATTCAAGGGCGGCAGGTCTCAAGTGCGTATGCTTGCTTTTTAACCTCGCTTATGAGTACTTCGAATGACTTGAGACTTGCAACATAACCATAGATGGCTTGCCTATGCCAAATTGGATAGTTTGTGAACCTGTTATATACTTCGAAGCAGTAAAGATTAGAGTGACCCATTGCTACATCAAGAATCCTCACAAATTATAATTAGGATGGCACCCTGCATTTTAAATAATAACCGCGGATAAGAGGCTGGTATTCGTAACCCCTTTCTAGATTACCTAGACGTAGCTGAAAGGAGATCACGGTATGTATATTTTTCTCGTATATTTCTAATGAAGCACATTCTCCCTCGTTTTCAACTCACTATTCACACATGGCCTCCGAACTACTCATCGTAGCATATCTTCATGGTGCACGGGAACGGAAAGTACGCTCCCCTATCCTCTCTCATATACATATAAAGACCTCCAGGTTGAAGGACTTTCTTAAGCTCTCCCTGAGGCCCGGGTGCTCTCCGCACATTCTTCAACTTGAATACGGACCGGAACATCTCAGTAAGCCCTGCTTGGCCGGCGTCATGTCCAAGACGGACGTGCGGTCCAAGGCCGAAGTGGATGTAAGCGTCCAGCGGGCGACGCGGGTTCACTTTATCGGAATCAGGGAAATGCTCAGCGTCCTTAGCCGCGCCGGTCTTCGCAAATTCAGGTCAGCTACTCCTTAATTCTTTATCACGTTGCTTGGTGGGTATTCCACTTACAGAGCTAATAAAAATACGGTCACCAACACTAATCGATACCTCGCGATTGTCATCCTCTGTGCTCGTATCCCCGGTCGCTGCTTGACGATACGAGCCAAATGTCCCCGAGAGCCTGATACCTTCCATGCAATACCCGAGCATTAACGCGTCAGTTTCGCTCGAAGACGGATTGTTAGCGATACTATGGATCTCGGGTATATACTTGGATCCTTCCGAGGATAAGTAGTAGTCTACTGCTTGAGCGAACTATTTGAGCGTCAGTTACTATTATAATGTCAATCCTGGAGTCTTCGAGACGTACCACTTCTGCGATACTCGGTACAGATGCCGATGCAGTAGGCAGGACCCGAGTCCATGTAATGTCGTGGTTATTCATACCAGCTTTGGATAAACCCTTGACCAAATTATTACCGTACGATGTTAATGGATCGTTCTTATTTGACCCCCCAAATAGCCCGCCAATTCCAAAGCCCGTCACCGTCTTCACGTTAGCCTCGATCAATTTACCTAACTGACCAGCAACAGCTTTTGCCGCCTGTCGGGTTGGGAACGACTTCGTGGGATCGATGTCGGAGAAGATGCAAATAAAAACCACAGCAAGGACCACGTATAACTCCTGTTCGCTATAGATACCCTTCGGGTTCTCCTTTGTCTTGAGCGGCAGGTTGAATACACGCGCAGTAAAGTGTACTGGTCCAAGGTTTCCGACATCCCGGACAATATCGACAAAGTTCTGACCAGCTAGCTTATAGGTCTTCTCTTTTATGAGTTGGTCCGTGATATGGGAGTAAAATTTCTTGACTTGGGAATGCCAGTCCCCTTTGTACAGCTGATCGGGTGTAAGTTCTCTCTGGCTGGCATGGGAAGATGAATCTCTCGGATGCAAGCGATTCCCACTATGGCCCATGAGGTATGAGAGTCCGTCATTCCCTAGTACACTATACTTATCTTGATTATCGTGTATGTGTTGCGCTCCACTATATGTCGTGATGTTAATAGGAGGCGGAACAAACGAAGGTCTGTCATAGTTGAAGTGTTGAACTCGTCCTAAATTAGTCAAGATCATCTTGGTCTCACTTGGAACTGTATGTAAACACTAATTAGCTGCCATGTTTATCAATCATAATACATTCATGCACCGGTATACATACCAACCATGGGGTAGTGGGCATAGACTGAATCTCCTTTGAAGTGGTTTGGGAAAGCTCGTGTGAACAGCTTATAAAACACACAACCTTGGTTAATGTTCAGATCATACGCGACTTCGTTGTACCCCCAAGAGGTAAGACCACGCGGATGGTAGTCAGTAGTGTAGAAGCGGTCTCCTCGAGTCAAGCAGACGGCATCAGAAAGAATGACTCGAGAAATCGTGTAAGTAGGCTGAGCGATGTTAGTAATCTTCTTGTCATTATATACCACGAATGGAAAACATACGGCAATTCCGACTCCGGGGACCATTGGCTCCTTTGCCTCCTCGGCAACAAGCCCTGGGTAGAGCTCGACAAAATCAGGATGCTCATATAAATGGCGGAGTGAGTCAGCAATTTCAGGGTCAGAGTTGATATCTTCAAACTTCTCATACGGCTTCAGTCCAAAGTGCTTGCGGAACTCGTTCAAGCCTGCAACGTTCCACTTTCGGCCTTGAAGGATACCCAAGATTTCGACGGGCTTCATTGATTCCGGTACGTTGCGGCCACCGAATGCCCCTGCACAGTCTTCGATGGCGTCGGAGATACACCCGACAAGATCGTCATCGCTGAATCTACCATCGGAATTTCGTTTGAAACCCCCGAATACTCTCTCGGCGGGATCGTCTGGGATGCCGCTGTCGAATTTGGCAAAGCCCATAACCAAGTCTTGGTGACTTAGTTCTGATGGGTCTTTATGAAACAGCTCGCGGAAGAAGTCCTGTATCCATCGGTCGTCCTTATCCGAGATACAAGAGTGCCACCTATAGATTCTTGAGTAACCGTAACTCGAGATGCAACGGCTCGTTTGTATTACTTACCTGTAGCAAAGATTAAACTCGGCCGAAACCATACTGCCAGTACCGCGCTCAGACCCAGCGTTAGTGCCAACATCGTGGCCCATCTCTGCGCGGGGATCGAGAGTCCATGTAGTGTTGCTCCGATTGAGATTAACAATGTTTCTTACGTAGTCAATCAGCGTAATATTGATATACAACCCAGAGGTGACGAGTCGGGCAGTCTGAAAAAGATCATTGTCATATTTCTTCCACGCAGCCGCAGCCTTCTCTTCGCTTAGACCCGCACGCGGAGGCGTAAAACGGCCACCCTCGTTAATCGCAGCTAGGTTTGCTGCGACGTGGTTATGGAAACGGTTGAACATGATCAGAATAACGCTAACTCCAGGTGGCGATCCAAGAAGCCGCTTGTCCGCAAAGGTGTCGGGTTTCATCATTCCGTCTTTGAAGGTCCTTACGGAGTCCTGCATAGCCTGGTTGCTTCCGTAGAGGGGGGAAAGATCCAAGTACGAAGAGGTCTTGGTCTTGCTCATGTCGGTATGGTCTGTCCAGAAGAGATCATGAATAATGATAGTTGCCCAATACCAAAGCACTGAAGAGACATTGTTCGGGTGCTTGCGGTATTTAGTCCTCTTCATGACCGCTTCGAAAATGAGACCCGGATCAGGCATGGCTCCTAGGGGTACAATGCCTGGGCGGCAACTCCTGGCGTATGTTGATCCGGCCGCTCCAAGTTGAGGGTTAGTTGGGTTGTTCCATGACCCATCTGCCATCCTGTATTCGTGCTTCTCGCCCACATATAACAGAGGTGGGTGGTCTAGCGTATCCCAGAGCTCGTTCAAGAAGGTATTGGTGAGCTCCTCTCTGAGCCGTGAGCTATGAGGTAGTCCGGCGACAAGCTGTATGACACGCTCCATTATCATCGTCTTATCGTCTACAAGCTGTTCTCCTTTGACCTTGCTTCGGGCTAGATCTAGGACTGTCTTCACATCTGTCATAGGTATTTAGTAAAACACTGTTTTCCGGCTGTTCGTGGCGACATACCTTTTAGGCTGAGATACTTCAGGTCATTCTTCAATCCTGTCCTTTGAACTGTCGTGCTATAAGTGCCATCGCCATTCTGGATGGGGAGAGGTCGTCGTAAAGGATTTAGCAGTTGTCCAAATTGGGTAAAGACCGTTGAGACACCTTCACGGTCGGCCTTTGGGGGGTGCTCGAACTTCTCCTTAGAGGGTCCTGCTGAGTATCCTGAAGGCTTGCTCATTGTGGTAGAGCTGTTGGAATCGATATGGTGAGGTCTACTGCCGTTGGTTCTATGAACCCCGTTGCCTATTGTTGGGTCTCCCATTATGGTTCGCCTGCAAGAGTCAACTTTCTGAAGAGTCAAGTAAAGCTGATAGGTACAGTGTAGTAAAGTATGAGTTCCAGAGACTACTTAACATACACAAGATTCACTTTAGTAATAGTACAACCCTCGGCTAACCGCCTTCGTTAACTAATCGAATCAGAAGAGAATTCCGAGTTCGGATATAGATCTAATATGCTTGGACTACTTAACTGGACTCTTCCTTACATATGCGACTACATAGATCGGGTACCTACGTGGACTAGCTCTCCTTGAAACCAATACCTACAAGCTTTACGTAGCACGGCCTATCCCATCAAGGAGGCGACAACGGTCAGAACACCATCAATACCTATGCATAATGGATGACATAAAATCAACATTTGGCGTATTGGCGTTCACTCTACTGGCCCTAAACCGGACTACATCATGCATTTAATATATCGATTCTGCAGCCCTTTCCACATATTATGAGCGCCGCTGTACCTACATAGTAGTATAGGTATAGCAGACCAATAGACGTAAACGTTATCATCATCATCATCCACATATTATGAAGTATCATGTCTTGAAACTAGTGACAATTGTCTTCCTTCGATAGAAAAGCAAAACAACCCCAGAGAACTAATAAGATTAACCGGTTAGCCACATTTCGTCACACTCGGTAACCCTTCATATAGAGCTGAACAACTACAATTAGTATTGATCAACGTTTATTATATCCAATCCTATGCCAATAAAATATTATAGTCTAGTGGTTCCACCAATAATATGTTGCGAGATGTAAGATGTCAGACCACAACTATTACATAGCCGGTTAGAACTAGCCATTTAATATTATATTGCAACCTTAATGCAGTTTGTGATACAGTCGGGCTTGGATATCTGACTAGAGAACTCCTTGAGTTTGTAAATGCTTATGGCCCTGACAAGTTATCCTTTTCAACAGCAGCCGAGAACTATAGCTATTCAAGTTGAATGCATAAGTATCTACCTAACTAACCAATATAGGTGGCTGTCAGCCAAAACTTGCTTTCTGGCCATTCGCAGACATGCTTTTTGACTATGATCGACCTAGTGATCTCAAGGGGGCATTTGTCCCAATAGCTAGGACATGATCGACATTACGTCCTCACCAAGCCTCTCGACGATCCAATAGTTTGCCATCGAACGCCTATTTGGCTTGGCGAAATTGCTTCGTATATACGGCGGTCTTCGGACAGTCGCATTAGATTCTCGCTGTATACCTACATAGGTAACCTAGATATCCTTGGTGGGTTGCTTAACACCAAGCTCTACCGTGTAACACCGCACTAAATTATCTTTTCTAATGGACCGGCATCATTTAGTACCCGAAGGGCATTGCCGGACGGGTTGCGAGGATTCAAAAGGGCGTGTCACGACGTCCTCGAGTCTCGATGGGGATCTGGATTACCGTAGTCACGCATGGACAACGATGGATCCAGCAAAGAACTCTCGTACTCCCCAAAAGCTTGTGCTGTGTTTCGACGGCACAGGCAATAAGTTTAGAGGTGACGACAGTGACAGTAACATCTTGAAGATATTTAGATGTTTAGATCGAGAATCGGGTGGCCAATGTATATATCTAAGATCCGTTCTATAAAGCAAGCAGGCTTTCTTTAGACCAACTCGCTAACCGTCGGATTAGATCACTACTATCAACCGGGGATAGGGACATACGTAGTGTCCAACTCGCTGTCCCACACGAGTCTAAGTGCTAGATTCCGATCATGGTACTTGAAGGCCAAAGACTCCGCCATCGGCTCGAGTTTCGACCACCATGTAGTAGGCGGATATCGATTCCTCATGCGTTTCTATCAGCCAGGAGATGAGATCTACTTTTTCGGCTTCTCCCGAGGAGCCTATGTAGCCCGCTTTCTAGCGGAGATGCTTGACTACATCGGCTTACTTTCGCATGGAAATGAAGAGATGGTGACCTTTGCCTGGAAAGCATTTTCTCAGTGGCAGAGTCGCCAGTCTGACCAGACCGAAGAACATCAGGCACAACGACAGGAGATGTATCGATTCATGAAGGGATTTCGGGAGACATTTAGCCGTCCTGTTAAGAGGATCCGATTTTTAGGGCTATTCGATACTGTCAACTCCGTTCCTCGATTCGAGTCTGCGTGGATGCAAAGGTCCAAAATGCCATATACTGCGAGAAGCAGCGCCAAAGTGGGTTAAATAATGCAGCAACTATTATAACTATTATCGCTCGTCTGACTCATTACTAATTAATCATAGGTCATTCGACATTGCGTATCTATAGACGAGCGTCGTGCAAAGTTTAGACAGGACCTCATTTACCAAGGGACTAATAAAGACAAGAAAGCACACAGGCACTTGCACGAAGTTATGCACGACAAGTATCGCACAAAGCGAGGCGCTGTCTCGGAGTTGACATCGAATAAGAAACCAGAGAGAGGACGACGCGAAACCTTAGCTCCCCCTGACGAACATACGTTCCGACCCCATTCCCGTTCCCGGTCTCGGGCAACGAGAAGCTCTACCGACAGAACGAGCCAAGTCGGCAATGATAAGCCGGAAACTGCTCATATGAGCAACATTGACGAGGATTCGGATGATGATGAACAAGACATCGATGAGATCTGGTGAGTTGCACAATACCAAATAACCCCTAAGGATAATAGTAGCTAAAGTCAAGACAGGTTTGCCGGTGGTCACGGCGACGTTGGAGGTGGATGGGAGATCATGCCAGACACCAAATCTGCAAGCCATATACCCCTTACCTACATGATCAGAGAGGCACAACGAGCAGGTCTCAATTTTGATCCCGAGAAACTATCTGAGATGGGAGTCGCCGAACCTTCTGATGAGCCTAACAATAACGCCCGCCACGACGAGGCCGTCCCCGACATTCGCGTTGACAAGTCAAGCCCAACGAGCCAAGCTCCACCTTGCCTTGATATCCAACCTACGCATTGGGATCACTTTGATTTTATAGGCGATGAAGAAAAGAAACAACAAAGCGAACAAGACGTCCGGTCATTCCATCGGATGCTTCACAAAGCCCATCTAGCCAGAATCCACGACTCTCTGGAGTTTTCATCCGGCTTGAGCAAAGGCCAAGTGATGACCTGGAATATAAGTATGTCACCTCCCTACCCCTTACTCGTTCGTCGCTCTCGTGTACCTAGACCTATGCGATGGCCTATATAAAAAGATAACCGCTAATCTTGGTGATATAGTGGAGTATATGCCATTCCGGCGAATGGATCTACGACCGGACGGATCATGGAAGCCGATCCGTTGGCCGCTTCCATGCGGTGAAGTGCGAGACATCCCCCATACCGCCAGAATACACGGGTCGGTAATTCGACGCATGAAACAAGATAGCACCTACCGCCCCGGAAATCTCATTATTAGTGGCGGCGGACGCGGACAGCGCAGAGCCCCTGAGTCATATGGTATTGGCGAATGGAAATGCGTCCAAGATCATGAAGATCCCGTAGGTGAGGTTTGGGTCAAAGATACAACTGGCAACGCCGAGTCGTGAAGAAAAGTCTATGAGCTGATGGTAGGGAAATGTAACATTACATAGACTCGTTTCAATGTACTCGTTGTTAAACCAGACAATATCCTATACTTGCTCTCTTGGTTTGAATTCTAGTCTCAATTAACTCATGCACCTCACTAAACCATTCCATTACGCAAATATGAGAAGAGTGATTCTATATTAGAAGTTAACCGATCTATTAATCAACCCTACCAGTATTTGTAGGATCTACCCAGATGACCCAGCCAAACCGTCCAGTCCTATCCAGCACCGCGCATATATCAGCGTTACGCTGTAGGATTCTATGCTACCCCATATATCTCTAGCCGTGAGGACATATCGAGTTAGGATCTGTGAATTTAGCAAGGGTGCCAAGTGACATAGCCTATCTATCAACTCTACAGGAATGTTGGCCGGTGATTAAATTATTCGTATTGGCTTGCTTGTTATACATATAGACTAAATAGGCTCTTGATCGCCTCATTGCTACCAATGACATGAATGGAGTGTAGTATAATGGCATGGTGCGGAATCCAAGTTCCTTCTTTAGCACTATATCCGCAAGTTTCTTAAACCCTATTAAAAGACTCCATTATTCCCTAAGGGGTTGTAGTTAGGGATTCGGGTAGGTATACCTACAGCGCAAGTTGACCAAGTAGAGTCTCAGCCGAGAGTATGTGAGGTAGGCAACTATTTGAAAAGACCCCTTAATAATCTCGGAAGGGACTTCAGAGAACATAGAGAATATTTCTGAATAATATTGGTTTTCTTTTTGAATGGCACTAGCTTTACACACAACATTTTTACGATGTGATATAACTCAACAAACTTGATTTGACTTGACCTATTGGCGACGAAGACCCCGACTTCATCAACTGACTGTCCCCCTTTTTATTCACGGTGATTTCCTCCATTGCAATCCTCTCAAACAATAGTTCAAACATAGGATGCCTTTTTTTTTGTCTTCTTTTCCTCGTGCTATTGTCAAGTTGGTCACGTACCCACTTGCTCACTCCACGCCCGCCCTTTGTTTTGATATTCTCCCCTGAGAGACCTTACACTTTAAGATCTCTCTCTACAGAGGTAGGCCTTACTCAGCATAGCCCGCATCCAACCAAGTCTGCTGTAGCATAGTACCTTGCGAGTTCCGAATTTCGTGTCGTTCGCTCGTGGTTTCGTCCTCCCCAATCACGTACTCCAAAGAACTGCTTGCGACGATGCACAGGGGTTTCAGCCCGTCCCTTTTTTTCTCGTCAAAATGCCACACCTCCCTCACTCTCCTCGATCTTGCTAGTCATAATACAGGAGGGCGAAAATGGGGTATCTGAAGAATGATTTGATTCCATCGATCAAAAGGGTCTGTACGTGGACCCGATCCGTCAAGGAATATTAACCGGCCGCATTAATGTCGCGCGTAATGGAGAGGTCTAACCGTATCGTATCATGTACGCCATGAGTCATGCCGGAAAAGAACATAAGGGGATAGAAAGACGAAAAAACCAGGGGTTTGAAATTGGGAGAAGGGGTAAATCCCCAGGTCGATTCCGGAGAAGATCGTGAGAAATCTAGTATAACTCACGCTTTTGAAACAGTAGGAGCTTGTAATGGTCGAACACCTAGACACCGATAAATAGGTGAAGCGATGAAAGGTTTCGAAGGGATAGATGGAAGTATAAATGGTAGGTGTAGTAAATCAGGCAAGAGATAAATGCTCGTTATGCTTAAATTTTAATAATTCAAGATGCAAATGCAAGGAAAATATGATTATCCAAAGTTTTGTAAGGCCTCCTTCAGGGAGATTTTGTCTAGGTAACTCGAATCTCGCGGACAGACAGACTTTATCCTGTTGAGATGGCTGGTGTAACGGCCAAAGCAATCAGATCCATTCGGGAGTGCTGTCGAAATAGCAGCCCGGTCGACAGATGCTAGCCGCCAAACTAAACCAGATCGAATACCGCATGAATTGCGATATTCTTATGCTACCGGGGGGATAGCCGGAGCAGCGGGGATCTCAACCTCAGCCGGGACTTCGCCGTTGGTGTTCTTTTGAGGGCAATCGCGGGAAATATGGCCAGCTTCGCCGCACTGGTAGCACGTCTTGCCGGCGGTGTTTAGGGGGCCACCGTTGGGTGCTGTGCAGTCTCTGGAGATGTGACCGAGCTTCCCACAAGCATAGCACTTCATAGCCTGAGCTTGACAGTCGCGCGCGAAGTGGTTCGGCCCGCCACATTTATAGCACGTAGCCGGTCGGGGTCCACCGGCGAAACCGCCCCGGCTAAAACCACCGTAGCCACCACGGCCGACCGGGGCGCCACGTCCGATTCCAACACCGGCAGGGTTAGGGCAAGCTCGGGCTAGATGGCCTGGCTGACCGCAGTTGTAACAGCGACCGTTACCACCAGCACCGCTCAAGCGCAGAGTAGGGCAGTCGGCCTGGACGTGTCCGAGCCCTTGGCAGTGGTAGCACTGCTTCGCCTCGGTGGTACGGGGGAGAGGGCACTGGTTAGACTCGTGTCCTGGGCAAAGGCTATTAGCCAAAAAAGGGAACTCTATAGCAAAAGTTTATCAGAAGATGAAGGCTTACCTGGCTGCTTGCAGTTGTAGCAAAGGCGCTCAGCGGAGGAGCAAACCTCAGCATAATGGCCAACATTGCCACACTTGTAGCACGCTCGACGAGATAGAGAAGACATTGTAACTAGTCTGTGAGTCTGTGTAATTCCATTATCAGCACGACACTCTACATAAACTTGATCTCCCGCTATCCACTCTTGAATGACCCGTTTGCAGCGATGCGGTAGTGGTATGTCAGTATTCTTATTCGACGGCGGCCAATCTCCAATCAAAAAAGAAGCGGACATCTCGTCAGAAATACGAGTCCCAATTTATCCAGGTCACAGGTTTCCCATGGGAACAGGAGCGATTTGTAGATATTGCCACCGGGATATTCGTCTACTAACGGTATAGGTAGACATTAATCAATTTGGATGCAACCCAAAATGGTGGTAAGGTACCGCCACGTGCAATTTCTCGTCGGATAAAATACCCCACGAGGAATGGTATGGTTTCGCAAATTAAACGGATGGGTGCCAGGCATAGTTGAGTGGTTTTCTAGAATCTGCAGGTCGACTGGTTTGGTTACAGACGTTTGGATTTGTGCTACCCGATACAAAAAAATGTGAGATAGACAACCAAAGCTGCCCGACCGATATGAGATTCTAGTCGAATGTAGTAGTCTTTTAAAGAATTGTGCGTTTTATCGACTTGTTTCGAAGCCAGTTTTCCTTAGCTTGCGCGTCTCGATATTGGATCGTATAGATGGCCACACTTCAAATATATAAGAGGCGATATTCTCGTTACTATACTGGATAGTATCCGGTCGGGGGAGAGAATTTTCTTGGAATGTTGGCTGTCGGAAGGTAGTAAGAAGATCGGGTTGACGGATGGTTGGTTATGCGCGAACTAATCGAACCGCTCGCGCCGAGTTGATCAGGCCGGTAATGATAGAATTACGTTGTCGCTAGAGACTATAAACCATATATTCGGAAACTACTCGACACCTTCTGCGAAAGAGCGAGAGATGAAAATGTCTCTAAATTGGTTTGGAGTCGGCGCATTAAGAAGTTGTCGCGAAGTCCGTGGGTCGCAAGATAGGCGCGCATAAGAGAAACCAGACATCTGAGGGGTCCTTGTCGCGGCGCATAGTCCAAGTTATCAAAAGGTTACGCGCGCGATCAAATCGCATAAACGATAATCGCTATTATTGTCGCCGTCATCGCCGTTATCGTAGGATGCTGTGTAGGCAGGAATCGCTTGTCGCACAACATGAAGATGAAAAATAGATAGGTCGGGTTCTGGACCTAGACCTGTCGCTGTATTGTACCACACACACCATTTGCGCGCGCCGGGCCATTTCTTGCAGAATGCAAAAATGATACGTAGATCAAAACGATATAAAAAAAAAGTTTTTAACTCACATTTCCCTTAAGAACCTTATGACTTCCTGCTTATTCCTTCTCAACTCTACTTCTTCAACTTATACTGCTGCTATCCGTTCAACCAACAGCAACCTTCTCCAAACACTTCGCGACCTCCAAGGGGGGGAATTGATGATAGTATGCGATTACAATACGATTCGATGAAGATGTAATATTTAGGGTCACGGACAAGGAAAAGGAAGGGTTAAGAAAAGAGAGAGGGACGAGGGAAAGGGCAAAGAGGGCACAGAGTGAGGGGGGGACAGGTTCCAAGAATGTGGAACCCGGCGGCGGGCGAAGGGGCTACTCCTCTACAAAATAGGTACCGGATACAATTGCTTCGTAACAGCTGATGCGCCATCTAAACCGGCTACTAACGTAGTAGATACCTGGTAGATACTTCCTAATAGTTACCTATAAGTCCCTAGTGTAGTAGGCCCTTCCCTGCATACAACATGTACGTGCCTACCTTAGTAGGGTTAAATTACCTATTAGTAGATGGATCGCCAAATTCTAGTGGAAGTTCAGGTAGGTAGTTACATGTACTTCGGGTTTTTCATATCCCTTCTGTTCTAAACTTCCTTGTTTTGTTTTAATTAACTACCTAAAGTATTGCTTACATTTTTTTTTCTTCTTTTCCTAGGTAGTATGTATTTGCGTACTATTTAATACCCCATGTTATTGTCGATAGGCTTTTAAATATTCTTCCTTGCGTTTGTGCTACATCATTTTCGTGTTACCATGTTATACTCCTCCTCGCCCACATAGCCCCCATCGTCGACCTCTCCATGTGCGTTAGAAGAGACTTAGACGAGCTGAAAAAAAAAGGGACATGATCTAGTATATTCGCTATTTTCCACTTTGGAGTTTGATTCGCTGACTTACCAACCAATAATAATACTATCTAACATTCCCCCCCCTTTATTCTAGTGTCTTACGGTTTGCTGCCCTGCATAACTACCGCGAAAAATTTCACATCTACTAATAGTACCTAGGTACTATCTAGGTAGGGAGACATGGATCTAATGTGATCCAAAGTCTCACTAGTATACTTTCGTAGACTTTAGCGAGCTACCATCAAATGCCAACTATCCCGATTATTTTTGTGTTGGTTCGTTTTCATCTCTTATATCCCTCAAAGTTGTTTATACAAATAGAGGTACTATATACTACGGTACCTCGCCTTCAATTTCACGTGTTTGTATATCTTGCTATGTTGTCATAAGAATGATACACTAATGAAAGTCGAGAAAGTGGGCAGACTCTCGAATAACGAGATGAGAAGAGCTACATTCTTCGGCGAATCTCATGCTAGTTAGCCTACTAAAGCTGATGATCCTTCGTGACATGATCCCCGGTTATCCATATGGTTTAGACGTGATACCCGACCCCACATCATGGGACTTGAGGCCCGAAGGACGCGCAGAGAAGACTGGTTGGAACGGGACGGGATAAAAAGGAAAAAAAAAAAAAAAAAAAAAAAAAGAAAGAAAGACAGGGTGATAATCTGGAACTGTCTAACCAAGCTCTTCGAACCTTGCATGCAGTAGATGAACCCTAGGTACTTGAGATAGCCCTGGCTACCTAAGGTTATTATCAATCATTTCCACAGATGAGAATATTTCGTTTAAGCATTGCATCTTCGAGGCACCTGGTGAAAGAACAAACTGCTGGAATTTGGAACCTGCATATTAACGCCACATGGCTTCGATAGTAATGAGGAGCTATTTATTACTTACATGTATCACATAGTATATACATCTATACATCTAACCGAGTCCTTTGCCTGTACATACATACCTAGGTAGGGGGTAAGGGGAAAATGTGGGAGATGTATTAATCCCACCATTATCCCCCTCATCCCTCATCAGCCTACAAAGATCCTGCCCCTCCATGTAAATCCTCGTGCTCCAACCAATCAGAGCTCCGTCGCAAGGCCGGGGGTCGTAGAATTTCGCTTCCGCCTCGTTGATCTTCCAACATCGTCAACTTACCGGAATTGCGACTGTGATCGCGATCTTGATTAGTCACATCTCGTTGGAGCATATTGGCACGCTTCCACCCTCGAAAATCTTGATAGGATTGGTCGCGTCGTAGTTAGTCTCATTTAATATCTCACTTCTTTAACCTCATTCGCGTAGGTGTGTCTATTAGAGCGGCAAGTTCCATACTCATAAATGATCCTCTAAATTTTATATCGAAAGATTTATGTAGTAGAATTAGAATACGTTAGTTATAAGTTTCTCATAAGACCAAATACCCATACCAAATATTCGATATCCCAAGCGAATATATACCAGTTAGGCTAGGTATACAGACTCATATATAAACATAGCCTATCGCTATACGAAACAAGTAATCAAGAAGGGCCTCGCGATATAGCTCGGCTAACCATGTTGAGCCTCGGCGCAACGACACGACACCTAATCACGCTTCTTCGTCGATCATAACATAAAGAGCAGCATGCCGAAAGACTTAACAGGGTCTATTATCCCGAAGTCAAATTAATTTCATGACCATAGGAAATTAGATATATGTTTCTAAATAGCTGACAGCAGAAAGTACTTGCTCTCAAATACATTAATTAGCATAGTTATACCCAGGTATATATTAGGGACATAAAGTTATTATTATCACCGTAGTTATATTTAATAATACACAACAGCCTAGGACAAGCCGACGAACAGCCTTCGTAACTTCATGGCATAGTAACGAGTACCTTCAGAATAGAGTCTTGTGTAAGATGAGGGAAAGCTGTCCTTCCCCTCCTCATCTCGCGATAAATATAAAATAGTTAACTAGAACTATAGCTTTGTCTCTTCGATAGCGCCTGCACCATAAATACACATAGTAAAAATTGGTTCGACGTGGGGTCCGCCAAGAGAAGAGGACTTGATTAGCAGATAATAAATAGTTGAATGGTGGTTTATGAAAGCAATATTAACCCGCGCTCCCCCAGCGCCGGTGCTAGAATCACGAACTCCATATGCATATATAACCCCATGCTACCTTAATGCCACGCCATACTAGTATGAATAAAACATACAAGGCCCCCACTTTAACCCTTTTCCTTTTATGCTCGATTCCTTCCCTCTGATCATACACCATTATATAGATAGGCTACCCATCCCATCTCGCCTGTCCTCTGTCGAACGTCGAGTTACGAGAGCGAGCCGCGTGTTCTATTACCAAACGATTTCAAGACCGCTCTGTCGCGGATGGTGGCCTAGCCTCGGATGGATGAGGCGGAAGCGGGACGTCAGATAGGGGGGCTATGGACCTTGGACGAGCCTCGACAACGTAGGATACGCCATCCTCTGATGCATAGGACGGTGGGCGAGCCGTCTCAGGACGAGCGTGCCGCTCTTCGTCGGCTTCCGTAGGAGGTTGGTCATTACGTTGCCAATATAAGCGATCCGGATCCACGCGCTGTGCCACTTGTTAGTAAGGTTGTTGCTACCTCTTTAAGGTATACAAATTGATACATACCACGCTCTCACGCCATAGCCCGTAAGCGGGAGGCTCTAGTTTATTAGCGACATTATCCATTCCTGCAGCTTCCTCGTCTTGCGCGAGAACAACGTGTATTGGCCGTCGTGGAATGGCATATCCACCAGGTTCCATTAACCGTGGTAAAGGCGGCTGCTCTTCGTCTTCATTGGGCGGCTTGATGATTAGCATGCATATTCTTATTAGGCCGTGGCAGAAGAAGATGGTTGAAAATAAAATGATGACGATCAGAAGCACTGTGAACTCGTTGCTGTACACTTTCTTCGTGATCGAAAGAACGAGATCTACATTTGCCACGTCAATATATAGCCTCACGATTAACAGTTTCAAGTTACTCACATATAGAGAGCATGAGCATTAAAAAGAGACCGGAAACGAAACATCGTAGGATCTGAGAGCGTATTCGTCGCGATTTAACCCAGGGGAAACAAAATAAGAATTTCTCAGGCGGCGCATGTTGCCTATGCCTTCGACTGTGACTACGTCTTGTTCTGTCTACTTGATCGACCAAACGAGTCTCACCAGGATCCGCGCCTCGAAGTTGTGATCGCCCCACATCGGCATCTCTGTGGCTACTACGCCTATACGAAGGTCTGGGCTCGGATACGGTAGGAACTCTTTCGGTCTGTGTCGGAGGTGGATAGGACTGCGATGTAGGCGCAGACGACGCCTCAGTCTGGCCAGAAGTTGGACGCGAGTATTCTTCGGTCCGTGTTAAGTTTGGTACACGCAGGTGGTTCGAAGACGTATTTGGAAGTCCCGAATCGGGGCGCGGCGTCTTTGGGCTATCATCTTCAGCCCTGTCATCGCCAGTACGCTGACTTTGTCCACCCGCACGCAACCGATTCGTGAATAGCGCGGGCAATGATGGGCGACCGACTGGGAAGCGTCTTTCACGGGAACCTGATTGCTCCCCCATTTCTGGTTGTCCCTGCTGCTCTAGATCCTGCGTTTGCGCATCTGAGGATTGACCTCTCCGTAGGACATTTGAACGAAGATAATCCATGACTATGATGAGCAAATATGTAGCTTCTTAAGTGTTGAACCCGGTGTCACCGACGTCCAATACTGAACATGCTTTTGTGTGCCGGTCTCGACCGCTATACGAAATCTAAGGAGTGATAGGAATGAGCGCAGTCAACGAAGGCAGAGTGCTACAATGCAACGCGGATGGCTAAGTCAGGCTGACCTGGCGTGTATCCTAATAGATCGTGTTGATGGTATTGTGTAAACCGATTGGCGACGAATACCGAGTTTCTTCGGTAATGCGATGTTGGTTTCGGACGCGAAGACCCTCGACGAATCGAATCTTCTTGGTATTAAATAACGGTCGAATACCTGCAGGATCTATATGTAATATGTCTCGAATCGTAAATTATAAGCTCGGAATGGACCAGCCAAGCCGAACAAAGCAGAAAGCGAAGGGATGGGATGGGATGAGATGGTAGGACGAATTATCGAATAAATTAATGGCAGTTTGACGCAGGAGAGAATAGAATCGAAACTCCCAGAGTCCGTTATTCTCAAATGGTATAGAACGAGGGACGAGAAACAGTACAAAAAAGAAAACAAGAGGGTTACGATGATTCCATCGACGACAATAGCCGTCGTTGGCCCACGAAAAGAAAGTGAATAACCGAAACGAGAAAGTAGACAGCCACAAACGGAATGAGGGGAACAGAGAGAGTGAGTGAGACTGAGTGAGAGAACTGTGAGGTACACTAAGGATAGACGAAGGAAGATGCGGACGTCACGGCGCTTGAGAGACAGCCAGAACGAGCGAGCGTCTCCAAAGCGTTGGCGGTCTCATCTGCATACACCTAGTAATCGGAAGGATGCGACCCTGTTGTTAATCGACCATTGGTATGTATGTATGGCTGGCGAAGCATAAGAGAATATACCAGGCATGCAAAACAGCTAGTGCTCAAGTGAAGACATGAGGTGGTAGATTTGGTCAGTTTGGTCGATTTGGCAGTTGGGAAGAAGATGAATCGGCCAATCAAATTGCCCCTTTATCGCCGCGTCAGGGAACCTACCGCTTAGGGGTCCGTTCTCTAACTGCAACTGCAGGCGCCGAGGTTGCTTTGAGATGAAACCCAGGGGCACTACCGCGACCATTGTTTCGGAATTGATACGTACCACCCAATGAAGCAACAGCCCAGCAGCCACGCAGGTGGATCTTATACGAGTGTATCCATATACATAGGTACATAGTATGATGTACGGATTAAGTGTGTACCTTGTTCAGCAAAGACATATATAAATCTACCTCTTGGTTATATTTACAAAACAATCGTGAGTTGTTAACGAACTCAAACACTAGATATACATATGTGTTTAGAAACTTCACGTGCGATATTTTCTAATTATGTGGTTATAGCTTCGAGATCTCACCCCAGAGAGCCGACGATACCGGCCTGAGCAGCTACTAATATACCCTATGGACTTGCTATTTGTCTTGCAATGTAGACAAGTAGAGCACCAAGTGCTTACGAGGCTATCATTATCCCGTTGACAATCGACCTAGACAGCCAGAAATATGAGTTCAGACCCATTCTAGATAGCTACCAGATTCCTCAAACGCCTGTTTGATGCGCAGACTTGATCCATTATCTCGGAGGCGTTATTTGAAGAATTGCTAATAGACTATCGCCAGTATTATCGAACGAACTATAGCCCTATATCAAAGGAGCCTAAACAACCAAGTTCAGGGTCTTGGCGAACAAGATATCTAAGGCGAAGCATAGGGCTCAGAATCATTTGGGGACAGCCATGTAGTCCACATCCGGGGTGATGGATTGAGCATCGTCCTCTTACTCTTGCTAGACTAGAGCTCTCATCTAAGCTCACCAAGTAACATTCTACGATCAGAAGACGCAGATAAAACTAATTAAATGTCAACAGCAGGATTCGCAGGAATTTGCATCAGGGGTTGACTTACTAACAGGCTCCTCTCCAGGAGTGAATTCAGCGCAATTAACAGCTCCCTTATGGCCTGGTAATTTGTAAAGGAGCTTGCCGTTGTCGTTGGACCATATTAATACCGTTCCGTCACCAGCACCTACGGCGATTTTCTTGCCGGCCTTATCCCAGCTAGCTCGAGTTAGATTCTTCTCGACTCCTATCTGTGCCCCATCGAATGTACGGATGTGCCGTTCGGTGGGTGCGAATGGTCTTATGTCCCAGGTCTTCGCTGTCGAATCGTGGGAATAAGATAGTAGCGACTGAGAGTCCGGCGAGACACGTAAGCTAGTTACCGTATCGTTATGACCCAGCATAGAGTAGACAACGGCCTTCTTGCGTATGTCCCAGACCTTGATATCGTTGTCGATACCACCCGAGAAAATTTCATTGCCCGCCTCTGCGACTGCTACTGCTGTAATTGGGAAGTCGGTCTCGATAAAATCGGCGGCGTTCTTCGATCGGGGATCCCAGATGCCTATAGTACCATCATCACTCCCACTAATTAAGAGTTCCTCGCCACGCTTGCTCGTGTCCATGGTGTTTATGATTTCCTCGTGCCCGATATATCGTCGTATCCTCGTCCCTGAAGTTAAATCCCAGCTGGCAAGATGCATATCGGCCGAAGCCGAGTATAGAATTTCGGAGTCTCGAGACCACTGTAAGTCCAAGACCGCACCTCGATGACCTGTTAACACGCCGTAGTTCTCGCATGCTCCTGAAGAATTCCAAAGCACTACATCGATCAGTCAAGCCCATAAGCGAACTACCGGGACGAAGCTTACATATACTCCGGTCCATCGACCCCGAAGCAATCAAACTCCCCGTGAGATTGAATTTCGCTGAGAAGATCTCTCCAGAGTGTCCCGTCAACTCCATCAACGGTGCTTCTAGGTTACTTGTTCGGGGTGCCTAATCTAGGTGTCAGTGCTGCGCCTTTGTTTTTTGATTTGGTTCGCATAGTAGATAAACGTACGGATTGCACCAGCGCGTTGCTCCCAGAGGCTCCATCTCGGCGAGAGAGCGCAGTACTTGTCCCTGGCTTTTGTCTTTTAACGACTAATTGGCCCGCGCCTGGTTCCTCGGGCGCGGGTCGTTTTTCAGCGGACATTGCTGCTGGTTTGGATATTGGTTTAAATCTATATAATGTCCTTTTGTTTGCAATATATGCCGCGAAATTCGGGGGTTGTTATCGGACTTGTAAGTGATTGCGCGCGACTTTGCGCGTCTCTGTTCGGTAGTAAAACTCGAGCTATGTTTAGCCAGAACCAGGAGCTCTAAGTGCATGTACCTAAGTAGATGTAGCTTCAGCTGGTGGAACTGAACTGCAGATGAAAACCGATTGAATTGAATGGGTTGTATGGAATTAGGTACTTTAGCGGAAAAGTGATTTTCCATTATTTAGCTGAACTTTGGGAAACCTCCTTTAGGTGAGCTTAAAGAGTGGGCCTTAAAAATGTCCATAGTAGGCTGAGGGATCGGAACTTTGACATCGGGTTTGCCGACGTAACCCCTCGATCCCACCAATCAATCTCTCAGTGAAAGAGCAATTGTCTGTCTTCACCGTCTCGTCATTACTTAAACTTAGCACCTAAGACGGTAACACATACACACCCGCGGAAGCATACGTTGTTAAAACTGTCTTCAAGAAATCCGAAAACATATACAGGACAGAGTCAATGTAAATGAGCTCAACTTAAGCTCGTCAATCGAGCATGTCAGCAAACAAAGCTGCCCGTGTGGGCGAAGAGTAAGTAAGCTACACCTATTCCTATTCCTATTCCTATTCAGCCTTGCATCGTTATCTTTGCTAATAGACAGTAGGATTTGGAAGTAAGTCAAAGAAACATTAACTAACGCCAAATACTTGTTCTAACAATGTGCTGCAATAAGGGGTCGCATCGATAAAGTCAATGCTGAGCTTGTCACCTTGACTTACGGCACTATAGTCGCGCAGCTGTGCAAAGACTTCGAGGGTGATTATGTCGAAGTCAATAAACAACTGGATAGGATGGGTTACAACATTGGGCTCCGATTAATCGAGGACTACCTGGCCAAGTCTAATACTATGAGACGATGCTCTAATTTTCGAGAGACAGCCGACATGATTGCAAAGGTAAGTCCTTAGCCAAAGCAATTCCCCTGGCATATATATGTGTCCCAGACTAACATCTACGGCTGATTTGCATAGGTTGGTTTCAAGATCTTCCTTAACATCACGCCGACCGTAACGAATTGGACAAGCGACAGCAAACAATTCTCGCTCGTATTTGAAGAGAACCCTTTAGCCGACTTCGTCGAGCTTCCCGATGACGGCCGAGCGCAGGACGAATTATGGTATTCGAATATATTCTGCGGCGTGTTGAGAGGAGCGCTTGAGATGGTGCAGATGCAGGTTGAAGCGCACTTTATCAGCGATGTGCTACGAGGGAACGATACCACAGAGATGAGGATATCTCTAATTAGGTATATCGACGACGAATTACCACCAGAGGATGACTAGTACGCCTACGTCGAGGATATGTATAATGAATAGGTGGAATATGATAGGCCTAGCCATATCTTCCAGAGGCCTAACGGGCGCGGCTTTGATAGGTGTTAATAATGATACCAGCTAGAAGATATCTAGCGATATAGGACAACATCGGTCCTGAATCGTCGGGGTATTTCGGCATCTTACCCTTCATCCTATATGCACTTCATAGCCTACACTTGGAAAAGTCTCGCATGAAGAATTATCACCGAAAATAGCAGACGTATTAAAATCTCCTATCGCTTCGTAATGGTACTAACTCGCTTGGGGTGGTCTTCAATAAGAAAGGAAGTAAAATAAAAAAAAAGGGAGAAAGAAAAAGAAGAGCAATAAGAAAAGAAAAAGAAGAGCAATAAGAAAAGAAAAAAGAAAAAGAAAAAAACAATATAGCCAAAGGACACTCGAGAACACACTAGAATAACATGAGGGATCAGGACAGGAGCAAGCAGCGGCGACAGGTCAACAGGTCAATAGCGAGGGTGATATATATTTTTTCTTGTCTCGGGTGGGATGGATCCAGATTTCTTATTCCTTGGATTAGGGAGGTCCACTTGACTCCCGAGACTGAGGGAATCATGGGAGGGGAATGCGGGAGGCGCCGCGGGGGTGTAAGGGCCAGGGCTCGGTCTCTTGGATTAAGTTCTCTTGGGCTAAGTCGGGGTAGTTTTGGACCCCGCCGAGTCCGCTTGAACCCATCGTGCCCCATCCTTTCCTGCAGTGATCTCCCGGCATATTTGTAGGCGGGCTTATATCAATGACCTCTCCCGCTTGGCGATCTTTATAGCTTATAAGTTATCCCCATAATACTACAATCCGCATAGTTGAAGTATAGTAACCTAGGATAATAGTTGGCAAAACATATCTTCAATCTTTTTAAACCTTTATTGAAAGGATTCTGTATTTTTATATATTCAAAATTTTTAATTGTCATGCAACAGTACTAAAGCGCCATCGGAGGTTTTTTTTTTTTTTTTTTACCTTTCATGCATTTGGTACTTACACTGAGTGTAACTGTACCTGCGTCCACGAGTCCACCGGTTCATCATTAGCGTGACACATCTATGGGAGGCGTAGTTGTTAACATGATCCACCGAATATTATCATATTCCTATTTCAGTTCAAGCTAAATCAAACTCTAACAAGTTTCTATATGATTATATTACAACACAAAATGTTAAAAACACTTTATCCTAGTAAAGATCTAACTTAAACCTTTCTACGCAACAATACTTTGTTAGCTATTTATTCGTTAAAACTAATCTTACCCATCCTCGTTTTAAAGCAACATCTCCAGCGCAATCCAAAAGATCTCCGAGTAGAGCAAGGTTTAATAACGCTCTCTTTACCCAAGGTTTCAGCTTTGCCTAAGCAAGGCAACGTGGCAAGAGCCTGACGGATCCAAGGAGAAGTAGCTGACATAGATGATAGGTGGCATAGGGGGCCTTTTTGTCATCAGGTAGGTAGGTAACGAATATTATAACCCCCAAATCTTGACGTATCAAAGTTAGATGCTTTTAAGCCTACCATGTTGTCTTACCAAGTACTAATACGAAAGAAGAGCGAACATCGGAATGTTCACAGCATACTAGTATTTCAAAGGTTAATTATGAGTACTTTATGTTATATGTAGTATCCGCTGAGGAGAAGAGATACACTCTGTTGAACAAGGTTCGTGACCTCATCTCTTCTCACGTCACTGAATGATGACGGATAAACACCGTCCGCTCCTCTACATATACATGTAGATCACCATCTTCGTTTTATTTCGGATCTCCGTTTAACGCCTGCAACTCAACTGAAGAGTTAAGGAAAGGGACGGGAACGTTTTTGATGAATAATGCCATCCATCATATCTATATTGGGTACAGATACACGTACATACATATCTTACTGTATTCGACATATTAACCATTAAAGATCACGGAACGGACAGGGTGAAGAATATCACCGGGTAGTTTTATCATATATTCGTTCAATATCCGCTCGCTGTGCACCGATAAAATCGATGGAAAGACCGGGATTGACTAAATTCATATATCAAATCATTATTTCGATCTGTCATGAGGAGAATAAGAGGGTGAAGTTGATCTTAACCCATGGCCTCATCATAGATGAACTAATATCGACAAGGATTATATCCACTTATTGAACATGGCTCTTATTATGTATACCTACTTATCTTAGGTACATAATATGGATGTACCGTTACTCTACCTTTTTCTTCTTTTTTTTTCTTTTTCTAAAAAAAACCCCCGAATTCTCAAACTGCATTTTTGCTTAACGATAATACAATATTTCAACAAATAGCAAACTTGTTTTAGGACTCTTTCCAACTGGGCGTTTCATGTTTGAAATTAGACATTTATATCCTAATATTTAGTGTTCATGGCATTGGAGACGTTGTGCTGGGCTTACATGTTAAAGTGCGAACGTATGATAATAGCATACGCGGAAATAGTGTATCCCCTTGACTGGCATAAAACAGCAAAAACCTTATATTCGGTGAAGTACGTAAAGTTCAAGGCAACCAGTCTAAGGTATCCTTTAGCCAATCTTGATGTATCGATACTGAAAATGGTTGGTTTGCTGTTTTATGCCAGTCAAGGGGATATGGAAGTTGGTACGTATGCCAGTGTATATCAGGGTCGATGCTTCTTACCTAGAGTTCTGAAATTGACGTGAAGGATGCCAAGACTAAATTTGGGAAGACGTTCTGGAATATACGCTGGGGGGTACCTTGGTGGCCTCCGCCTATTGCTAGTAAAACGTGTAGAAAGTAATACATAATCCCGTTCTCAGATATGCGCCTACATCGGACCTCTGACCCATAAGTTTTTCCTTCGCGTCTGTCTCAACCCATACTTCTCGACTCCCCCCAGTTCCCCCGTTCTGCAAGCTCCTCGCAACTGCTCTTTACTCTACATATTCTGCACTACCAACACACTTTTTGCACTACCGCCCGCGCTGTGTGTGTAAGGACCTCAGCTTGTATGTTTCCTTTCTGTCTTATCTCTTCTCCTCCCCCCAAATCTTTAAATCAGGTACCCAGCGCATCCCCCGAAGAGCCCAAAGCACGGGGGGTCCTCTGCCTTAACTAGCATCATTTGCCTTAACTATAATCATTTGCCTTGCCTGACCATCTCTCTGTGCGCACCGCACTAACTACCTACCTAGGCACCCTATTAACTTTACCTAGTGTACCGACATAGGCACTCAACATATATAATAGGTACATGGCATCCACCTCTACCGCATTCTGGTACTTACCTCACTTGCCTTACCCTCGCACGCTACCTACCATCATCTTCCGCCACTATTCTTTGCTAGTCTCTCTCGGCTCAGATCCGTAGAATTATATCCTTCTAACTTCTAATTCTTCTTCACATTCCCCCTTCTTCCAATATTCATCACCACGGCAGCAGCCCTCTTATTCTTTTAACATTTTGATCTGTGCGGCTACCTATGCATCTCTGGATATTGCCTGGTATTTTGAATGTCTGCAAGGTCGTATCCACCGTGCGCGATTTCGAATTCGCCTAATAATTGGCTTCTTGTGGAAGGAAAGCTAGCGCTCCGCCTACACCACAGAAGCGTTGCGATCTCGCGTTAAAGCGACACACAAAGAACAGTCTACGAGACAGAGTAGAGAGACGGAAAGAGAGAGCACGCGAGATAGGAGTAGAATATTTGCACTGCAACAGTGCTGCCAACAGTGCTGGACGCGGGCGAGCAAGGCGTCTTTCTGCCCCCATTACCACGAGCAAGAGGCACACAGCAGGACAGCAAGACAGCAGGACACACAGTGCAGTTTTTAACCCCATTTCTACATATACAGTACCTATCTTAGGTACCTAAGCTGTACCTAAAGGCATCTTACCCACCTAAGTTCATCTACTATTCGCCATCGATCAAGACCGAGCGAACGATCCTCGCAAAATCTCATCTAACCCTTCGACGACTACTCTCTCAACCTCCTCTTCTTACTATTACCATTTTAAGCTGTCGCGTTCGAGACGGGATCTAAGGTTATTTGGACTATTGCTTGAGGAGAAATAGTAAAAGTTTATTGGGAGAGAGGGGTTTTTTTTTCAAGGGACCAAAGACAAGAAAATCCATTAGCTGTCATCCTTGCCGGCGCCTTCTCTCATTCGCTATAATAAAGCAACCAGCCCCCAAGAACGACCGCTATTATCAGCACCTACCACCGCCACGACCAGACCACCACGCCCATACCACCCGACCGAAAATCGACTGACAAACCCATCTTCGCCATCACCGCCGTCGCACCAAAAAATCCGACATACATCCACCACCTTCACTTTTTCTCATCCACTCGTCCATTTTCTACTTATTAAATCTACCGCCACTCGCGATACTTTATACCAACATTTCTTTCCACCTCATTCGCGGGTTTCATTCCTGGCCTCCGTATACCAAAGGGACCTTTGGTACCTGCGTACCTGGTCGCATCCTCTTTCGCTCCTTTTGCATAGCTAGAGGATTCAGACTCTTGCCTAATCAATATTTCCTGTCTAGCAAAAAAAGGCGAAATCCAAAACTAGGATTCCTTTCCCGAAACGCACCGTCAAGTGCTGGATTGCTCAGTCGATTACCACACACTTACGCGCATTCGTTTCTGTCTTGTCTGACCATTTCTTCCGTCGCTGACCAAGAAACGAGCGCCCGATATATTTGACCGATTCATCCCGGCATCATAACACGACTTCCAATAGCCAGAATTGAGCCTCACGGTCGCCAAGCTTGGCTCCCCATCACCGCGACACGCACGCGCATTTGCCCTGTGGTAGCTTATCACTGTGACTGAATACCGCGGATTTCGACAGACTTTTGTCTGTCTATCATTTTTTACTAATGAATAACATGAATATGCCCAATATCCCCATGGCTGGGCCTGTCGGTGGTCCATCACCAATGATGGCCAATACGTTAGCCGCGCAACAGCAACAAGTCCAAAGCCAAGGGAATAACCGGACAGTGCTTAATACATATATTTACGACTACTTCCTTCGAGAGGGCATGTTCGACTGTGCGCGCCAAATGCTCAAGAGTGAACAGACCCTCAACGTCATTAAGGAAAGCCCCGGCCGCCGTCGTGACGAGAATGGCAATGTTCTAGGCAATGGGGTGGGTGATGATCCTATGGACACCGATAGTAAAGATGACATAGACTCGAAGCGACCCTCGGATCTACCTCTGCCGAACGTCCCAGCTGCCGCCGAAAATAGCTTCCTATACGAGTGGTTCTGTTTATTCTGGGATATGCTTTACGCTCAACGTAACAAGCCGGGCATTAGTCCCCAAGTGAGCCAATATGTCAATCATACCCAGGTAAGTGTCCCGTAAAGCCATTTTTAGACAGCGGTAAGGCTGACTAGTCTAGCAACAAAATCGCCAGAAACAAACAGAACAGCAAGCAATACTACGAGGAATGCGACAAGACCTCTACGGCCCACGAATGATGGGAATGCCAAATGGGATGCAAATTAATCAGAAGCAGCAGCAACAAAACTTAGCTAGGACGGCTATGGCCAATAATCAGAAGTATGTCAAGAGTCTATCGTATACATTGCCGACTAACATGATGTTACAGCCCGCAAGCCATGCACATGCTGCAGCAGGCGAAACAGAATCAGATGCAGCGCGATGGTTCGAATATGGACGGTAATCAAAACCGCCCAGGTTCTCCCGGCCAGGCCGAGAACGCGCCGTCGCCGAGTAAGAGACCGCGTCTGGATTCATCCGGACCCTTCAACCCTCAGCAGGGAGGCATGATGCCTAATGGACAACGACCGCAGCAAGGCATGCCAGGACAACAAGTAGGCAACGGACCCAGAAATACTACTATAGCTGGACATATGCTTTCAACGAACGGTATCAACCCAGCTAGTCTGTCACCTGAACAGTTCCAGAATTTTCAATCGCAACCTCCGCAAACCCAGGCCAAGTCAATTCAGACATATTCACAGAATCTACAGCAGCACCATGGTCAGCAAATAACTAACAAGCAGATGCCAAATCCTGGCGGCCCGCAGGGCCAATCGCCCATGATGCAAGGCGGACCTAATGACGTCGCAATTACTGCACTCTACAACCCAGACGGGATGGGCGGTCCCGGAGTAGTGAGGCCCGGTGCGCCAGGTGGCGCCCAAGGAGCAGGTGGTAGCAATCATGCTCTGCAGGATTATCAGATGCAGCTAATGCTATTAGAGCAACAAAACAAGAAACGTCTCATGATGGCGAGGCAAGAGCAAGATAGCATGGGTGGCATACCTCGACCGGACGGAGCTGGCCCCGGCGGTCCTGGGGCACCCGGTGGCCCTGGTCCGAATGGACAAGCTTTCCAAGACCCGTCTGCTCAAGGAGGTCGCTCGGGGGCTTCACCTAACCCGGCGGACCAAATGAAGCGTAATACTCCGCAGATGAATCCCGCTACCATTCCATCGCCATTGACGGATGGTGCGCAATCGAGAGGGTCACCGAACCAAATGAATTTTGTGCCAAATGGAATGGACCCTAATATGCAGGGTCATTTCTTCAAGAATATGAACGGGATGGATTCCAACATGGTAACCGCAGCACAGATGAACGGAGGAGGCATGCGACCCCCGAGTTCTCACCCCAATCAACCATTTAACGGCCAAATGAATCCTCAAATGATGAGACCGCAGCAGGGTGCCCAGGGTGGTCCCCCGATGCAATGGCAGCAGGGACCGAATGGAAACGCGATGGCGCCCCAAGGGCCTCAAGGGCCTCAAGGTCAGGTTCAGGGCACGCCGCAGCAACGATCTATGCCCCCTCCGTCGGCTCCCCCGGTTAACAATGGTGCTGGGGGCCGCTCAACGTCGTCGCCGCAGCAGAATAATGCGGCTCCGCCTACACCCCAGCAATCTAACAAGGCCGCACCTAAGAAGAAGGATACTAAAAACGCCAAGAACAAGGTACGCATATAGTTTTTGAGAATTGTGTATTAACAACTGTGTCTGACTGCTTACGCATAGAATGCCGCTCAGAAGAAGGCAAACCAGGCCCCAGGTGCGACGCCTGCTTCAGAAGCCGCCCAAGAGCCAGAGCCTCCCACGCCTGTCACGCCCGTCAACACAACAAACTTCAACAAGAACGGCCAGGTTGTGGCTGCTCAGCCAACAGGTAATGCAGCTGTATCTGCTCCTCCGCCTGTTCCTGCGCCAGTTGCTGCACCACAAGCGCATCCAGACCCGTCACAAATAAACTCGTTTGGCATGGACAACAACTCAATAGTAAGTTGCCCCGATTCTTTTCAAGTCATTCGCGCTGACTCTTGTAGGATTTTGGCGCCATGCCGTCTTTTGCGGACCCTATGCAGACTGGCGACGTACTTCAAGACTTTGATTTTGATTCATTCCTGCACGACGGCGACGCTGATCCCGGAACCTTTGATTTTGGTACTGGGCCATTTGGAATGGAAGGGGCTGGGGAGATTGGGGCGGAGTAGGAACACGTCTTTAAACTCGTCGGTTCGAAGTGATATCCTTTAAGCATCTCTATGTTCGGGTTGGGCATGTCATGGCGTTCATCGGTTGTTTAAACTCGCATCTGGACTATGGCCATGGTCTGGCGGGTATTCGAACTCAGCGGACCAGAGACGAAACACGACTACTACCGAAAAGCCTGTTGATTTTTCTCCTCTTAGACTACCATACCATACTTATTGTTTTTAGTTGTTTCGTCATACCGCTCATATCACATTTGCCCTTGTTTCGTCTCGTCCGTTGCTTTGTCTTTGAGACCGGTGAGATTCTGGCGAGGGACATCTCAGTCTTGGGGTCCATGATTGATTCTATTGTACTTTTTGGAGGATTCGTATTGCACTTCTCTGCTACTGCGCGGCTCGCTAGTTTTTCTTGTCTTCATATTCGTTTGGATTTACCTTGACCTCGGCGGATCAGTCAGGCAATGAAACTCATTCAAGCGCACCCTCAGTCGAGTTGATCAGATTTCATAATTGGAAACCCAAGACCTTGCTGCTGTATTGATTTTGCAACAGTGGTGTGGCGAGGAGCTGTTGATTAATAGGTGCTTCCGAGTCGCGCCAATGATGACAGGAATGCCCCTGGCGCTTTGGCCGTCGTCTTTCGCAAGCCCATTGTCCAAAGTGAGAGGAGTATATGTGCTGAAAGGCATTCCCTCTCCCTCGTCCGAAGAAAAGAAGAAAAATACTAAAAATTTGCTTCGCGACCTGAGGTGCTGAATATTGCTTTCTGGGACTGAAAAAAATGGTGGGCATGGGGAGGCGAAAGTTGTTCCGGGAGATGGGATCCGGCTAACAGGTACCTACCTATGCATATTCACAAACTAACCTTTTGCCTTATGAGCAGAAGCAGACGGCGGTAGAAGTGGAAAGGAAGCTGGATTTGATGATTTGGTGTAGTGCGGTTCTATTGTGGTTGGTGGGTTGGCTGTTTCGTCTCGGGTGTATTCAATAATAGAGCAGAAATGCTGTGGTGGTGGTTCATGGTTTATGGTGTTTCCGTCGACATTTTTCCTTAGAGGCATTCGCTTACCTGCGAAGGTTTATTATTATTACTATTATAAAAAAATAAAATAAAAAATAAAAAACAAAAAAAAACCCCTATTGCACAGTCGGAGATGTACATGCCTTTTTACTTTTATAATTGGGAATGAATGGCATTTGACAAGTTAAAATCAAGTTTAGCCTTCACTAGATATACGGAGATTAATAAAGTATGATGAATAATTATGTTTTATATTTGACTTCTTTTATGTTTATTACGTGTAATATAGCCGAGCTAATCACTTATCCTAACTATGTCGTCTTATATATACCTATACGTGGAGTTTGCTACTCATATGTTATAGGCTCGCCGAGTGATTTACCAAGCTGCACCAGCGTCTTTTCATATACCTGGCCTACGTTTAGTTGCAGCTCCTCCTCTTCCTCATCTAACTCTACACTTGGCTCGCCTATATCCCGTTCAGTGTCGGGAGCCATATATATCGTTGATGGGGGAGTAGTAGAGTTGTTGAAGCTGACTTTTGTTTTCGGGGCTGTTTCGTCGTCGGAATCTTCATCGTCGTCTACCATCCAATGGAACTTGCCGTCGGGTTGATGTGGACCGGGTCCATCAAGTGCCGGAACCGGACTTCGAGCCCCCGGCGCCGCATCACTAAACTTCGGCGTCGGCTCCTCTTCCTCAACTTTTATCCTTTTCTTATCCTCTGGCCCCTCGTCGTCTAAATCGGTAGCGCTGCGTTTGGGTATAGCATGGCGTGGTTCTTCGACATCGCTCAAGTCTGTGTCGTTTTCAAAGTCTATAATATCTTTAGGCTTAACCCTGCCATTGCTATTACCGCTATACGGAATAGGTGTCTGTATTAACCCCGTAGATAATGAAACGCCGATGTTTTTCCTCGTAGGTGGCTGCTCGATATCATAATCGTCATCGCTTGCGTCTGCATACGTCCCGACATCTGGCTCATCGCTCATAATCACTGCGACTAGCATGCGGGTCTCATCGGCAATGCTTTTACAGCGCACCATATCGGTTTTCGTAAGTCCTCTTCCATTGCCTTGGAGCCCTGGTAAAGGGATCCCTGATTTAATATCGTGGCCTACAAGAAGACTAGCGAAACAGTGGTCAAGTTTCTTCAGCAGCGCAAATGTGGGCAGCGGTGATGGCGGGAAGGATGGTAGATACGTGTTAAATGCGAGTGCGACGTTAAGGAGGTACGGGATCTGAAGGCTGGCTAGAAAGTCTGTTAATAAAGCTGTTCGACTTTCCATCTTTCGAAGTGTAAACATAGGATAAAACGTACGTGTGCCCGAAAACCAAAGTACATCAACGACATCTTCGAGGTCTTTGCATAACTCGTCCACGTCCTTATAGCCGCTCACCTCGTCAGCAGGGTCCGGGATGCCATGCTTCTTAACGTATCGGCGCGATATGTGTAATAGTCGCTCGGAGACATAATTTCTTGCATAATCTTCTTTTCTCGAACCCCGAGCTAGAGGTTTTGATCGCGGACGCGGGAGGCGCGCAGCTACCTTATTAGATGCTGTACTGAGGGCGGGAGAAGGTAATGAAGTGCCGTTCGGTAAGAAACCGCCGGCATTGCCGTAAGCGGATCGAGGTGTCTCAACCATTTTCAAGTGTAACTTTAGGACAATATGTGATATTTGAATACTGGATTGCGAGCATGGAGACGTATATATACCTGTTACGAATAGGTACGGTTGATGTAAATATCTACATGTAGGTTTAAGTTGGGATTTAGATGGATGGGAAATGGGAAAGATAAATAATAATGGACTTCAGCTTTGTGACAGCATTACGACATTAGCCTGTCAGCTGCCCCATACACTAAAAGATCATAAGCAAGGACCCACAAGAAACTCAGATTGGCCCCACTTGTCCCGCCAACGGAATAGCGTAACTTTAGGTAAGCTCGGATTTTAGGTATTCAGCCTTAGATTTATTCTCCAAATATTTTTTTTTGTATTCGACATCATCATTGTATATCAATCACATCACACACAGCCGAATTCGCCAACTTTACTATTTCCAACTTCCAACACATATACAATGCCGCCAAAGAGAGTCGGTGGCCGTTCCAACAAGGGCGTTATTAGCTCTACTTACGAAGCTTTCACATCTCCCGAAAATGCTTCCGTCGTACGGAGCGTAGCAATCTTCGGCGTATGTTCCCTTGCGACATATCCCCCTCACCACCAAATATATTGGCAACTAACATGTTCCATGTTCCAGGCTGCGGTGGCTTTTCTAGCGAGTCCCTGGAGCGAATACCTTCTTCCGCCGTGAGATATCTGCAATTAAAACTTCAATCAAGTATCTACGCAAGACACTAACTTCCCATTCAGAGTATAAATATACAAAATATACATAATATGCATTGGCCAAGGGATAGAGGGAATCACGAGTTGCAAAGCATGTACGATATGGGACAAACAGCGCGGGTGTACCATACTTAGGCAGTGGATTAGGAGACGGAATATGTATAAAATGCATCCGGCCAATCTTATTAGACCGTTTAAAGACATGGACCAGAGGAAAACCCTCCACTTGACGTATTGATGTGAGGAACAATCCAATACCAACTCAAAGCTTGAGTATTATATTCCAAGACTTTGCGATTTTACGCTGCCTTACTAGGGGAAATTCCCGCTGAGTCTTTCACCAAATCAGGTCACTCTAAGTATTGGCAATGGGGACTCAGAAAAAAGGATTAGAGTTCCTTATTCCTACCAGGTAGGTCAGGAGGTAGTTATTCTGTCAAGCAGTGACAACCTAAGTTAGTAACCGCTTTACTTCAAGAAACAACATTGGGAAGTTTCTTTAAGATATAATGACCACTCTTAGGTTTATATTCCGCGCGGCTTGTAATCTTTAATAGTAACTCTACTCTTTACCGTCTAACAACACCTCTTCATCAATATGGCCTCCTTGTTCTTCAAACCTGACCATACCTTCCTGAGGCACAAGGTAGATTATCGCATGCTTGATCCGGAATTTGTCGCATGCAAATCATTATTCTGTATTACCACAGATATTATATCCCGCCCTCACTTCGCAGATGAAAAAGATGTTAATACTTTCAGTATCGTCATATCGCATATCAGACCGGAGATGAGAGCAGAATTTGTTATAGAACAAGTTGTCTTTCGTGGCATCATGACACAACTTCCCATGTTGTCGGCATTGGTTGTCACTTGGACCCCTGCCGCCATTCTCTTTGAACTACTCTGTAGAATCGTGAATCGCCCATTAGGCCTGCTACCCAACCAACAGCCGCTGTTAACAAGAGAGGATATCTTACGGGGACTTAGGCGTGCTTATTGTAAGTATTAGCACTGTATCTAAACCGATACGCCCTATGATACGATGGTCTATGAAGGGGACTGGATTGACTTCTTCCTAATATATAGGTCTGCCGGGAGTTGAAGCTCAACACCATGAGGTGCCTTTCCTGAATTTTCACTTTCACTACTTTGCCTCCGTCATGTACGCCTTCGATGTAATGGATGAGCCTTTATTTTTCGTATTCGCAATGCGCGACGCATTAGAATCCAGCTGGGACAGTGCCTCTCAATACGACAAGCTCTTCGACTCGGTCTTTCAATGGATTCTGCTGAGCGGAGACAGGATATTTCAGCTGATCAAGAGCGGGTTCGAACCGCCAACCCACAAGGCAGCCTATTATCACGGGGAACTATACCAACTCGAGCTTTATAAGACTTACGGTAGTCACCATCCTGCCCCTGGCTTGACGATGCATCGCTGGGAGTTCTGGAAGCAGCGCATCGAGGATACGATGATCTTCCTCATCGACTGCGAACGCCCACTAGCGGTTATGGAGCTAGAAAATATTGCCAGAGAAACTGCTGCGCATATGGACTTGTTGTCAACAGTTTAAAAGATCGAACAGCTCTAACTTGCCGGGGAAGCCGTAGTGGCCAATACAGAATAAAGCAGCAAGATATAATTTTATTTGAGTATGGTTAAGTTTAATAGCGAAGTTCTTGAAGAGCTGGATAGGATAGCCGAGTATGAGATGTTAACCATACATACCTTAGGTAAGTATCTTAGATAGTTGAAATTAGCGACTCTTTTCTTTACTTCCCTTGTCTTGTGCCCTGACCCAGAGGCAACTGTTCTCAAGGCGTGTTAAACATTACTCTCTTTTCTTCTATCTCCCTCTTCATTGACATAATCGGTAATCACCGATTGCGGGCTTACATTCATCAAGCCCTTTTCCCACTTTCGGTATTTAACGGCCCTTGGCTGGGAGCGAAGCCGAGGTAGAATAGAGGAGTACCTAAAGTAGAAGATCGTACTCATTGGGGTAAATCGTATGTATTACCGAATCCATTACTTAATGCGTATTCTGATATGATACGATACATGTCTATCTTCACCTTTATTCTTTGACGCGTCCGATATAATTACTGGTCGAACTATTAATTGACTCTTTACGCATGTCTATTATGAATCCTTAGATATTTGAACCTTGTTTCGATATAATTCTGGTATAGCAATGTCGGAGGCTGCCCTTGGTATGTGACCACTACGGAGTGACAGGTGACCAGCTGGTAGATAGCTCCAAGCTAGATCTTAGGACCCTTATCACGTCATACACCTATCGTAATCCTTGTCATCTGACAAGCAACTACGACGTGGGGAAGTAAGTGAACTTCGGTTCGCGGTGGTGGTGATTTATCCTCGCTATATTATACCTGATACGCTATATGTTCAACAATCCCCTTTTCATGACCCCCTCTTTCATCTGAGAACGATGTGATTAATATCGATAATCTACCTATCCCGGGTGGCTCATCCATGATCCGAGAAAGCAAGCAACGATAGTCAACAATCCGCCAATAATACGAGCCTACTGTCATCATGTGAACGTCTTCGCCGATAGAGACGGGATAACTCAGCTGCATATGCATGCATACGACGTGATGCCCACGTCAATGGCAGAAAAGTATTAGGTTATCGCGGGTAGGAATACATCTTCTGGTCTAAAATATCAATAACTTGCCTATCATGTTTCACTGGCCTTGGCTATGTAACCAGTTGTGTAGCTAATATCTTCAAGGATTATTGCCCGCATTATCTGGAGGATGGCTTGTGTGAGACGCTACTATCTCAGTTCCAGGTGACCTTCTGAAGTTGGAGTAGATATTTGTCTATAAAAGCATAGGCATTCCCCAACATGTAAGTCTCTGTCAGTCAACCCGAGTAGACCTCTTTATACAGTCTAAACGAACTCCTAGCTTATTCCTAGCTGCTCTCTCGACCAATGGCAGACCCAAAGCCCCTTAAAGGAAAGGTTATACTCGTCACGGGGGCGGCCCAAGGGATCGGGGCAGTTATAAGTGACTACATTGCGGCGCGTGGTGCAACATTGTCTTTGGCAGATTTGCAGATAGACAAGCTCAACACCTCGGCGCAACGTATCTCTGAGGCTTACCCCGATATTCAAGTGTCGACATGGGCTGTGAATGTCACCGACCCGAAGTCCGTTGAGGAATGGGTCGTTGCGTCGAAGGAGAAATTCGGGAGGATTGACGGGTGTGTTAATAATGCTGGTACGCTGATCTGAATCTACGATATATAGCTAGACAAGTTTTCTCTCCCAAGCTCACACATACCCCCTCTAATTTTGTTATACCCCATTGACTAACTGTTGAGATGTAACGAAATAGGAATCCTTGGTGACGGGAAACAGATAACGGAGATGAGTTATGAGAACTGGTCTCGAGTCATTGACGTCAACTTAACTGGCGTGTTCAACTGTCTCAAGTTCGAACTACGCGCTATCGCAGATGGCGGTAGCATTGTGAACATGTCTAGCGTTAGCGGCATACGCGGGTTTCCTATCCTGCCGGCCTACGTGGCTTCTAAGCATGGGGTCATTGGTTTGAGTAGAGTAGCCGCTGCCGAGCACGCACACCGTAATGTCCGAGTTAATGCTGTGTGCCCGTAAGTATACATTCTTTTATCCTCAACCTAGATTCCTGAATTGGAGCTGGTATGCGGTAGACCTCGTATTTCTCAGCTTTTGATTTTTCTTCTTCTTCCCTCTATGAATACGAGATACCTCCTCAGTAACTAACTACCGTTCGCTCTAGGGGCTTGGTGGACGGGGGCATGCAGGACGAGTTACGCAAGGCTAAACCTGATATCAACTTCGCTGAATACGGAGCGCTATTAAAAGACTACTTACCAATGAGTGAGGTGGCTGCGATGGTTGGGTACCTCTTAGGTAATGAGAGCAAATTCATCACTCGGGCGATTCTTCCGGTTGATGGCGGGATGAGTGCGTGATTTTGTAAGTCAAACCTGACAACACCATCTCTTATTTGAGTCTCTTGTAATTCGGAGGGGATGTTCTGTTTGTGCCGTTTGGATGAAATCTTTTGGCACCAGTCTCATTATTGTGGAAGGTCTTAACACACGCAATGTAGGACTATTATCTAGCTTGGGCTAGGATTTAGGGACGTTAATTTTGCCCTACGTAGCTAAATATCTGTATGCCTCCTTTTCTAATTATCTTTCTCTTTAATGATGGAGGAGCAATAGGGTCTACCTAGACTCTGGGTAAATTCTAGGCTCTTAATAAAACTTACTCAAATATGCAAGCATCAGGAGCTGGGGAGAGATGATTAAGAGGACTTAAAGTACAGGTGAATCTTTAGAGATTAGGTAGGCCGTTCTATAGCTGTGAGTTGGTGAAGAGACTCATAGCCTCTATCACGTGACTGATGCATATATATTGGATTTCTCCCCCCCTTTTCCCACCTCCTTATCCGCGGCTACCTAGGTAAATACTAATGTTATGACGGCAGTCTTATATTCTTCATTTAGGCCATATTGTTATAATAAATAGTTAATACTAAATAAGTTTAGGTAACTTTAACTATCCTCTTCAAAGGGTCATTCTAGGAGCCTATACACATCTTAAGTTTTCTATTATCCCCGGGGTTCCCACCTTATTCTAATAAACCAAAGCTGAGGCGTTCTGATTCGTTAGCCTTATGAACAACATGTAAACTTGCGTATACATGCAGACATGGCAATGTTACTGGGCCGTAATTCAATATTATTATGTACCCAGCCACTGTGATACCGCGCCGCCTCGGTATTCCCTGTCAGGGTATCGCGGGTCAGGGGTGGATACAGGGGTCTATCAATTATATATACGTAAGAGGCGTGGAGTGCCCTCGTCAAAGGATAGAAGGCTAGGCGTTATTAGTTCAATATATTCAATCTATTACTTGGTCTACTTACCTTGTACACTCACTCTGTGTATGAAAAATCTCATCGGGCATTAATCTTGATAATTCCGTAACCAGGGGTGTCTACCGCTCTAACTGTAATTGGATCTCTACGGATGACACAAACCAATTAGGGGTACACGCCTGTCTCACCTTTTCATCTTCCGCACACTAACTTTACTTCTTATTACTCCTTTACCACCCTGAGATACACTCGAATATGTCTCTCGGAGCAATTTGGACACAATTCTTCCCACCACGCAACGGCGCACCGCTAACAGAAACTAATTTGTTAAGCCAAGCCGGCAAGGTGTTCATCGTAACAGGCGGGTCATCCGGGATAGGATATGAGACCTCACGGATCTTGTACGGTGCGGGTGGCAAGGTATATATGCTTACGCGATCGAAAGACAATGCTGAAGAGGCTATTACCCGCATAAAGACACACTATGTCCAAGATGGGGATGTGAATGTGAAGACAGGGAGCTTACATTTCATACAAATGGACGCTGCGGATTTTGAGAGTGTCAAAAACGCTGCCCGAAAATTCTTGGAGCTCGAGGAGTTAGATGGGAGGCTCGATGTCTTGTTCAATAATGCGGGTGTTGGCGCTCGGAAAAATGCTCCTCGAACTCCCCAGGGACACGAACATCATTTTGCTACCAATTCTATTGGGCACCACTTACTCACCCGATTACTTGCCCCTATTCTGTCTAGAACAGCTAAGAAGTCCCCGAAGGATACAGTGCGTGTCGTGTGGGCCGCGTCAGTTCTTGTCGATGTGATAAGTCCTCAGGGTGGGATCCGGAAAGAATATTTACAGGATCCCTTCAGTATTATGAATCAAAATGAGCTATACGCCTCTTCTAAAGCCGCAAACTGGTTCCTAGCTTCAGAATTCGCACGCCGGCAGTCCGAGACTGGAGCTTTCGGCACGGGAGTTGTCCATATAGCCGCCAACCCGGGGAACTATATCACAGGAATATGGCGTACCGTTCCCCTGCTTCAAATTATTCTTAGACCTATCCTCCGCTATCCTATACACGGTGCTTACACGTATCTCTGGACGGCATTCTCAGACTCGGTCACTATGGGTGATGCGGTGACAGGACGGTATGCGATTTGTGATGGGAGATGGCATCCTGGACAGAGAAAGGATCTTCTTCTAGCGCTGAGAGGGGAGGAAGAAGGGGGGTCGGGACGGGCAAGGGAGTATTTCGAGTGGTGCGAGGACAAAGTAAAGGAATTTATGGGCTAATAGGTATTTCTTGCTATAGGGTCTAGGGAAACTGAGATAAAGCCCGGTATAATATTTATGAGTTAGTCTTAGTGGCCATATGCTTAACCTAGAATATAGATAGAGGTTATTATGCTGTTTGAATGTCATAATTCGTTGTCGATACCTAGGGGTGACCTTAGGCCTCATTATATTCACCTCCTATTTTAGGTATTGATATACCTATGAAAGAGAGCATAGGTACGTATGAATACCTACCTACCTTATATATCCAGTTATGCATTAACTCATTAGCGATTATAGATATCCACTTGCCTATAAGGGTGCGGATTTACCCTAGAGACAAAACGCCATGCTGACCAATCGCCTGATCGACCGGTATATCTTCTACCCACCATCTCCAACCCCTCATGTCCTTTGTGTCGTGATTTTCATTAGCAGAATACCATACTGTTTCAAGGCCCTTATATTTAATCACGTAATTCTATCAAGACTCACGATCCACTTATAAAGCGTTGTTCACCCAGGTACCTCCTAAATCAAACTTATACCTAGCCCCAGCCATGACACAAAACATCGAAAGGCTATATGAAGACGCTATAGCTTCAGGATTACTTCCCGGTGTCTCAGTTATCGCAGGAGATAAAGATGGTAAAATCTTCCTCCAATTGTATACATAATTCAGGTGCTTGGGGATGTTTGGCTGCGTATGGGACAGCTATTAGTCGGAGACGTTGAATTAATACTTCAATGACACGATTATATTCAACAACTGATTGTACTAAATGCAGGCAATGAAATCTACTCCAAGTCCTTTGGAAAGGCGAGTCTCAAAGAAGGCACCGACCTTCCCTACACGGACTCCACAGTCAGCGGTATTGCTTCCATGTCCAAGCTCATGACTGCGGTCGCTGTTCTACAATGTGTCCAAGACGGGACTTTAGATCTAGACAAAGACGTTAAGATATTACTTCCTAATATCGGAAAATACGGTATTATTACCGGCTTCGACGACGACAAGAACACAGGCATTTTTACGCCCAACTCTATCCCTATCACTCTTAGGATGCTACTTACACACACGTCCGGCCACGAGTATGATTGGTTCAACCCCTTGCTTATGAAATGGCGCGCCTCACGCGGCGAAAGGCCGTTCTCCGGTCCAGATGCCGAGCACATAGCTACCTTGCCTCTAGTGTACCCCCCGGGCACGGGATTCTCATATGGCGTGAATTTTGAATGGGCTGGCAAGGCAGTCGAAGCTGTTACGCACCTTAGCCTCGACGAATTCATGCGCGAACGTATCTGGAAGCCTCTGGGAATTGAAAATGAGGCTAGTTTCTTTCCAAGGGCGAGAGACGGCATGAAGGATAGGGTAGCTGATATTAGCACACTCAATGAAAAGGGAGAGCCGCCGGCAGTGGACGCCTCAGACTTCGATATGAAGGGCGGAGCGTCTGACTGCTTGGGAGGCGCAGGCGTATTCGCGACCCCAAGAGCTTACTACACGTTCCTGTCTGCTGTCTTCAGGCGAGACCCCAAGCTGCTATCACCTGCGTTGTACGAAGAACTTTTCCGCCCGCAGCTCGACGAAAAGCTGGAGCAGCGCTTGAACGACGATATTGCCTCCTCTCCGGAAAAGACGCGGTACCTCGGCCTGCAGATTCCACTGTCTATCAGGAAGACGTGGAGCTTCGCAGGCCTGGTGGTGAAGGAAGGCCGGGAGGGTTGGTTCGCGCCGAACACCGTGTTTTGGGGCGGGTTTCCGAGCTGTATGTGGTTTATTGACCATGAGACGGGTATCTGCGGGACGGCAGTCTGTCAGATTATTCCGCCCATGCATCCTAAAGTCATTGCTCTTCATGGCGAGTTCCAGAAGGCTATATTTAACCTTGTAAAAGCGAAACAGAACTAGTCACCTTTTCCGTGGCTATTCAAAACTCTGGAGGCTACGTTTAGAGAAATAGACAGGATTTGAAATTTGTCTTCAGCGGTAATGAGTGTTTGAGATAATATTCTACCAAGGTCAATGAACGAAGCCAGTCGTTTAATATATGCTTAGATACCGTGAAGTCTCTTTAATCCACGCGTTTCAATGAATATATACCCATATATATATACCTCGATACCAAGCATACTATTTCATTTGTCACAGTCATGGTAGCACTCATCTTGAACTCCGTTGTTACAGGCCGGGTCAGTTGGCTCAGTACAGATCCAGCTCTCATAATATTGGCAAGTTTTATCTGCGTATACGACAATATTAGCTTGGTATTTCGTAATGTAACCTTTAAACGCAATAAGTTAGTGTTTGCTTGAGCTATTTCACTTACGCTGGCAAACTTTGCTCCCTGAGCAATCGTTTCGAGTCGTGCACTCGCGGGTTTGGCCAAAGACACCCAGTCCAAGGGAAAGAATCGAGAGAACTTGAATGAGACGCATTGTGGCGAGGAAGTCCGTAGGGTTATGTAATAGCAATAATAGAGAATATCGTTTCAATGTGATGGTGGAAGTCGTAGGCGTTTGGGGTTTTATCCTTTGATGAGCTGATTTAAGTGTACCGATATCCAACAACTCGATGCCGTGCTCAACTTTATATACGCATATTACTTCCTCTTCGCTGCATATTTGACGTACGGCGGCGAATATGGTACTCATCCTAGTAGTTCGCAGAATACACCCAAAATTGGAGGAATTGAGTCCACTGACGAAATGCTATACATGTTCTGACTAAGATAATCGCGGTATATATCCTAGAATATAAACGGAAACAGGTGTGTTACGACTATACGGTCGAATAGCCCGCAATATCGCCTGATATACCTAGAATTGGTAAATATAAGCTGATTAACGTGTAATACTTGGTCACTTTAATGCCATAGCTATGGGATAATGGTTCCTTGCTAATACCTAGTATTTATCAGCTCGAATATCTTTTTCTCCTTTAAACTTTAACACTCATAACAATATTCGAATTCCGAGGCCATGTGGCTATAAATAGCTTACCGATCACAGTAGAATCAAACAACTATATTGTTTAGTTTGTTAGCTTTAGCCTCAAGGCACAGTGAACCAACAGGGATATCGTATCTGATCGTCGAAGCACAAATATGTAACAATGCTCAAAAGTTCTAGTATAAGAGGCAGGCAGGAAAGAAATATCCGGCATTATCTTTTTATCTGCATATCATATTCGGTACACAACCTGAATTCATTATCATAACACATAATCTCTTAATATTTGCATATCAAACACCAAATACCTACCTATTCACAATGGCTCCATTACTTCAATTCGACGTCATGGCGAGAGTTGCCCAACACATGGAGCTTTGGGAATGTCTCCGAATGGGACGTATGAACAAGAGACTAAACAGTGCGGTCTTCAACCACGCCGTAAGATACGTTTTCGAGAATCCGCATCGATACCGTGCTCTTCAGCCGGTTGAGTATGCTTTTGTAACTGGTAATCTTGGCCTGTTGACTACCCTTCGTGATATAATAGTCACAAGTAATGTGAGAGTTCCAGAGGGCTGGTCGTACACAGTGGACTTTGGTTCGGTTGTGCGAGAATTTCTCTACTTCGAATCTATGCTGCAATGCCTCCGGAACCCCGAGGGCCCTAGATGCTTTGAACTTATTATCGACACGGCTATTTCGACAGGCACGGTGCCTTCCCTAGACATCTGGGGCATAAATAGTCCTTCGATGTTACTAGGAAATTCCATAAAATACAACCGTGTGGACGCCGTCCAAATTATTCTCAGACGGCGATCAGAACTTGGCCTTGGTAATTTCTTGGAAGAGATGTGCTATTCACACATTAATGTAATCGATGGTTTTGTTTCCCAGTATCATCTCACGGAAGAAATGGTCCGATGTCTTATTGTCGGTACTGATATGTCATTTCATGACGCCTGCCGCTTAACATTTATAGATGCCATCGATTATATTCTTAGGAATACCCCAGAGTTGGCCCACAATCCCCAAGAAGTGTTATACGGGTTTGATCATCTTATTCAGTCCCCATCATGGTTTCGCAATCCGCATGAAGGAGCTCGAAGTATTGCGAGATGCATTACTTTGCTCAACAGGTATTATCGGACCAGGTCCCCAACAGCGGTCCCTATCCAGGTAGTAGACAATTTGCTAAATCGAGCTTGGAGAGTGCTTAACCCGATTATAAGATACGAACTAGGTGTTGGTGCCTCAAATACCGCAACCCAAGATCAATTGTTGGACACAATGGCTGCGTCTCCGTCGTGCCAGCAATATCATAGATTGCTCGATGTCATCATCGACTTGCATCCAATGCTTTCAAATATTCCGAAACGGAACGCCAATCATACTGTGCGGTTAGGACATGTACGTTTTGTTGATCTTGTTCGTCGAGACAATGTTGGCCTTCCCCTGATTTTCAGCTGGAATAGTCACGATAGAAGTATTTTCAACAGGGACCAAGAGTAGGTACATGTACTAAGAGGTACATATACCTAGATTAGCATTGTTTTATACCTACATATGTATTGTTTAATAAATAGGTTTTCGTACTATTCTTTCAGTCTCTTCTTTTATGCATAGGTAATTATTCCTTTCAATCACACAAGGAGTCGAGTCTTTTCTTGTTATTACTGGCTCTTTTTTTTTCATCTCTTTTCTTTTCTTGTCATTGCCTAGAGCCGCAGGATCGTACCAAATGCGGAAATGGTTTCAACATCAACGATGCAGATGAAAGTATTTGATGTAGACAGCTCAAAAGTATGATATATCATAATGTAGGTGCACAGGTACATAAGATATAAGATAGGATGACCCATAAAATGAAGGCTGGGTGCTAGAGTTTCTATTGGTTAATATCTGCGTTTCGGCCCCCAATTGTCAAGCGGGCTAGCCAAGCTTGCCCAAGCTTATCTCAGCAATGCGGGATATGGTCCACTTATGGCCCACATAGAGCCCACATACGGATCCGTAGAGCCCTGCAGCTTTCCATTTCTTACAACATTATAGTACTTACTTACATGTACCTACCCAGTAGCTCTTCCTTTCCCCCTCATGTACATATTTTCTTTCTCCAATGTCGCATGCTCTAAATTATTCCATTGCTTCTACTTTCCGTCTACTTCGTATACTTCTATGCAACAAACAAAGCAGGCAGACCGGGCAACTAAACACCATCGAGGCTCGGTATAAGTCGTCAGCATCACACGATGTCACAATATCACAAACCATTGCATGGGCTGAGCTATGCCTTAATGAATGCAGACGGGACTGAGACGGGACTGATCATGACTCCCCCCGGCCTCGGTGAACCACACTTTTCTTCTATGCCTACCATGCCTATTATACCTATGCCTGTCCTAGTGCCAATGTGTATAAGTTCGAAAATATCCCCTTCTCCTTCGCCCTTACTTCTCACTTACACATATCACCTTCTCCATCACTTTCTCTTTCCCCCTTAGCCGTTTCTGAACTAGCACAACCCCTCTCTTGCCTGTCAGATAGCTGATCGTGCTAGTTGTTTGTATCCTTCTCTTTCGCTCTACCTTCTCTTCTCCTTTAGACTTGACGAGAAAAGTAGGTCCGGGTGACCCAGTGTCCTTTCCGTCTTCGTGTCACCTGTAGCTTTGGAGTAGCTTAGCATCTCGTGCTATCTCACCTTGGTTTGAAATCGAAGAATCATGTCCGACGTTGACTCAGCCTCGTCTTCGGAGACAGGATATTCGGACCAGGACGTTGGGGACCGTACCGTGATGGCCGTGATGCCCGTGAGCATGCAGACACCTAAGAAACCTAAGAAGCAGACCCCTCAGGAAGCGATTGACGAATTCTGGAAAAAGTTTACAACTAAAGCTCCTGGAAAAGGTTCGTGATCTCATTGCTATACTACCCTATGTAATACACCAGTTTTCGAGCGTGACATTATTAATTCACCCACACTAGCAACTACTATTATCCCGCATAACGAATATGCCGAGAAAGCGGCGAAGAGGTCTACCAAAGCCGTTGGCACAAATACCCAGACGTCGTACGAAGAAGCTGCTGCCGTCTGTCGAGCCAAGGTGGCCAAAATCGTCAAGGAGTGTCGCCGTGTAAATCAGAAATATCGAGACCCGCATTTCGATCTCGAGATCGATTTGAAATGGGGTAGCCGAGATACTCTGGAGTCTCTTTGCAACACTAAGGAGAAAGCTGACTCGTTCTTTAAGCCTAAGAGCGTCAAGCGTGTAGTAGACATTTTTGATGACCCTAAGTTCTATATCGAGGGTCCCACCGCCAACGACGTAAGGCAAGGTCGCGATGGCGATTGCTGGCTGCTCGCCGCTCTATGTACTCTCAGCAACAAGCCTAGTTTGATTGAGAAGGTTTGCGTAGCACGAGACGAACAGGTTGGCGTCTACGGCTTTGTCTTCCATCGCGATGGGGAGTGGATCTCAGAGATTATCGATGATAAGTTATTCCTGACCAAGCCCGACTTCGATGAGAGCTTTCTCGAACGGATACTTTGGGAAGATCGCGAGAGAATTAACTCTGAGGAGCAATATCGAAAGGCGTATCAGAGCGGATCCGGAGCTCTCTATTTCGCCCAGTGCGAGCACGAAAATGAGACCTGGCTACCACTGCTCGAGAAGGCGTATGCTAAAGCGCATGGTGACTACGCATCGATCGAGGGCGGTTTCACCGGAGAGGGAATCGAAGATCTCACCGGTGGAGTTACGTCCGAGGCAAGTTTTCTCTTTTAGTCGTGCTTTTGAAAATCATTTTCCTACTGACACCGTATAGCTCTATACCACGGACATTCTTGACAAGGAATATTTTTGGAAAGAAGAGTTGATGAAAGTGAATGATGAATTTCTCTTCGGATGCTCTACAGGGATGTGGGGCGCGTATTGGGGCGAACGTAAGGGCATCTATGAGCTTCATGCCTACTCGATAATGAAGGCTGTGGACATTGACGGCCAGCGGCTTGTCCTACTCAAGAATCCCTGGGGAAAAGGAGAATGGACTGGTCCTTGGAGTGACGGGTCTAAAGAGTGGACAGCTGAGTGGATGGTCAAGCTCAACCATCGGTTCGGCGACGATGGGAATTTCTGGATCTCGTACGATGACCTACTTCGAAAGTACCAGGCTTTTGACAGAACTCGACTTTTCGGGCCGGAGTGGAAAGTTACCTCTCTTTGGACAACTCTCTCCGTTCCTTGGACACTAGACTACCATGATACATACTTCACATTTTCTCTCGCAAAGACTGGGCCTGTTGTTCTTGTGCTTTCTCAGCTGGATGAGCGCTACTACCGAGGCCTTGAAGGGCAGTACCGATTCGAACTGAACTTTCGCCTGCACAAGAACGGCCAAGAAGACTATGTTGTTCGCAGCATCAGCTCGATCCGTCTGAACCGCGCAGTAAACGTTGAGCTCGAGCTAGAAGAGGGCGAATATACGGTCTTGCTAAAAGTTGATGCCACTCGTTATATGGACAAGCTACCGATAGAGGAGGTGGTGCGCAACTATGCGCGGGACCGCAGAGACAAGCTGGTTGCTGTGGGCATGTCATACGACCTCGCCCACAGTAAGGGGAAGATCATCGAGTCTGCTGAAGAAAAGAAGGCGCGGAAGGAAGCAGAGCAGCGCAAGAAGGATAAGGAGCGTGAGGAACTCAAGAAGAAGATCATGGAGGCCCGGCACCGTCATCATTATTACCAGGTCAAGCAGCATAAGAAGAACCAGGAGAAGAAGGCTAAGGCCAAAGCCAAAGCACAGGCCAAAAAGGCTGCGAAGGCTGACAGGTTGAAGGCCAAGGAGGCTGAAAAACAGAAGACTGGTTCCAAGGAAGAGCCGCCGGAACCCGCGGATAAGCACGTTCAAGTGTTGTCACCTAGCCCTACCCCAGCGCCGGAGGACCCTAAGGAGGAACCGGGTTCTGGATCGAGTACAGATCTCAAGGCAGAAACGCCCTCTACGGAGCCTGACAAGTCTTCCGCAGACTCACCGCCGATGTCTGAGGAGAGACCCGCTGAAACCCCCAAGGTACCTAAGGAATCAGAAGCGGATGATACATCTGGGTCTGAAAAGGTTGAAGGCAAAAATGAGCCGGCTACGGAAGGATTACCCGATTCCGGCGTTACTTCGTCAAATAAAGCAAACGCTAATAACAAGTTAGAAGAGAAGGGAGCAAAGGAGACGGAAGATGAAGAGGACGACTCGTCTGACGAGAGCGATATATCGTCTGTTTCCGAGATCAGCGATCGAGAGCTAGACTATGAGCTCAAGCATCAGGCGAGCAGAGTCGGCCCTCCTCCTCCCTCCTCGCCGCCACCTCCTGTCGAGCCGCCGGAGGAAGAGGACGAGTTCGAGAGAGACCCGTGGAATGCTGTCGCCACAGTCGGTCTACGCGTCTACTACAAGGTGTCTGATGAGGATAGGGACAAGGAGATTGTGAAGCTACGTGTCGTCCGCCCGAACCCTTACGCCAAGGACGATAAGAAGAAAGGCGAAGAGGAGGATGAGGAGAAAGAAAAAGAGCCCAAGACCTCTAAGGGTCTAGACGTCGACGACAGTTCTAAGGATGCCACGCTTGAAGGCAGCCAGGAGCAGAGGAAGAAGAGTATCATGTCTCTTGTGCCGCAAGCTTAGCGAGGGTAAGGATCCGAATAATGAGTTATGAGGTATCAGTTATTACGAGTATGATTGGATAAAAGAGAATGGAACCTGTATAGAGATTGAGAATAATAGTCAAGTAGAATACCCACTCCACTCACTCACATAAATATTATTATAAATATCCTCTTCTCATATCGTCGAGCTCGTTTTTGTATGATGGCAATTTGACTTGCTTAACTGACCTTGTCTTAGCCAGGTATGAGGTATGTAGGTAGGTATGTAGGTAGATATATACTATAGGGGTATTATCATTCTTGCGAAACGACATCGCGAATCGACCACCAAGCTAGGCCAACTAGCCGCTCCGAACCTCGAGACGCCACTTTCTTTCTTCACATTCAAGTCGACGCACAATAACAACGAACTAACCTAGAACTGTAACGGCATACTAAGCGTCAGCAAGTAAGGTCGCGGGATATCAAAACCCATCAAGCAACCTCTCAACCTTGCCCCGCTCCACGGCCTCCAGATCCTCCATCGCAACGTCCTCGCCGGGCTCCGGGTCCGGTAGTTGGGCGACGCGGGCGGCGACGCGCACGAGTAGTACACGCATGCGCTCGAGCTCCTTTTCCATTTCTCCGTCGCGCGTGACGAGGTTCGGTTGGACTTTTTCGACGCCGGATTCGCTTGCGCTATTTACTACTTCGTTTGCACCATTACTACTTTGCGGGTTGGAGGAGTCTATGGCAGAAGAGGAGGTGGTGGTGGTGGTAGTGGTGGAAGAAAAGGGGACTAATAGAGTACGCATTCGACGGAGACGATCGAGGCGCGCGCGCGTTTCTTTTCGCCGCGAGGAGAGAATCGATAGGGATGTCGCTAGGTCGGCGTAGCGTAGGGCTTCGGCGGGGTGGGCTTCGGATTGGGAGGGTGAGTGTTGGTCCCATGTGTTGGGGAGGGAGGCGATGACTTCGTCAGATGCTGCGTTGGGCATAGTTGGTTAACTGGTGCTTTTATAACATAGTATAGTATCGTAGAAAAGTAGACGTACCAAAATCCGCGCCCACCATCAAAAACTTGGGCCCTCCACCACCCAACCCGTCCCCTGCGTCTACCCCGTCATCATCATCTTCCCCTCGACTCCCTTCCCCGCGCACAGCCCTCTCCGCAGCCTCTAGGTACAGCGTCTCGATCTGCTCCGCGACATGCCGACTCGCTTGAGGCGCATACACGCGACGCGCATGTTGTTGTAAGATGTGGTTCGCACGGTATAACACCTCGTCGACGACGCGGTCGCTTAGACTGCCGCCGTTTTCGGGGATGCGCTGGTTGGATGTGCGCCATGTGTTGCTTGGTACGAGGGATTGGGATAGGTGGAGGGTTTGCGCGGTGAGGAAGGAGGATTTGTGGGCGAGGATCGTTGGGGGCGCCATGGTGGTGGTGGTGGTTTAATTGGGTGTTTTAGGTGATGCGCTGGGGTTTTCTTAATAGTATAGCTACGATATAGGGCGCATCGTTTTGGCGGGTTTAGTTCTTTAAATATTGAGGCATGAGCAGAAGTATAGTTTTCTAATTGGTCAATTGCTTGTATAATCGATTTATAGCTTTATTCGAGATGGTTGTAAATCTCGTTGACTTATAATGGTATAATTATTGTATATAAAAAGATCTTGTAAGATCGCGTCGCGTCTTGGAAATCTGCCCCGCGTTCAATGTCGCGGACCCACTGCGGGGTTAATTCAGGGTCCAACATGTACATATGTACATTACGTAAGGCACTAAAATATAACAATTCTCAACTTCTCACTTATGAAATTCCGATTTCGATTCCACTCATCTAAATTTCAAAGTGACCTCAATTAAAAGGCGGTAATACCATAGAATCAAACACTCATATGTCACTGATCATCCTCCCGTTATAACAGAAGTGAAATCTATTTTCCATCTCGTTCAATCATATCAAATATTTTCCTACAAGATCCCATCTCGAATAAGACGCCTCGTTGTAATTTTCATCAACATCCGTTACATTTCATGGGCAACTATTTCCCATGTTAGAATTCATTCAGAATTCATCACAACCCAGACCACCAAAATGTCTCAGCCACCTTGAACGATCCCTTCACGGCTTTACTTTCTTTAATCTCACTGCTGTCACTGACAATGACATCGTACTCGCCCTCCTCAACGCACCATTGATCGCGTTCCTCGTCCCAGTAGCTAGCCGCGTATTTCTTCGCAACCTTTACAGAAACTGTCTTAGTTTCGCCCGGTGCCAACTCTACCTTGGCAAAACCCTTGAGTTCTTTGACTGGCCGGTTGACCTTGGCTTTCTGTTTGGGCGCCACGTAGACCTGCGCGACCTCGGCACCCTTCACGCTGCCTGTATTTTCAATGGCAACTGCTACAGTTAATTCCCCGTCTTTTTCGGCAACTGACAGGTCTGAAAAGGCAAAGCTCGTGTAGCTCAGTCCGTGTCCGAAAGGGAATAAGACTTCGCGGTCGGCGAATTCGTAGTACCGGTAGCCGATGTAAATGTCCTCGCCGTAGATCACTCGACCACCTTCGGTTCGGTAATTCAGATATGCAGGATTATGCTGTACACGGATCGGGAAACTGAGACTAAGCTTTCCGGAAGGATTTACATCGCCGAAGAGTATATCCGCAATGGTATTTCCCGTCTCGTTGCCGCCATACCAAGCGTGGATAAGAGCATTCACGTCGTTGATCCAAGGCATCTCTACCGGAGTACCGGACTGCATGACTACTGCTGTGTTGGGATTCGCTTTGGCGACAGCAGCAATCAGATCATCTAAGCCGGGAGGAAGGCTCATGTCGGTGCGGTCATTGCCTTCTGTTTCCCATTCGGCGTTAAGCCCGGCGCATACAATGACTTGATCGGCACCCCGAGCCAGCTCTACGGCGTGGGCTATCTCAGCCTTGGGATTAACAATCTTGCAGCCACCAACCCTGAGCGCACCGCCGTTGAGAAGAACCGCACCGCCTCCCAATTTCGATGTTGGGCTCGATCCAAACGTAACCTTGAGGTTGTAGGTCTTTCCCTTTTCTAACTTGTAGGTCCCTTTCACTTCGACCGTGGCACTACCGAAGAATGCCTCGCCTAATGTCTGTTTTGTGGTGTTGTCAACAATCAGCTCATCATTAATGTAAAGGTTTGCCGATCCGGACACAACAACGCCGAATTCCCAGGTCGCGTCTTCCTCGGCAACTAACGATCCCTCAAGAGTCGCGTACCAAAGAGGACTCTTCACGTTCGGATTCGAGTAGTCGATTAGTAGCATCTCCGTCTTAAGAAGTTCTAGCTGGTCAACTGGTTGTCTGTCTGGAATATCGTGCCCCTCTGTGTAGACCTTCATGGTCATTCCCTGTGCGCCCTTGGCTGACTTAGTCGAATAGCCGAGGAGCGGCAGCAATTTGTGTGAGTATTGGCCGATCGTATAATCCGGAGGCGAGGATAACTTGTTACTGATACCGTCGAATGGAGTCACGGCATAATACGCAGCCAAAGACGCAGATCCTCCTCCGTGGTATGTGGCAACCTTGGCGTTCGGTCCAATAATTACAGTCTGTCAATGCCAATCAATTAGCCATTAGGGCGTTGGAGTCTAGACAGAGTTAAGGGGGAATATCATACCTTCTTATCCTTTTTAAGAGGAAGGATATCTTTCTCGTTCTTCAATAAGACGATTCCCTCATTACCTATCCGTCGAAGAAGCTCGGCCGTTTCAGGGGTATCAGCGGTGCCTTCAGGGGCGTTCTCTTTCACGCCGCTAGCAGCGCATTTTTTGATGAATTCCAACATAGCCTTCGCTCGCTGATCCAGGATATGGGTGCGAACTTTGTCGGTCGAGACATTAAACTTTAACGGCTCGCCCCTGAATCGTGGCGGACCAGGCATCTCAAGGTCAAGACCAGCTATCGCCGCCTCTGTAGTACTATATGTACCGTACCAGTCACTCATAACCATTCCATCCCAACCCCATTCTCCACGTAGCATTTGGTCCAAAAGCTTAGTGTTCTCGCTACAGTACGTTCCGTTGACTCCATTATAACCCGTCATAAACGATGCCGGATTGGAATCGCGAACGACCAATTGAAATGGCAACGCATAGATCTCGCGCAGCGCTCGTTCTGTGATGATTGCTTGGACAGCATTTCGTTTGTGTTCATGGTCGTTACAAACGAAATGCTTAATAGTAGCTTGGATCCCGGTTGATTGGATACCCCTGACGAGCGCGGCTGCGCCCAACCCAGCTAGGAAAGGGTCTTCGCCAAGCGACTCGAATCCTCGGCCACCCAGAGGACCTCGCTGCATGTTTATAGTAGGCCCTAGGATTGCGTGTGCTCCCTTCACCTTGGCCTCCTCTCCCATCTTCCTCCCTGCTTCTTCTAGAAGCTCGAGGTTGAAAGTGGCACCTAATCCAGTTCCACAAGGAAAGCAAGCAGCTTTGATGCCATTGAAGAACTTGGTGCCACGAACACCATTGGGCCCGTCAGTTAAGCGCAAAGAAGGGATACCGTGTTCCGGGAGGCCTTTCGTATGCCAAAAGTCAATACCTGCCAAAAGGTCGACCTTGTCGCTCATGGAGAGCTTCTTGAGGACCTGTTCTACAATTATATCCGCCATATTTACTTTGACTCAACGACAGCTCGTAGAGAAGAAGTGGTGGTAACAACAGTAGCAATCGAGCATCTAGGACAGTGAAGAAAATTTGGAAGGAAGGTAAAGAGAAAGGGATCAGGTTTTAAGCTTCTCGAGATATAATGTATTACTTATTACTACCTTTATAGCTCGAAACTAAGCCCACCGCCGCTACCGCGCACTACTTCCCTACTCCATACAAGGTTCAACAGCAGACAGCGCACAAGGAGGTACGACCAACGTTGACCAAGTAGCATATACAATTCACAGAAGTCACAGCTTGGCGGCGTATTTCGTGGGGTCATGTAAGACCGGCTCTCGTCTGCCGTCCCATCGTCTGTGACCCTCCAAGGTTTTCCCTGGCAGGCACAAGCATCCCTTCCCCCCCAAAACGTATGAATTGTGACCCTCGACACCGGAACGTAATCGGGGGGAACAACCCATCCAAGTAAAAGAAAGTTGAAGGGGTTTCTTTCAATGTAGGGTAGATCGGCGCCGGGTTACGGGCCGCTCAACCGGCTCTCCCGCCCGAAGATTTCCCAGTAGCGCGGCGCAATAGGGGGCCCCCGAGGTTTCTCCAGTCCAACCATCAGCTGTGGTTATACAGCTGCCGACAGGATCCCGGTATATAGTCTTGGACGCTTGGATGCAAGGTGCTGCTACGTCGGGTACACGTTAGTCGTGACGTTGCCCCCGAGTTCGCTGGGTCTATAAAGTGCTAAATAGGAAATAGGACCGATCGATTAGTTCGTTGATGGCCTAGTCAGTGATTAGAGAGCATGGTATTTTAGTATGTACACTATTTTATACGATCTCGTATTAGAGGCGGAAGTTGTGCTTACCCATGTCATGTTTATCAGTCATAAGTAGCGATATAGAAGGCATATTCTCGATGTTGCGATAGCGGGCTGGTTGTAAAGGACGTATAGAAATTTATACATCACATCGAGTACGAGGTCTATATAAATACCTAAGCGACCGGTTGGTGTTGTTATAAGAACTGCCATAAAGGCTATTTGAGATGAAGATTGAAGTCAGTTACAAATCGCAAAATGTGAATCAATAATTTTATAGTATATAACTGGTTATGGATTGGGGGGTAATGTTTGGATATATTTAAAGGGCTACATTTTATTTACGAAAGAAGAAAACAAAGCCTTTTCGCCAATAGCTTTCGGCTTGACGGTTACGATGGGATCATATAAATACCTGTAGAAACGCATAGCCAGATTGATATCTTAAGCAGGTATTGGCTATGAGTTATGTCTCCTTTTGATATAACACAGATGTACATTTTAATGAATGATTGTTTTAAGCATTGATTATTGTTCTTTAATGGAGTTTTGTCCCTATTTCTTAATCGTGTCCTCATAGCTGAGGGAAGAAGTTCCCTGTTTTACTGATCGAAACCTAACGTAGTGGTCGGTAAACGGTGAATATATCTAAAAGGGGCACGGCACAACTTTGAATTTACGTGGGGCGCCGAGTTGGTAGTCTTGTAGTATCTATATTCTTAATACCGCGAGGTAAACATAGAGGCATAGAAATAACTTATTTCAACGTTGTCTTATATGGAGCCTTAAATACGACTAAGCGTTACTTACTGGTGGTCGTATACACTAGATGTACCCCATATCACAGAATACTAACACTTGAGCTATATACTACCATCGTATTTAATGCCCATATGTAGTTAATAAGTGTTAAAATTTGGCTAGCTCTGGTAATATAGTTGAAGGATAATCTCGCTCGAACCTCCAAAATATTTCGAGGGATACGTTCGAGATATAGATATTATAATTCATCTCGTCTTGCTTTTTTAATATTGTGCAAAATTTCTCATTAACAGAGTCAATACTTACGTACCGTGAACCATAATATCACCGAGGTTTACAAGAAGCGAAATCTTTAAAGCAAAGGGGGAAATTAGATTGGCGTCTCGTTAAAAAGGAGATCTACTTTCTCATTTACCTACATCTATATTGGTAATGATATATCTTAAAATTACTGATCTTACTTAAACACTAACGTATTTCGGACCAAGTTTCGGCACGCTTCAGATAGATAATACTACGATCCATAGGTAGTTGTCATGAAATTCCCGGGCATATCTGAAATGAGGCACATTATTTCCGGTCACTAATAAGGAAAAAGTATCATTGGCTATTCGTAAACAAATCTAATAATAATAGTCTTATTAAGAGCTTAGATATACTTTGGTTAGGGGATAAGCTGAAAGACAGAGAGATGACAAAACATTCTTCCACTGGTAATATCATTAAATGATTATAATAACACCCAAAGCATGCTAATTGGGGCCGAAAGATGTTATATTATGTGTTATCACTGTATCTTGTCGCTATGATAATCCTGCCGAGTACTGGGCAAATGTATCGCTTGGCTCGCGGGAATACGTTGATCTTCTAGAAGTGTGCTAGGCTAGTTCAAAACACTAGGATAAAGCTGTTCTCGGCGTCTCGGAACGGCCGGTGTAGGGCGAATACGATATAAACACCGAAAATGTTGAATGATGACTATCGGCTTTTACACCTACTCGCTGATTGATAACACAATTAAATCCTAGCCCGCTCCGGCTTGTAAAGGGAATTTACCTGCTTAAACCCGCAACCTTCGAATACCGCGGGGTTAAATGAGTAAATTACTGTTCTTACATAGTGAATGGGGTAGAATGCGGCGTAGGTATGCCACGCGGTGCCGTGAACGGTGCAACTAAATTCGCCGTCTCGTTCCGAGGTTCGTGAGGTGTAAGACCCCACATAGACGACGGGACCCGGATGGAGTCTGACGTTTAAATCGGAGCCAACAATTATGCCGAGGTGTTGGTCCGGTTAGGTTAATTGTACTATATGTTACAAAATTGGCTATATGCGGTAGAGCAAGCATAAGGACAACTACCGAATCAGGGTGGTAAACTACCAAGATGGAACCCATGGCGTTAGTCTAGATCAAGTCGCCCGGGTGAAAAGATCGGGTTATGTAGAGTATAAATGGTGCCATCCATATGATACTTGAAGCTTCCGGATCACCGAAACATCTTGACATAGCTTCCTTTCCTCCTTTCACCTCTCGCAATTCTCTTGAAGTTTTTTCTAAGGGTTTGAAAAGGAACTTAAAACCACCAATTCCTTGGACCTAAACCACAACAATGGCAGCACCGCATCGAGTTCTCCTTACGGGAGCAAACGGCTATATTGCGCAGCATGTTCTGTCGCAACTTTTTGAAGCGGGGTTCTCGGTACGCGCTGTCGCTCGCTCGGAGTCTAAGATTGACGTTCTCAAAAAGAGCTTCAGTAAATATGTGGACACACCGCAACTGGACTTTGGTGTCGTACCCGATATCACTGTTCCCGGCGCCTTCGACGATGTCTTGGTATCTAACCCTCCGTTCGATATCGTCCTCCATACGGCCTCGCCCTTCTTCATCCGGGCGGTCAAGAGCACCGACTTTTTGGACCCAGCTATTAAGGGCACAACAGAAATTCTGTCGGGCGTAACCCGCGTGGCCCCAAGCGTTAAGCGGGTCGTCGTCACATCATCGTTCGCTGCTATTGGAGATATAGCTGCCAACCCAATTGCAAACCCCCCAAAAATTTATACAAGAGATGATTGGAACCCCACGACGCTTGAGCAAGCATTAGCAACGGATAACCCGAATATAACATACCCGGCTAGCAAAGCACTTGCAGAGAAGGCGGCGTGGGATTTTGTAAAAGAGGGTAAAGGCAACTTTGAGTTGGTGACGTTAAACCCGCCTGGAGTCTACGGGCCACTCTTCGACGCCTCTCAGATCGCGAAGCCAGAAGACCTCAACACGAGCACAGGCTTGATTTATCAGTCTTTGCTGCGGCCTGGCTTAAAGTCGACTGATCCAGTCCCTCCTACGTTTCTATATCTTTGGGTTGACGTACGCGACCTCGCACAAGCCCACGTACTGGCAGCCACCAAGCCAGAGGCTGCGAACAAGCGGTGGTTTGTCGTTGCAGGTGATCTAAGCCATCAGGAAATGGCCAACTATCTGCGCGAGGCCTTGCCGGAGAAGCGAGACGTGATACCCATAGGTGAGCCGGAGAAGACGCAAAAACCAGAGGGATTCTATGGAGCAAGCGCCCCTGAAACCGAACAGGTACTGGGTGTAAAGTATAGATCAGCTGCAGAGTCTATCAAGGATTTGGCACCGCAGCTAGTTGAGATCGAGAAGAGAGCGGCAGCTTCATCCTCATGAGTCAAGATATAAGATATAAATATGGGATAGATTAAGTTGGTTGTTGTATTTATTGAAATAGAATGTCAACCTTATTATCGATAGTTAAAAGGGGGAATGCATAAATCAATTCCACATGTTATACATATGCCTGGGTACCTAGGTACATACTTGGATAACATAAAATGTACGGATTACTAGCGGCGTTGCCCGTCCGCGCAACCGCGGACGGGGGAGAAGGGGGGGATTATGCGCAAAACTGACGCCACAGCTAAAGTCTGGTAAAGTCTGGCCTCTAATTGGCTAGCCACACCTCAGCGCACGTCCGATGAATTTTTTGTAAAATCAATTGACCTATTCCAAGAACGTATAAAAGTTTTGATAATTGGTATCGTTAGATAGAGCTCGTTTTGCATGAACTTTCTATACCATTTGCACCTCTTGCAGACGTTATGCGATAGAATGGCAAAGGGAAAAGTCGCAAACTGCGGGGCGATTCTAAGTATCTGATTGGTTGGAAAAATTGTGGCGGTACTAATAAAATATATAAGACTTGATTGTACTGTGTTGTGTTACACGAAAATTAGGTTCATGCTGTTGGCACCCGAACATTGAACATCAGGTGGCTCTTGCTAAGATATTGATATAATTTACAGGCGTTATGCCTCAAGTACAACTCAAGTACAGCTGAGGTAATGAGCTAATATTTTTAGTGGTGAAGTACTGCGGAAGGAATGGCTGTGTGGGGTTAAGGTTGTCCGCCTCTGTAACTGCCCTTCGATTCCCTAAGGCTGAATTCCTCCAGGCCTAAAAAACATAATATGGAGCTTCCAGGTACAACGTAATTTGTAAACTCTTCACAACTCCAGAACTTGTTCTCTCAATCCATTCACTTCTATTATACCTTTTTATTTAAATATAGAAGCCTCAGATTCAGCTTCTTAGTTATTTTAACGACGCGACTTCGTATATTAATTTCAAAAAGGTATCGAATGCTTCATGTTGAAGGACTTGGAATTTCGTGACAAACAGATTGTTACGCGTTGATGTTCCTCATTATCTTCAACACATTCATCCCATCTCCAACTTAAATACTTGCCCATATAACGCCACGCCTCGATTAATTTGATGCTTTCATCGGCACACCTTCCTTCATCATGACGGACAACCAAGCGGAATCCGATTTTCGCTCCATCGTCAATGCTGCTGCTGCAACGTGGTATTCGCGGCATACGGGCTCACCAGAACATATCCAATCTAACGGTGAGTATCATGACTACCCGCCTTCACGCCGTACCTATTACTTACGGTCCTCCACAGGCAGTAGTCAACAGGAAGCCGCTTCCGACCACGTAGATGAAAATGGTGGTCCGGCAATAAATGACCCAGCAGCGAATGGGCCGGCATTTCGTAGTGATCTGACTGCTTGGGAAAGCGCATTGGAAGTTCTACCGGATGATATGAAGAATATGCCACTCCCGGTTCACCCGCTCGCCCAAGCTTTGGCAGAGCAGAATACCTTGCGTCAGGTCGAATGGAATCCATATAGGCAGCAAGGTGGATTCAAGCCAAGGACAGCCGTTGACTATAGTTCCTTGATGATCTACTTATCAGGCCAAGTCAACCCAAATCCGTGTCGTAATTGTCGGTTGAAAAATGGCCCCTTCACCCGCTGCGTCGTGGCACCTCCCTCAGTACTCGCATTGAGCAGCCTTAAGCACGCGTGTGCCAACTGCACTTACCAGAACCAGCACAAGAAGTGTACTAATATCCCTATTGATGATGAGGAATTGGTGGCAAGGAGTCGCATGGCTAGATCGACACAAAAATTGAAAAATCCCGCTCTGAGGAAGCCTCCTGGCCGTAGACCCAAGTCTGTTTCTGATGGCACTCCTCACTATACGCCAAAGTACAAGCCGGATCATGGGCATATGATTCGGAAACCCACAGCGCAGAGCATCACTGCAGATGCGTTCGGCGACAAGCTCCGTCAAGTTCGTTCATGGTCACCGCGATCTCGACGGCGGATGAAGGCTGAAGTAATGCAATGGCAAGCAGCGATCATGACGATCGAGGCTGAGAATACCCGATCTCCGCGTATGGGCCGCGTTCTCGAGGGTCAAGGCCAGCTTGATATATCCAATAAGCATATTGGCCTCCCACCTACTTCGCAAACCTCCTCGCACCCCGGTGGATCTTATTTGGGTTTGGCTGGCGCTGCTTCAACGGACGAGTCTTTGGATGAAATGGAAGCTGAGGAATATAGCGAGATGTATAGCCGGCGGCAGATGGCAGAGGATGATGAAGACGAAAACGAAGGAGAGAGTGACTACGAAGGCTCGCCGTGGGTTGGTTTCCAAGGCGTAGGACCCGGACTAAGACCTCCTCTTTAAGGAGTGGTATGCAGTCTAAAATATAGATATATATAAAAGGGCCGCATTTTAACGTTCACGAAACACTTGAACCTGTTCAATTATCTCGACAGTGAGTCAATATCTAAATTGCTTTAATTATATACAACTACTGCTGATAATGTAACCAGCATCTGCTGGATCTATCCGATTATTCACTTGGCCACCTGGCTTCGTGTGTTCCTCTTAAACAGCTCCCTAAATCATATCCTAACTTTGTTGTCTCGTATGTAGCCGCAGGCCCAACAAATACCATATCCTCATCAGGTTCTCCAAGGTCAGCCTTGAGAGTCGAATAGTACCTTGGATTGAATAATTGAGGCACCTTCTCTGGCAAAATGCGTATGAACTAATAAACATTTTTTTAGCACATTAACTCATAACGAGCACAACTTTCTGAAGCATGAGTACTTACCACCCTTGCTTGTCTGTGTAAATCATCGTAATGCCGCGATTTTAAATCCGGCCACGTATCACGCAACGACTGCTGCACTTCCGGACTCTGGATTCCAAGGGAGATTACGAAGCTGTTGAGCTGATTTAGCGACATGGACACAAGATAGTTGCCCCCTTTTTTCGATCGCTTGTCTAGCGCATTTATGATGCCGATGCACCCCACGATACCAGTCTGGAAGTCGGAGTTGGGCAGAAATGGCATCACTGGCTCGTCGACATCCCACATCCGAGCGAATAACCATGCAACACCCGTTATGGCGTCACTGATCTGCTGCCACCCGCTGCGATGCTTCCACGGGCCCTTCCAACCGTAGCAGTTTTCGCGCGCGTATACGATACCCTTACCCCGTCTCCTAGCTATCTCATGCACATAATTTGGCCCGAATCCGAGCTTTTCTAGAGCTCCTGGTCGATAGCCGTCGAGCACGACGTCCGCGTCTTCTATTAGATGCCGGAGTGCTTCCCGCCCTTCTTCGCTCTTCAAATCTAGATGAGCATCCCGCTTGCCGAGGTTACTCTCGAATAATACGATACCTAGATCAGGCAGTTTCGTACTCGATACCCGGACTACAGTAGCCCCGAACAGCGCCGCCAGCTTCGCCATCGTTGGGCCGGCAATGGCCCGTGTGAGATCGACGATCTTAATACCCTCTAAGGGTCTATATGTCTTGGTATCGACCTTGGGCCACGGCACTGGCGGTAACTTTTCGTCGGGGAATTCTTCTAGTATATACAACCCGTCATCAGCTATAGCCTTTCCTTGCTCTGTCTCGCGGTACTCTTCGGGAGTAAAACAGATTCCGCCCGCTTGTCTCCAGTACTCGTTGGCTTCGACATCTAACCAATCCGCATCAAATTGCTGCACTCTCTCCGAGAGCCCCTTAATGGCCTCCATTTCATCTGCAACATCCTTGTGCGCCGGCAACCCGAGCATCCGGAGGCTCCGGTCGGAATCCAAGCCGCCGTGCAAGTGGAACCAGCGCCCATCCCGCGTCGGGTAAACATTAGTAACCAGCCGTCTCCAGAACGTAAATTGTTGCGTGGTGTCATATATTGATAACCGCTTAGCCAGCTCCGGGTCGGAAACCGGTTTCCCGCCAACCCGCAGAAGCCAAAACGAGAAGAGAAACAGGGAGGCGACGTCGCTGTTCACGACAACATGCTGGTCGGTGAGGCCATACCGCTCGGCGGCCACGACATTACCAAAGGTCGCGAGTAGAGCCCATAGTGCCGCGCTTGACTCTGTGCACTTTATGGGAGCGGGTAAGAAGGGTGTTTTTAGCGCGGAGGAATCAAACGAAGTGCGCTGCGCTGCGTCTTGGACTGACTGCGGGATCTGTAGACGCGGGTCTGTGAGAAGTACCGAGTGTAGGATGCGTGATGCTTCCTTCTGGATGGTGTAATCTTCGTCTGCCATTGTTTTTGCGGCTCTATTAATGCTTTTCTTACTGTTTTGAACTGATTTATCTGGGAATTTTATAAATTCTACGTATAAGCAGACTTGACCACTCATATACATGCACCCATATAGACACATATACATATATGCAGGTAGACTAGACACATGTGGAATTGTATACTCGCCTATCTGACATTCATGTGACCGCAAGACAGGGGGGAAGTAAGATCCCAATGTTCTGCGGGGAAGATGCACAGCATGACGCCGAGTAACATTTTATCCGTGGCTGTGGGTTGTATGTAGGAGATCTGATGTCGGTAGATCAGTAGCGGCTGAATGGGTGGTGGTGGTGATGGTGATATTGAAGGTGTTCGAGTATTTGAATTCAACTTTGTATAATGCTGAAGTCTCTTATAATAGGTAATCACTCAGTTACTCAATTATATTTCAAATTCTATCAGCACTAGTAGCCTTAGCCATGAATACTGTGAACATTTAACGTTTATAACCCCTGACTACGACGTATGCCCGCATAGGAATACCTTAGGTACCTAACCTATTATATTATCTAACTTAGTTCGTTTCATTCAAGTAGAATTGTTACAACCTTGTAGGTTAGCTCTTGCTGTAAATGGTTTTTACTTGTCACGCATGCAGTGCCTAACTTCTATATAAAGTTTACTAGGTGAGGTATCTAAGAAGTTGTGGCCTCGTGCCGTCGCTAGTCTGTCTCAGAAATAGTCGCACCCAGGGGTTTCCCTTCTGGACCTTTCTCCTCTAACCTAGACTTTCCATTTTACAAATTACAATAACTCCAACTCCGTTCTTCATGTCTCTTACCCAAATATATGACATGCTAAATCCGGTCTGCCAGTCTACCCGTACAGCTCCGTAGCGCTGCTCAAATAGATATGATGTTCTAAGAATTGGTCTTCTTTGGCACATATTGTATTCTGTATCCCACCTTCTAATGGCGTCTACTATTTCGAGCTCTACAACGAGCTCCTCTCCTGTTTCCTTCCAGGATCCTGAAGATTTGACTATTGAACTTCAGCCCGCGCCTCTGCGCCTCCCCCGGCGAAAAACTGTTCCGAATCTCGATGGAACAAACTCCGCAACCGAAGAACAAATTTCTGTTATAGGCGGAAATGACTCTACTCTTACAGCCCATCGAGAAAGTATTAACCCTCCACCAATAACCAAGAGCCTATCTCAACGCCGCGCTCCAGCCCACAAATTGGGACCACTTGTATCAAAGTTCGAGACCCTTGACGCAGTAAAGAATGCTGATACCATCTCGCCTCTCGATTCTAAGCCTGGTGCGATTCCCCGAGTCCAGAGGCCATTGAGACACAGCCGGGCAAGTGAATCTCTACAGTCTATTGCATCAGAGAAATATTCAACCCCTGCAAACTCCTTAGATGTTCCTCCAAGACGAGTTGAATCCCCACCACCATTCAGCAATAGGCCAAAACTCCCGGTCAAAACGGTACCGAAGAAAGCCTCTGTAGAAGACAACGTTGAAGCAAGCTCTAGCTTCCGTGGAGCGGTAAATGAAGATATATTCATCAAAGAAAAAGGACAGGCTCCAGAAAAAGACGTTTCACCTATCCGGGAATTGAAAGAAGGTAATCGGAATTCTGACAATCCCCGTAATGTTACTTCTCCGGCAGGTAATGGGCCTGGATAGGATCCTAGGTTGATTTCAGATCGGAGAAGGGTTTTTGAGAATAATAGTGGTAAGTTTGCTAATGAAAATTCCGGTGTTGGAATAAAATATTGGGTAAGGCTAAATCGACAGAAGATTCTCCTATTACCAAGTCGACGAGCTCAACCTCAAATCAATTAGCAGCCCAGAAGACAGTGTCTACTCTAGCGACTAGCTCATCACAGCCTTTTCTATCCTTCAACTCCTCTCAGGGGAATTCGCCAACTAAGTCAAAACTGCAGACGGTCTCCACCGACAGTCCTCTCAAATATTCTCAGAAGGGGATTGTCGACCAAGATGGGCAAAGTCATCACCACGTTGAGCATCCGGCACGCAGAAAACACGAATCTACGGCTTCCTCGAAAATTCCAGTAAGGAGGGCACAGATGAGCGTTGCAGATATTCGCAAATCATTCGAGAAAAGCACACAGGCACCTGGGCCCGAACCCCAAATGCCGAATAAGTCCAAGCTATCTTCGGAGATAATGAACGATCGTGTTACCCGAATTAGCAAGGAAACAGTATATTCTCGTCACTCTGGTAGTCGAAGAAGTATTTCTCCAACCAGAACAACAGCCCAGAAAGATAGTATAGCTGTCCAGCCGCCTCATAATCGAAAATCTATCCATACTAGGTCTGAAAATAGACTATCAGAACATTCCATACCAGTCCCATATACTACCAACACTTCAGGACTTACCACAACAGCTTATCAACCTGATAACAGTCGACTTCGCCGGATAAACAACCGTAACCTCGATGGAGCTGTGTCGCTTGAGGACGAAGGGGCCCTAGACGCCGAAGGGGGGGCGAACGAACCTAGTGCCACGGCCATTCCCGATTCTCAAGCCATTCGAGGAAATAAGTCCTCTCGTACAAGTAGAATCCATTCGATCCTAGTTAATAATTCAAAGGCCAGCTTCCACAACATACTAGCGAGCAGACATCCTATAGCGAACGATGGAGTAACGCCAGAATCAGGTAGGGTTCAAAAGCCTGCATCAAAGCCGGTATCAAAACCGGCATCTGCGGCAAGGTGCTCGGGCAAAGTGTCTGACCTTCGGAGACTTTTTGAGAGATCCTCACCTCGAGAGTCATCTCCGAACGTATTTAAGTCTTTTTGGCAAAATAGGGGCCGAAATAAGCCAGCAGTTGAAACAGAAAGAAGTTATATTATTCGACAAGGCCTAAATATGTCGTCAACTACATTGACTACGCATACGGGTCCCGCGAAAAATATCAAAGTCCCTGAGCTAACAACGGAAATATCAGTTGATGATTTCGCTTGTGACTTCTCTGAGCCATAGGATGGTACGCGACCAGTAACACCAGGGGCGGAAACTAATACCATTAAAAGCCAGTCAATTAAACAAGAATCCCCTGTAAAAGACCGCATCCAACAGTTCGAAAGTTTGGAAACAGTCCCATTAGATAATAGTTCAACTCCGAGTTACTACGATGTTAACTCAAATATTTCTCCTCATAAACAAAAAACCGATGCTGGCCGAATAGAGCCTGAGGGTATTCAGCGCTCGCTTAGACAACGGAAAGCGAGGTTGTGGCGACGAATCTCAAATACGTTTACTCGATCGATCGACCGAGGGAATAGCAACAGTAATGATGGGGAGCAATCTGGTTCGGGTCGGGATGATGATATTAATAATGTCCCATCATCCTCGATACGCCGTCGACCTCGGTATCGTCGTTCAAATCTCTTTGGTTATCATCTGTACCGCACGTCTGAAGTAATTCAGTCGTCGACTGGTTCGGGTTATACCAGATCAAACATCAATATCAATGAAGAGTTAATTGAGAAGCTCGATAACCAGCCTCCATATATAGCTTATAGACAATCACCGTCTAGTTATCTATCAATGCGCAGAACGTTTCCTTTCTTAGCTCGTATGTCGGACAATCTGGGCTGCTCAGATGAATTCGACGATTTTGGACTCGATGGCTCCGTGTTGTCCAAGGCCACTCGCCGGCGGTACAAGCCATCTGTCGGACAAGACGCACAAGGCCCATCTTCGCCTGTATCTTGTAGTGATTCTAACGCCGTATCAAGTACTACATCTAAACAAACGACGACAAAGCGCAAGCGTCGCCGGTTAGAAGAGAAAGAGCTCCGAAGGGAGCAGAGACGGAAGAATAGAGAAAAGGCGATGGAAAAGGGTAAAGGAAAAGAGACAGCAGTAGGTGACAACCAGGGAGCGGAGAGTACACAAGATAAGGAGAAGGGTAAAGATACTGAAAGCAAGAAGAAAGAAAGGAGTTGGAGCAAGAAGACGGCTTCTGGGTTTATGGTGAGGCAAATTAATGATATCAAACTAAAGCATCCGAAGCCGAGGAGACCAGGTCAAATAAGAAAGATTGTCAACATGTACAAGGACAAGTCCACCAGCGGGATCAGACTCGGCAAGGGGAGCGGTGTTAGCTCTGGGTCGGGCACTGCGGGCACCGCAGGCGCATCAAGCAATTGAACCAGCGGACTTTATCGTATTGGGCATCGGCGTAAAGGTTAGGAACAGCAAGCAAATAGCATCAGTTATCGGGACGTTGTGGACTCGGGGCTTTTCGAGGAATGAAGGAAACAGCGGAAGATGACCATGAGTGGCACGGAGAGCTATCTTATCGAGTATTGGATACCCCCGTGGTCGGCCATTATCGAACTAGCTAGAGGACCACGGAGGAGAAGACGTAATAGAACACCTAAGGTACAGGAGACATTCTTTAGCCAATGAGAGAAGGGGTTATCCGGGCATGCGCTATGAGAAATACATATATTCTGTTTCCTCATTTGTGTGATGATCCGCTACATATCTTTATCTTATTGATCCTGTAGTTTTTTGCCTTACCTGGTACTATCACCAGAGTTTCTACGGCGGTCACCTATTATATACCCCTAATATTAACAGCTGAAATCCAATTATCTCCTATTCGCATCTTGATCCTACTAAGCCCAAACATCAAACTATAGACGTTGGGCCCTCTTTCACATAGACAACTATACTAGGTTAGGTAGATAATTAATTGTATACCCAGCGACTTCTTTGCGCTAAACTACCTATTCATAGGTACCCATAACCTTCATATCTTCATACCAAAACCTCAGGTAACCTAACTTACCCAACGAGTCCCATCCCCCTCCCAATCTTCCTCGCAAGCGCCTTCTTCAAAAACCACTCTCTCGCCAACCCGCGCGTCGTCCGGGCGAAAACCGCAGGACTTATACGGCCGCGCTCGACCGCGCGTCCAAGCACGAATATCGCATCCCCGAGAGCGCGCTCCTCGGCTACCACGTCGTATAACTGGTTTGCGACGACGGTGGGGGCGACTAGTAAGTCGTCGATGGGCGGGGGTTCGCGGGTGCGCGCGTTGGATACCACGCGGTCTGCTTCTTGGAGGGAGTGTTGCAGGATCGAGGTGTTGGACGCTAGCATTGCTGATAGGGGGCCTAGGGCCGAGGCGTCGGATTGTAGGTTCTGCAGCGCGGTGAGCATGGCAGCGCGTTGGGCGGAAAGGCCGGCTAGGGAGGACTCGTTTTGGGCGCGGGCGTGCTGGCGTAGACCGTAGAGGGTTGAGGCGAGTTGTTGGAGGAGGGCGTCTTTTTCGGGGTTCGGGGGGATGGGAGGTGGTGGGAGATCATTGGCGGAGGGCTCTGGTAAGGCCAGGGAGAAGGGCTCGTCCATGAGATCGGGGGGTGGAGGAGGTTTGGGCTTTGGTTGCGCCGGAGGCTGTTGCGGTATGGGTTGCTGCCAAGTTGGAGGCGGGCCGGCGTATGGCGGCTGTCCTGGGACGACGGTGGCGTTGTATGGGATGGGAGTTGCGGGGGATATCATAGATGCGCGGCGAGAATCCTGTGGCGTGAGACCGAGAGAAGGTGGACCGCCTTGCTGATATGCATGCTGCTGAGGCTGGGGCTGATACTGGACATTAGGGGGTGGTTGTTGATATGATTGTGGTGGATGCGGCGGTAGAGGAGGCGCTGCGTCGTATCTTGAGAGTCGGTTAGGTTGGGGTGACTGTGTCGTTGCTACTGGCGCACCGTACTGACTTGACTGCCGACGAACATCTTCTGGTAGAGGTGGTCGTGGGGGGCCGTCCGTGTGGGTAGTCGGGCCTGACACTACCTGAGGGAGGTCGCTACCTTTCGGGGGAGGTGGTGGCGGCCTTGGATCCTGTGTATGTGGAGATGGGACCTGCTGGGGAGTCTGCCTTGACATATCAGGGGGTAGAGGAGGGACCGGTGGAGGGGTCGGCGCTGGAGCGGATTGTTGCGGTACGGGAGGAGCTTGCTGGCGCGAGATAACCGGAGGCTCTTTCGCAAATACGTCTCTGAGTATGGCGATAAAGTCTAACAGAGAAGATTTCTGGTCCAACATTATTAGCATATCGCATAGAAAAAATATCAGCTATTGTAGATGATGTACATACGTCCCAGAACTCGGCCCATCCTACGAGATAAGGATGGTATATGCGTCCCTGGGGATCAACATGCTGACCTGGCCGCACCATCATATTCTCTGTGGGCGTAACATAGCCCAGAGGCGCCTCTCGCGGGTAGGCGTGCGGTATCCATAGCGATATAGGAAATCGGTAGGTGGTACCGCGAAATATGACGGGGATGGTGCCGGATAAGTGTAAGAGGAGAGCAGACACGCCGTTGTCGAAAGCTAGGAGTTCGTTAGAATAGGGCTGGTTAACTGAGGATGACGGACACTATAAAATGGGTTCGTACTATGGACATCGGTCCTGGGTGAGAGTGAAGGGTATTGGGATAGCGCTTGGGCTACGTCGTTATAAGTGCGGTTAACATCTTGGTATTCCTATACAATTGAAGCTATTAGAGACGAGTACAATCAATATGAAGAAGTTATTAGTGTGTGATATAATCTTACGCTCGTTAAAACGCTATATAACCAATTCAATACGTGCTGCTGGACCACCATGTTGGGAATCCTTCGCAGCGAATTATGGTTGTAGTAGCCGCGTCATGATAATTGATTGGTGTTGAGCTTCGAGGGGGGGTGTTTGTGATAATGGGAGAAATAATGTAATGGGAGCCTTGCACTGAGCTGCCCGCCAAGGCTGATATAAAACGCTTATTGGAGCTGCAGCCAATCATAGTGGGGTTTCCCTCGATTAAGCCAGAAAAAAGGAAATGACGTAAGCAAGTACTAACACAGCATGCAGCAGTTACACGAAGCTTAAGCCGATGAATTCCCAGGTTGGCCTCACATGTCAATTATGTAATGGTTTCACAGAGGCAACTTTTCTTCTCTTCTCCAAAGTCTTCTCCGTTTTCTTTCTCCTTCATCCCACGCTCAAAGCACCATTTTTTTTTTCAAGGGTACTCCTGCACGAGCACCCTTGCGACATCTTGGATCAGCCGACCGGAAGATCTTATAAGAGTTAGCGCGGCAATACCCGATAACTCAGCTTCCGCCGGCATCGGTTTATTTCGAAGCTGCTCAACAATAACTACTAATTCACTACATATGACCTATTTAGTGGGATAGCCTGACTTGTTTAGATCTAGATAGATCCATCCCACATTATCGGACTGTACGGAAAGCCAATGGCGCCATATCACCCGCAGGTGAAGTGTGGCATGTGCCATTTTTCCCTTTTATTAATCACTACAGTCTACATATAGGTATGTATGTAACAGATGAGTTGTCTATAGGTATTCTATCACATTACCTATACATACTCCTCGGTCAACAACTTCAGGGTGTTTATTTCCCCCCTTTCTCTCATACGACTAAACTGATGAGTAAAATTGATCCATTATTAATTATTAATACCTAAACTATCGTTGGGTCCGCCTTTCCGAAACCTTGGAAGGTCTAGCCTTGGTTAAGGAATTGCACCTTTTCTCCTCTTTATAAAGTCACGGTTTTCCCACGTCTTTTAGTCTTTGGTCTTTAGTCTTTACTTGTTTCCTTTTCTTACACCAGGTACTCATACTCATACTCATACTCGGCCTTAAGTCTTGAGATTTTTATCGCCAACTCTTGACACAATTACATGCTCACAACTCAACTGTTGTTTCGCACGGCTGAGGAGTATTACAGGATAAATCTGTATACTCCTTGCGTCAGGAATTAGACTTTTATTAGTTTAACTACTTGAATCTATTTATGAAAGTCAACTGTTAGGTTGATTCTTCATCCATCTAGCTCTACAGCTTCACCACAAACCCAACTCAATTCATTGTCTTCGGTTGTTATCTCGTCATCAAGAGACAGTTGTCCCGCCGTGATGAGACCTCCTATCCCAGAATTGTCCGATTATGGAATCTCGCCAAACTATGGCTTCTTGCCCGACGTCCTGCCTTTAACTAGGCTTCCGGACCCTTACTATAACAAGTGGGAGTCCATCGGCGCCAATCTACAGAATTTAATTCTTAGCAAGCGTCTTCGAGGAGTTATCGACCGCCTTCCTGTCCTCTCCACCGTCGGTCTGGAACATGACGCAGAATGGAGGAGAGCCTACATGCTCCTGACCTTCTTTGCTCACAGCTACATCTGGGGAGGTGATACTCCCTGCGATCGTGTGCCACCGAGCATCTCTGTTCCTTTGTTGGATATTTGTCAACACCTCGAGGTTCCACCCGTGTCTACCTACGCCGCCTCCGTGCTGTGGAACTTTAAACCCCTCTTCGTCGACGAAGAGATCGACGATCTTGACAACCTCGCCACTCTGATGACCTTTACTGGGTCTCTTGACGAGTCTTGGTTCTACCTGGTCTCGGTCGCCATTGAGGCTCGTGGCGGCCCCATCATTCCCCTGATGTTAACGGCAGTTGCTGCTGCTCGACAAGGCGATAGTGCAACCGTAACACGTTGCCTGCATGCCTTCGCCGAGCGCCTCGATGACCTCGGCGAACTATTGCGTCGCATGCATGAAAGCTGCGACCCTGGTTACTTCTACCGTCGCATTCGCACATTCCTTGCCGGTAGTAAGAACATGGCCGAGGCAGGTTTGCCGCATGGTGTCATGTATGATGATGGTTCAGGCAAATCCGAATACGTTCAATACAGTGGACCTAGCAACGCCCAAAGCAGTTTGATTCAATTCTTTGATATCATTCTTGGCGTTGAGCATCGTCCCACCGGTGAGAAGCCTAATACGTCCTCTGAGTCGGAACGCGAAGGGCGAAGCCGTGCCCCCAAAAACAATTTTATCCGGGATATGCGACGTTATATGCCAGGGCCGCACGCGCGCTTCCTGAACGATGTCGGAGCGGTTGCTAACATTCGCGAGTTTGTTGAGAGCCGCGCCGCCTCCGACCGTCCCCTAAGCATCGCCTACGATGCGTGTCTTGCCATGCTCCGTGCATTCCGCGATATCCACATCGCTATCGTCACGCGCTATATTGTCTTGCCATCTCGAGAGAATAGAGCACGAAGCCGATCGCGTAGCCCCGAAGCTGTTAGGAATAGAGTAAATCTGGCGACTGCTTCTAAAAATGAGCAGCATAAGAAGGTTAAAGGAACCGGTGGCACAGCCCTGATTCCCTTCCTTAAGCAGGCTCGTGACGAGACTGGCGAGCCCTCAATCGAGGCTTGGGCCAAGAAATTTATGAGCAGGCAGACTAAGGTCTCAGGTCAAAACGACTTCTTCCTAGGTAAAGACGAGAAATCGGAGGTGCTAGATGAGCCAGTTATCGAACATGGTCTTGCGGGGACTTGGACTATGAATGAGGAAATTGGCGGCATCTGCAATTACTGATAGTGAGTAGGTAGCTTGTAGCCGCATGGATCCTATAAGGGTCCCATAGCAAGTGATCTCTCCCGATCAACGACTTAAATAGCATCTCACTACAATATATAGACCTTTTCGTTATTTTCTATAGCATCATACGGCCTTTTTTTTAACTTAGTTGTATTACTCGTATGTGTCTGATCGGTCAATTCTCAGTCTTACTTAGAGTATAAGTAGTATAGATAGTGCTATCATCAGCCCTCCAGATCTGTCAGATATTCTATCTGTTGGATACATATAAAACATAATAGAATAAAATATATTACCAAGTAACCTTTTAGGTTAGTGGTCTAGCGATTTGTTCGACAACCGGTTGCCGCCATCTTCCATTGCGATCCGGATCAAGAGCCTCTTCAGCCCACTCCCCTAACTTTTCACGGAATGTCTCGGTCGCGCGTCTGTTTTTATAGCGGTTAAAATATGGTTACCGACTAGGGATATAACCGCCTCGGCGAGTGATACAGTTTGATGAGTATCTGTAGTAACGCCAGCATATTCGCTTCTTGGTTAATCAGACATCTCCGTATTTCGTACGGTTTAGTAGAGTTTATGTCCAAGTGATGCCCGCGGGCGTTGGGCAGATATTCCATACACATACATTGTACTTGATCTACATATGCGTGCACCGCAGATACCATGTTAGGCAAGCTGAAGCATAAGCGAGGCTTGGATTCCTGTCCAATATACCACTGTACTACTAGGAGGTTATGCAATTTCGTAATATTGTTTATATATTATTACAGCATGTCCAACAATTCAATCATCTTCTCTAGCAATTTCGCTTATACTTCAAGTCTAACAACATGTCCACACATATATACACGCTCACCACCTAACCACCTTCTGCGGGAAAAACTCATCAATAAGCTCCGAGTAATACGGCTTCAGCTCATCCACATCCGGTACCTTGTCACTCTTGCTGTATAGATCATACGGATTAAACGCCCTTACAGCACGCAGCATATCCTCGTCATGCTCGTCCATCAGCTCGCGGTATGCACCCTCCTACAACGAATCAGTCGATATTGACGTGAAATAAAGAAAGGGGGATAACATACCTTATGCCAGGGATAAAACGAATGATACCGAATCATAGCCAACGCCTCAGGCGGCAGCGTCGACTGGTCCTTGACTACATGGTATAAATATTCGTCATGCCCCCACGATAGCATCACGTTATCTAGCCCACAGCCAGGAGAGTATATGCCAAACTTGGTGCTGTAAACCGGATCCCGGGAGTCTGGGTTTGCGGCGAATGTGTCGGGGTATATAATGCGGTTGTCGAAGGCGCAACCGACGGGGAACGTGTCGCCGACGACGTCCCATTGGCCCTCGGAGCCGTAGAAGTAGAGTAGCTTGCCAAGGTCGTGGATTAGACCTGTGACCTGCATCCAGCGTGGCTTGCCGTCCCTCCGGATTGCCTCGGCGGACTGTAGTAGGTGCTGGATCTGCGATAGACTTGTGTCCGGGTCCGACTCATCGATCAGCGTGTTGAGCTTTTCGATTGCCTGCCATACCGTCATCTCCTCGCGTCGCCTTGTCTTGAAGGCGATACGTGCTTTTAGGTTATACGCCACCGTCTGCTTTTCATGCTGTTCCCGATAGAAGTTTTGCACGCGGTCGCAGGCTTCTTCGTATTGCCTAAACTGCGTCTTGTCTTTGGCTGAGTCGAACTGGGATTCATCATCGAACTTGGCCTGATTCTGGCCCTTTAGCACATTAACCGCGTCAATGTGATCTGATGTCTCCTCGAGCTCGAGACCATTCCGGGATATGGTGTCGTCGACTAATATGCCTGGCGCCATTGTGTTGTGGTGGGGGGTATATAAGAAGCAATAGCAAAAAAGGGGGTATCTCTTGGACTATAGAAAAGTGATTAAAAACAAAAAATATTAGGCGCTTTAAGCAGAAATCAATAACTTCCAGTCTTTAAACATCGTCGTCCTCGACTAAAATTTATACTCTGAGTTTCGTGTAAGTGGTGAAGATCCCCACATAAGGTTGACGTTTGGCCCGTGATGAATGAGGAGAAAATCGCCGAACACAGCTACTTTGAGCTGACTAGCGCAGGAGACGATCTCCCGAGCGGGAATCAGATACGCCTCTCTTGCGGAACGAGATCCGCGAGACAACTACCCCTTCTTTTGCGAAAACGGTAAAATCGCCCGAACCCCAGAGATAAGTTTATCTCATCCACTGGTCTGCATTTTTCGCTCATATGCAGTATCCGGAGTACCCCAGAGAGACTAACATCATTCGCACGTTACCCCGGTGTCTATACCCATAGATCTTAGTATATCCCCACGTTAAATAACGTGGGGATATAGGCCTGGCCAAGTTCGGTAATCTGGGGCGATCCTAAGCGCCCTTTAGTCCACTTTGCAATCTCTTTGGCTTCTCGTGTACCATGTCTTCGCTTGATAAGGGGTTGGTTGAAGTCAATATTTGTTTCATTCGTCGTTTTCTGGTAACCAGCCCCACGCTTTCATCAGTTGCTGCTGTATTGACGCAGTCGGACGAGCGTGATCTGCTTCCGTCTTCCTTAGAATGTCCATTAGAGCTTCCTGGTCGGACCTTTCGCCGAATTGATCGCCAACTGCAATTCGTATTAGCTCGGTGTTATTACTAGCGGACTGGCTTTATTCGTACACATAGCGATACCCATGCAAGCAGTAAACATGCCCGGTGGAGTCCATTGATTGCATACCCCGATACCACAGAGCTCCCTTACGAGGTTTTCAATCCGATGCTGTCTTCGCATAAGCCATATGTAGGAACCCTTCTCAGTAATATAGACTTACTGTCATTTGCTTCACTGCTGTTCGGCGATTTGTGCCTACTTTGGGTATCGAAGGATCAAACTGAGTCAGGAACAGCTGGGCTAGAATATGATGTTGAATCCCAATGACTAAGGAGTTAGCTACTATGTTACGCCTATAACATCCAGAAATATTTTAACGCTTACCATGACAACCTGACCCATGCCAAATTTCCGGGAAAGCCGAGGTTGCCGTACGTTCCCTGTAAAAGAAGGGGTTGAAGGACGGGGGCCGAGTGTTAGACCACTTTCTGCATGCCTCATCTAAGGCACCCCAATGTCCTGCTGCCAACGAGTTATTCCCGAAGCATAGATTGAGGACGTCCGCAAGAAGCACAATCGCCCGATTTGACCATGTATAGTCGTCGGCCGGTTCAAATGACCGGTCCACCACGAAGTGGTCTAAAGACACCTTGACGGGCTGTTGCGTGATGACCGCAATATAGATCTCCTGTCGGAGTCCTACCCAGAATGAAGCTGCACCTAGACTTCCCGGACCCATGTATTGGTCGCCGACATTAACGAAGGCATGAATACCGAGTAGATGGCTGTAGGTGTCTTGACCTGTTGTTGGAACTATCCATTTATTAGCACGCAGCCCACGGAGTACCCCAAACGCATCTTATCTCACCATCCATTTCCTCAAGCATACGCAAGATAATCGTTGCCGCGAATAAGTTCTCATCTGACACCGTTGAGGCGTGATTTAACATTGGGATGAGGTACCTTAGGCATTCGTCGTGATACCTGTTCGAAGCCAGTGGATCAAAATCCGTCGTATGGCTTAGATGTCTCGCAGCTATGGCAAAGATAGCATTCAAAAGCATATAGCATTCGGCAGCACGCTCCGGAACGACCAACTCGAAATGCCTATGTGGATCACACAAGTCCAACTGCTTCAGTTAGAATTTTGAATTTTGGGAGTGGCTGCTATGTCGTTCGGCTTACACAAATTGCTAGTTTCTGGATATAGTGCCGAAATAGAAGTGCTTCCGTCCGGTCTTTGAGTGGCAGGCTTGAAGCATTGTGAAAACTAGGCGTCAAAATACTACCAATACTACCAATACTACCAGCGTGGGGTACGCGTCCGTTCTCTATATCTGAAGACGTTAAATCATAAGAACTAGCAGATTTAGACCCGGGAATATGTCCATGAGAGTGAAGCTCAACGACGGGCGTATCATTAGCTGGAATCCCTCCATTGTTTCTCGGGGTATTCTGTGCTTGAACAGCATCTACCGGCTGGCCACCTGCCCTGTTGTACTCTGTTGAATTGGGAATAGCTGGAGGTGTGACGCTCGAGGCAGTCGATTCCTGCTGCCAGTTATGACTTTCGCCTATATGAAACTCGTATAGAGAAGTATCCTCTGAGGGGCTTCCTATGGTCAGACCTTGTCTCTCATCGACGTAAATTACTTATACAAGTTAGCCATCTAGATTTGCTCTACCTAATCCGATGTGGCACTTCAAGCTTACACTTTTTCGGCGGCTTGAGCCATTTTTGGTTTCTTTTGAACGTGTCTATAAGAATGAGGTTTAGCTTAGAAAGAATGGATATTTTAGGTAATTTTAACTGCAATAACTAACCTTTACTAGGTTTGAATTTGAAGCCTAGTTTGCATTCGCGACCTGCTCGAACACAGCGACCACATCTTGGAACCGAGCGATCGCCTACTCATTCAAAACAATTAGTTTAGCCGTCTCGGGGATATAATATGTAGGTAGCTCTAGGATTACTCGCATTTAAGATGATATTCACGGCATGTGACACTATTCGCCAAGTCTATGTCAGCAATTGTCCAACACCAAGATGAGATATAAGTGGATAAGCACGAAGCACGAAATTTAGTTCACTGGAGAGCACACCGGTCTCGGCGTAGCCTGAGCGCATCTTGTGGAGCAGAAAAATAGGGATATCGTACCATGGTGTAGCGAGCAACTCGATCTGCTCTGATGAGGGCATTCGCAACGTCGTCGCTTCTACGGCTTTCTGTGTTCTGTGTTTACTCGGTATAATTCGGTCAATGTTGCCGACAGATAGATCCAGAGGTCCCAATTGTGAGAGGGATCATCTGATAAAGACGGGCAAAACCGCCGAGTGGGAGACGTGGATGGTCTAAAGTAGTACAGACTGACCCGGTTCATGGGACGCCGAAGCCCAGACCCAATTGGCCGGCTAGGCGTTTCCCCATTGGACCGTCTCCCGAATAACGGACCTAGACGGGGCCCACGAGGTCTTTGTTCGTGTGACGCGCCAGTAATGTATGTACATACATAGCTTGGTATGTGTGGATAGGCGGATGGAGTCGTGATACTTCTACTGTAAGCTAGCCGACCATTCAGCCATTACGTTAAAGCGGTTTGGCCAATTAACTCTCCTGATAATCTTAGCTTACCTAGGATTCAGGATTCAGGTATCCAGACCGGTCAGGGGTATTCGACTAACTAACCTAACCTAGGGAATTCCAGAATTCCAAGTGCTTCTTCCCCGCAACTTTCTCTCCACCGTTGGGAACGGATCGAAAAGAAAAATGCGACTGGACTAAACCGCTTATGGAGTATAGCGAGCTGCCTCGTAATTCCTAGCGCGTTACTTTTCAGACTACTATTAAAGTTAGTTGGACAGCTACAGTAGGTTAGAATATCCCTTTGTTTATATTTTTCCCCAGATAAAAAGAGACGAGAAAATCCAATTAAGACGACGGCATCGCCCGCACTGTTGCGCAGCATATTATATTGCTGATAGGTCAAAGTCCAACTCATCCTGGCAACAATCCTACCAGCGGCAAAAAGCCCAATAGCTCGTACATCGCAACCATGGCCTCGGACTCAACAAAAAGCGATGGCGACGACGTCGTCGAAACAGCCCCGGTGCCGGCTGTGACGCCGAAGGAAGAACACGGGACCATGAGCGACGTGATCCGGAATGCGAGGCTCGCTAGCGAAAAGGAGCACAACATGACCCTATGGCAAGGCCTTCGACTTTACCCCAAAGCGATTGCGTGGTCTGTCCTCATCTCGACTTGCATCGTTATGGAAGGCTACGATATCTCCCTAGTCAACAACTTCTACGCCTTCCCGCAATTTAACCAGAAGTACGGTACCGAGGTGACCGATCCAGAGGGCAACGTCTCCTATCAAGTTTCGGCAGCATGGCAGGCAGGGCTAAGCAACGGTGCAGTTGTGGTGAGTTAGATCCTGTCGCGCCTCAGTGCGTTTGAAGTTAAAATTGTCTGCCCCCTTTCCGAGTCCAAGTCCATGACGAGTCATTAACTACCAATGGCAACGTTTGTATTTTTTATCGAGGGTCTCACAGCATAACTCGTGATGAAAAATTTCTCTCTCGTTTGGTGATTGATGATTATTTTAACACCGACTTTTGCAGGGTGAAATTATTGGCCTGTTGATAAACGGCTGGGTCTCCGAGAGGTTCGGATACCGGTATACCGTCATATCCTGCCTCGTGCTCATCGTCGCTTTTACCGCAATCTTCTTCACGGCGCAGACTGTCGTACACCTCCAAGTAGCTGAGATCTTGTGCGGCATTCCATGGGGCGTTTTTCAAACCTTGACTATCACCTACGCCTCTGAAGTTTGCCCGGTAGCCCTCCGGGGTTATCTGACAACTTACATCAACTTCTGTTGGGGTATCGGCCAGATGATCGGTATTGGTGTCATTATGGGCAACCTCTGGCGTACCGACGAGTGGGCGTATCGTATAGTAAGACTCCTCTCGACTCTATTCCCCGGTAGAAAGCTCTACTCTAACAGATATGGATAGCCCTATGCGCTTCAATGGATGTGGCCCGTGCCTCTCATAATTGGAATCTCTTTCGCGCCCGAATCCCCTTGGTGGCTTGTACGAAAGGGGAAACTTGAAGACGCCAAGCATTCTCTTCTTCGCTTAACTAGTCTGGATCGGGAGACAGACTTTGATGTGGATGAGACGGTTGCGATGATGGTCCATACAACAGCATTAGAGCAGAAGGTTGTGTTTTTTCTCTCGTGCTTTCGTACTTACCGTTAACATTCATACGTAGATAACCAAGGGAGCCAGCTATCTAGATTGTTTCAAGGGAGTCGATAGGCGTCGCACAGAAGTACGTCTGAAGCCCCCATGCTTGTATCCGCTCTCGGGATGCTAACTGAGATAGATTGTGTGCATGTGCTGGGCCATTCAGAATCTGAGCGGAAATTCATTTTCCAACTACTCGACGTACTTCCTACAGCAAGCTGGTCTCGACAATGACAAGGCGTACTCATTCGCCATGGGCCAATACGCCATCAACTGCGCTGGTGTCTTCGGAGCCTGGACGCTCATCACCTTTGGAATCGGACGAAGGTAAGGTGAAATACCACGTATTGATTATCTGAGATGTTAATATCGCATGAAGGACTTTATACCTATATGGCCTTGCTGGTCTCTTCGTCATGCTTTTGATCCTCGGTTTCCTCGGCCTGGCTCCCGATAGAGACGCCGCCTCGCTTGCGACAGGCAGTATCATGCTCGTGTGGGCTCTGTGTTACCAACTTACTGTCGGCACCGTGTGTTATTCTCTCGTTGCAGAGATTTCAACGAGACGTCTTCAAATCAAAACAGTGGTGCTCGGACGTATCCTCTAGTAAGACTATTCTGCTTGGCAGACTCGTGAAGACCCGATACTAATGGATCGTAGTAACATCGTCGGTATCATCTGTGGCGTTTTGACACCGTACATGTTGAACCCTTCGGCTTGGGACTGGGGCAACTATGCCGGCTTTTTCTGGGTAAGTTGTCCTTCGCGTGTGTTGGCTCTTGTTTCTACTTATTGACGATACCTAGGCGGGGTCATGTTTCCTCTGCTTTGTCTACGCTTACTTCCGCGTACCCGAACCGACTGGCCGCACGTTTGCAGAGCTTGACCTATTATTTGAGAAGAAGGTTAGCGCAAGGAAGTTTGCTTCGACCGATGTGGACGTATTTGCAGAGCATGTCGAGGGGGCTGTATTGAGCAGCTATCAGGACCAGATCGCCATTGAGAGTATGAAGATCAAGGTTTAATGTAATGATGAGCAAGCCAAAATATAATGGCGGCGGAATGACCAAGCTATGAGCATTGAAAGTATATTTTTGAATGGCGCTATGGTGTACGAAATGGTGTATATAAGCTTATCTTTCTTGAATCAACCAATTTATTCCGTATGAGAAGATGTTTGAATGCCAGGTCATAAACACGGCGAGGTTGAGAAGTGATAGATGCAAGCTTCGTATGGTCATCCAATAATCCAGGGGGTAAATAACCAGGAGCCGTGGTAAGTTATAGCTCATCCTATTGGTCGCGCGGAACTGATGCTTTTCGTTGTACCATATCAAGACTATGGTTGGTTGGTTCGTTGTGAGACTAAGACTTATACGAGGAGATATTCAATAATTATACTGTGCATTAGAATGTCAATACGATAGTAGATGTTAGCTATGCCTTTGACTTGACATCGAACGTACTATCCAGAAAAAATATATATAGATAGATTCAAATTTAATATATTGATACATTGGCATAGCGGATGCTCATTAGAGCGTTCTAATAACTAGAGCTGGTAGAGTGGCATATTGCCTCCTTGGACTAGTCGAAGAGGAGAGTGTTGGAATTGATAGGAAGAAGGTTGAAACTGGGCTTTTCGCCTATCAACCCTTATGTCAGTGGAAATGCAATCGATCTCGGACCATATTACTCCTGGGAACTAAGCTCGTCTCTTTATCACGCACCTAATAAGCATATTAGTTTCGGGAAACGTGATACCCGTAAATTTAGGCGAAGCCAGACCAGACGGGATGTAGTGACAGGGCGTAATAGACCGTAGTAGTACTACCCGACGAGGGGTAGACTTGGATTGCGACGAAATACAAGCATGACACTACCGATCTGGTAATGATTTGGCTTGTATTTCGTCTGTAGTATCTCGAACAGTCTGGCCCTTCTTATACTCTTCTTCTAATGCCCTTTGCATGTCGAAATCAAGCTGGCGCTCCTTCTTGATTCGCTGCTGCTCCATGTCGCGCACAACACCCTGATGCATGGCCTAGAAATGCGTGGTAAGCCTATATCTAGTTCGAACCGCGCAATGATTTCTATACCTCTTTCTCAATCTTCTGCTGGAAGTGCACCATGATAACTGTTCCGACAGCAAAGAGCGAGGTGCCCGCCAAGGTGAGTTTCGAGGCGCGCGACATGTTTGCCGAACACGAATTGACAAGCTGGACAGGTTTGATTTGAGTTTCGCTATAAACCCATCCCAATCCTTTTTTCCAATGCTGGTACGGGAGCACTTGATGATGTATACTCAGCTTCAATTATCGAACTTGGGAGGTGAAAATCCCGGTGATTTGGAAGCTTTAAGTGATCCATTGCTAGAGTAAATCTATTATCGATAACGAGTAGTCACCAAGCTGCCCGTACTGTACTGTGTACAGTAAAACCTTGCCATAGCGAATCTACACCATAACGAATCCTCGCTTTAGCGAATTTATTTTAGAAATTTTTGAAATTTATATGTAAAATAACGAATTTTTTTATATAACGAATTCGTTAGATTTTTTGATTTGTCATCACGTAATTCGTTATATAAAAGTAAACTTTAACCTTTTTTAAGTAAGCATTAAGCCGTTTTAGGAAGTATTTCGTTAAATTTCGCTAAAATCGGTTTAAGCTTAAGACTTTAAGGTGCCCCTTACCATTTAGGGGATAATGTGGCCTGTGCGCTTACCTACTTTATAACGAATCCTCGATATAGCGAATCCTAAACCATGAAAAATTTAATTCGTTATGGCAAGGTTTTACTGTATATACCGTATGTGGGGATATGGAAAAACGGAGTCGCATGAAACGGTTCTTTTCATAATCATTCACACCCCCTATCATCTTCATCATCATCATCATGCAAGCAACAAGCGAGAAAATAGATGTACAAAATATGAGCCTTACTTTAACTACACTCACTTTAATTTTATAATGGCAGTCGCTTGAATCTCTAAATGTTAAGGAAAGGCGCACCCCAAAAGCTTACCGACAACTCGGGGATGAAAAAGGGGTAAAGACGCGGGCTCCAGTGTTTACCTAGTCTATTGAACGCCATCGAGACCATCTTTGTATGATTGTTCAATGCCATTCAAGGAGTCCATTATTTCTTGAAAGTATCTGCATGCAGGTTAAAAAAGTAATTTCCCTTAGTCTTAATTCCCTTAGTTGGTATCCCGGAAAGATGAAGAACAAAGACACTTGACATGTGACATGAAGCAAGCCTCTAGATTAATTCACACACGAGTTCTGAAGCGCGGGCCGCTTATTGTACGATGACCAAGTGGATGGGACATGACGATACAGACTACTCGACAACTTCTCTCAATTCCTAAATAGCCTCAAACTCCACGATGCCGAGTACCAATACTACAGCCTCTGGCGCTTCCTTCGTCAGGAAGTACAATTCTCTTTCAATCCTGGATGAAGTTGAGGACGTCGAGTGGTACCAGCCGGGCGGATTTTACCCGTTGGATGTAGGCGAGACGATAATCGACAGGTTTAAGGTTGTTCACAAACTTGGGCACGGTGGCATTGCTACAGTTTGGTTTTGCTGGGATCTACAAGAAGAGAAATGGATAGCGCTTAAAATTAATTCAGCAAGTCATTCATCAGATGACTGCCCTGATTTACAAGCGATTCGGATAATTGAAGCTCAGTCCCAAGGAATCGACGAGCTCAACGATAATAACATTATGATAGCCCGACAGACCTTCTTTATAGAATCTCCTAACGGGCGACATCTATGCTTCGTATTGCCTGTTGCTGGGCCAAGGTTCCCGGACTGGAAGCATAAAATAGGAGAAGACTTCGGCCGACTGAAGAAAATCAGCTACCAACTTACCAAGGCGCTTGCTTTCTTGCACAGCAAAAGGATTGGCCATGGAGATTTTAGGCCTGATAACATATTGATGAGGTTGAAACCCGGTTGCCTTGACCAGATCGGGTATGATGAGATGCAAGCTCTGATAGGGGAAGCAATCGGGGAACAGCTCCTTAAAGGCGACGAGCGAAGCCCGCATGCTCCCAAGTATGCATATCTACCGTTTAGTTTCAGAAACGGAAATCTTTCGCACATGATATCGGATGACATCGCCATCGTCGACTTTGGCGAATCTTACGAAGCCCGTAAGCCTCCTGAGAGGTTAAATATTCCACCTAAGTACGCCGGTCCTGAATGGCTCTTTGGTAATCAGACAGGCATAGAAAATGATATCTGGTCCCTGGCCTATACACTACTGGAAGTTCAAATTGGTCCCCTTCCTGGCGACCTGTGGAATATTATTAGGCGCATGGAGAGGTACATAGGGCCCGTCCCACCTATCTACGGCCCAACTGCTGTAAAGATGCTACATGACGAAATGAGCTATTCGGATGAGCCACCACCAGATTATGAAGAGAATGAAGCAGTTACAGGGCCATTAACTGAGCCGTTCAACTTGCAAGAAAAGTTTGAAGCAACTCACTCCGAATTCAGTAACCCAATACATATTGCGCTAGGATTAGCGGATATGCCGAGGGACGAGATCCCCATTTTCGGTAATCTTCTCGGGGAACTCTTCGTATACGACCCAGAAGATAGGCCAGACGCAACTCAGGTACTAGAACACGAATGGTTTAAAGCTTCTCAATCCGAAGACGAGACGGCCACGGACGAAACGTTACCGATCATAAGTCTCTTGGACGAGTTAGACGAGAATCACCCCGTTCCAGAAAAAGTCTCTGGATCATCAAACGCGGAGAGTGGTACGCCTCCCATGATGGTGACAGAAATACGTACCATTCAAATCACGGAAAAGTGTCCTTGGTATCACTTTGTAGCCACTTGGGCGGTTCCAGTATTGGGGCTCCTATGCGTGTATTTATTCTACATTTATACGTGTTTGCAAGTCGACGTGAGAATCCTTAGGGCAACTCAACAGATAATAGTCATGTAGCATAGTAATATTTCAATTTTTCTAGCTCCAAGTTTTATATCAAAGTGGAACGTTAGCTACCTCTATGGCTATATGTTCCTATATTACTTCATGAAGACCTTCGCTCTAGCGTCGTGACAAACGCGAAGTTTATAAAAGGCAGTGAGATAAACACCCCACCATGGAATGCCTTCATAGTATTATACTAGAGGTTACCCCCCGGGCAACACAAAAGCCTAAGGTTTACACCGCACCATATTTCTATACTATTATTATTATTATTATATATTAGCAACCTACCCCCTATTAAACTGGAGGGCACCCCTACAATAGCCCGAATTTACTGCTATTACACGGCTGGACAATACTCTCAATACCCTCGAGACCTAAGTAATAAAGAAGCCTTAAACATATGCATGTGCAGACTTATTCCTTTCATATTCACTACTTTCTATAAGGCAGGAAGATTATCTACAAGGTAACAAGGCATGTATCCTAAATAGGAAATTTTTACTCGCATTCAACACAACAATCCTACCTAAATCCTATAAAACCTTAGGCATTAAAGATTAGGTACTTAAGTAGATGTAATAAGTAAGAGAATGCAAGGTAAGTCAGCGAAAGGCTCTTAGATGTTTCCGAAAGCAAACCAAGTTCAAAGAACAAGTACTATAAAATTAGCACCGTAGAAAGCGCCAGGTTCTTTATTAGAAATAAGCGATAGGGATCCTTTTGGGAGATTTTGGGCGTATAATCGGCGCCCATGTCATTTCTAATGTGTACGTCGCCTTACCTCTTACACTGGACACTTCGACACCATGCCAAAAATAACTCCCTATGGACAGATTGGGGACGCTCAATCAGAATGGCACCCTGACATGGCCATCCCAAGGGGTGGCCCATTACCAAAAGATACCGAGGATAAAAGCGCAACCATATTTATCAAGCCAGAGCCAAGTATCGGCTGTGGGACATTACAATGCCCAAAGGTTCGAGGGCCGTGTTTCGTGCATCTAATTAACATCTAGCTAATCGATGGCGCATTTACCTAGGTCTATTGGGAGAAGAAGGTAGTCTATGACCAATTAGTCATAAACCAGCAAGATGTTCTACAGTCCAGCGAGAGCTTCGCTCAAGAAGCCGCTAGAAATTTAGGATTCTCACATATTATTATCCGGTAATACCCTCGCGTCTTAAATCGAAAGTTCTTCATGCTTATGTTCACTAGTAAGGAACTCCACGACGCCGCCAACACTTACGCCCCGGCTGGTAGAGGCCAGACGAGGCGTACGAAAACAGGAATCGAGGCTGATCAAATCCATCTGACGGTATATCTCGCGAATCAACCAAATTGGGTCTCTGTGCACGGGCATATATATGGTGTTGTACGAGAGACGACATATAAGTTGATGAGTGAAAGGAAGAGTAGATACGTCAAGAAGATACCGGAATACACGGAGTATGTAATGATGCCAAATAATGAACGATGGATGGCAAAAGACCGCCCAGATCAGCATCGGCGTAATCCTGAGCTCTGGGAATGGTTTGAGTATATGACTTAGGTACCTAAATATGAGCCTTGGAATAAAATGTAGAGATGTGGTGGGCGTATTATAGCAACAGCTGTGCCTTGGCTCAATACACAAAGGAAAAGGGGTAATACGTTACATAGTAATGATAAAACGTGCTAAACGGAAGCTTGACCATAATAGATGCAGCAAACTATTTGTTCCGTAAAACATAGAACGTGAATAAATTAATATGCGTGCAATATGCAATACATAGAAATAATATTATGCATAAGTTTAGTTTCGGTTTAAAACGGCGCGAAGCAGGATACGTACCATATTGTAAGCTCCCATTGGAACTGGAGGTTGCTTCAGCCCCATCTGACCCCCCAACCTGCCAACCCAGCACCAGCACCAGCCTTACCGGTGAAGGTTGTTATTGATTCGCCTACCGAGCTCCTACTCCATGTACCTAACCTAGCTACCTACCATTTCGACATACTTCCTAACCTATCACGATCAATCTTCGCTACAGCATCATACGTCAGTTACCAAACCAGCAAACAGCAAACCACCAACAAATAATTCTGCGTTCCCTTTTCCTCCGAATCGACTCGCAAGTAAATCAGATCTCCGCAACTTAGCAGGATGGTATGCTCGATCTAACTAAACCTACCTAATACAAAGAAGACGGTACAGCTAGCTAACCATGCTATCTCTCGAATATAGTCGGCTCAGAACTCGACAGGCATTCAGACCCTTCTCGATGTACGCAGAACCCCCCAGGCCATCGCAATAACCAGGCCACATAGCCGAATCCAATGTAGCAAGTCCAGCTGACAGGTAGCTCGCCGCGATCGCATAGGCCGAGAGGGAAGCTTCCAAGATCGTCCAGAAAGCTCGCGAGTGTTAGTAACGCATATTCTCTCCACATCTTCCGATAATTACGCAAAGGCCAAACAGTTCGACGCTTATAGCCGATACTAACCCATCGCCCTATAGTCCGAACCAAGAGAGTACGAGAAGCGCGAGATGAAGCCAAGAAAGAAGTAGAAGCGTACCGCCGAGCGAAGGAAGAAGAATTTAAGAAATTCGAAGCCGAGGTACGCACACGCATACTCCCCGCTGCTCAACGGCAGCTGCTCAGTCGATACGAATCCGGTTTACTAATTCAAACCTCTATTACAGCACACCCAAGGCAACAAGGAGGCCGAAGACGAAGCCAACCGCGAAGCCGATGCCAAAATCAAGGAAATCCAAGAAGCCGGCCAGAAGAGCCAGGACAAAATCATCGAGGACCTGCTAAAGGCCGTGTTCGACGTCAAGCCCGCGCCCCCTGAAACGTTGTAGGCTAGTCCAGAGCTGCTTAGTCTACGGGGAGAAGCGAATCCGGAAGGAATGCTATGCGGAGAAAGGGATCGACATGTCACACCGTGGATTCTGGTTGCTGGAAGACTGAGGCTATGGTGTGTAGTTGCGCGCATTATATTACGTGTTACCGGTGTTCTTGGAAGGGAAGAAACCCGAAATAAAGATAGGTCGGTATTACTGGTTGCAAGACGCCTGTCTATCTGTTCATAGAAAAGAGAGATTTGAGGGACGCCGCGCTGAGAAGCAGGCACGATACGCATTATTCATTGATTACTACTATACTATTACATGCTACCAGTCCACCAGTCCACCCGTACTATTGTAGGAATTCCACTAGGGTCGTAAGCATTTCTCTAGTATCTTTGCCCTCTGCATCATCCGCATCGATACCTTCAATTTGTTCTTGCAGCGTAGCTTTAATTGTAGCCAATGTTTCGTCACGGTCGGCGAGCAACTTCTGTATTGTCTTCCTCGCGCCGTTGTCCTCCGCCACCAGCCATGCCAGCACTACGTCCAGCGTCTGCAGACAGAACAAGCCAGCATCGAGCCGCCGCGAGAACCACTCGTCTGCCATTTCTTCTTTTTCTTCGGCGCTCATCCCACTTCGTTCCGCGCGGATCGCCTCGTCTACGGAACCTAGGCGCGCCGCGTACTCCCTCCTTAGCTTAACCAGTTTCTCCGTCTTCTCGTAGTCCTTCTCCACGAACTTTGCCAGGGTCCGGATCCGTTCTGCCGAGTCGGCTGGCAACAACCGCAGCATGGATCCAAATATGCCGATTAGGTGTTCCGTAGTCTGGCTGTCGTTACTCTTTTTCATAAATAGTGTGAAAATATTCTTTAGTCCACCGGCTTCTACGACTTTTTGGCATACACCAGTTCCCGCCGCACCGTGACCCCCTACGGCATGATCCAGGAGCCGGAGCGCGGCAGATTTACTCATCTTGCCCTCTTTCAACATGATCAAGCAAAGCTCGACACCTTCCGCCTCGACGAATTTGGTCTTACCCTCGGGTTCGTCCACGAGACAGGTCAAAGCCTCGAATAAGTTCTCCATATATTCTTCTTCCTCGCCACCCTTTTCAGGGTCGCGTTTTCGATAAGATGCTACGAGCTGTAGCATGATGTCCACGGCATCCAAACTAGCCAATTTCCTCCTATTCTTCGACGATGTCTGCACTAATATTGCCAAAACCTCGGCAGCGTACTGTTTGTTCTGACTGACGGTGGCCTCCTTGGCCTGTATACGGCGAAGTAGCCACTTCAGCAGGCTGTCGTTTTCCGTAACTTGTTCTGCCGTCGCCGTTCGTCCGCTGCATAGGTTTTCCACTACACTGAGCGCATAGTAGACACCGCTCCGGTCAACCTCCTGCTCTTCATCTAGCCTCTCGAAGTTCGACACGAGCAGCCCCAACAAATCAGCCTCCAGCAGGGCATCGACCAGTGCATTCCATTGATCGTCCTCGGCCGCGATATCTTCGTCAGTTAGTTCGTTGATAATTTCAATAGCATCTATCGCAATATCGGTATTCTCGTGTGCAAGTAGCCCCACAAGGCTCGCGACGCTTCCAAGCTTAGCGAACTCAGGATATAGCTCCGGGTGTTCAGAAAGGATGGAGAGGGCCTTTATGTCGGCGTCGAGGTCGGCTTCGCTCGAAATAAATTTTTGAGGCTCATCCTCGAACTTGGCGCGCAGCTCGGCGTTCTTATTTATTCGCTTTTCGAAATTAAGCGCAGTTCGTCGCAGCCACGCGCTGTCGAACTTGTCGGGTGCCGCGTCCGCACTGGGATCGGGGTCGTCAACGTAGTCTAATACTTCGTTCTCTTGCGCCGTAATTCCACCACCAAAGAATCGCCCTTCCTCATCATCGTCGGGCGGGAGGTCCGGTCCGTAGTCACCGTCCTCGTCTTCTGGAGGGGGCGCAGGTCCTGCTTCGACGTCATCTTCGTTATCGTTTACACTCTCGTCCTCGACGCGCGCATGTCGGCTGCTGTTACCATTCGAATTTAAACGGGCAGATTTGTAGATTTGATCTGCATATTGCTACGCGTTAGCCAGCAAGACTCGTATATCGGTAGGAAGAAAAGAGGACAAAGCATACTGGGATCTCGAAGAGGTTCTAGCTTGCGCTTGCTGCCGACGCCAGATGCCTATTAACAGAGTTAGATGAATTTGGAAAACTAGAACTAGAGCAAATATATTAACAAACCTTGAATAGCTCATCTATGCTGGTCATTGTGTAGCAGGTTCATAAAATGGTTGATGTAGGCGTGTCGCGAAGGAGATAGCTTAGCTTATTAGAAAAGGTTACTTGTAAGTTAGAACATTGAAGTATAAAATATAAAGCTCCAATTGACTTCTAAAAGTTTAAACAGTGCGTGTTACATAGTGTATGTAGCTCTTACCGGTCGGTGGACGTAACCCCACAGTGCCTTTACGTACTATTCAAAACGTTGCTATTGTACCTACGTCTAGTTACCCACTTAACTGTAGAGATTCTTGACATCGGCTATATTTTAGTAACAGCATTTTAGTAACAATTCATAGCTTCGGCTTATGAGTCAATCTAACAGTAAGCAAATCTTGAAATAATTATAAAGTAAAGTTCAAGCTTCATTTGTCTTTACCCGTTCTCCAAGCATTTCCCTAGCGGTTGTTACTCGCTGTAATGCTCATATTTGGGTAGAAATATCTTATACCTCGTTAAGTACCTCTTTGTTTATATTCGCTCGCTATTGGCCTTCAATATCCTACCAAAAACTAGACACTAGACACGAGATACGAGATAGATCTCGCCTGAATTCAAAGAAACATCATAGACCAAACGTTTATCTCATTTAGAATGCCTCCAACGCTCATACTAGTCCGCCACGCTCAAGCTCGCCATAATGCAGAAAGTTAGTTTGTTACGATGCGACTTCGGGCTATGAGCTTCAAGGTGTTGGTTCTGACTTCACCTAGAAAATTTTACAATACCTGATCCGGACTTGACCGAGGAGGGACATGGGCAATGTGTAGACCTACGGAAGAGTCTCATAGAAAACCCACTGGCTCAGCAGGCCGAGCTCATCGTGGTCTCTCCCTTACGCAGGACGATGCAGACAGCATTCCGGTCTGTCGATTGGCTTATTGAGAAGGGTGTCAAGATAGAAGCCGATGCGGATTGGCAAGGTATAACTCCAAAGGTTCTCTCATCAGAACCACCTGTTTTTATCAAGCAGATCCATTCTAAACCATTTCAATAGAAAATTCAAACCATGAATGCGACACCGGGAGCCCCATCGATAAGCTCATAGAAGAGTTTCCCACGGTCGACTTCTCAAAGGTCGACCCGGTCTTCCCAGACAAGACATCGCCACTAGGTAGCCGCTATCACTTCACGAAATCAGCTCTTTTAGCACGTGCTCAAGCAGCCCTAAAGAAGCTGTATGAACGTCCGGAAAAGGTAATCATCGTCGTCTCTCATTCAGCCTTCTTGCGACTCGCAGTTTCCGGTTATTGGTACTTTAACGCCGACTATCGCATTTTCGACTTTGCGCCTGTGAACAATCCGGGAGACCCATATCAACTCGAGCAGCACGAGTCTACCAGAGAGAAAGGTGGAGGGCTCGGCCGGAGCTGGGTCGACCCTATAGTGCTAGGCTCGGAGCTGCCGGGAGAAGATCCGGATGCTAAAGACAACGGAAGCGGAAACGGCCGGGGATATTGAAGACGGCTTTTTAGATATCGGTCACGAACAGGATATAGGGATCCATGGCCATCATAACGTAGTTATAATTACCTCTGTCAAATGTTCCCTGCAATACGGTTTCGAGTTTCAGGATAACCACGTATAGCAGATTAAAGCGAGAAAACTCATGCAACATCTGATGATTTTTTTTTTTTCACCTCATTCCGACGCTACTTAAGCGTCTAGTATGTAGTAAATGGGGATTCTGGCTAATAAACCAGACCGAACTGACCGAAATGAAGAATCGAGGCTATGTTAGTGGTCTCCATCTAAAGGCTCCATCCTAACTTGAGAACCGTCCCAATTCGTACCGATGAAACAGCGCGTTTTGTTATTTATTCATCCTACAAGTAAGATACCTACAAGTTACGGCTGATTTTTACATAACTAATCGTCGAAATACATAGTTGACAGGCATGTTTCTGGCTGATACTGCACAGCCTCAACTACTACGATATTGCTTCAACTTGATTGGATCACATTCCCTCCGTTATACGAGATCCGTCGTATATGTTCAATATATTATTGGATGTCCAAAATGTCAGCCATACAGGTACATAGTACGTACATATAGTAAGTCACTACACTATGGTACTACCTACGTCTTATTGCAGATCAGCGCTGAGTTGGATGCTGATGATGGGCTTCCAGATCCGCCAAGTCCCGAAACATTCATACAGGGGGACCCCAACATATCCTTATGTAGACCGCATTTCACTAATAGGGCTGTTTGTTGTAAGTAGGCCGTTATTTTATTTTCTCTCTTAACACCGAGGCGCAGTTATTATTAGTCTTTGCTGTTGGTTAAGCCATATTTGACAACCACTACCATAATCACCATAATCTAGTAGATCTCAACTTTTATTAAGTAGTTCTTAGCGACCGCATATACGGATCTGACCAGAAAGGACAAAAGACAATTCTTATTAACGGCAAAGCTGTCCGAATCTTTGCCGTTCGACATGCAATACAACCGTAGTACGTGCTTACATGTATAATGTCATTTGTATTTTCGATCCTACTCGTCTGAATTTCATCCACCAACAACTACGCTTCACTGTTCACGGGGAACTGTCGATAATTCAACAACGTCGCGCGACTCCAAGTCGCAAACATGTTATCCGCCGCTCGCCGCCTTCAAATATTATGCCTCGCTCCGGCAGTCGTGTTAGGAGCGCTTGAAGTTGATCTAAATTCAAAAGGTACGCATTTTCAGTCTCTTCTCTTAGCAGCGCAGGATTCTCCCCAAGGCTCCCTAGCGCCGCCCGCGACAAATTCTTAATACTTAAATATATACTCTTAGACTCCATCAAAAATGCCGCCAAGCAGGTCGCGTATGACTTGATGACCTATTATGATGGCAACGAAACAGGTCACGTACCGGGCATCTTGCCGGGACCACCGCCGGACGGAGACTACTACTGGTTTGTCGCCTTCTTTCCCACCTTTCCCGCCGAGGGACTATTCACTAACGGTGCGGGACCAGGTGGCAAGGAGGTGCGCTTTGGGGTACGATGATAGACTACTGGCATTACACAGGTGACGATACGTACAACGATGTCACGTTCCAGGCAATGCAGTTCCAGGTCGGTGAAAACGAGGACTACGCGCCCCGGAATTGGTCGCTCTCGCTCGGTAATGACGATCAGTCCTTTTGGGGCATGTCAGCGATGTTAGCGGCTGAAAACAGGTTCCAAGACCCTCCTAGAGACAAGCCGCAATGGATTGCACTCGCCCAGGCTGTTTTTAACGACCAGTCCGCACCGGACCACTACGATGGCATCTGCGGCGGTGGCATGAGGTGGCAGATCGCCCCCACTAACAAGGGTTATGATTATAAGAACAGTGAGAACCCCTTGTACCCAACAAAGAAGAAAATGCATCAGCAATGGGAAGATGGGAAGAGGGGACAGCGGAATAAGAAATGGAAGCCGGCTAACATGACGAATAGCCATTGCCAACGGTTGCTTCTTTAACATAGCATCCCGTCTAGCCCGATACTACAACAACGAAACTTACGCGGAGTGGGCGATCAAAACGTTCGACTGGATTTATAACGTTGGGTACATCGACAAAGATTGGAACGTATTCGATGGCGGCCACGTGCAGTACAACTGTACGGATACCAACCGCCAACAATATTCGTATAACGCCGCCATCTTATTGTCGGGGGCGGGTTACATGTACGAATATGTAAGCAACCTCCCCATATTCATATCCTCGAGGCGTTCTGGAGAGCACGTGAGTAAAACGAAGACCTAGGGAGCTAACTAGCCCACAGACCAACGGCAGTAAAGTATGGGAGGACAGGATCACCGGGCTTCTAGATGGGATGGAGCGTGTATTCTTCGTAAATGGCACGTTGTACGAGCCAAGTTGCGAGGGTGGCATATGTACCTCGGACATGTTGAGTTACAAGGGATACGTGCACCGATGGCTAGCCGTAACGACGCTCACAGCGCCCTTCACCCGCGACCGCATCATGAATCTGCTCCGCTCATCCGCCGAACACGCCGTCAAGCAATGTACCGGCGGTGCCAACGGCCGCCAGTGCGGTTTCCACTGGACGACCGGCGTCTACGACGGCCAGACCGGCGCAGGCCAGCAGATGAACGTTCTCGGCGCGCTTACGAGCCTACTCGTCGAGGACGCGAATCCGCCCGTTACTAACAGCACGGGCGGCACCAGCATCGGCAATCCCAATGCTGGAAATCCGAAATCTTCGGTGCTTCAGGAGACCCCTGTAACGACGGGGGATAAGGCCGGCGCGGGGATATTGACCGCGTTCTTGCTTGGTACTACTATTACTGGTGTTCTCTTCATGGCATTAGATTGAACATATTTTTGTTCGTGTCTGTTTGATTTTTAGGGGCGTTTTATGTATCAATCTCACATTTTTTTCAACAAAATTTATTCTTATATATATATGCGAGAGTCTCTTAAAATTTTACATTTCGGTCAAGGTATACACGTTTGCATTCGACTAGGTATGCCTCTTACATCCAGTATGTATACTAGCATCTCGGGAGTTAACTAGGGCATAAATATTACATTGGAACCTTCATCCTACGTGTAAGGATCGTCTGGCTCTCTGGCTCTCTGGCTCCCTGGCTCCCTGGCTCCCTGGCTCTCGCGATGCTTGGCTGAGTTCAGCATTCTGATCACTGGGCTTAAGTCCGATACGTAATACAGCGGATGATGTGAGTAGAAAAGACGGTAGGCGCTAACTAAGACAACGATGGTATGTTAGTAATGTTCTTGTTATAATCGCTCTCTACATTAGAGTCATTCATTAAGAATTTCACAGAAATCACTCATCTCTAAAAGTTTCTGGTTTGTTGCTAATAAGCATCTATTAATATTTATGATTCAATCAAGCATTATATCCAACCAAACTCATACAGACCAGTAGTGACTATCCTCAACTAAGACCATTACTTATAACATTGCCATACCCGCCACCAAGCCAACTGCCACGCGCATAGCACCCTTCACAGCTGCGGTCGGCATAGCTGCTGCTTCGGAAACACTGCTCGCGCCAGAAGTGCTGGCAGACTCGGCTCCTTGAGAACTTCTTCCAGTTGAGCCTCCAGTTGATGTGGAAGACTCACTATTCGAGGCACCGCCTGTGCTTATTTCCAGTGTTGCAGTCGGTGCTGAAGTGATAGTAGCGATAGAGGTTACACCGGTTGATGTACCAGTAACAGAAGCCGAGCTTGCTGCCGAGGTGGCTGTCGAGCCAGAGGATTCCCCGGAAGATTCGCCAGACGCCGAGCTAGAGCTAGACGCGGACGTAGCGGCCGAGGTAGAGGCCGGAGCAGAGTTTGCAGTCGAAGTAGGAGTCGCGGAGGCACCGAAACCCGGCAGGAAGCTGGGCGAATAGGTGGCGGTTCCTGAGTAGCCATCGCAGCCCGGAACGGTTGTCTTGGGTGGTGCACGCCCGCCGCCACAGTCGAGGAACTCGCAAATCTCGCCGGTGTCCGGGACGTACCAGATCAAGCTGGCGCCCCCATATTTTACAGTTGCAGACGATACGCAGCCGGCTATGTCGGTCTTGGCGGCGGCCTGTCCCGCAAGCAGTGCGGCCAGGAGGACTGTGGGTGCCTTGGCGTACATGGCGTTTAATACGGAGGAAAATACGACAAGAGTAATTGCCAAGAGGTAGGATTAATTCAGACTTGGAGATGATGTGCAGTAGTGAGTATATGTTATGTAGGAACGAATGGACGGCAGCCCTTTTTATTTGGGATTGCCACGACAGGAAAGATTTACACTTCGTAAGGAAGAGGCAAAAGAGAAAAAGGTGAAGAGAATTGAAACGGCAAAAAGGTCTTGTCATTTCCTTTTAGCGCACGGCACAGTCCTTCGAACGCATGACTTATTTTAATTTACTATTTAGGCAGCTGTCGAGCTAGAGCTGTTCTTGGATGGGAATTATTCAGCTGTAACCGTCCACCGTAAGCTGTCCAATGAGAAGCCTGGTAGGATAAGGTAAAAGTCTTGAAGATTTCAATTCAGGGGAAGTTTTAACTTATTAGCGAATAGACAATAATATAGAATCTTGGTACAAACTTAGTTATTACATAAGGTAACCCCGAATTGATTGACAATAGAGGCTTTGTCTCTCTGTCTGTTTAAGTAGAAAAGGGGTAAATGTGTATGACCCTTCGTGTAACAACGGTAAACATCTTGTTACCTAGGTACACTATAATTACCTCATGGCCACTTATATTCAACTCTATAAGCCGACATCAAAATACAACATTATATAGAACGTATTAATATTATAAGTGATATACACCGACTTTACAGACGATATATAAATTAACCCTCCGATAAAGTAGTACATTTCTATCTAGTCAACTACGCACAATTTTGGCCAAGTATTATTACGGATAGACCTAGGTAGGTACCTTATAATAAAACTGGTTCTTCACCTTGACTTAGTTTAAGCAGATTAGATCGGTAACTATTGCCACTAAACCACACCGCGGCAACATATCTGCTGCATTCCAAAAGCCCCGAGCAGGTTGGAAAACACCGATGAATAACCCGATAGGTAATGATCTATCAATTATTATTTACAACCAAGCAAGAGTCCAAATTCAATTATAAATCAAACTCAAGACCCTGCTCTAGATCCCCGGAACAATCCAATCAAATATTTTCTATCCCGTTAGCACGCCACCACATCACCACTCCAAGCAATACAATGCGCATCATCGAGATTGGATATGTAATTCTCCAAATGCTAAAATCAACTTCACAGGCTAGGGAAATTTAGAACCCGTACTTATCTCATGGTTGCGACCATAGCCTTCATACGTTAAATCGCCGGACCACTGAGAAGGCATGGAATAACGGCCTAGGTATTGGTGCTGGGTATATCAATAGTTCAGTCTCAACTAGATTTAGGTATAAATATTCATATTTCAATAGAGTCGCATTCTCACTTCTTGCTCGCCCCCTCTCATCATACGAACGTCTACGGGCTTAACTAAACCCACATCTCTCTTCTGCATAACCTTAGTTTTCCTAAGATAATAGCGATACCAAAGACTAGAAAACACTGCTAATCCAAACCTCAAGATGGCACCAGGAAAGAAAGTTCTCATTGTCGGACCAGGATTCATCGGATGGGCCGTGCTTGAACTATTAGCAAAGGAGAACTATGAAGTCACCGGGTACGTCAGGAGGAAAGAACATGCGGATCAGATCAAGGCCTCTGGGGCCACAGATACGGTGCTTGGTGACCTAAACGACAAGACATTGATTACGAAACACGCGTTATCCCATGACATTGTGATTCACACGGCCACTGCAGACCACCTCCCAAGCGTGGAAGCTATCTTGGAAGCCGTCCAGCAGCGGGCCGAAAAGGGGCTGAGCACAATCTATATCCACACTTCCGGAACGTCCTTGATAGATGACGGGGCAGCAGGGGCCTATAAGGGAGACAAAGTGTACCACGATAACATCGTCTCTGAGATAGACTCCGTTCCTGACAATGCGCCGCATCGCCAAATAGACCTTGCTATTGTCAGAGTCCAAAAGAAGTTAAAGGAGAAAGCTAAGATCGCCATTATGATCCCGCCCACTATCTACGGCTACAACCCGCACCACGGACGGCTTTCGATCCAGATCCCGGTACTCACCCGGTACGCTCTTAAGCACGGGTATGCGGGATACGTAGGCGCTGGCCTCTCCGTCGAGAGCAACATCCACGTGAACGACTTGGCGAGAGGATATGTCACGTTGCTGCACCACCTGGAGTCAACACCAGCGAGCAGCCCCGATATCCTCGAGAACCCGTACTACTTTTGCGAAACGACAGGAGACAACGAGCCGAGCTGGAAGGACATCGCGTCACTCATCGGAACGGAACTCCACAAGGCTGGTCTCATCCCTGACTCGAAGACACGCACGATCCCGCCCGAGAACTACGGAGACCTGTTCATGGACTTCACGCCCGGTACAGTCGGCCTTAATAGCCGTAGCCGAGCTGTGCGGCTCCGCGAGTTGGGGTGGAAACCCGTGGAGAAGAGCTTGAGCGAGAGTTACATACAGGACGAGCTCCCGGTGATTTTGAAAGAGGATGTGGATCGCAAGGCTTTTGATGGATACCACGGGGTGGTTGCTAGCTGAAGTGGTTAGACTAATATGAGTTTGTTGCTTTGTTAGTACCCTTGTGTGGGTATTTTCTTGTCATGTGTGTGATGTGTAGGTGGGTAGTTTGGTAGGGATTGTAGTAGGTAACAAACTGCCAGCTGAGTCCCAGCCGCCTTAACAGTAAATATGTTAGAGGTACCATTGTTTATCAACTCAATCTAGCAAGCCATCATGCTGCTGCTGCCAAATACTGACGGCATAAAGGGAGCATTTTGGGCAGTATATCATTGCGATTACTTATGAAATATTGTAGGAATAGCTTGACTATATCACTTATGATAGGTTTGATGAAAACCTGCAATCATCAATAATGAATAATGATGTACAAACTAATCCGGATACATTGCATTTTATAAAGACGCCCATTGGTTTTAAGGTACCTATATAGTCCGATCATGTTCACTTCCATTCGGCGATACTCTTCCACTTCAATTTAAGATATCCATTCCAGCCCATCAATTTAAGACGCGCTATATATTAGGTAAACATATTGTAGGAAAGGTTGCCTAGCTTTGACTGTACTTACGTACGGGTACCTAATATATATTTACTTGAAGCACCTCGTAGAGGCAGGTAATCAAGTACGCTCCCTACCTAACCTAGTTTAATGAATTTAATATTCCTAAGTTCTATTTTCGGTGGTCTAGCTTCATACAAAGTCATTCACGCAAACTTAAATCCCTTTATTACGAGGGCCATGATTATTTCGAAACTTATTTCCGAGGTAACAAAATGGATTAATCCGTTGTCCGGGTGAATCCATACGCACCTACTCAAATGATGGGCTGCAGTTACTCACATCTAGTTGCCCAAGATATGTACCTACCAATATTCGTAACGTAGAACTGTGGATCCCTAGCAACAGTGACTCAGGCACTCATACAATGAGGCAGTCACTACCTGCATCTACGCATATATAAACAATAGCTAGATCCTAATCCGGTAATCCTAATTATCACCAATAACAACAATGTCACCACTAATCTAGGGAATCACAGAATCTCCTATATATAGGTATATATGGGTGACGAATGATACACATCATCCCATTACAACAACACGTCCATCACCCTTAACTCTAACATCCTGACTCACAACTATATTATTCTTCCAAACTTATATAAATAATCAAGGTATGTTTACGCAACTCCTCTTATCTTTCGAGAAAGAATCTCTTGCCCTATCTCGAAAACCGTTAAGCTGTCGCATACCCAGTCTCAAGTCGTCATCGTTCTAAACACTTTCACATCTCACGATATCACACGCTATACTATCTTCAACATGCCGAAACTAATTAACTCGGTAGCTTATGAACTAGGCCTAGCCAAAGAAAAGAACGAAGACCTCCAAAGACGGATCCAAAAGCTGAACGAGGAGGTATCACAACTCAAGGCCTACATCAGAAAAAATAACCTCCCGTTACCCAAAGCGAAGCAGCCAATAACCTCACGACCAACCATTGAGAAGGGATTTCTTCAGACGACAGAGGCTTCGCGTAATCGAAGTATCCAAACACCTACACGGGAGAAACCAGCATGTACCGAGAGCGTGGTAATTTATGATCATGGAAAATCTACCGAGTACCCATATACCGAATACAGCCACGGGTACCGATACGTTGATGGAAACTTGGTGGCAATCGGTAGCACCTGGGAGGAGCCTCGTTACATGAAACGGACTGCATCGTCGCGGGATAAGAGCAGAGGGCCGGGTCCATGGACAGGAGCTTTTTGGGAACGCAAGATAAAGGCTGAGAGGGAAAAACGCTCCCTTGACTGTGGCAACGAAAATGATAGTGGTTACGAAGAACCAAACGAAGAAAAGCTCGAAGAAAGTAAATCTGCCGAGGAACTGCTCGAAGAAAAAACGGAAATTGGGCGAGAAAGCCCAAGTCATCTTCGATTTGTCCCGACGAGAAGCGAGTATATATACGATACTCTAAAAAGAAGTTTACGCCTAGCTCAGGAAATATTCTTCCACGGTGTTCGGAAATATTTTCCTTCCTATGCCGACCAATTAGATTGTCCGCAAGAAGTACGGTTCGGGCGTCTCGAGCTCGACAGATTCTTTTACTATCCGTACACTTTGACGGTACTTGGAATCCCAGGGCGATCGTTTGGATTATCGACTCTTAGGTACAAGCTCGAGGGGATTAGTAGACTGCGCAATACCGTGTGCCATTATGGCTCCTACGAAGCTTCTATGGGTCTCGAGTGCCATGACAGCCTCATAGAAGATGTACAACGCCTAGCTATTTTCTTCGCAGACGAACGACGGGCCTTTCAAGCACGAGCCCTACGAGACAAGCTTACTGCGCACGCAGAACAGTGTCTAGGTCAGATCGAGGATATGATGATGCTTGCTGAACTACCGGGAGCCCGTCCTTGGCTACCACAACATATACGCCAGTTCCAACGTCTCGTCTTAATCAGCCACCCCAAAAACGTGCCCTTTGCTGTTTTGCGTGCGGCAGAGGATTGGAATTTACGAAGCAAAACGCCGATCCGGGAATGGTCCTGCGAGGAGATTGCTGAACAGTTTATCTGAGTCCTCGGAACCAAAACTTCAACGATATTAATTTATCGACTATGGAGCGCCATACAGTCTTTGATGAATTAGAACGAACACTATAATGCAGAACACTCGAATATAAACATATGAAGCGGCAACGTTGATTCAGTTCATCGAGTGTGAGCTCTTCGTCGAAAAGGTGGTAGAAGGTGCTGCGGATGTTGTGAACTTGTACTGCTTGGGGATTAGGTTGTATGGATGGAAGATTCCGCTGTGGTTGTTGGACTGGTGGTGCTTAATTTCTAGCAAAAGGTCAACCGGAGCATAACATGAGGCCTCGTGATAGAGATGATTGCCCATGGCGGCGCTGCTGGGGAGGGCGAATGTCTCATCATCTGACCTGAAGGAGGTTAAAAACAATTTCGTGGGTCTATCATGTAGCACGACAATATCTGGGTACATAATTGCTGTTGCTTAAACACGATTGTCAGTACTTTATAGAATACATAGAGTCTACGCAGAACTTTTTATTCTTGGCATTCCGTCTACGTGTTGGGTGAATACCAGACCCGAACAAGGACTCAGGAGTAAGGAATAAACATAACAATTCGAGGGCAGGGCAACCATAATGATTACAATAGATATCTCTATAAGATATCGAATATTATATTATATAAATAGTATTATTCATACAGTCATCAACTCTTTATATGAAGTATATCTGCACCGGGAGTTATATAAGAGATTAAGTGGATATAGCGGTATTTATACTTATAGCGCCATCCTCTTCTTCGACGCCTTGCCGCCTCGGGCCGCCGCGGCGTCGTAAAGAGCCTGGATATCGGCTTGCCACTGCTTCTTGTCGAGGCGGAGGATACGACGGTCGTAGGTGAGGAAGCCGTTGACTTCTCCTTCGACATCGGTGGTTTGGCTGCATCGGCGTTAGTTACGGCTTGCGATATAAAGGGGTAGAGATTATGAAAAGAGGATTAAACTCACGTCCACACGGCAGCTGAGCATGCGTACTTCTCGATCTGGTCGCGCAGCTCGCTTAGTAGGAGATGACCACGGTAGTTATACGCGTCAAGGTCCAGGTCGATCTCGTAAGTCTGGTTGATGCTGCTCACAGCTTCTTCAACCTTCCACAGGTGCTCTTCGGAGACATTGTGGCCGATTCCTCCAAATTCACCTTGGATGGCGATGCGCTGGTGGTCGTAAGGAGTGGATTCGATGGAGGAGAAAGGAGTACCACACTGCGGGTTTGCGTAGTGGTGGTTGTCGTGCCAGTCGCCGGCGCCGTGGTCGTGCCACCCAGTCGTAGCGTCGACGAACCTTGTAGGGTCAAGCGCCTTGACGCGGTCCGTGAGGTTAAACTCTGGGTAGTAGTCTGTGATCTGGCCCCATCCCTCGTTGTAGATGACCCAAGTGTAAATGCTGGGGTAGTTCTTGTGCTGCTGGATAAGAATGTCGAGCTGGCGTTCCCAGTCAGCCTGCTCCTCTGCATCTGGTGTTCGAAGAGGCATAGACGGCATGTCCTGGATGAGCAACAGTCCGAGTTCGTCGCAAGCTCGGTAGAAGAGGGCGTTCTCTACTTTGATATGCTTTCGCAGCATGTTGAGACCCAAATCCTTCAGGACCTGAAGGTCGTAAACCATGGCCTCTCGGTTGGGCGGCGTGTAGATACCATCGGGCCAGAAACCTTGGTCGAGTGTGCCGAACTGGAAGATGAATTCGCCGTTGATTAGAGGACGCTTAACTCCGTTGATTTCGCCGATAGAGAAGGTTCGGAAGCCTGTGTATGATTGTACAGTATCCTGTCCTAGCTTAACGGTAATATTGTAACTATACGGGTTATTAGATTTTTTTCCGATAAATTGATCAAAGAAGAGGTTAGACGTACAGAGTTGGCGAGTCCGGAGACCATAGGCTGGGTGAGTCTACAACGAAGTCAAAAGGCTGGTTAGCAACACCCTTCGCTGAAGCTACCTCCTTTCCTTTACTATCGATGACGGAGACGGTAACTGGATCAGAACTCGCGCAAGCAGTTCCGACAGTCACGTTAACTATACAGACGTTATGTTAGTGTGAGTCGTGGAGCGCCCCTCCTATATTGACTGACCTTGTCCGGACATGTCAGCGATGATATCTAGTTGGTTGATGTATGTTTCTGGGACCGACTCAAGCCATACCTATTGCGATCAGTGTTAGTGTCGTATACTCCAATATTTTTTTTAAAAAAAAATCCGTAAAACCGGATGCCATATATAGGTGATTACTTACGCTCTGCCAGATACCCGTGCAAGGGGTATAGAAGATGTGCGAGGGGGTACGAGTCTGCTTTCCAACGGGATTCATGTAACCTACAGAAATATTAGCGAGCGAAGATATGAAATAGATAAATCATAACCGCTTACCTTCATGATCGGTGGGGTCAAATACGAAGACGTGCAGGGTGTTAGTGCCATGAGGAGTAAGATGCTTGGTGATGTCGAAGTTAAAATGCCAGTAGCCTCCCCTATGAGTGCCGACTATATCGCCGTTGACATAAACAGTCGCCTCGTGATCCACAGCTTCGAAGTTTAGCAGGACTCGACGACCCTTTTGGGCGAATCCGTGAGGAACGTTGAACTCAGTCGAATACCAAGAATACGTCTGGTTCTGCTGCATAACGCCCGAGAGAGCACTTTCGATACATGAGGGCACGAGAATGTCCTGCTGGAAGCTGTCATCAGCCGGCACAACTTCGCCTCGGTAGGCTCCCTGCTTCCACTTCCAGATGCCGTTCAAGCTCTGCCAGTCAGACCGTTGAAGCTGAGGGCGCGGATATTCCGGCCAAGGATCTGTTCCAACGGAGTAGGTCCAATCAGTATCAAGCGGAGGAGTCTATGAAATGTGAGCTCTTGATTTCGTTAACTAGGACAATTGGCTGGGACGCCCTGACCTGGACCTTATATCCCAATGCTAGGTTGCCCAGCATTGGGACTATAGTTAGGAGGTTTGTAAACAAGTTGGAATGCATCGTGTCTACTTCCCCTCGGTAGACTGATATCTTTGCGGGAGGGTAAAGCAGGCCGCTAGGTGCAGAGCGGTTCAAGAGCTTGGTCGGGTCGAAGAAGAATCTTGCGAGACTGGAGAAAGGCTCGACTCGTCATGATGGTGCAGTTTGGCAGGCCAGCCCTGGTTTAAATAAACTTCTGAAATGGCACAAGATGTGAATGGAAAAGCTTCACGTCAAAGCTATGCCCAAGCTATGGTAGGGATTCTCCGCAATTCCAGACTGGAATGTTTGCTCACCTTCCTAATATCGACGACGGTTAGCCTTTAGCGGCTTGGATATAGGTACATAGAACATAGAACTACTATGTACTTGACCCATAGTCCATGTATGATGAACAAAAGACATGGTGGCAAAACTAGCGCCGTCACCGCTAAGTCAGAAAAGCTTGGTACTCGTTCATCTGGCCTGTTAGCTGCAAAGCATGCTTGGCTCTTAGTCTTAGCATAGGGAGGATATACGGCAGCTGATTTTATGAGGCTGTGTACGTTATATTGTTATTGGACGATTTTATAGAGATTCAGTACCATTGGAACCAAGACTGTCAGAACAGGATCGGAATCCCATCGTGATATTCGGGATTTCATATCCCCATGCTTTATTAGCAGGTAGTACATATGCAATACATATATAGTCTTATATGCATTGCCAAGGGTAATGAATCCTCATCGGATAACCATATACCTATTGTACACTAGGTAGATCATGTATTACATAGTAGAGCGAATATGGCTTGACATAGGCCAAGCCAATTGCGTACTCGGGAAAAGTAAAAGCGAGAGCAGTGGGGAAGATTAGATACCTGTTAATTCAGTACGTCTCTGGTGATGTAGTCAATGCCCAGTAGAGTCCGTTGAAGAAGAAAAGTACATTAAACGTTTAGATGTACGGAATACCTACCTAGACAAATAGACCCGGCTTCGGTAACTCCCCCGGACTGCCGGGTCTTGAAAAGAGAGAGACTAGCGTGGCAGTAGCGTGGCCAAGTCAGAAATGATATCAACAAACGACACAGGGACCGAAGAATAAGACGGAATAAAGGACTGATGGTCACGAGAACGCCGCGAGATTAAAAAGGACCGAATCCCATGTGCATTAGCTCTGCCCGGCGTGTCCCGTCCTTCGCGTGTGTAATGCTACTACTGCTGCCCTAAGCCTGTAATGCAGATTTTGCAGCATAAGGCTGCGAAATAGAAGATAATGGCCAGCCAACTTTGGTGACCGGTACTATTCGGAAGTGAAGAATCTCGGCACTTGAGTCTAGATTCATCAATAACAAAAGAAGGTTTAAACAGAGCTCCCTTACATTCGAATTCCCATAACATGACTACTTAGTTTGACTTGGCAGAATAATGACCGTTAGAAAATATCAGGTCATCCATGGATCATGGCAAACAAGAAAAAAACAACGCGAGATGTAAATGAGAGAATCATCACGGCCGAAGTGGGTCAAATTCCGTGGGATTCAATGTTTAATTACCCCGACTTTTTTTTAGCGTGGTTTGTACATCAGGTATGTACACCAAGCAAATAGGTGCCGCAAATGTGGGGAGAAACCAGGGGTAAAGACCAGTCGAATCCCAAGAAAGTTGGGGAAGCTCACGTAAGGCGGGAGCTTATAAGTGACACAGCTTAAACAGAACTTAGAGAACTTACATGTAAAAAGAAGGAACCGGGTAAGAACCCGTCAAGACCTCGGCAGGAATCGGTAGGCGTAACACTGCTTGTACCTATTGGGTTTAACACCGGAAGCATCTCATTAAGTTGCATAGGTACTTAACCTTATGCTAAGCGAGAGATTGGCGATTGGGAGTATCCTTGGCCAACAATTACCTATCTAGGTTAATGCCAGCCCTTTCTATGCGGGGCCCCAACTTTTCCTTTCTATCACCGCATACATAGGATTGTTACATGAGAAAGAACGATATGTACCCAGGAATGTATTTCTAACCAAGTTCTATCCGAGGGTACGGCATCAATAAAGAGATTGGCTTGTAACTTAACAAACCACGATCTAGAAATATCTTTGCGGCACGTGGCTGGGTAAAACATTTCACGGTAGATCTCTATACACAAATTTCCAAACCACCGGGACCTCATTGTACTACCTCTTAATCTTATTGTACGTATGTGACTATTTAAGGGATTTTTCAATTAAACGACCGCTTTAACTGGATGGAATGTACATGCCCAGGATGTAAATATTTAGGCCACACTCCTTAAGCATTGCGGTTCGGACATAGGTAATAGATATGTAACATTTTAAAGTAGTAATTTTAAGGAATGCTAATACAGAATCGTATAATATAATAGACTGAAAATAAGAAAAATGAAAACCCTCCACGCTACGGATGCAGACCAAAGGTAACGTGGGGGAGATTACTCCTCATCGTAAGCTTCTCCGCACTCGATGGGACGGAACTTGACCAACGCCAAGCTAGTAAATGCTTGTTCTCGATTAACATCCGTTCCCCCAAAGCTACAAATGGATTTGATTAATTCCATGCACAAATCATCGCTTCTTGCTTTTTTCTTCGATGATTCCCTTACTTTAAGCTTTCCGGATATCAGTACGAACGGACCGCTTTACATGCACGCAGCCCTGACTACCTACACAGTATGTATTAATCTCTATAATCCTTTCATACGTAGAGCTAGTTAAGAAGAATGGCAAAAAAAGAATCCTAGTGACTTGGCAGTCCCACTCAGGTACAGATGGTTGCGATAGTATCATTTCGTAAGGGGAAGAAGGAATTCCACATGCAATCATCAATAATCGATGCAAGGGCTGGCTGTCGGTGTCCTTCCCTGCTCATTGGAGCGGTGTCTCATAGGAACGTGGAAAATTCGATGCTAGCTAACTACCTAACCCAGCTAATCCAGCGCAATGCTTGTTATTATTTAGCACGACCAGGGTGTTTTATGTCCTTTGCGGTAGATAAAGGTCACGAGGTTTAATATGCCTGTGTTTTCCTTTGATATGTTTACCATCGTGGCCCTTGACCCATTACACATTGTTGGTGGCGTGTCTTTGTTATCCTAGAGGATAGCCGGATCCAGTAGAACGACAATACGTGGTACCATATGCAGTTTTACGGTAACTCATTAAAGCTCAAAATTTGACCAGCATGTTGGGCCCGTATCCATACCTCGGGGATGTACTTAGACCGCCTGGTTTCTCCTAAATAGGGGTCCTACATAAATCCTACGGCTTGACCTGTGCAAGCGGCTCTCAGAAATCCTACCTTCACACGACACGTTGAATAACAATATTACCTATACATAAACCTAAAGGCCTACAGTCCTGACAGTATCATATATCTAACAGTTTGGGTGATCAAGTTTATTACCTCTCATAGTATTATGAGCTACATTTATCTTGGGCCAGGGTGGAAACAAGCCAGTGAATATGTTGGCTTCGTATGGTAGAGTATTGTTTTGTTATAAGCCAGTATGCTTATAATCTTATAACTAGCACAAGTAGTGCATTAATATTGACTCTTATCCTTATGGAGTGTTCTCGGCAATACCTGAAATTATAGAATAGTAATTCTTTAAGGGTCTAAACGCTTTTATAGCTAGAAATACAGCAGTGGCAGATGGGCTATAGATAGGCGTTTCGGCTTCCTCTATATCGGCGTGTAGCGTTCGCTACACCTATTTTACCGCCCCCACTAGTAAAGAGCCTCAGAGATGATCGTCAGGATCTAGAATCTTCTTGCATTATAGGGCTGAGGTCCAAACTCATTGGTGAATGCTGTTTTCACCTTCCAGCTATGGAACTGAATTCACATATCATTTTCTTGGCATGCGCAACCATCCGGCTATTCAACCGGCAATTATGTATGTTTATCTGCTACGTTCTTCGTTGATAGAATATTTCCTATCTCCATCTAATGATTTTATTTAAGAAGTTAAGGGCCTTTCAATTTAATAGTTGAGCAAAAGGATTCACTTACTTAAGCTAGATATACTGGCTCCCTTATATTTAAAGGTTAGCAAATTAAAGGGTCAGAGACTATATATATTCCTCAAAGGACCATGCGTAATAGACAGATACCATTATTCTCTATTTTAATACCCTGATAAGTACGCGAATAAGCTGGACAAAATGGAGGATTTGTTTTATTACCCCTTTTGTGTTCTTAAACGCAACCATACAAGTACATATAACAGCATTAAAACCTCCTAGTGCAGTGCACTATGTTATCGCTAGTTAATACATGCATCATCATAAGCTTTTATGTCTTCTTTTCTGTCTTGAAGAACGGAGTCCAAAGAAACCAGCCCCTAGGTATTGCCATACCCTTGCTTTGGGATGTAACAAAGATACTCCCTTTAAAGGTATAGTTAAAAAGTATGATTATAGCAAAATTCACATTTTAAACCTAGATAGAGTCGTTCATGTCGAGTGACTCAACCTAGGTAGTTACAGGATTGAACGTAATAAAGACCTCCCATCAACTTGAACATTTCATTCGGGACCTCAACCTATGCAATGCGTATTCTGTAGTCGCAAGTAGCATTAATCCTATCACAATACCAAGCAATACCTATGAAGCGGCATGATGATTAAAATATCTAGGTACCTACCGAGTTAAGATAGTGAATACAGATTCTTAATTACGGGATCGATTAATATCATAAGGAAAGGAAAGAGGAGTGTATTCAGGCTTTGGCTAAGAAGCCCCAATCCCTTATCGATACACCCCATTTTATTAAAGGGGTGGGACTGGTCTTGTATTGCAAACGCGTTATTAAATCTAAAAAGACTACGGGACCATATCTGTTTATATACTCGGCCGTATAGGCCCTAAGGCCTCGTTCCTTCCCTAAATGCTATCACCGTGACTCATAATAGTGACGTGGACCACCTGCCAACAAAAGGTAAAATTATATCGATAGCTGCTGCTGTAAGCTGTGTGAAGAAGGCTGCACGTCACCTAAATGACAGACCCACTAATCTTGCTCTGGCAGAAAGGCGTCAAAATAAGTGCCGATTTTAAGTCTTGGGTAAATAATATCCTTCTTTTCGTAAACTTATTTCTCAGCAACCACAATAGTAAGAAATTCCCAAAAATTGGATTAGGAAAATAAGGTCATTAAATTTCAATCCTTAAAAGAAATGAGAAATTTCTATTAAGAAATGGCGAAGTTGTATGAAATACAACTTGGAGTGTGACTTATTGCAAGAATAAAAAAAGGCACTTAGTTTGGCGCTATTCTGTCTGGGCTAGTCCACTTTCGCCACCCCGGGCGTGTTATGTAGGTGGAGTAATCCGTAGAGTAGAATGGATAGAATCTTTCTTCTGCTTGGTCAGCCTTAAAGCTTTGAGAGCATCCTCAAACAAAAAACATCATCTACCCTCTCCATCACAATATACCCCGAACTTGGCAAAACATCAAGTTTTGTCGGTGCAGACGGATTGTGGTGTGTTTCTCATACTTCTTGATGCCATTAATGCTATCCTAATATTATAGAACGTACCGCTAACCGCTAATCTATCGCGTCAAACCAGCGTCAAACCACGGTGGTCGGAAAGCAACACGCGTACTTTTTGCCTTCGCCTTTTCGTTTTCGCCCTTTCGTTTTCCCCCTCGACATCTACGAGCGCTACTTTTCGGCATCTGCTATTTTGCAAGTGCCTTCTACCTTCTTCTAGCAGGCTTCCTGGTATCTTGGACCCCGCATATCGCTATAATCAAATTTAGACATTCTTTTTTTTTTCTTCGATATCCTCACCTAATCACAAAGCTCTTTCATGATTGCGGTCCGTCACGCGTAAGGCCGTTCCTACCAACCGGACGTCGCATCCAGCCTCGATTGCAATACCGATAGATCCAAATAGAGCTAGGCTTGCATCATGGCGGACTACGAGGAAGGCTACGAGTACGAGGAGGAGTATAGTGATGATAACACTATTACTCCAGAAGACTGCTGGACTGTTATCGGCTCCTACTTCAAGAGGAAGGGCTTAGTTTCCCAACAGATCGACTCTTTCAATGATTTCCAAGAAACAACCATTCAAGAATTGATCGAGGAATACTCACAGATCAGCGTCGATGAACCCAGTCCCAACTCCAATGATGCCCGAACCGTCGCACTCCGTCGATATGACCTCAAACTTGGGCATGTGACCATTGCTCGTCCCGTCGCTATGGAAAGCGACAACACTTCGGGTCCTCTCCTTCCTTATGAATGTCGCGATCGAAATATGACGTATGCAGCACCGATCTATGTGAAAGTAGATAGTAAAGTAACCGTCTGTATCGAACAAGACATTCCCCTCCACGAGATGGACGAGGAGCAGCAGGCCGAGGCGCACAGTACTGGGAAGCACCCGACTCGCTTGATTTGGGAGGAAGACACCAACGTGTTAGACTCGGAGGGTGGCCAGAGCAAGACTAGTGATCAAGTTTTTATTGGCAAGCTCCCGATTATGGTGAAGTCCAAGGCATGCCATTTGAGCGGCGAGACTGAAGATGATCTATTTTTGTTGAACGAGTGCCCCTACGACCAAGGTGGCTATTTCATTATCAACGGAAGCGAGAAGGTTCTCATCGCCCAGGAACGTTCCGCTGCGAATATTGTTCAGGTTTTCAAGAAGGCTCAGCCAAGTCCGTTTTCTTACACGGCCGAGATTCGAAGTGCTCTCGAGAAGGGCTCGCGGCTCATTTCGTCTCTTATGCTAAAACTATATACCAAGGGTGACGCCTCTAGAGGAGGATATGGCGAGACCATCCACACCACTCTCCCATTCGTCAGGGCTGACCTACCGATCGCCATTGTCTTTAGGGCTCTAGGTGTTGTTAGTGACGAAGAGATTTTAAACCATATTTGCTACGACCGCAATGACAGCCAGATGCTTGAGAAGCTACGCCCTTGCATCGAAGAAGCATTTTGTATTCAAGACCGCGAAGTGGCATTAGACTACATTGGAAAGCGTGGAAGGCAGTCTCACAATGTAGCACGCGATCGTCGTGTTAGAGCTGCGAAGGATATCTTGCAGAAAGAGATGCTTCCGCATATCTCCCAAACCGAAGGTTGCGAAACGAGAAAGGCCTTTTTCCTGGGCTATATGGTTCACAAGCTCCTTCAATGCGCTCTCGGTCGACGTGACACCGACGATCGCGATCACTTCGGTAAGAAGCGTCTTGACCTTGCAGGCCCCCTCCTTGCGAAGCTATTCCGGAATATTGTTCGTCGGTTAGTCCAGGAGATCACAAATCACCTCAAACGCTGTATCGATTCGGGCAGGCGTTTCCAGATTGAGCTCGCCGCCAAGCCTGCCATTGTAACTAATGGGCTGAAGTACTCTCTCGCCACAGGCAACTGGGGTGATCAGAAGAAGGCGATGAGCTCGACAGCTGGTGTATCGCAGGTTCTGAACCGATACACGTTCGCCTCGACTCTTTCTCATTTAAGGCGTACGAACACGCCTATTGGAAGAGACGGGAAACTCGCGAAGCCTCGACAACTTCACAATACCCATTGGGGTCTGGTCTGTCCGGCCGAAACGCCCGAGGGCCAAGCTTGCGGGCTGGTAAAAAATCTGTCGCTTATGTGCTCTATCAGCGTGGGTACGTCAACAGATCCTATCGTAGACTATATGATTACTAGGAATATGGAAGTCTTGGAGGAATATGAACCGATGAGATACCCTAATGCCACCAAGATCTTCCTTAACGGATCTTGGATCGGTGTGCACCAGGATCCCAAGTCTCTAGTTAGAGACGTCCAGCAGCTTCGTCGGGCCAACCAGATCCCCTCTGAAGTATCGCTGGTTCGCGATATCCGTGATCGCGAATTCAAGATCTTCTCGGATGCTGGTCGTGTCATGCGGCCCTTATTTGTTGTGCAGCAAGAGGATAATCCCGAGGCTGGTACTACGAAGGGCTCGCTAGCTCTCACTAAAGAGATGATCCAGAGGCTAGAAGCAGATGTCGAACTAGACCCTGAAAGCGAGGAGTACTTTGGCTGGCAAGGTCTAGTCAACGAGGGTGTTATCGAGTACCTCGATGCCGAGGAAGAAGAAACGGCCATGATTTGCATGACCCCCGAAGATTTAGAAACCTACCGGATGAGCAAGCTCGGATACGATGTGTCTCAGGATAATGGAGATGAGATTAATAAGCGGCTCAAGACTAAGGTCAATCCTACGACGCACATGTATACGCATTGTGAGATCCATCCCAGTATGCTCCTGGGTATCTGCGCGAGTATTATTCCCTTCCCGGACCACAATCAGGTACGTGATGCGCTTATCTTCTGACCCCTTCGTTATATCGCTAACCTTTCCGCGTAGTCTCCCAGAAACACGTACCAGTCGGCTATGGGTAAACAAGCCATGGGATTTTATCTTACCAACTACAACCGCCGTATGGACACTATGGCGAACATTCTCTACTACCCCCAGAAGCCGTTAGGTACGACTCGTTCTATGGAGTTCTTAAAGTTCCGAGAACTTCCGGCTGGTCAAAATGCCATTGTGGCTATTGCCTGTTACTCGGGATACAACCAGGAAGACTCTGTAATCATGAACCAGAGCAGCATAGACCGAGGTCTCTTCCGAAGTCTCTTCTTCCGATCGTACAGCGACTGCGAGAAGCGGGTGGGTATCAACACAGTGGAGACGTTTGAAAAACCATTCCGGGCGGACACGCTACGTCTCAAACAAGGCACATACGACAAGCTGGATGATGACGGTATTGTCGCTCCCGGTGTCCGTGTCTTGGGAGAAGACATCATCATCGGGAAGACGTCACCGATCAATCCCGACAACGAGGAGATGGGCCAGCGCACCAAAGTGCATGTCAAGCGTGACGCATCTACGCCTCTTCGTAGCACCGAGACCGGTATTATTGATTCCGTGATTCTCACCACGAACCCCGACGGTTTACGCTACGTTAAAGTACGAGTTCGAACCACCAAGATTCCTCAAATCGGAGACAAGTTCGCTTCTCGTCACGGACAGAAAGGAACCATCGGTGTCACGTTCCGACAGGAAGACATGCCTTTTACCCGCGAAGGCATCGTCCCCGATATCATCATTAACCCACACGCTATTCCCTCGCGAATGACTATTGCTCACTTGATCGAGTGTCTGCTTAGTAAAGTCTCCACCCTTAAGGGAATGGAGGGAGACGCTACGCCTTTCACCGATGTCACTGTTGACTCAGTGTCGAACCTCCTGCGTGATCACGGATACCAATCTCGCGGCTTTGAGATTATGTATCACGGTCACACGGGGCGCAAGCTGCGAGCCCAAGTCTTCTTCGGCCCGACGTACTACCAGCGTCTTAGGCACATGGTAGACGACAAGATCCACGCGCGTGCGCGTGGCCCCGTGCAGATAATGACCCGACAACCCGTCGAAGGTCGTGCCAGGGATGGAGGTCTTCGATTCGGAGAAATGGAACGTGACTGTATGATAGCTCACGGTGCCGCCTCTTTCCTCAAGGAGCGTCTGTTCGAGGTTTCAGATGCCTTCAGAGTCCACGTCTGCGAGATTTGTGGTCTGATGACTCCTATTGCGTAAGTCCCTATTCTAGATTTCACCTCGTCAAATGCTAACATGGATTTCACAGTATATTAAGCAAGGGTTCATTTGAGTGCCGCCCATGCAAGAACAAGACCAAGATTGCACAGGTCCACATCCCGTATGCCGCCAAGCTTCTCTTCCAAGAGCTTCAGGCTATGAATATTGGAACCCGCCTGTTCACCGACCGCTCTGGCGCTAGCATCCGCTAAGAATGGCCATTGGCTTTACGAAGTCAGCAAGAGCTAGCAAAAGGGAGAGGGAGAGGGGAGGGTCCCGGTAAGATGGCGGATGACATAGGGTCAATTTTCCTCACCGGATATAAAATGCATAGGGCCGGCGTTGTCTTTTTTCCTCCATGTATTCGGCCGAAATTCATAAGTGAAGACGGCAGTTCTAGGTTTGCACGCGGGCGTCAAGGGTTGCGGGATCAATGCTTTTACGATCAGATGCCCGAAACTATTAATCTATGCAGCTTAGGAGGGGTTTGTAGAAAATGTATTCGTACCGCTATGAATTCGAGAATGAGTTATTTAACATGATGACAAGATTGAGTTAATGCTCCTCCTGTGCTGCGAACCCTTAGACTAATGCGTGAGGATATTACTAGAGCTTGGCGTTATTCATGTCTCCGCGAGATTATTTATTCACAATAGCAGCGATAACATACTGATTTCTAAGTTAAATACATTTGATTTCTATTAATGCGTTCCCTCGGACTTGGACGTCTAGCGAGATGAGACTTGTGAATAAATTATGTATAATGTAGAAACACATGTCTATTCTTAAACTACATAGAACTTGACCAAGCCCTCATTTATCTCTTCTGCGTATAAGTAAACCGTACGAGCGGTAAGGAGGATAATCAAGACGATGCCCTCTCCATATATGAAGTCGATCCTGTCCTAATCGAAAGTAAACTAGATTAGTTATATGGTACATATTATTCCTTATTCTATATAAAATACATCAATAACGTAAATATCCTTACTAAATATGAGACATAATAGGTAATTAGTTGACTCAGTTGAAATATCCCTTACCCATAGACATAAACCCAGCCAGTCAGCCATAATCCCGGCAATCTAGACGACAGAAGCCAGTGGCTCATAAACTACCTAAGGTAATCAACGACAGCACCCAAAATGGCTAAATTCCTAAGACCCCTTCCCTGCATGACATACCAACTAACTAACGTCCGTAGGGGCATGAGGCTGAGATGAGAAAGAATGCCATTATGTATAGTATACCCATCCTGTCAAGCTACGGCGGACAAGCCCGTTGGCCCTCCCATCCCATTGCCCCCCCTTTCCCCTTCGATCGGACGAATGAGGACCTCACACCTAAGACAGGCGATCGGGTATTTTCCCTCTATGACTCTAGTCTTAGGATAAGACACGGTCTAGATATCTAGGCATATACGCGGGCGTCCAGTCGGAAGGTCTAGAGGCGTTGCCGTGTAATTCAGGGCTGACATCCATATTTGCTTTTTCTTTCCTTTTTTTCTTTTTCTTTTTTTTACGCCCTGACCTACCGAGAATAGGAGGCGTATGTACGTATGTCTCTCTGTGTCTATCTAATATTCTATCTAATATCGACGGGAGAGCCGCACCCAAGTTACCTTCCTTTCTTCCAACGTATTTGCTTATAATAATCATTCTCGAATAGAGGATAAAGTACAGTACAGAGCGTATATCGTGGTCAGTCAGTCAGTCAGTAGTAACGCGACTCGTGAACCCGCGCCTAAGAGTAAATGAAAATGGAGTAGAACGGCGCCAACTATACTATAAGAGCTTCAACTCCATAGTTTCTCATCATCGCTCCCGCAAGTGTCCAACTGTGTTGTGATGGACGCTCTCCTTGACCCTCGGAACCAGACATTCTTCATCGTCGGTAGTTCCAATATCAACGCCAGCGACCCGTCCCCTCTAATCCCTATTTCTCTACCTGTCATCAACGCACAGCGCGTCCGTCTCGCCAGCACGTCTATCAACTATGGCGTACAACTCGGCCTCTGCCTTTTATCCCTGCTAACGTCGCTCCTACTTCTTCCTACCGCCAAAATCCGGCGTCCCGTGCACTTGTCGCAGGTCCTATGCCTCGTCGTCTCAGTCACCCGGCTCATCCTGCTCGTGCTGTACTTCCCCGGCCCGCTGACCGAGTACTACGTGGCCTGGACCCGTGACGCCTCCGTTTTACCGCCTGAAGCGTATAATATAACGACGGCTTCTAGTGCATTAAGCGTGCTGCAACTCGCTCTAGTCGAATCGTCTCTCATGCTCCAAAGCCGCGTCTTAGTCCGGACCTGGGGCGTATACTCGGCGTCCCCATTTCTCCGTTCTTCCATCACCATCACCAGCTCTTCATCTAGCTCCGCCACGGCCGGCCGAATCGGAAAAGGCTGGTGGCGTCCTCCAGTCCTATTCCTGGCCGTGACCCTGGCCGCAGCCGCCGTCGCGCTCAGAGCTGTCTGGGTAGCGCACTACACGCAAGCTGTCAAGGGGCACACACTCCCCGTGCCTCTCGACGACGTGGGCAAGGCCTCTGCGGTGATCAGCGCGATGTCGGTATTTTATTTCTGCGGCATCTTCTTCACGCATCTGGCACTGCACCTCGCAGCCACGAGGCGTGTGCTCCGGGGTAAGGGACGCAAATTATCGATTGCCTTGTCTTTGAAAGGGGGTGGGAGCAGTGGGAGGGGACTAAGCTCGCTTGAGATTTTGGCTGTCGGAAATGGTATTCTTATGCTGGCGCCTTGTAAGTCGCGGAATTCTTATTTTACTTCTAGAAGAGTGAAGTCACAGCGTAACGAAGCGAAGAAACCAAACTAATATATAATAATAACTAGGTCTCTTCGCCGGGCTCGATATAGCAGCCGGACCAGGAAATACCCGCGTCCTGCCCTTCGACGCCGGATCCTGGGTAACAACACTCGTAGCCGCCGGCCTACCACTCATCAGCATCGCCGCCTTCTACCGGGGCTCCGATTCAGCCGGCTCAAGTTTCCGACGGTCAAACCGAGGGAGCAGAAGGAACTTGAATAGGAGAAAAAGCCACCGCACATCTTCCCCTTTTTTCGCCCCCGGCAACGGTATGCCCTCGTTTGCTCTGCCCTCCTCTCTTTTTAGCTACCAATCCCGCACTCTTTCCAAAACAGACGAGGACTCGGAAATTGTGGACAGCAGTATCCATCGGAGTCCGAGGATTCCTGTAGGCGGCGGGAACTTTGATAATTTGGAAGCAGAGAATAGAAGAACAGGACCCGTGAATCATGAAGAGATACAAGAAGAAAGTGCAAGTAGAGAGGAACTCCGAGGTAAGATGGGGAGCGTAGGTGGTTAGAAGAATAATCTTGAATCTATATGTATAAATGTATAACATCAAAGATAAATTTACAGATCTGGAGCAATAGGAATGTCATAACCTCGGCTTTTTTCTTATGAATATTATTTCAGTTTAGCTACATCCTAATATTCCATGTCAGTAGCCCAACTCCTATGCGTCGCCGTCAGCCAGGAGAACTCATACGAATCTACGAATTTAGAGATCAAAACTTCCGAGATTCAGACTCGTGTCACAATATCAGCACGAGGAACAGACGGTATTATTTGTCTTCACGATTCCTTAAAATTTTGGGTTACCTGATGGCAGCAACCGAGCGGCAACGCAACGTTTCTAATGTAATTCCGTTGCCAGCCACAAGAGATTGCCATTTCCCTTAGTAAAAAGCTCAAATGACAGCCCATCCCATACGCCCAGTCAATGACCGATATCGACCCCCCGGGGAAAAGGATTTATGCTCGCGACATGACACCCCATGCTCGGATAATGTTGTCGGTGTAACCGGCGAACAGAGTCTGGCCGTCCGCGCTCCAGGCCAAGCTCACACACTCGGGCTCCCGGCTCTTCTTGCCGACCGAGGTGAACTCGGGCTTCAGCTCGTCAACCTTGCTCTTCTTCTCCAGGTCGAAGATGATGATGCTGCTGGCAGTAGCAGCGCAGAGCCAGTATCGGTTAGGGGAGAAAACGAGGGCGTGGATCTCGTCACCAGCGTTCAGAGAGTACAGGTGCTTCGACTCGTTCAAGTCCCACAGCATGGTGGTGCCGTCCTTACCACCGGAGGCGCAGAGGGATCCGTCGGGGGAGATGGTGACGGTGTTGATGTAGCCGGTGTGGCCAATGTGGTCAGTCTGGAGCTTGCAGGTAGAGAGTTCCCAAACCTAACGCGGCACGAGTTAGCAACTTTATACCAATCTCACGTTTGAGAGTAGGAAGCAAATAATAGCGAAGTGTATATCATCAGTGCAATGGTGTTAAGATGTCTCATGGCTTGTAAACAAGCTCTGAAGTAGCAAATACTTTTTAAAATGCAAAGCATCATTTGAAAGGGTTTCGCCGGTCCTTTTCTTTCGTGATAAAAACGGACATGTCGTAAAACGTACCTTGACAAGTTTGTCCCAGCTGCTGGAAACGATAACGGGGTTCTGGGGGTTGGGGCTGAAGCGGACGCAGGATACCCATTCGGTGTGGCCCTTGTCGGTGATGGTGAACTTGCAGTCACCTAGGGTGTTCCACAGCTTGATAGTTCGGTCACGAGAGCCCGAAACGATCTGTCGGTTGTCTGCGGAGAAAGAGACGGAGAGGACATCGTTGGTGTGGCCGACGAATCGTCTTGTGGTGGTGCCGGTAGCGAGTTCCCACAGTCGGAGGGTCTTGTCCCAAGAAGCGGACAGAGCGTAGGCGCCGTCGGAGGAGATAACCTGAGTACCAACCCGTCAGCAAGTTTCTCAATTATTTTTTTATCCCATCGCCCTATTTTCAGCAGGAAAGCGAAATAACATACGCAGTCGGAGACGATGTGAGAGTGGCCGTGGAGAGATCGCTTGGGGTAACCATATTGCGACTCGTCGCGAGTGAGGTTCCAGATGATCAGGGTCTTGTCACGGCTGCCGGACAACAGCATGTTGGGGCTATACGACGATAGGTAAGCTTGCGATTATTATTATTTTTAAAGGCGACATTGCAGGTGATAGATCATACTTCTCTATGGAGGTAGCCAAACTGGTGACCCAGCCATTCTATTACACCAAAATCCGTTAGCTACCGTTTGCTGTTGACGGCTTTTCGCAGATAATTGAATCCAGGAATTCAGGTGATGATGAATTAATATATTAATTCATTAAGTAGTACTTACGTGACCCTCGAGAGTGCCCTTAAGAATAAGTTGCTCGGCCATTGTGAAGGGATACTCGAATCTTTCGCGAAGTACACCTTAATATTGTTGGCGAGGAGGAGTTGTTGATGTGCTTCGCTGGATGATCGAGTGATCGAAGTGACAGTCGTCAAACTTGAAATTTTCCCCGAGAAATTTTGTGTGCGAATTTCTTAGGGTCAAATCGCTAAATTGACGGCAGGTGCTAAGGAAAACCAAAACCAGCCTTGCCGCATCAGCGGGGCTTTATCCAATCAGCATCCCAATTGGCACCCTAAATTTGGTACTAGCTATGCCAGCTGTAAATCAATCCCCTCTCACCTGGCAAGCGTGTACCCTAGGTACCTAAGGTATGTACCTAAAGGTCATGTAATTAGTTCCATGCCTCTATGCGCTTATGTACGTACACGTAACGACCTACAAGAGAATAACAAAAGGGGTTGGCTGTAAGTACCTTCTATCTCGATACTCAAACCAGAATCGAATATATCGACGACGCTTGAATTGGGTATCTTAGGTAAACAATAAAATCTGAGTTTGTATCTCCAAATCGCTAAACCCAGAAGGGCCCGGCTCTTCCTCAGTGACGACTTTCTCCTCTAGCCGTATCTCATGTATCACGCTCGCCCCTAAAGTCTAGACGTACGGGAGCGCGTGAGAACTAACATCGGCCACTTCCTCGGAGTAGTAGAGAACCGCTATATACGACTAGGACGGTCTAATAGAACTTCATCTACATAGCCGTAGAAGTAGCTCCCAAGATCACCTCGCTATTCAACAAATTAAGTCTCTAAACAATAAGCCAGTTTCACAGGGGAGCATCTTACCACCAAGGCTACGCATCATGACCGATTAATATTAAGTAGTGGCGTCCTCTTTCATCGGAGATCAACTGGTCGATATGTATTCGTCAAATCATGCCATTGAAGGGGTCAGCCTGTGGCCGTCGGCTGTTTTTAGGTATTCCCTTCCGTCCATACTTAGTACCAAAGTTAACAATCGAGCTATGGTCGGCAATATCTGGCGCACTACTCGGCGCCGGGCCGGCCTTGGGTAGCAACTCGGACATCATGTCCTCCCAATTCTGGTGTCGTTTGCGACTTAGCGGATCGCGCTGCGCAACGCTTCTGAGCTCCTTCTGTCGACTAATTCTAGCAGCTCGGTTGATTCGCCTCAGCGCTGCCTCGCCCTTCTTCGCATCTACTTCCGCCTGTAATTGCTCCTTTTCGATATCGGCCTCTTGTTCCGCAGGGGTGAATCGGTAGGTATGCGCGCTGGGGAATGCTGGGAAATTCTTTGGTATCCACGGTCGGGCTTCTTTTTCTTTCTCTCCAGACAGCTCTTCACCTAGATATGGCCGCGGCTTCTGAAGGTATTGAACGTCTTCCGTTACGGGGTCGAAGAACGATGGCGCAACGTACTCTTCCCGTACAGGATTCTTAAGATGTAGCTTTAGAGACGATAGGTCAACATCGTGACGACGAAGGATGAGCTCGAAATCTTCTGGTATAGGGTCGTTTCTTCTTGCCGCATTGGCGATACGACGAAGGTGCTCGATAAAGCCCGTGATATCTACACCGTAGTTAGAATAATAAGTTATAGGACAAGGTGGACAAGGTGTCCATTTTGCACATACACGTATCAGCCGTCTCCGTAAACCCTTCCAGAGCATCAGGAGTAGCAGCGTCGAAGCCCACGTGCTTCAGCGCTACACCGATAGAACGTCGAAGCCCATCTCTACCAAAGTCTTCGGCATTCGGACGTCTCACCACATCGTAAATCGGTCTCTCTGATAGGTCGATATCAGCTGGTGTAACAGAGCGGGAGTCGGGTTCGATAGTTCGTTGTCGCTTAGCCTCAGGCTCTTGTAAATTCTCATCGTCGGTAGGAACGGCACGTTTGAGGGAGAAATCCATGATATCAAATGAACTGTCAAGTAGGGTCTAGAATACGAATATCACTGGACTGTAGTGGCGAGTATAGAGAAGGCGAACTAGGCAAAGGGTTCGTAAAAAGCACGGATCTCCAGGCCTTAGTTTAAAGATCGGATATTCGCAGGAGTATTATGGTATGTACCTAGGTATGTATCCAATATCCTGGTGCCTCCACGCGGTTCGCCCTGGTAATGCAAAAATGGCTAGGGACGCGGGCCTTGTAGTTGTATGCAAGGTAAAACCAGACTATTAAATGTTGCTAGCGAGGTATCGCGTGTTTAATACGGAGGTGATGTCGAGTAGGTGAAGGAAATTCTGTAGTATTCAAGCTCGGCGAGCTTGACTGCCCGTCATACACCCTCCCTAAGACACCTATGGTTTCTAGTCTAGTCTCGCTGGTCTTGGTATCTAAGGAACGAACGAATGAACGTAGAGTAGCTATCGAGTCGTAAACAACAATGTTGCGAACGGGCGCGGTAACGACGGATCTCTGACCTCTCCGACCCCGAGAGATTCAGGGAACCGCAAGGGGGTATATATTGTCGGATTTAAAAATCTAAAGAGGCGATATTGAAAATATGTTGAATAGCCTCATGCGAAGCAGTGGTTAGAGAGAGATATGGACTACAAGGCTGCTTTAGTTTGAAAGTTGAAGATGCTAACGAAGGAAACAAGCTCGGACGACAGGGATCCTCCAATTCACAAGTTGCCGGCTAAAGTGGAGCCGCGACTTGCTGCTCGTGTGTTAGGTACCTAGGTACATGTCGTTAATCGGTACGTACCTAGGTATATCTGCAGTATCCATGTGGCTACAAGATCTGATTGTGGCTTGACTGTGACTAACTGCCCGTCTTAGAGATGACTAAAGAAAACCAGCATCGTGAAGGATGATGTCGTCTTTATTTGTTGCCATGATTGTGTTGAAAGTACTTAGGTACTTAATGAATTGTAAACAATAGATTACGTATATTAATTCAACCAGGCTCCTTGTATAACTACCTAATGTTCTACTTATAGATAACTACATAATAATTTGCCAATCTGATATTGAGGAATTTATAACAGTTGGCCCAATGATCTTATGCATTAATCATTAATATGTTGAAGAAGTTCAATGTTGTCTTAGGTACGTTTAATTTTCTATAGCCTACCTATGCACATAATATGATTATCAAGTACAACTTGACTTTTATTATTCATCATTCAATGTTACCGCTTAGATAAATAGATAGATACCATAGCGGAGGTTTGGGGTTTCAAGGAACGGTTCCGATTTTTATAATTATTTTACATACGGATATCATTGTAATCAGGTTAGCACATTTTATTTTATACAATGGTTCCAAAAGTATGGAATAGTTTCGTATGGCGCAACGGTTTTGCTTTAGGGCCTCTGATTAGCTCAATTTTCAAGAAAAGTGGGGCAAAAAATTGAAAAAATTGAAAAAATGGAAAGACTGACTTGACTGGGCCTCGAACCCACAGCTCCCGCGTTCGTACATTGTAGTACGTACCTTAAACCCCATAATAAGGTTTAAGGTTTGAACATTTGAGCTAATGGGACGAGGTGGCCAGTCTCATCGAATTAATTCAAAAATTCAATTGATTTTAGTCCTTATAACCTTTACTTCTAAGAAATTAAAATTTTAACTTAGAAAAAAAAATTTTAAAAATTTTTTTTTTTCACTAAGACAATTGGAACGATTATATAATACAAGTAACGATAGTATAAAATGGAATGGTTTTACGGTTAGGGAACGGTTTTAGTAAGGTAAAATTTTAAAAATAAAAATAAGCCCCACTATTATTCGGGATTTGACCAATCAGAGGCCTTAAAACCTAAAAACGTTGCTCCCCACGAAACCATTCCGTCGGTGGAACCATTCCGTGAAACCCCCCACCTCCGCTATGGTAGATAGATAGATACCTGATAGCAGTCGCCTTTCAATCAACGGTTAAATTCCTAACAATCTCCTTATTATATCCTATCTGCTTGTGCGATGCTTCGATGCTTCTATCGTCGTTTGCTAAGTACAATACGTAAAGGCTTAGCCATCTCATCCCTGTGGCGCTTCTAACATCCCAGCTCATCTATTTGGGCTTATTATTTCGTACTATAACCCTTTCTGTAAACATGATAAAAACATGATAAAATCGAATTAATAAACAACTTCAGACGCGCGATGCATCTACAGGCGAGTTCGGGTACAGAGGATGATGGGTCGCGAGGCGAGATCACCAAGTTGAAAGTAGTAAACCCCTTACATTCCTTTCCAACCAACATTTTCGACGCGGCCTGTTCGCTCCAACATCTCGACCTCTCTGGGACAGGGCTATCCAGCTTACCAGAAGACTTTGGTCGCCTAAAGAAGCTCAGGATAGCATTCTTCTCCGACTGCAACTTCACCGTCTTTCCTAAACAGCTAGCATCATGTCCCGAGCTCGAGATGGTCGCTTTTCGCGGCAACCAGATGACCAACGTACCGGAGGATTCTTTGCCTCCGAAACTTCGCTGGTTGATCCTGACCAACAATCGGATAAGCTCCCTACCTAAAAGCATCGGGCGGTGTGGACGCCTTCAAAAATGCATGCTGGCGGGAAACCAGCTGCGTTGCCTGCCGGAAGAGATGGTCGCATGTAGGAAGCTCGGCCTATTACGACTCTCTGCCAATCGCATCCAAGAACTTCCAAATTGGCTCTTTGACCTACCTGAGCTGGCTTTCCTCTCATTTGCTGGCAATCCGTGTTGCTCGTTAACCGCGACATCAAAGGATGTTCGTGACACCACTCCTTTCAGCTCTCTTCCCGAGGTCAGCTGGACAGATCTTCATGTTCACAACCTTCTAGGCGAGGGTGCTTCGGGAATTATCTCAAAGGGATTATGGAACGGGACGGGCCAGGCTCGAGAAGTAGCTATCAAGTTATTCAAGGGAGATGTTACAAGCGATGGGACGCCTGCCGATGAGATGCTGGCGTGCATCACGGCGGGATCCCACGCTAATCTCATAGATCCTCTGGGGAAGATTACTGATCACCCCGATAAGGAAGGGCTTGTCATGCAACTTGTCACAGCGCAATACGGAACCCTAGGGCTCCCGCCGTCCTTGCAGAGTTGCACAAGGGACTGTTTTTCGCAGGAGATCAGTTTAACCACACGGCAGGGCTTGCGAATCCTTCAGGGCGTTGCTGCCGCAGCGGAACACCTGCACAGCCGAGGCGTCGCACACGGCGATATATACGCGCATAACGTGCTCTACGACGAAAGGGGGCACGCGCTCTTGGGCGACTTCGGCGCAGCATCTATCTACGGTAATTTAAATAATTTAGACCACAAGAAAATCGAGCAAGTCGAAGCGCTTGCCTTCGCCCACCTGATCGAAGACGTCTGGCGAATCATCAGGCCCAACTTCGACGAGCAAGAGTTGCGAGTCGGTGTGCTGCTCGCGGCTCTGCATCGTGAGTGTTCGGATCCAACCGGAGTCAAGCGGCCAAATTTTAGTGAGATCACTCGGCAGTTAAGTGCCATAAATCAACATCTGGCGGCTGCTACAGTATGAGGTTGTAATCACAAATGTTACGGCGGGCGAAGTGACGAGCGTGTTCGGTTGGGTCTTGACGATCCGAAGGCCGCAAATCAGGCTCTGAAGACCAAAGATTCGCTCAACTCAAGCTGACGAATGATGAGAAAGTTGGCCACGGGATGAGAATTTCCATCTGTCAATCCATTTTTTTTTAAATTCCTTCCTTTGTGCCGCTACACGATGTTATGCATACGGCAGGGGTAGGTAGGTAAGTAAGTGATGTTAGGACAAGGAATATAATTCTTCTAGAATAAAAAAAATGCGGTTAGGGGCAAAAAGGAAACCCAACGAGCGAGGGCCCAATGAGAGTCAGGGGAAATGGAAGAGGTCGGATAGATATTGCTAGAATCAGTCATACATAGACAGACGATAGACTAGAAGGGAAGCTAAAGATCCGATAGGTATGAAAAGTCATGTCCTCAATACGACCCCCCAGGAGTTACCTGATATCGGATCAGTAAGGCCAGCGCCTCTCGGAATCGGAGACGGTATACTAAAATCCTAACGTCGGTTGTAGGTTGAAAATTGGATTCTTAAAGAATTATACCTAGTGGTAGATGATTCGGATGGTTGCTACGTGTTGTCTACTATGGATAGACGGCATAATAAACGTGACATGGGGAGTCGACCAACCGCTTCTCACATGCCCAGTTACAGGCATGCGTAAATTGCACTTACTCGGCCGAATCGTCATCGTCGTAACTTCATTTCGACATTGGCCCGTCCTTTTTAATTTTTTCTTCTTTTCTTTTTTCAGCTCCGTAAACTCACCTCCCGCTTTGAGACATGGCCCGTTCCTCCCGCACCGGGAATATGTAGGGAGTTACGGAACAGCCCGCTCGTACATTCGTAGTATAATGTATACCTATATTGTACATTGGTTGCTTTTTCTTTTTTTCTTGCACTCTTATATGACAAGGACTCGCCATCTAATTTCGTATCTCGCTCGGAAGTTTCCCACCCCGGCTCGACACAAACAGTTCCGACACGCGGCCCTCGGGGAAGACCCGAAAGAATATGTACGTTTATGTATGTATATGCAGTAGTGAATGCTTGTTATATGTACGTCTACGTATCCGTCTGTATGTAGAAGCAGGAGGCCGTTTGGGGTTGTATCGACTGCATGTACCTACAGTTGTCAGTGCGATCGAGGTAACACCTACAACGGTCTTCTTCCTCGCTGCCTCGTTCACCAACCTATGAATTAACCTTTGAATTAAAAAGACGGCTGCAATAATAAACATCTTACGTGTGACTCGCTGACAGTTCGTCCCCCCCCTCCGCCCCGCCCCCGAAGTGCCTGGCTAAACACCCGCGAGAATTTGGCCATGACTCGTCAGGGCAATAAGATCCCCATCGTTCCCGTCGTTCCCGTAGGATTCGCACGGCCAGCTTTATCGTACACCCTTCGCATATAGAAGAAAACAGATCCTTGCTACCTTCTAGAAGTCATACCTACGGGGAAATGCGGACCCGTAGATTTAACTCGATCGTAAGGGTGTCTACCTAACTTATCCAAAACCGAGCGAGAGAACAGGGAGAGTAAATCTCATATATCTAAGAAAACACGGGCAGGCAAAGCTACATACATAGTAGTCGCGAGAAGACAGGGCATCGGCGTGGGGTTGAACTGGGGAACGATCCACACCCTGCATGGTTCCCTTTTACACGCCTTAGCATGTTAATATGTAGTATTTTGCCTACGGCCCTACGTCAGGTAAAAGATGAGCTACATAAGTAGTTAGCAGATAGGGCGGCCAATGACGATGGAGAATTGTAGTTGGAGATGGGCAAATATCATGAAGTTTCACCCACGTGAACGTCATCTTCTTTTCTTCTTCTTATTAATCGAGGCACGGTTGTCCTTGCGAGCGGTTAAATATTATATTGTACTGTACGGAATACCAAATGTATCACGTCGTACCTAGTGTAGCCATCGACAGGGCAATCAACCTACCTATCTATGGCCCGGGATGAAAATACTACCAGATAGGAAACGAATCGTTGCCATGTATGTGCGTCTGTCTATGTATATGGTCACCTATACATAGCGAGGCGTGAGACTATCCAGAGGGATCGTCAGGAGCTACACACCTTTACACCTACGCACCTCGTCACCTACAGGACTTGCGCAAGGGGCGGTCAGCACGAGACCGGATTCCTATTATTCTGCTTATTTGCCTCGCCATCGATCCATGACGGATGTTCGTGTCAAATTGGATCTGGCATGTAAAACAGCACATGATTAATGCCTCACGCATAGCGCTGTGACTACGGGGACATACATACATACATGCGCGACCAAGCCAATTAGGATAACCATGGGCCTAGTTATATGGCCTCGAATGGGGAATATAAATATATATGGGCGTGTATGGGCTTGTATGGGCGTGTATGGGTATGTATGCAGCAAGGTAAATCAGCAAGGCAAATTAGATGCTCGCTTCTGATTTGGCATGCGGCATTGTAGATCGCGGCAGGTATCGTAGCGACTTATTCTGCGTCTATATGCTGCTATCCGCACCGGAGAGGATTAGATCAGAGCATTATAGTCTGATCAACAAGCCGAATCGAGTCAAGCTCAAACGAAGGGGACGAAGTGCATCCGCTCGGTGGATATCTCAATCATCTCAATCATCTCAGTCATAGCGGGGAATTTCGTCAACAGGGTTTCTCTTATGTACATAGTGTAGCAGGGCTCGGCAAGGGACAAGGGAATCCTGTCAAGGCTTGCCAGGTCTTGTAAGCCTTCGATGAGAAGGTCTAGAACAGATTGGCGGAATCACGTTGGCCTTCGGATCTGCCGCAATAGATTTAGCTTCGCAGATCCGCATTGACCTCCCCGTCAGATTTAGCAGACTACCGGCCCGAGCGTACATATTTGACACATTTTGAATACGTGTTTGTGTATAGAGATAGTTATGTATTCCGTAGTTAAGAAAGAGATAAAATGAATTACGTCGTATTAAAAGATGAATGATGTAAATAGGTCCCTAGGTAGGTAGGTACTTAAATACCGTACCCAGGTACTTTAGGTACCTAAATTAAATATTCAAGGTGATACGGCGTTGAATGTTTCGGCTGTGGTATAATGTATCTTCTCCAATATTATAAAGCATTGTCTTGAAGAACAAAATTGGGGGTTAAAAGAAGAAGAAGAATAAGAAGAAGAAAAGAAGTATATAGGTACATAGACGACATATTGGTGGGGTACCTAAAGAGAAAAAATAAAAATAAAAGGTGCCTCAAGCTGCGTCCACCGTTGCAGGCGCCTGTTACCTACAAATCAGTGGATCACCGTGACCACTAAATTGACCACTAAACTCCAGTAGATAAGCCTACAGGTAGGTACTATATGTACTATATCTTGGTCGCATCACCACTAAAAAATAGAATTGAAAGAGGTAGGTACAGGACGGATTAGATGGAGCAATATAGATGGGGGTCTCGCCTCGAGCTTCCCCCCAATAGCTCTAGTTTGCCATGTGGTTTTTTTTTTTTTTTTTTTTTTTTTTTTTTTTTTTTAAACGCAGCAGCACTTTGATATATTATGTACATGTACACCTATCTGGATACGAAGATCCCGAGGAAGGAAAAGAAAAGAAAAAAGGTATAACTAAGAGCATTAAAAATATTTGAAAAAAGGAACGAACATGGACAAATGGAGTAAACGTCACTCAATCTAATCCCGTAGGCATTCTCTTTTTGGTTTATTTTATTTTATTTTATTTTTATTCTTATTTCTTTTTTCTTTTTTTCCTCGTCTCACACCCCTCCAACTCCCCCCCCCCATCTCCAATCCCCCCCTCCCCCTGTCAACTTCTTCTCTCCCCCCCCATTTTCGCTTTCATTCCCCGAACGGAAGAATAAAAAAGAAAGGAAATTTTACTACTATTACATACCAGGTATACAGCAATATGTCGAGCTGTTATTAGATGACTGCACATGCATGCAGATGCTATTCATCGTCATATTAGGACAGGACCGTTTATAGCAAAACCCTTGCCCCCATCTTTGCATCCATACTATCCATACCACTATCCATACCCTCTATTCATACCCTCTCTATCCATATCCTCTATCCATACTTCCTAATTTGATCTTTCCATTTATGGTCTTGGTCTCTTAATCTTCGTGACTTGTGACCAACCTTTATTCTGTCTGACTCTTCGTCGATACATTTAATAACTCGGCCAAGAGTACCTAACGCAAGTTATACATGTCATATCTTCTTTACTTTCGTATTCACATTTAACTACTAGCCCTTATCTTCACATTTTGAATCCATCTTTTATGTCCTAGCGTTATATATAATACCGTCAACGCGAATTCTCACCTGACCTGACCTCGGCTCCTTTATTCCTCTTTAACGATTATACTATATCGGTCTTCTCGTTATCTCGGTCCGCTCCCGATCTTCAAGTATAGTGTATTCATCTACTTGGATCCTGGTCTGGTTTATTGGTGGATTGGCCTTCCTTGGCTTTTCCCTTGGCGGTCCAACTATATTCGTCCGGACGAGGATTGCCAAGCCTATTCTACAGCCCCGGTGATACATATATCCCAGTATAGGTAGACTCTACTTTATATCACGCCCTTCGCCGTCAACCTCGAGTCTTCCGACAATGAGGCTGCTATTTCCGAGCATGTCGTAACAGTTGATATACCCTTTAAGAAAAAATAAAAAACAAAAAACAAAAAAATAAAAAATAGAATAAAGTAAGTTAGCTACCTAACCGACTAACCTAACTACTTTATATATCACGGTTCTAACCAATATCCGTCTTAGAAGTTCTTTAGACATTGCAAGCGAGTTTCTTGATAAACATGTTTCCTATAGACAGGAGTCTTCTCCCGTCTCTGACTACCCGCAGAGCGTTGATCGTGCTTGACCCCCAGAATGATTTTCTGGCTGAGGATGGCGCCCTACCTATCAAGATGCCTTCGGATCTCCCAGAGCGGATAGCAAGCTTGGCGACGTCGCTACGAGCAGGAGGTGACGACATCATCTGGGTATGTAGCAGATTCGAGAAATCGCGGCCTTCTCAGGAAGAACAAATTCTTATATCGGATCGGCCGAGCCACTCCCAATCCCCAGATCCTCCGCGGGGTCGGCGGCGGCCAACACCACCACAGACGAATCAACAGGCCGAGTCCCCCGAGGCGTTTCTAACCCAGGAATCTCCAAACCTACCGAAATGCGTCCGACCAGGCTCTTCCGGGGTGGAGATGCACCCAATCATAAAAGGGGCTGTCGGACCTAGGGATTTTTCAGTCGTGAAGACTTATTACTCGGCTTTCAGGTCAGAACAGCTACTTCGCTTACTGCGTATGAGGCTTGTCACAGAGCTTTTTATTTGCGGATCTATGACTAATATTAGCGTTATGGCTACCGCCGTCGACGCTGCGAGCCATGGATACACGATCACGATAGTCGATGATTGCTGCGGCTATAACAACATAATGCAACACCGTAATTCCATCAAGCAGATTTCGAAAACTACGGGCTGCGATGTTTTATTCTCGGCCAACATCGTGGCGTCTCTTAAGCCCAAGTCGAAGCCGTCGAGAAGGCCAGGTGATAGACCGGCAACTTCTCCAGCCGGCGGATACTCTACAGTACGTCGTGCCGGGGAAGAGGATGATGCTGCTGCGTCCTCAGCCTCAGATTTATTACCCTCATTTGAGAACCTGTCGCTAAATTCTCAGCGCGCAGCCGATATTCCCCGTGTCAAATCACCCACGAAACATCCAACGCCATCGGTTCAGCCCTTGGTGAAATCAACAAAGCCAACAGCGGAGAGTATTCGAAAGTCACGTGCTAGTTCATCGGTTCCGGCCGCGAGTCAAGTCGAATCGAAGCCACGGCACCAAAAAGCGGATGACAATGACTCACAAAAAGGTAGTCATAGCAATAAAAATAGTGATAATGCGCAAGTCTTACTACAGGACAAAGCACAACCACCAACTCAGGGTAAAACCATTGTCTCTCAGCAAACTTTAGAGAAAACACAACAACCAGACAAAAAGGAAGAACAGAGTGTTTCCGATTCAGTCGGATTAAAAAGCGACAAATCCAAACCGTCAGCGGAAGAGAGTGACCCTAAATCTTCTTTAGAAAATAAAACAGAATCATCAGGGACTGTGAGTGAGACACTAAACGAGAAGCACCCAGAACGGATCCAAGGTCCGTCGGAGATTTCGAGCATTGAAGTTGACGATAGTAGAAGAATGGCGCCTGGAGACCAGCCAAAACTAAGGGAGGGCGAGCCTCTATGTGAGGGTGATACTAAGGTTGTCTACGACGTATTACCACACCCCTTATCTGAGAATATCTTCGAAAGGGTAAGAGACGAGGTGCAATGGCAGCGCATGTCTCACCAGGGCGGCGAGGTGCCAAGACTCGTCGCCGTCCAAGGACAAGTGGATGAGGATGGCAGCATGCCTATTTACCGTCATCCATCAGACGAGTCGCCTCCGTTGCTACCATTCTCCCCCGCAGTGCTCGAGATTAAAGAGGTAGTCGAAAAACAATTGGGACATCCTCTAAACCACGTCCTTATACAGTTTTACCGTGACGGTAGCGACTATATCTCAGAACATAGCGACAAAACGCTGGATATTTCCAAGGGCAGCTTTATCGCTAATGTTAGCCTGGGTGCTGAACGGACTATGACGCTACGGACAAAGCGACAACCGAGAAATGATGATGATTCGGTGGATGCGGACCCTTTGCCTACGATAAAACGTCAAGTCCAACGAGCATGTCTACCTCACAATTCGCTTTTTCAGATGGGATTGCAGACAAATATGCGATGGCTCCATGGCATTCGACAAGACAAGAGGATTAACCGCGAAAAATCAGATGCGGAGCTGGCCTACGACGGTGGTCGTATTTCGTTGACGTTCAGAAGGATAGGGACCTTCTTGGACCGTGAAAACAAGCTGATATGGGGACAAGGGGCTACATCAAAGACGAGAGAGGGCGCGAAAAATGTGATCAATGGACAAACGCCTGAGGCTATTAAAATGCTGCAAAGTTTCGGTCGGGAAAACCAGTCGACAGAATTCAACTGGGAGGAACATTATGGCATAGGATTTGACGTTTTGCACATCTCCACCGCACCTCGACTATTCCTGTCATCGGATCCAGTCGTTAATATGAGTATTCAACTGATGCTAGCCGAGTATGGAGTTAGCTATGCGAGAGGTAGCATGTCGCCAGTCTTGAAGTGGAAGAATAGATGGCTTGCCAATGACCCCTTCGCCATTCCTAAGGACCTCCGTATCAAGTTTGTCGATAATGATTTTCCAAAGACGACTATTGAGGGTGAGAGCCCAATCATGTTGTATCTCGAATGCTCTTACGGCCCTAGGCCTAGAAGTATCCCGCCCAGGGATTTTGAGAAAGAGGGCACTCGCTTTCTGCAAGGGATTGCCTTGTTAAGAAAGCACAAAACACTGAAGTCCGAATTGAGTACATGGGAGAATTACGCAGCCGAAGGCAACGATTTCATCGCGGGACCTACTATGACCCCGGCCGACTTTGCGTTTTGGCCTGTCCTTCACGATATAATCAGGGTTCAAGGCCAAGATCTATTTGGACAAGATGAAGCCGAGTTCGAGAATTTGAAAAAGTACTACGAGCGTATCGAGGCGCGAGACTCAGTCCAAAAGGTAATAGCTGTGTGTGCGACCCGCCCGTCGAAGGAATCTACTGGTGCTCCCGACGCCACAGTATCGACGTAGGTTTCCGTGCCTGGTTTCGCTAAGTAGATCGCAATGCCATCACAGAATTGGAGAACCAGGATGAATAGATATCTTGGATAACTAACGCTTATAAGCCCTCTACTTCATATCAAAGGAGAGGCGCTCACATTTAGCGTAGCATCGTATGGGCGCATGGATAGCTTGCCTTCTGGCTTTTTCCACGGCGAGAAGTAGATGGAGATGGGATAGGATGGACAGGCAAATCTACGAAGAAGACTTACCGAGATGTAAAATAAGAAACTAATCTACCAAACTATGTATTGTCGTGAACTACCTAGTTCGCACTAGATGTCAGAATAAGACACCTATAAATATCACTTGTATAAATGTATTCAAAATATTACTTCGATTTAATCTGATAGTTTAGCTGTATCGAAGATTTCCTTCATCTCTCTTCCCCCCTTTCTTCTTGCACCGAATTATATCTAGGTACTTTACGTAGCTAGACAATTCAAATAACCCTTAAAACACCCACGTTTTTATACGCGTCCTTACAAATACAGCCTCTCGGCATCTAGCCGTGATTAAGCCAATGGATGGTATTTCCCTACCCCCCTTATATGCCCTGCCAAACCGCAACCTACGGTATATAAGTTACATACCGGAAACCTTCAAACCTGCCGATTATTTGAGGCAAGATATTACAAACATTAAATATTGATACTCCCACTATTGGGATCCTAGCTTTGTATGGGAATGAGAAACACAGTTATTCATTGATACCGGTTGGGCGTACCAGCAGGATTAACACCCACACCGATAGGAACACCGGTAACGGCACCCCCGTTTGGGTTCCCATTGCCTCCGCCCTCCCCGGTATTCTCCTGCAATATAATTGTAGGCCTCCGCGCGACGACATCGAACACAGTCTGGCTCTGCTGCGCATCACTGCCTGGCATATCGGCATCGCTCATACTAAGAGCGCGCAAGATATGCCGATCGATCTGGGCTAGATCCGGGTCTGCGAATTGCCCCTTGAGGTAATCGGCGACCTGTCGAGCGGGCATAGCAGCAGCACGCGCCAGTCTTGCGATAGCTGTCCGTATCCCGGCGTTATTCTCGCGCTGCCATCGTCTATACGATGCGATTGTGTGCATCTGATCCGGGGGCGTGACGGGGTGGTTATGGTTCGGTTCCACTATATCAATGAACCATAGATCACCTTCCCGCCTCAATCGTCGCACCACGGCTTTCCACCCACACCCGCACTTCTTGCTCTCGCGCCGCCGTTCCCCCGTGCTCTGCGATACGAAGTCAGACCCGCCACGGTCGCACGCAAAGTCCTTACGAATGACGTCGCCGTCAGGGTCGTAACGTCCCGAGGGCAGCTTCTCCTTGATGGTGCGCTTTTGCGATACACCGTACCCGGATGTGAAGACGTGGAGTTGGAGGGAGAAGACAGCATCTTCAGCCGTGTTGTAGGGTCCTTTGTTTAAGGGGTGCGGCGAATGGACTTGGGGAGGCGGCGGCTGTTGAGGCGGTGTAAGGTTGTTAGAGGCTCGCTGGTCGAGGTAGTCGCGCTCTAATTGCGATTTGGGCGGCCGGCCTACGCGACGACGTTTGCGCTGGGGCGGACCGAAGGATGTGGGATCTGCGTTGCTGGTGGCGCTATGGTTTACCACGGGTGTAGTTGATAATGGCGTAGCATCAGGGCTAGAGTCGGAATCGACGGTGGTGTTGATATTATGTTGCTGTTGTTGTGGTTGTGTGACGATGTTGGTCGTAGATGGTAAAGTTGGTGGATGTTGGTACGTCGGTGCAACAATTGGTGGTGTATGAGTGGGAGCGGGTCGATGTAAATGATGTTGCTGCTGTTGCTGTTGTTGTTGCTGGTGGTGACGAGATTGAAGTTGAGGTTGGGGTTGAGGTTGAGGTTGGGGTTGAGGTTGTGAATGGGGATGTGAGTTTGGACGGTGTTGGTGTTGAGATTGATGTTGCGACTGTTGATGTTGCGGCTGTCGATGTTGTTGCTGTTGGTGTTCGGGAATAACGGCAAAGGACAACTGGTTATATTGCTGGAGCCCACCAATGGAGCTGTATTGCGACGACGCCATGTCTTTATTACATTTGATAGTTATATGTTATATGAATATGTTGACTGTATCGGCTTATTAAACTAGACTGTTTGTATATGGGAAGCAGAAGGATTCGCAGACCGTTGGTGTAAAGAAAGAGAATCGAGTTGGAGCTCGGCTGAAGTGCTGAAGTGACGCTACTCCCCTAATTAAGTTTAGTCTAACCTGATATGGGGTCAACCCCACTAGGCTGCTAGGTCGCACATATGAGATCTGATATGCAATAACCCTTGTTTTTCTTATTTAGACGGTGTTATATCTATGTAGGTATGTATTGATGTTTCAATTATTAACAGTCCAGCATTTTAGATACTTATTGCCATGATATACCTACACCATATACACCATGATATACACAATGATAGTATAGCTCGTCATAAGATATTAATTAAATATAATAAATACACTAATATAATTCAAACATCTAATAACCCCTCCATACATAACTCCCAACCCTCGAACCCGCAACCCATCCCGCATCATCAACAACCTCTTGCCTCTTATTTCTATCTCGTAGTGCTTCTTCGACGCTAACACCAGCCGGAAACCCGGCTACCTCCTCCCGCTCCACCCTCAGCCAGCCCTTCCATCCCGCATTCACATCTCCCTTTACACTTACACCGCTTCCCCCGCCGATCACCACCGTGCCCCACCACTCGCGAGCCCGGCTACCGTGAGCCCCGTAAAGCATCCACTCACCCGCTGCCGCTACCGCCGCCTGCACTTGGTCTTGCCCCCGTGCCGGCCGGTACACGTATACATGGCGCAGATCAGGCAGTTGTGCTGGATAGCTGCTATTGCCAGTATTTTTTGAGGGGTTAGAAGAGATGAGGCGGGTTATATCAAAACGGCTCTCGGCATCGATGACGACCACTGTGTAGTTATGCGGTTCAGCAATAAGGGTTGATAACAAGTGGTATAGGAGCGGGAGATAGCGCCCGCTCACCGAGAGGACGGGCGGCGGCGCGGATTGTGTTGCCTTGTGATAGCGAGCTGCGATATTGGCGAGGGCCGGGATGGGAATATCTGGACGGACATTATTAGAGGGACCGCCTGTAAGATTGATACGAAGGGAGTCGAGGAGCTAGAATGAGTAAGTTAGTTATAAAATATAAAATAATCTTTCCGAAGGAATATTGCGCTTAATAATACTAATAAAATAATGTGTCGAGCCTCATGGTAACAAAAACGACTCAAAAAGAGGGATGAGAGTAAGAATAACTAAAGAATAAAAGTGATGATAAGATAAGACTCAATTGAATCTCTGAACATGAATCATCCATCTTTCAATCCTCTAGTTATACATTTATACACATCACGAAAAAAATAAAAAATAAAAGCGTGCGTACATACCTCTTCTAAACTCCCCTCTTCGACTTCGCCTAGCAATCGAGCACCAACGTGTTTCGTCGTCGCAGAATCCATCCTCTTAATCCAACTTATCCGTTCCACATCACATCACATCTCACATCACAAGTCCCAGCAGCAGCAATCTACAAGAGAAGAGAAGAGAAGCGATGGCGCCCCCTTGCCGCGTCTTCCCAGTCTCGCAGCTCGAATCCGAGATCCAAGCTACGGACGGCCGCGTGCGCAAAGGCGGCCGGATCGACTTGTCCGCCTGCGAACTCTTCTCGATGGTCCAGTACGAGTGCCAGATCGACCGACCCGAGGTATCGAATAGTCCCGTTCGGTGCTGGCCCGTGCAGCGATGGTTCCGCCGGTGAGTTTGATTTTGATTTGTATTTTTTTATTTATATTAGTATACTGTTATGGCTAGATGAACTGATTATTTGTTTGTCCGGTTTAGTTGTCAGGATAAGAAGGGGAGTTTTATGGTTGAGACTACGGTTTGGGAGGGGATGAAGAAAGATGAGAGAGTCTCGGTGGGGGGCGGCACGTAGTTTGATAAAACCATTGACTTTAAGAAATGAAATAGAAATGAAGTGGTTAAGCCATAGTAAATACCTCTTGAGCATTCTTGTGATATAACGATTCGTAAATGTGTTAATATTTGCCAATCAATTCCTATTCTATTCTCTATTCTAAACGAATAAAATCATAGTTATTAGGAATCCTTTTTCTCAAACAGTTATATCTAATTACAGGCATAAATTCATAAAAGCTAATACAGTAACTATCTCATATACGATTCTCAGTCTAAGGGAAAACCTACTTTCATCACAGCATGTCCCGTATTACGACAATCTCATATACCTATTAGTTACTATCACTCATCTGCAAGTTTTCATTAGGTACTTTATGTATAATTACGACTACGTCATACTCATAGCCATACGAACAACCAGTAAACAACCAGTACATATTTACGTAGCACGCTTGCTAAAACTAACCATCAGATCGTATTGTACGGACCAACGGATAGGGAGAATGCTCAAGGGAGCCTGAATTTGCCGGGCGGGTACTCGTTCGTATAATACAGTCGGCCGTCCCCAGCCTTCGAAGGATAACCACCCCCCATAGCATTCCCCAACCACAAAATAGAAAATTCGTTCTCGTCTAGTATTTCGCGTCCTCTTCCCTTCTTCCTCTTCGCACTCTGCCTTCCACGCTGGTCCTTTATCATGAGCGCATCTAGACGCTTCTCGCGGCAGCTCGTTCTTGCTCGAGTTTTCTGTAGAAGTTGTCTCGGGCGTAGGTGCGCGGCATGTGGTATCCGTGCCTTGAATAATACGAGTTAGTCCATTGTTCCTATCCACTTCGGATTTCCTAGTTCTCCCGAGGATATAATTTATGAATGGGCTTCGTACCAGTAGAGAGCACCGAAGGTTACGCCCAATCCTGTAATTCCAGTCAGCTAAAAGGCCCGCGCATGATATCCAAAGCTGGAGGCATCGGAAAGCTTTCTAATGCTAGGGTAGACGCACCGAGCGCAATGCTGAGGTCGGTAACGAGGCCCCGTCGGAGCATCTATATTCGTGAAATCAGCCTCATGAACTTGGAGGGGTACGACCGGCAATTGGACGCAGAAGATAACTTACGCCGGTGATAGGTGCGACGGCCATTTCGAATGCGATTCTCAGGGGGACGAGCGAGAGGTAGGTTTAATGGGAAGGTTGCGGGCGAATTCGTGGAATTCTCGGGTCTATCGTTCAAAAGTTGGAAATGGTCTGATCAAGATTCCCAATTCGCGCGAAGCTTTCCAAGGTTAGGAGGAGCTTCCACTTGCGCTGAGTCACGTGAAATATTTACAGTTCATAGCCGTACGAAGTGGGAGGTAGGTACGTACCTAAGGTATTTTTGTATTGTACCCTTTAGTCCGACAGGTGACAGGCCATAGGCGACGGTCGATAGGCGATAGGCGATAGGCGGCTAAACCCCGGCAAATCATTCTCTCGACTTGTTCTCCCATATTGAACTTTTTCTTAACTACAACTTCAAGACCCTCGAATCCGCTTTACAGCTCCGTCTCAGGCTGCCCAACGCAACCAATTCATAACAGCCATGAGCTTACATCTGCCGGCAAGGCGGGTAGCCACTGCCGGTACTTTTACTTAGTCAAATTGCGCACTACAGGCTAGCTAATCAAGGGATTATAGCAGCGCGGACCGCCGCCGGCAAACCCTCATTACATCTACAATACCTACAGCCCAGAACGCAGCGCCGCAATGCCTGGTTCAACTGGGGCTCCAAGCCCAAAGTCGATTCGCCCTTAGCCCAAGAGCTCTCCCGGCGCGAGCGCGAGCAGATAATAGCCGAGAAGAACATGCAACGTACGCAGGGAGCCTCCATCTTCGACGAGGAGATCAAGGACACGGAGAGGGCACAGCAGCAGGAGCTCGAGCAGCAACCGCAACTGGGCCAACGAAGAGGGCCTGCAGCCAGTGCCGGCACGAAGGTAAAGGAGCACATGGAACGAGCCGAGAACCCCGATCCCCGATGGCGCGTGCGTTTCCTCAAGAAGAAGGTGATGCAGATGGTGCGGGACGGAGACAAGCCGCTCACCCGGGAGCAGCGCGTGCGGCTTACCGAGAAGCAGCACACGAGCGCCAGCCCGAACTTACCCACCAGCACCAAGAAGCTGATGTTCCTATCGCGCCAGATCGCCGGCAAGACAGTCGACGACGCCATCACGCAGATGCGCTTCAGCAAGAAGAAGATGGCCCGCGAGGTCAAGTGGCAGCTAGAGGAGGCGCGCGACAACGCCATCGTCGCTCACGGCATGGGACTTGGCGCCGCGGACGGCAAGACCCTCGAGAAGCCGCGCAAGATCCAGACCAAGGACGGCCGCTGGGTTGAGATCAAAGACCCGACGACTTTATACGTCGACCAGTCCTGGGTCACCAAGGGTCCCTGGCGTGGCGTCCGCATCCAGTACCACGCGCGAAGCCGCATGTCGCAGATGTGGCGGCCAACAGCTGGTAAGTATTCGAGCATGAATTCATCTGCCCTCCCTTTTTACACCCCTTCACCCGAGTCACCCGAGCACGACTGCAGACGTACACTTTTCAAGCCGTCATGCCAAAAAAAGGACGATAGCTAACGAACTCTCCTATTTATAGCCATATCTCTCGTTTTAAAGGAGGAGAAGACGAGATTGCGACAGCACGACGAGAAGGTAGAGAAGCAGGCGCGGAAACGCCCATGGGTGCATCTGCCGAACCGGCCGGTTACGGCACAGAGGCCTTACTACAGCTGGTAGAAAGCGAATAGCTAGTTTAGTTCAAGGGTCAAATATGATGTATCATGATGCGGTTGTGAATAGTGGACATGATTGCACATGCTTCTATGTAAGAGTTGTCGTATCGTCTCGGTACGTGTACCATAAAAGAAGAAATAAACTCGACTGAGAATATGCAATAGCTCTCTCTTCGAGACGGAGCCTTACAAAAAAAAACATTACAAAAGGAATTAAATCTGCCGTCTAAGCAGCGAGATTTGCGTCGCCTATTAATGGGTTTCTACCAGCGAACCTTAAATACAATGAAAAAGGGGGCCATCTGATTTGCAGAGCTGGCCAGCAAAAATGTATGTCACGTAGCTACATATCACAATCAACTACAAAACGCGATTGTTGTTGTTGTTGTTGTTGTTTTCATGCCAATAAATAGCAAAGCTTCATCTCGAGTCCATCCCCTTCTGTAACTACATCATTCGGTTTCTGCGTCTTGACTGTAATTACCAGTTCCATCTCTCGTGCGTAAATCGGTGCGATTAAACTGGAGAAACCTTTCTTCTAAACCTCCAAAGTAGGTCGTTAGAACACCAGTGGGGTTACCACTAAAACGAACCGAGTCCATACTGCAGCCATCCGCAATAAATCTTTGGAAGGGATGACTTGGATATCAGATTCCTAACGCACGAAAAAGCATCCGCGAACTCAACAAAGAAATCCCAATCGGAAATAGGTTGGCGCGTAGAGTCGAATAATGTCGTACACGCGGGGAGTCGGTTAGATCATAGTTCGAGGTTGCGTTCGCGGAGACAGATCCTCATAGGGACGCGCGTTGGCATCAAGTTCCGAAGCGTACGACGCGGTGGATGGCGAATACGGACGAGCCATAGGTGAAGGGGAGCGTCCCGCCGACTCTGGCGATGGTGCCGATGGAGTAAAGTCTCTAGACAAAGTAGGGTCGGGTAGGCGGACACCTTCGGCGAACTGTCGTCCGGATCCTGGAAGAGGCTTCGAGATCTGCATGGTCTGTGCGCGCTCTGGTTCGGATGTCTTTGATCGGCGACGGAGAAGGCAAAAGGCGATGATCATTATCAGAACTGCTGCAACACCAACACCTGCGCCAATCCCGGCTCTTGCGGCAACACTCAAACCGCTATCCTGGTTGGAGGATGATTCTTCATCAGTCTTCTCTGCCGACGATGTCGCTCCAGCGGCGATGGCTGAATTACTAGTAGTAGCTGACGGTACTGGTGACTAAATAGGATATTAGTATTTCATTCAACGCAGTAAAATGGGAGCATAATGAACATACAGAGGTAGCTGCGGAAGTCTTCGCAGGAGCTGATGACTCGGTGGCGGCGGGGGTCGAACTGGAAGCAGTCGATTCAACTGCTGCAGCAGAGAAGCCCGACTCGGAGGTAGAACTTGGGCTTGGCTCAGGGGCCTTAGTGGTCTCCGCAGCCTTGGTAGTTTCCGCAACCGTGGTCGAGGAAACGGACTCAGCAGCCTGCCCGGTAGGTTGAGCCTCAGCGGAAGAGGTCGGCGTACTAGGGGCTGGTGTTGGGGAAGACAGAGCAGCCGCTGCAGATGATGCGGCTAAAGTATCCTTGTTAATCAAGAGGTCTTGCAGAATATTAGGAGGACCTAGGTTGCTGCTATGCTTGCTTACCTTGGCATTCACTGTTGCCGTAGCCCTGAGCGATCGAAATCTGTGCCGCAGCTACATCGCTGGGGCATGCCTGGTTGATACAATCGCGGATGCCGTCCGAGAAATCAGTACCCTTTCCGCAGACACAAAGGCGATCATTCATGTCGCATCCCATGGCGGCTGAATTGGCGAAGACGCCATTGACGCAACCTGACTAGATAAGAAGACCCACGTTAGTTATAAAGCTCATATGCATATACGGGATAAAAAGGGAGGGTAGTCCAGCCAAGCATATCAGCCAGATAATTAGGTAGGAAGCTTCGTTTTAAGCAGGTTCTACTTACAGCACAAGGCAGGAGGCCAGCATCCTGAGCGAGACCTTGGCCCAAGAAAAGGGCGAGGGAGGTGAAAACGGCGATGAACATCATCGTGAGATCCGTGAGCGTGAGTATAGACTCGTAAATAACAATTCAGAGGACCGTATGATACGTAATATGTCGATGACCAATCGACAGAACTCCGCAAACTAGGCGGGAAGAAGTTGAACAAGAATTGAAGTTGAATATCGGGGGTATCTCAAGTTGAAAGTGACCAAGCTGGCTGGCCAAATTGAAGAATAGACAATAGAAGAGAACTGCGTAGGACGAAACGAGAAAATGTCACAGTCCCACGAGGTAGCCCATGGCTATTCTGAGTCGGAAGAATGGAGTTAGGTACTGGTTGATGGTGAATAAAAAGTCAACGGCGAAATGAGGCCGGATAGGAATTATGAGAATCGGAATTCAGCAGGTTGACTGACGACTTGTGCGAGGTGATCCAAAGTCGCGGAAGTCCGTGTGAAATCGTAAGGGTTAAGGTAACCTAACGAGGAAATACCTGACGTGTAGGAAACCTGAAGTACGAAGTAGTCAAACAAACAATTTCTAGATTGTTGATTGTTTTCGTGGTGCTCGTCCCCGTCGTTTGCGTAGGACTTGGTACTTGGACGTTTAACTCAACGAGGTTCCTCAGGTAGTATGCAGTATGTACGCAGCCGAGGTGACTGAGAGGGAAAAGGTTACCAGAACTCGACGAGTAAAAACTCAAAGCTCGCTATTGGAATAGAAGTCGACGAATGATTTTTTTTTTGTACAAATGAACGGAAAGTGGTTGGTGACCGAAATGCACGATACCTTACCTAGGAGGAGGTAGGTATGCACGATGGAAAATAGTTGCGAAAGGAATGAAAGTGGACTAGAAGTCAATGACTGCCGGATGGAATATCCATGGAGAAGGAAAGAATGGAATTACCAGAATTGACCACTACGATCGGGATGCAGTTGCAGTTGAGTACCTACCTAATGCATGTGCAGGAGAGAAGGGACCTTGCCGGCGTAGAATGGGAGAGGGTAATTGTTAGGTACATGTGTATCAGGAAGGTTGCTGAAAAAATTGAAGGATATGATTGGTCAATAATTGATCCTAGCAAACAAGGATTGTGGGGCTGTGCCTGGGACCTCAAACAGTCAAGCACAACCCTAGGTACCTAGGTACCAATTAGATAGGAATACTCGATATTATTAAACATCTGAAACTATATTGATTCTATCATGATCTTTTTTTACAGCTTACCTACATGTAGGTACGTAATCTGAAAGTGGAGATAATTAAATGTCGTGCAAAGTCAAGTTAGTCAAGTTCTTTTCGGGGTGGGTAACTTATTCTTTGCCTACCATATTGGGACAAGAGTCGATGGTAATTGG